GAACCCTGGTCCTTTGCAGAAGCAGCAAGTTTTCTTAACCACTGAGCCCTTGGTAGTGTTTTTTTGAAGCATACATGTTTTAGATTTTGTCAAAATTAGTTTTTTATATATTTTGGTTACTTGTATTTTTGGTGCCATGTCTGAGAAACCATTGACTAATTAGTGTCACAAAAATTTACAATTACATTTTCTCTTACAAGTCTTGTTTTTGCATTTAGGACTTTGGCCCATTTTGAGCTCATCTTTGTGTGTGGTATAAAGTAGGGTCCAGTTTGATTCTTTCATCGTTTGGGTTTCAGTGGTAAGGGGGAAAGTGTCACTTCTCTCCCTAGCCAGCTTACAGAAGGGGACTTGAGGGATGGGGCAGCCTTTGTTTCTGGCTCCACTGCATAGCTGCCCTCTTAGCTTCCTGGCCTCACGGCCATAAACCCCATCCCAGAGTGTCTAGAGAAGTTTTCACACTCAGTACAGTGCAGTGCCATGGACTATCATAACCAGACCGTTCTGAGGTAGGACACTTTACAATGGACGTAGAAATAGACAGAGCCAAGCCTGCCTCCCAGACGTGCTCATTTCAACCAGGTAATTCCAAGTCAGTCATTTGGCTTTTCTGTGCCCTGTTTTGTAAGCTGGAAGGTGATAATCTGGGGCCCTTTCGAAGCCTGCAAGAGATTGTGCAGTGAAAGTCTGAGACTTTGAAGAGAGATGGGCTCACCACATGTCACCATAGTGGGATGCTCCCGTAAGGAAAGATACTCAGTCCTTCAAAGGAAATGTTTACATCATTTCCTTATTTTAAACCCACTTGGCTGTAACCAGACAAATGTTTTAATTTGAACTGAAGCTGTCGATGTCTTCGTGTTGACTTTAGATCCATTTTATTTTTACAATTTGTTTTAGTGGTAAAGGGCTGAGGTTGTAATTCATAACAAGCCTGTTTGGTGTGTTTGCTTTTCAACTTACAGTCTTGAAACTCTTTAAAGCTTATATGTGAATCCTTCAGTGGGGAGTTTTTGCTTGAACTTCAATCACACATAACATGCCTGACTCTTGCTGGCACAAAGTAAAAGCTAGACAAGACCCCTCAACCCATAGCTTGTATCCAGGTCACACCTGGGTGACGGCTCAGTAGCGTGTGGTTGCTGTCTGGTTAATGCCCACCCACCGGTGAGGGGTTTCTAATTGAGCATCAGCATATGTATTTGGGGTACACTTATAGCTGGGCTCTGTAACTAGGCAGGTTGAAAATGTAAATAGCCTAACTAGTCCATGTGGTATTGATGTAAAGCCCAAAGAGGTTTAACTAAGGTAGACTGCTTATCTCGCACGGGAAAGGAAGGGCCTGCATTCCTTCCCAGCACAACAGATTTTTTTAAAACATGAGAGAGTGTAGCACAAATTCTAGTTGGTCTTAGTAATAAAAACCCAGAGACAGATACTGGGTTAAAGCTGAAGATCAGAAGCAAAGCGGCAGCCGCCAGGGAGTTCTCACTCTGCTCATGCTCAGACCAGAGGGCGATCCTGTCCTCAGACTGCATCTCCAGACTCCCTGAGCTCCCGTCTCCTCCTGCCAATTAGTCCTCTCTAGTGCTGGGGTTAAAGGCGTGCTCCACCCCTGCCTGACCTCTATGGTTAACTAGTGTGGCTACCTTTGCGCTCTGATCTTCAGGCAAGGTTTATTTGATAGATCATAAGTAAAATATCACCATTTGGAGGTGTGTAAGAGAGGAAACACCTTTTTCCCAAGAGTGCACACATGATCCTGGTCAGCAGTGTCACCCCAAAGCACTTGAGGTCCCTCAGCACAAATACAAATACAGTATGTAGAGAGCTTCCAGTTCCCACAGGTTACCCTACGTGAGAGCCAATAGCTGGGCTCAGGGCCTGCTGAGCCCCTGCTCTGCTTCTTCCTGGGGCACACAGAAGCCTGGCTCCGTACCCTTCGCCCACAGGTGTAGTTTGACCAGAGGAAACTAGTGCTCTAGGTTCCAGGCTGAGGAAATTCTTCGTTCCTCGGGTTCAAGCTCTCTCCTAAGGTGAAGGTCAGTCTGAGGAAACCAAGTAGAAGACCAGCAGTGTGCTCTTCTGTGGCCAGAGTAGAGAGAGATTGTTACATTTGCTTTTGAGATTCATCAGAAGTTCTAGCACGGCTCTTGGCCCCTGATAGCAACGTTCCCTGAGTCTTCTGGAAGACAGAGCCCTGACCCTTAGCAGGGCTGTCACCCAGCATGACTGACTGAACCACCACCAGTTGCCCAAGGAAATGGACCGTGGAAGGCGAGGCCTGCCTGGCACTGAGGACAGGGCAGGAGGCCCTTTTCTCAAGAGCCGTATAATGGGCTCCTTGCGCCTATCCAGTGCCTTAGAGGCTTGGGGAGTTGAGGTAAGTGTAGACTGGCCATCCCTGGGACCTCAGCACTAGGTGGTCTGGCTGTAGGAAGATAGGAAAGAAGTGCGGGGAAGACTTGTTTGTAAGCCATTGCGAGCTTTTTATCGACTGTGATCCTCACAGCTGCAGGGGAAACTAACCGTCGAGGAGGTTGTAAGAGACTGTGAAGTTGGGCTTCAGAGCAGCTTAGCCTCTGCTGGCTGGAACCCTGCTCCTCTGTTAGCCTTCTGCAGTCTGACCTGTCCTGAGCTCTCGAATGCTGGGGTGCGGTGGCTTATCTTCTCTGCTTGGCTCTTTGTACACTGAGGGGTAGGTAGGAGAGGAACAGTTCTTATATCACACATAAACCAACCATATCAACACAGCTTTTAAAGATCATGGGGTCACGAGAAAACTGGGATAAACAGTCTTACATTCCTGGAGTCACAGAAGAGATCTCAATCACAAAGGAAAAGATTCTAAGTTAAACATGAAAGTGAAAAACCTCACTGTGTTAAGAAAACCACCTGAACAAAGGACAAAAGTTTATGCAGGCTGGGGGGGGCATGCTTACTGCACATCCAGGACTGTGTGAGCTGGGTGGAGGACTCACCCCAGCTGCTTGGGAGGATTCATGTAACTTAGAGATTCTATCTCAAAGTGAAACACAAAACGGCTGGTTGCTGTAGTTCAGTGATAGGGGCCCCAGATTCAGTTCCCGGTATTTGAGGGGAGAAGCTACAATGTATAAGGATTACAGGAAGGGAAAGAAAAACAACTAACGAGAAAAACATGGAAAGAACACCCTGTCCCTCAACCTGGTGCCTTCTCAGTCCCATAAATACGTAAATCGTGTGTTCCAGTGGCGGCAGTGCTCTGTGAATCGCAAGGGTTATTTGCAGCCTCCATCTGGCCTTGTTTACAAAAGGACATGTGGGCTGCATCAGTCAGTTTAATCTCTTACCTGTGGGAGGTAGAGCTAATGGGTTCAGTGGGGATCTCCAAACCACAATTGTTTTGTTGTTGTTATTATTTAGATTTTTAGTGTTTTATGTGTCCGAGGTCTTGCTAACATGTATGTGTGTGTACCATGCCTGTGCCTGGTGCCTGAGGAGGTTAAATTCCCTGAAATGAGTTACCAGTGGTTGTGAGCCACCATGTGACTCCAAACCTAAGTCCACTGGAAGAGTAACAAGTGTCTTAACCATTGAGCCATCTCTCTGGACCCTGTGATTATTTGAGTACAGAGGCGATTGGTTATGTTCAGAGAGGACCAAGTGCTTGAGTGTAGCTTTGCTGGTTTATAGGAGTATCCCTAAAGCTGTCCACCTGTGTTTGCATAACATGGTACAGGTAACAGTTTCCTCTTGTAGAGTGGTGGGTAAGCCAGGACCTATCGAGTACTCAGCCATTGTCTGATGTGACTTAAAGCCACCATGTTAGCTGTTCATGGGAGTGAGGACTGGTTCTTGCCAGGCCTCTTTGTGTCGTTCGAAAAAACCCTTGCTGCATCTTTATAGTGACCCAGCTTTGTGGTGCCGCTGTGATCTGGAAGAAACGAGCCCAGGAAAGAGACAGATAGCCACTTGTTCTTCTCTCTCTCTCTCTCTCTCTCTCTCTCTCTCTCTCTCTCTCTCTCTCTCTCTCTCTCTCTCTCTCTCTCTCTCTCTCTCTCTCTCTCTCTCTCTCTCTCTCTCTCTAGTTTTTTCAAGACAGGGTTTCTCTGTGGCTTTGGAGGCTATCCTGGAACTAGCTCTTGTAGACCAGGCTGGTCACAGAGATCCACCTGCCTCTGCCTCCTGAGTGCTGGGATTAAAGGCGTGCACCACCAATGCCCGGCTGTTTTGCATTTGTTTTTCAACACAGAGTTTCTGTGTGTAATAGACCTGACTCCTGACTGTCCTGCATTCGCTCTGTACACCAGGCTGGCCTCAAACTCAGAGATTGGCCTACCTCCCTATTGCTGGGATTAAAGGCATGGGCCACCATGACTGGCTCTTTGAAGAAACATTGCACATGAGAGAAGGAGAAAATAGTCATTCCTAGGGAAAGTTGGCACTGCATAGTCACATATTCTACCTGTATAATCAGGGCCTCTTTTCCAAAAGAAACAGGATCTCTCCTCTCCTCTGCCACACCCTCTCCTGGGGTGTCAGCCCTTGGCACAAGTCAGGCTTTGCTGACTCCTGGGCCACAGTGCCTGTGCCGACCTGCAGCTGCTATTGAGGAAACGGTTCAGATCTCCGTGGATCTGAAACACAGTTCCCTTTCTACGCTCCTTGCTTCGTTCTAGACTTTCTCCCTCCTTCAGTTGTTCACCGTCTAGAAGCTGTGTCCTTCCTATTTGCTACCTGCAGGCCATGCGTGCTGTGGGATAGCTATGGATGCAGCCCAACACAAAATAGACATGCGTAAGACATCACAAGGGGTTTCTTGTGATTGTGTTGTTTTATTTGATTTTGCGGTTCTCAAGCATAACTTTTGTAGGTGACTCTTATTGCAGAGTCAAGAGATTGACCATTCCTGAGGTCTAGAGCTGGCATTGCAGGAGCAAAGTGAAAGACAGTGGGAATGTGCAGTCCCGGGGATGGGGCAGGTGCACTTCTAACTGTCGGGTTCATTTCCTCCACAGGAAATAAATGGTATCACTGCAGCACTGGCTGAAGAACTCTTTGACAAAGGTACGTAACCATTGGCTCTTGAAATGCTGAGGGCCATTTGCCTAGTCTAGTTGGTAGCTGTAGGCCCAGGGTGGCACCGAGCTCCTCTGTTAGATCCTAGCCAGGTCCCACCTCCTTGAGTGTGTCACGTCCCTGGCCCTGGCCCTAGTCCCCAGCCAAGTCTAGCCACCTACTTACCCTGCAGGTGAGGATCCTGCATGCTTAGGATTCTTTATTGTAATTTTTTTGTGGGGATCAGAAGACGACTTGATAGAGTCAGTTCTCTCCTTCCGCCTTTATGTAGGTTCTGGGGATCAAACTCAGGTAGCCAGGCTTATGTAAGGTGAGTGCCTGGGACTCACCTAAGTCTCAGCATCTGCTCCCCATTCACACGGGGCGTCGGAAGGTGGCTGGCATGCTGCCGTCTTGCACCTGATTTGTCCGTGCTTGGAAGTGTTCAAATTGTAATTAGAAGCCAGTCTTGGGTCTTGGTCATATTAACAGTTAACAGCAGTGGAATGAGCACTCCCTGCCAACAGTCTTACATTTAGTATCTTACTGCCTTCCGTGAGCTAAAGGTAAGGACGCTAGTGGGTCAGAGGCTCAGAAGCCTGCTAGAAGGAACAATTTAAGGTCTGAACTCTGGCATCTTAGGTCTATAGTTGACCTTGGTCTCTGCGTATTAGAGGGTGCAGAGTAGTTGCGGCACCGAGAGCGCTGCCTCTCCCAGCCGCCTCTTGGCTCAGTGCCTTAGATCTCACTCTTCAGGCTGGCTCCCCAGTCCCTCAGTCCATCCCTCCCCCTCCCCCCAGCCCCTCAGTCCATCCCTCCCTCCCCCAGCCCCTCAGTCCATCCCTCCCCCTCCCCCCAGCCCCTCAGTCCATCCCTCCCTCCCCCAGCCCCTCAGTCCATCCCTCCCTCCCCCCAGCCCCTCAGTCCATCCCTCCCTCCCCCAGCCCCTCAGCCCATCCCTCCCCCTCCCCCAGCCCCTCAGCCCATCCCTCCCCCTCCCCCAGCCCCTCAGTCCATCCCTCCCTCCCCCCAGCCCCTCAGCCCATCCCTCCCCTCCCCCAGCCCCTCAGCCCATCCCTCCCTCCCCCAGCCCCTCAGTCCACCCCTCCCTCCCCCCAGCCCCTCAGTCCATCCCTCCCTCCCCCAGCCCCTCAGTCCATCCCTCCCTCCCCCAGCCCCTCAGTCCATCCCTCCCTCCCCCAGCCCCTCAGTCCATCCCTCCCTCCCCCAGCCCCTCAGTCCATCCCTCCCTCCCCCAGCCCCTCAGTCCATCCCTCCCTCCCCCAGCCCCTCAGTCCATCCCTCCCTCCCCCAGCCCCTCAGCCCATCCCTCCCCCTCCCCCAGCCCCTCAGCCCATCCCTCCCTCCCCCAGCCCCTCAGTCCATCCCTCCCTCCCCCCAGCCCCTCAGTCCATCCCTCTCCCTCACTGTGTGTCTAGGATGGCCCTGTGTGCAGTGTGAGCTCCGAAGGCTGCTCGTGTGTACCTGAGACTAACTGTGCATGGTGGGTGCCTGTCATAGGTGCTTGCTGCACGCTTATTACCCGTTGGCCTGGTGCTTCTATTCCTTGCTGTGCAGCAGGCTGGGGCTGGGGCTGGACACTCACCCTTGGGTGTGACTGTTACAGGAGAACAGCTTCTGGGAGCCGGCGAGGTCTTTGCCATCAGGCCCTTGCAGCTCTATGCTGTCACGGAGCAGCTGCAGCAAGGAAAGCCTACTTGTGCCAGCGGCGATGCCAAGACTGATCTTGGGCACATCCTAGACTTCACCTGTCGCCTTAAGTATCTTAAGGTAAAGATGCAGCAGTGTCGTTGTAGCATCTCAGGGGGCTCTAATGCTGACAGCTCAGCAGCTGGCAGTATGTGGAAGAGACCAAAGCTGGGGGCCTCAGTGGATGAAGCCTCCTGGTGGTGTTGATACTGTGCCTCTGCCTGTGAGCACCAGGGGGCGCCATGGTCCGTTTTCTGAATACCTTTCAAGTGGCCACGTTCACCCCAGTGCAGAACAGGAGTGGTCGCTACAGCATCCCTAATTTAAGTCCATCTTTGGCCTCAGGTTTCTGGCACAGAAGGACCTTTTGGGACCAGCAATATTCAGGAGCAGCTCCTGCCCTTTGACCTTTCCATATTCAAGTCTCTTCATCAGGTGGAGGTAAGGGCGTGGCTGTGGCAGCCAGTGGTAAGGCTGTTGCTTCCGTGTTTGGCGCTGTGTTGGCAGATCCCGTCCAGGTGAATCAAGCCAGAAAGGGAGGGAGACAGGAAGGAGCCTTTTCTGCCCTCGGCTGGTTGGGAGTTCTCCATCTCTGTGGTAGGCATCAAGAAGTACGAGAGAGCGGCGCACCAGAGCCTAGTTCCCTCTCAGGGAGCAGGAATGTGTGCTGCTCAGGTAGAAGTCACGGAAATCATCCTGAAGGCCAAGTCTTTGTTCTCCAAGTCAAAAGGCGTGGGAGGGTCTTTGCCATCTTTGGCACCCACACCTAACAAGCAGTGCTCTCCACTACTTCCTACTGAATTCTGGTTCTAAACACTAACTTTGCTGTCATTTTTAAAAAGAGAGGGTAATAAACAATAAAAGCTGTTTTTTATGCATGTGTTTCCCGAACATGACTTTGTCTTCGGCTCTACCCAGTGCCCATGAATTCTTGAATAAGTCTCCCCAGCTTCTCTGTGAGATGTGGACGCTTTCGTTCTCAGTTCACAGTGGAGGAAACTGAGGCTTGGGAGGACGAGGAAGTTAGGCCAGAGGACAGTGGGCAGGTTAGATAAGCAGGAGGAAAACATTCCCTTGTTCTCCAGCACTGATTCCCTGCCATGCCTTCTGTGGCTCATAATGAGCCCGAGAGTCCATTTTTTAGACAGGGTTTCACTATGTCGCTCTGGCTGTCCCAGAACTCATTCTGTAGACCAGGCCAGCCTCGAACTCACAGAGATCTGCCTGCCTCTGTTTCCCGAGTGCTGGAATTAAAGGTATGCACCACCATAGCTGGCTAGATGCCTTTCTTGCTAGATGTTTAAAATCTTTATCAGCACTGAGTAGCACTGGGGAATGAAAGAGGCCAGGTTTGAGTCATCTCTTGTCTAGGGATTTGAGTTTGCCTGTGGGATGAACATCTAGTTCCTGGGATTTCTGAGGGGCCAAGATGCCATTTCCGAAACACAGCTGTTGTTTGTTCCAGATAAGTCATTGTGATGCTAAGCAAATCCGAGGACTGGTCACCTCCAAGCCAACTTTAGCCACAATGAGTGTCAGATTCTCAGCAACATCTATGAAGGTAGGCTCTGCTTTTGTGTTTGTCTGATGCTCTGTACTGCTGCTCTTGTCTTGGTGATGATTCTCTGCCTGTGAAGTTATGGCTAAGGGATCTGATGTCTACAGTGGAGACTACTCTGAAAGTGTGGTTGCCTGGCAACACCATGAATTCAGACCTTCAGCCTCTGCAGGTTAAGCCAGGAAAGATATTACTGCATAGCCGAGGCCCATTTGTTCCTGAAGTCACAGGACCAGAACATATTCTAAGCCTTTCAGTTATTTCACAATCGCTCTAAGACACATAAACCAAAGCCCTTTTTTAATGCAAGCTCATTTCCACATGCTAAATGTGCCCCGGCTCTTCCTTAAATTTTGCAACGATAGCGCGTTCTACTTAATGTTGCGTGAGGCCTCAGCAGATGTTCTTATGCAGGAAGTCCTTGTTCCTGAAGCCTCAGAATTTGATGAGTGGGAGCCTGAAGGCGCAACCCTTGAAGGCACTGTGACTGCTGTCATCCCTACGTGGCAAGCGTTGACCACTCTAGACCTGAGTCACAACAGCATCTCTGAGATCGACGAATCTGTGGTATGCCTGCGGCAGCCTCCCAAGGCTTCCAGACCCTAGGATTGACTATTATGTTTTACTTTTTCTGAAGGACCACAAAATTCAGTAATCCACACATTGTTTGTAGTTTTTAAGTTAAATTTCAGAATGGAAATGTTTTAAAATAGTGAGTTAACACATACAACCAAGCAAAGCATATGACTTATGTATGCACTTGATATAACAAACCATGGTAAATGATGGAGTAGCAGAAAACTCACTGCCTAGAACACAGGTATGCCTGTGTCAGAGTGGCATCCTAAAGGCCTTAAGGGTGTGATTCTTTTTGTTACCCTGTGGGGGTGGGCAGGATTAAGAAAGAACAGGTCCCAGTCAGACAACGTTGGTGACACACGCCTTTAATCCCAGCACTCGGGAGGCAGAGGCAGGCGGATCTCTGTGAGTTCAAGGCCAGCCTGGTCTACATAGTGAGTTCCAGGGCAGCCTCCAAAGCCACAGAGAAACCCTGTTTCGAGAAAAAGAAAAAGAAGAAGCACAGGTCCCTTGTCTTTTGGAGGCACTACCATTTGTATTACTTAAGCCAGTTGTTCTGCCCAAACAGTGGGTTCCTTTGGATTTCTGCTGAGTGGGCATTGGGAGATGTCAGTGGCCCTTTGAAGATAAGCCGACATAAAGTGTGTTTAGCCACTGAGTACATGGACTGTGTAGGGTCCTGCCCCCTTGAGTAACACTGGACATTCTTTTCTTTCCTAAGAAACTGATTCCAAAGATTGAATACCTGGACATGAGTCACAACGGAGTACTAGTTGTGGACAATCTACAGGTAATGTCTACCTACTAGTTCCCTAGAGCTCTGCTGTCTTGATGGGCCCAGAGGCAAGCGCACTGACTGACTGTTTCAGTTCCCAAGTGTTAGAAAAGTACAGAGTGATGACGGCAGGCAGGCTGGTTGTCAGTGCTCACCCCTAACCTCCCTGCAAGGGGAACCACTGGGTTACGGCAGGTGAAAGAGGGAGAGGGGCTTTTCTTCCCAGTGCTGTCAGAAAGACTCGCAAAGTGACTGGTCTGGAAGGGCCCAGTAACTTCTGGCAGCCTGACCTGTGCTGCCGCTCTGTGTCTCCTGCTGCTACAGCACCTGTACAACCTTGTTCACCTTGACCTGTCCTACAACAAGCTCTCCTCCCTGGAAGGCGTGCACACCAAACTGGGCAATGTCAAAACCCTAAACCTGGCAGGCAACTTCCTAGAGAGTCTGAGCGGCCTGCACAAACTCTACTCTCTGGTTAATTTGGACCTCAGAGACAACAGGATTGAGCAGGTGAGCCCCAGCCCTGAGAGCCTTGGGATTGTTGGGCCTTGGTGTTCGTTGTCTTAAAGAAAAGAAAACCAATAGCACTCTGTTCACTTAAAAGCAGCCATCAAGTGTGTAGTCTGTGGCTGAGGTGTTAGAGGAAGCAGACAAATGGCACTTGTATCTTGCAGTTGGAGGAGGTGAAGAGCATAGGCAGCCTACCATGTCTGGAGCGAGTGGCCTTGCTCAACAACCCTCTAAGCATCATCCCTGACTACCGGACCAAAGTGCTCTCCCAGTTCGGAGAACGAGCCTCTGAGGTAAGCCCCAGAACCACCAGCAGAGCCCAGAGAGACTGGCAGGGAAATTGGATGGGCAAAGCAAGGTCCTTGTCTGCTTGAGAGGGCATCTTCTTTTCAGATTCGCAAGTCCACTGCTCCCTATGAGAACACTCTCTGCACTTCCCACCCGTCTCCCAGTCACATATTCCCTAGCGGGCTGCATGTCTGCCAGAACTTGAGGCCAGGAAGTCTCCAGGAGCACCCAGGCATAGAGGGAGTATCTTCACCTTTTAAAAAATACACTGGAAGCTGGGTGGTGGTGGCACAGGCCTTTAATCCCAGCACTTGGGCAGCAGAGGCAGGTGAATCTCTGTGAGTTTAAGGCCAGCCTGGTCTACAGATTGAATTCCGGGACAGCCTGTCTTGAAAAACCAAAAGAGAAAAAAGAAAAGGAAAGAAATATATTGGATATTTTAGACAAGGGGCCTAGAATAAGATGCCTACAGTTACTGATTTCTTGGACCGCTGGTAACCCTGATACTTACCTACCAGCTTTGAGATTTCCTTTTTCCCTTTACTGGGTCAGTCCAGCCCTGTGCCTGCTGCCTACTGGCTGTGACAGTACAAGTGCCACCAAGCTAACCAAGAGGGTCCTCACCCGAGTGTGCTCCTTTCCCTCAGCCTCCCACCACTGTCCCCATTCCCATTCTCTCACCAGTCCTTGGAACCTGTCTTCTCCAGATCCCAGCCCATGAGATCTCTGCCGGTCTGTTTGTATCCGTCTCCTGCCCCTCTCTGTCCCCACCAGGTGCCTCTTTGCCCACATTGCCCCTAAGATAATTTCCATAAGATGTCGTCTCTTGCTGGAGATAATTGATTATACTTGTGATTATCCTTCTGAACTCAGGATCTGAGGCAAGAGGGTTGCCCAGAGTTCAAGGCCAGCCTGAGTGATAGAGACCCTGTCTCTAAATAAATAAACAAACAAACAGCAGACAAAAAGATGTCTTCCCTTTTTTGACTCCAGAGCTAGAAAAACCTCCCTGATTCCGTGGTGTCAAGCGCCTGTCCAGTGCTTTTGCTCTGTGCTTCTGTGGCCTTTCTGCCTGCACGCCAGTCCACAGCTCTCCAGAACAGGGCTCCTGCCTTCTTCCATGCACTAATATCTCCGCCCCACTGGTCCCTTGTCCAGAAGGGCCTCCTCTTGCTCCTTGACAGTCAGTTCTGCTGTGCTCTGCCTTGAGTAGAACACAGCACATTCACTCCCTTCTCCTAGTCCCCAAGAGGCTGGTGCCCCCTCTTAGTGGCGAGGGCCTCCAAGGGCCCTCCAAGGATAGTTACATTGTGTTAAGAGCCTCCCTTAGCCTCCAGTATCTTCTTGGGGCCTCTAGGGTGCTCAGACCCATTTTCAGCAGGATCCCACCGTTCTCCCAATGTGCTTCAGCCGTCTCCGTGCTGTAAGCGGCTCTCTGGGCTCTGTAGGTCTGTCTCGATGATGCAGCGACCACAGAGAAAGAGCTGGACACCGTGGAAGTGCTGAAAGCCATTCAGAAAGCCAAGGACGTCAAGTCCAAACTGAGCACCACAGAAAAGAAGGTAAGCTTTTTAGGGTGGGGGGAGTCGGCTAAGGATGGAACTTTTCTTGGGGAAACTGAGCCATGGAATCCCTCATGGTATCTGATCATTAACACCCCCCTCCCCATGAAACCTCAGGCTGGGTCCTCAAGTGGTACGGTGATGGTACCTGCTATTCGATTGTATGAGGTAATTTTCAGCATCCTCTGGAGAGATGTTGAGCTCTTTCCTCCCCATCCCTGACCCTAGCACTTCTGTTCTTCCTGACCTTTTTCTCTCTCCTGGACTGATTGAGTACTCTTCCTCAGGTTGATGACCCCCGGCTCCCAGCTGCTCCCTGCGTCAGACCCAGCAGCTGCCCTCCCACTACAGCTCCCACCTCAGCCTCCCTGCCTCAGCCCATCCTCTCCAACCAAGGTAATCATGACTAGATCTTCCTCCTCGCTGAGCTGCTCAGTGCTGCCTGGACCGAGGGCAGGACTAGGCTTGAGAGAGAAAGGTTGGCACTTGCTTTCTACGGGTCAGGCACAGGGAGGGTGGCACTTTCTGCAGGCTGGCTCCTTGGGTGGCACATGGCAGGGAGGTGCCCGGCCTGATTTCAGCGCTGTTGTTTGCTTAGGACTCCCTGTCCCTTTACATCACATCCCATTCCTGTAGGCTACCGTAGGGCGTTGGACAGGGAGCTAAGAATGCCCTTTGAGCAGGCTTAGGCTGTTGGCTCATGAGGACCTGTACCGTGGGCAGGTCAGCTCCTAGAAAGTCAGGCCTTGTTACTTTCAGCTCTAGATCCCTGTGTGGAGAGCTTACTTATATTGTTGTGATGCCTCTAGCACTCAAGGTATGGCCAAGCCCCAGAATACTGCATTGATGGGTCCAAGATGGGCTGTCTGTCTCCATGGACCCATGGAAGAGCAGCCCCTTTCATCCGCCTATTGTGTGAGCATTTTCAAAGGGCTTTCACCTCTGAACCCAGGCATCCTCGGAGATGAGTGAGTGAACCAGGTACCATGAGCGTGGCTGCCGGCCTGACCCCAACGGAAGAGGGGCAGGTATGCCGTCCCAGGTGGAGCTGAGGCTCGGGACACACAGGAAAGAACACCACCCACCCAGGCTCCTGGAGACGCAGAACTTGGTGTGAGGTCTTGAGAAACTAGTATGGCCCTAGGTTTTAAGAGCCAGAAATGTATTTCTACTCGTTGACCTGGTGACCCACTGGAGGAAACTTTTCTAGGGAGAGCTGAGATCCTGGGGAAAGGGAAGTTCTCCCCTCTAGCAGCACCAAACTGTCATGCACACCGAGAGCAGGGAAAGGCCGTGGTGGCGTAGAACCCTCCACAGCGGTCTGGTCAGGGCCAGAAGCATGAGCTACAAAGAGACAAGGCCAGAGCCCTGTGCACAGCAGCCCGGAGTCACCACGGCGGTGTGTAGGAAGGAAGCCTTGAGAATCCAACAGTGGAGGGAGGCGCCAGCACATTTGCCCGTTGGCTTTGTCAAACTTTTGACAAAAAAGTTTTATTTGTTTTTCCATAAAAGAGGAAGAAAATTTGAGTCTCTGTGAGGAAGTTTCCCTGACCTCTCTTCAGGTCCCCACAGTATTAGTAATACTACATAGAAAGCATGCAGCCATAGACCTCTGGGGACAGGGTGATATTAAGGTCCCAAGGTCCAGGATATAACCTGTTCTAGCATTTGTTGAATCAGTACCACGTGCGTATATGTGTGTGTGTGAGTGTGCGTGTGTGCATGCACTTGTATGCATGTATGAGTGCATACATTTGTGTGAGTGCGTGTGTGTGTGTGAGTGCATGTGTTTGCATGTGTTTGTGTGTGAGTGTGCGTGCATGTGTGAGTGTGCGGGCGTGCGTGCATTGTGTGTGTGCGGGCAAGTGAGAAGGAACATGACCAAAAGCAGATCCTGGCTTGCGAGGAGGAATGGGTGTCTCCTCCAGGCTGCAATTGCCAGCAGCCCTCTGCCTTGAGGAGGTGGAGTCTGCGGCCTGAGGCAACCCTCATCTACCCCTTCCTTGGTGCCCTTTCACCCCTGGGTGCTCTGTAGTCTTTCCCCTTTCCCCAGTCACTGGATACTGAGAGATGTTGTCAGAGATTTACACCTCTTATAATAAAACTGCAGTGATGTCTTTGTGTGCACATCTCTTTCCTTTGGGTGAGAAGTGAGAAAGGTCAAGGGCTGTCTGAGGGCTCTTGATGTCCCTGTCCCATCTGCTGAGTGGCCCTTTCTGACCACTTGTTTGTACAGGCCATGGTGCAGGAAGGAAGTGGACAGACTGTCCTGTCTGCATTTCCTCGTGCCCAAACAAGGCTGGCCGGGGGGGGGGGGGGTAGTGGCAGGAAAATACTGCTCTTTCTTTTTGTCCTCACAAATGTGAGGCACCCACATATATGTGTGTTTGATCATGTGTCACTGGGACTGACCTGGGTGAGAACAGCTTTCCTGAATTAGCTTTACTGATTTACCCTGCTGGCTCTCAGTCTGACCTATAGAGAACACACTTGTGAGGAAACTGGGCACTTGAGCCCTACCTGAAGGGGGTGCTATCCAGAAAACACTAAGCCTCTGGTCATCCCAGAGCAGCGGGAGATTGTGGCTGATAGGGGCCAATGTCCACAATGCCAGAGTTCATTCTCCAGCCCTGTTGGGCTGAGAGAAGTCTGTTGTAGAAGTGACCAGAAGCAGGCCGGCAGCTGAGTTCATGTCCCATCTTCCTGGCCATAAGATCTCAAGCAACATGCAGCCTCTTGTAAGCTGTTTTCTCAGCCATGAAGTGGATACATCCTACTTAACCGATTCTGAGACGCACACATTTCCACCCTATGACTTCTCTGAAATCGAGATGCGTCTTTCAGTCAGTGACGTCCCCTAGTTGCTGTCAGCCAGCTGGTAATCGTGATGGAGTCGTGAGAGAACCTCCCGTGGACATCTGCTATGACCAAGATGGCACCTCATCCACAGATGTTAGATTTGATGAAATGTGGTAAACGACAAGAGGTGCGCATGAGCTGATGCTGGGGAGGTGCTTAGCCCTGCTAAGGCGCAGCAGGAGCGGTCGGTAGTGGCTCCTTCCTTCATCCCGAGCTGGGGTTCCAGGACGGTGCCTCTAGGAACGTGGAGCCACCTGGGGAGAGACTGTGTGCCTATGGAAGAACAAGCTAGAACAGTTTGGGAGTACTTTTAGGACTGCAGCAGACGTGGTACCAGAGATGAGTCTTGAAGGATGGTTTGGATTAAGATATTTCAGGAGCAGGGGCAACAAAAGCAAAGGCTTTGGCGCTTGGTGCATGGCTATGTGCTTGCCCTGTCCTCCCTCTCGTCCTCTGCAGCTTAGCTTCATGGGGTATCTGAGCTTGGGCTGCCTGCCTACCCTTTGGGCAGAGAACCTGGGCTGTGTGAGTAGCCCTGTCCTAGGCGGCAGGCAAGCTGAACAAGATGTCATGTGGGCTCTGAGGCACAGTACAGTCCTCTAGTTGGGCCGTGGTGCCTGTTGAGCAAAGCCAGGCTGTGGAGGCAGGACTCTTCCAGACCAGCTAGCTACAGTTTGAAGCATGTTTTTGTTGTTGTTGTTGTTGTTGTTTGGTTGTTTTTTAAGTTGGGAGGAGGGGTTCCCCTTAACCAAGTTGCAAACTGGAGTGAGATAATGGATCCAAACAGGCAATCCATAAAATACCCTTAGTATAGCTTAAATATCCAGTGCATTCCAAAGTACATGAGTAGGACTGCTACTACCCATAGGACAGTCAGCGGGGCACCCTGGTAAAGCAGCCTGTGGGTTCAGGCCCCAGCTGTGTTCAGCAAACCCTGGGAGAATCAAGTCTGCAAGCCTGGCTTCTTGGTAATTAGTCCTATGCTTGGAATTTGCCAGATAGGAGCACGGAGTCACTTGTAGTCCTTTTTTTGTACAGTGTCCCAATATTTCCAAGCTGTTGATCAGTATATCACCAGACTGCTTTCCTGGCAGGTTGACCAGCTTGTACTCCAGTGCCCACCTTTTCTAGTAAGGCTGGGTCAGGCTCTGTGCTCTAACCATGCCATATAAGAGGAAAGCAGTCTCCTATTTCAACTTGTCTTTCTTTGTGTAAGCCTCGTTGTGTGTGTTGTATCTTTTGGTCATCCTTCCGTGCCGTTCCTGTTCCTATTCTCTGCATTCTCACAGAGATTTCAAACAACTTGTTCCCCTTTTTGTAATCTGTAAGAAGAGATCCTTGGCCAGGCAGTGGTGGCGCACGCCTTTGATCCCAGCTCTCGGGAGGCAGAGGCAGGCGGATCTCTGTCAGTTTGAGGCCAGCCTGGTCTACTGAGCGAGTTCCCAGACAGCCTCCAAAGCTGCAGAGAAACCCTGTCTTGAAAAACCAAAAGAGAGATAGAGAGACTTTAGGATAGGGGTCTTTGCTTTTCTCTGTACATGTCTCTGTGTGTGCACTGTTTTATCTTAGTCTGGAGAGTGCACCTCTAAGGGTTTGGTCTTCATGACCCCCTCCCTGGTTAGTCTGCTCAGGAAGCCTCTCCCAGACAGTAGAGAGCAGCCAATTGCTCCATCCTGAGTTGCTGAGGAGTTTCTGAATTACTGCATTTTATTCTGTGACCCATGTGATGATTTGGGGTCTGGCTAGTGGCTGGCCATGAGCCCATGAGCCCAAGGCCTAGCCTCTTGTTGAACAGCCGCTCTTCCCGCCCGCCCGCCTACCCCGTCTCTACAGGAATCATGTTTGTACAGGAAGAGGCCCTGGCCAGCAGCGTGTCATCCACTGACAGTCTACCCCCCGAGGACCGGCCCATTGCCCAAGACTGCTCTGACTCATTGGAATCTATCCCCACAGGACAGGTAACATACCCTTGCCTCCTCCTGGGTGGGGACTGTTCCCTCAACCGTGATGCTGCCGTCTGGCATTGTTCACAGTGGGATGGGACCTGGAGGGGGACCTGGGGTACTGTGCATGACATGCAGTCTTTCTCTGATTGGGTCATTTTCATAGACCAAGTGGGTAAGGGTGTGAGTTTGGCCTCCTCTGCCCCATGAGAACAGGCAATGCTGGGGCCCTGAGGGATGGGGAAGGTGGGCGTTCTTTGAACACATGTGAGCTGGCTGCCCAAGGGGAATCTCCCCTAATGCCTAGCACCCCAAGACTTCTCTGTCCCTTCCCACATGTCACCGTGGTGGTCTGAACAGTGTGACTGTAACCCTTTTTTGTAGCTGTTGTCCAGGCTTCTGGGACCCACCTCTGTCCCTGGAAAAAAGAAGAGGAAAATGAGTGTCTGGTGCTGTGTGCTCCATGCCTGCAACCTCCCTGCTCCTTTATTCTTGCACAGCAGAGTCACGGTCATGTGATACTAAGACAGTTTGCAGAGGCTTTGTCTGTCCCCAGTACTCTGTCTCAAGGCTATAGAAAAAGAGACAGAAAGCACTGGGGACTTGTCAGGACCACCTCTCACCGTGTGCACTGCCTGGACCCATGGGTGGCACAAAGACCCCACCCCCACCCCCAGATGCCAGACCTCCATGGAAACAGGGTTGGGTGTGTAAGTGCAGTCGGATGGATGGGAAAGCCAGCCCTACTGAATATTAGCAAGATAGCCAAATGAGCGTTTCCCCAGAGTTCCAGAGCACACCCAGGGTGGAGTATGGAGGTGCGAGGCAGCACCCAGTCAGAGCCCAGGAGTAGCTGCAGCAGCTGAGGCTCACTGTTCTCTCTTGTCAGGTGGCTTCGGAAGACTTAAGGGATGTACCAGGAGCTGTTGGTGGTGCAAGGTAAGGGAGAGAGCCGTAGTCTCTGCTGCAGGCTTTTGTTAGTAGCCTGTTTGTAGAAGTCTCTTTTCTCCACCACAGTTGAGAGGAGCTCTGTCTGTTTCTCCTCAGCTGTGTAATTGACATTATTTTGCACTAGAGATTAGCAAACCAAAGCCATTTTGGGCCACTGTTGTTTTATACTGCAAGTCAAGGATAAGCAGTCTCTCTCTCTCTCTCTCTCTCTCTCTCTCTCTCTCTCTCTCTCTCTCTCTCTCTCTCTCTCTCTCTCCCCCCCTCCCTCCCTCCCTCCCTCTCTCTCTCTCTCTCTCTCTCTCTCTCTCTCTCTCTCTCTCTCTCTCCCTCCCCCCTCCCTCCCTCCCTCCCTCTCTCTCTCTCTCTCTCTCTCTCTCTGTTTGCTGGTGGAGCTTTTTGTTGTTTTTGATGGGGTTTCACTATGTAGCTATAGCTGACCTCAAATTCCTGGCACCTCCTTCTGTCAGGGCCACAGAACTCAGCCACTCCACCTTGCTTGATTTTTGTTATTGTTGCTTTGTTTTTGTTTTGTGTTTGTCTTTTGCCTTTGAAACAGGGCCTCCTCTCTCTGTAGCCCTGGCTGCCCTAGAACTTGTTTTGTAGACTGGGCTGGACTCGAACTCACAAAACTGGCCTGCCTCTGCCACCTATTGGCTGGGATTAAAGGAGTATACCACCATGCCTAGCTGCTGCTGCTTTTTGTTGTTACCGTGTTTTACAATTTGTTTGTTTTTCTGGACATGGTGGTATACTTCTTTAATCCCAGCACTCAAGAAGCAGAAGCAGGCACTTCTCTATAGGTTCGAGGATAGTCTGGTTTACATAGCAAGTTCCAGAACCGCCAGGACTACATAAAGAGATCCTGTCTCAAAACAAGCAAACAAAGTTTATTTTAATTTTAAGAGTGTGAGTGTTTGCCTGCATGTGTGCATTTGTGCACGACATGTATGCTTGTTGCCTTTGGAGGCCAAGATAGGACATCACATCTCCTGCAACAACAGATGGTTGTTAGTGTGCATGCTGAGTACGTTTAACCCTAAGCCACCTATCGAGCCCCTGATTATTACATTCTTAAATTCCTGTTTAAGCAAAATTATGTGGATAGGGCCAACACACACACATCATGAAACATTAGCTCCTTGGCCCTTTACAGAAGTCAATATTTACTTATTTATTTGTTTGTTTATTTTTGAGGCAGGATCTCTGCATAGCCCTGGCTGTCCTGGGATCCACTACATAGACAGGCTGGCTTCAGAACTCACAGAGATCTACCTGTCTCTGTCCAGTCCTGGCATTAAAGGCTTGCTCCACCTTGCCTGTCTACAGAGGCATATTTCTAATTCTTGTTCATGCGAGGGTTGTAGAGGGCAAAAGAGGCTGGGATTTAAATTTGATGGTCCTGAGACCCACCCAACTTGATTTACTGCCCTGGAAAATCAGAATGTCCACAAAGATAGTCATTTTTCAACAAAGGGATTTACACCTTGGAGTATTTCATTGCCCCTTTGACATCTGGAGGCATCCGAATGACAGAAATCTATGTAATGCTTTTGTTGTGGAAGCCAGATTGGTTTGTGCAGGCTGTGGTCGGTAGCTGTGATCTGAGTCTGTAGAAGCCTGGACTCGAGCTGGCCACCCATCCTGATGGCAGCCACTTGAACAGGCTCAGCTGTTTGAGAGGCTCAGGAGACCCATGGGTTGGCTTCCCAGGGTCAGGGTACTATAGCAGACTAGGGGATAGAATGTCCCTGTGTCCCTAACCCAGTGTCCTCTTGCGCAGCCCAGAGCATTCGGAGCCAGAGGTTCAGGTGGTGCCTGGGTCGGGCCAGATCATCTTCCTGCCTTTCACCTGCATTGGCTACACGGCCACCAACCAGGACTTCATCCAGCGCCTCAGCACGCTCATCCGCCAGGCCATTGAGCGGCAGCTCCCGGCCTGGATTGAGGCCGCCAACCAGAGAGAGGGGGCCCAGGGCGAACAGGGCGAGGAAGAGGAAGAAGAGGAAGAAGAGGAGGATGTTGCTGAAAACCGCTACTTTGAAATGGGGCCCCCAGACACAGAGGAGGAGGAGGGCAGTGGCCAGGGAGAGGAGGACGAGGAGGAGGAGGAGGAGCGCCTGGCTCTGGAGTGGGCCCTGGGCGCTGACGAGGACTTCCTGCTGGAGCACATCCGCATCCTCAAGGTGCTGTGGTGCTTCTTGATCCACGTGCAGGGCAGCATCCGCCAGTTCGCTGCCTGCCTCGTGCTCACTGACTTCGGCATCGCCGTCTTCGAGATCCCACACCAAGAGTCACGAGGCAGCAGCCAGCACATCCTCTCCTCCCTGCGTTTCGTCTTCTGCTTCCCACACGGCGACCTCACTGAGTTTGGCTTCCTCATGCCGGAGCTGTGTCTGGTCCTCAAGGTGCGGCACAGTGAGAACACACTCTTCATCATCTCGGACGCTGCCAACTTGCATGAGTTCCATGCCGACCTGCGCTCCTGCTTCGCACCACAGCACATGGCCATGCTGTGCAGCCCCATCCTCTACGGCAGCCACACCAGCCTGCAGGAGTTCCTGCGCCAGCTGCTCACCTTCTACAAGGTGGACGGTGGCTGTCAGGAGCGCAGCCAGGGCTGCTTCCCTGTCTACTTGGTCTACAGCGACAAGCGCATGGTCCAGACGGCTGCGGGGGACTACTCAGGCAACATCGAATGGGCCAGCTGCACGCTCTGCTCGGCGGTGCGGCGCTCCTGCTGTGCGCCCTCTGAGGCCGTCAAGTCCGCCGCCATCCCCTACTGGCTGCTGCTCACTCCCCAGCATCTCAACGTCATCAAGGCTGACTTCAACCCGATGCCCAATCGTGGCACCCACAACTGCCGCAACCGCAACAGCTTCAAGCTTAGCCGGGTACCGCTCTCCACGGTGCTGCTGGACCCCACTCGCAGCTGCACCCAGCCGCGGGGTGCCTTTGCTGACGGCCACGTGCTCGAGCTGCTGGTGGGCTACCGCTTTGTTACCGCCATCTTTGTCCTGCCCCACGAGAAGTTCCACTTCCTGCGCATCTACAATCAGCTGCGGGCCTCACTGCAGGACCTGAAGACTATCGTCATCTCCAAGACCCCTGCAGCTGGGCCAAGATCCCGAAGCCCCCTTGCGAAAGGCCAGTCTGCCAAGAGCAGGGCCAGGTGAGACTAGGGCAGGCTCCCGGGGCCTGGGACGTGGGATTGGCTTGGGTGTGATCTCTGAGCATTTGTGCTTGTGGGAGTCCCCTTTACTCTCCCTCTCCTCTGGCTTCCCTTCAACACTGACCACCCTGAGCCGATGCTCCAGACGCCCAGAGACGGCAAAGCAGCCCAGGCAAGCCAGTCTCACGGTGTCCCTGATCCTGCCCGTGTCCTCTCAGAGGCCCAGGCTTGGTTTGTGCTTGTCCTCCTCCTCCTCCACCAGGGGCCTCATCCAGGGGCCGACTGCCAGCTAGGGACTGCTCCAGGTACCCCACCCACTCCAGCTCCCAAAGCCCATAGCTTGGCCCCACAGGAAAACCCTTCTCAGAAAGGACTGAGTTGTATCTAACTTGGGAGCCCCTCCCAAAGGACCTTCTAAAGACCAGAGTGTGCGGGTAGGTCTTCCTTTCTGCCGGGGAGATTGAGGGACTTAGAGGGAAGGAGCTGGCAGCTAGAGCCTGTTCTCACTTGTCCCTCCCCTTGGATTTCTTGTCAGTGGCCCTGCTCTCTGTTGCAGAATTTCCCCACCTAGGGGCGGGGCGAGATTCCAGTAGTTCACATTCACTGTCCTGGCAGAATGCTGAGACCCTGTCTTCATCTCTGACTCTCTTTAGCATCTCCTGGGTCTACCCTCTCCCCTCAGTCATTACTCAGCTGATAATCCAAAGGGCTTTCAACTCCTATAGCTGAATCCAGTGCCCCCCTTACACCTGTACAGCAGTGGCTGTCCCCAAATCTTCCCTTACCACATGAAGCTTGGTTGGTATGCACCTTGTCCTCCTCCTAAGCTACCACAAGCCTGGCTTGCTCCTGGTACTGCTGCAGAAACCAGGCTCCTGAAGCTGTATCTACACTCCCATGACAGCAGAAGAGCAACTTCGTGGGTATTTGACCCCAGGGACTGCAGCAGTTGAACCGGATCTGATGGATGGAGAGGGCAGCATCCCAAAGACCCCACCCCTCTCATTGGGTGGGGCAGAATGCTGGAGACTCGCAGCTCCCATGGGCTTTAGGTTTCTGAACCTTAGCAGGTCTTATGACTGGGATAGACCAGTGACATTCTAGCATGGCCATGCACAGTGGGGGCTGAGGAGACTGAGTGCCTGGGCTACCTAGAGGCACCCCAAAACAGCCAAAGAGCACTTCAGTTTTGCTTCCCCTGCTGCTTGCATATACATACCCAGGTTCTCACTGGGTTCTTGCGTAAGTACTCCAGGGTGGCATTTCTAACACATCTGACACCTTGTACCCAAGTAATAACCCTGAAGTGGTCTTTCTGAGGCCTCTGAGTGCTTTCAAGACGAGCTGGAAAGATGGTTGAGTGTCCAGTACCTACTGTCTCCATCTCCAGTTCCAGGGGATCTGGCCCCTTCACACCCGTGCACATGAAATAAAGTTAAATTTTAGAAAATAAAAAGAGCTTTCAGTCCATGAGCCAAAGCCTTTATTACAGGTGTATGGCTGGCTCAGCCCTAAGGTGGTCTGCTCTGCCCACATCTGTTCAGGAAAAGGGCCTACCGAGTGGAGGTTGCGCACGCCTTTAATCCCAGCACTTGGAAGACAGAGGCAGGCGGATCTGTGAGTTTGAGGCCAGCCTAGTCTGTAGAGTGAGTTTCAGGACAGCCAAGTCTACACAGAGAAACTCTGTCTTTAAAAAAAAGAAAGAAGCCGGGTGTTGGTGGCGCACGCCTTTAATCCCAGCACTCGGGAGGCAGAGGCAGGCGGATCTCTGTGAGTTCGAGACCAGCCTGGTCTACAAGAGCTAGTTCCAGGACAGCTTCCAAAGCCACAGAGAAACCCTGTCTCGAAAAACCAAAAAAAAAAAAAAAGAAAGAAAGAAAAAAGAGCCTGATACTGTCCCTCTGCTATGTGGTTCTCCCTTCAAGCACCTGGTGATGAAGTAGATCACCCAGCGGCCCAAGGGTGGCACTTGGTGACAGTTGACATCACACTCTGATGTGCACATGTCGTAAGTCTCTGTGGGGTCCACATGTTTATTTGGCATTTCTTGGGTCACTGGGCAATGTAGTGGTGAGCAGCGACCACGCGTGGCTCCGGCTCCGGCTGCAGTCCCAGCAGATGCCTTGGCTCCAGCTCCAGCTCCAGCGGAGGCCCAAGCAGAGGCTCCAGCTCCAGCGAAGGCTCCATCTCCAGCGGAGGCTCCAGCTCCATCTCCAGCGGAGGCTCCAGCTCCAGCGGAGGCTCCTTCTCCAGCGAAGACTCCAGCTCCAGCGGAGGCTCCGGCTCCAGCGGAGGCCCAAGCAGAGGCTCTAGCACAAGCTGAGGCCCCTGCCCAGTACCCAAGCGAGCGCCTGATCCAGTCCACATCTGAGGAGAATCAGATCCCCCCCCACTTGCCAGTCTGCCAGTCACTCCAGCACATTGCCAGTCTTCGGGGACGTGCCATCATTGACCTCTTCCACAGCAGCATTGCCGAGGTATTGGCCCAGCCGTTGGTCTTGCTGGCTGGCGCTTGTGTGGAGAGAGGTGTGAGCTCTGCTGTGGTACCAGTCAGTGTTGAGGGTAGGCGGGGCTTGTGAGGGGACATCCTCGGGTCCTCAGTTTCATCTGCTCACAGGATTGAGGGTCTGAGTCACCAGGTCTGCCACTCCACCCCCAGCCGGGTGTACCCTCTGTCATATGTGACTCTGTAGCCCTGGTGCAGATATATACCCCCATGCCTGTCTCCTTTTCTTACCTCTTCTCTGCTCTGAGTTGATTTGATAAATGAGATGAGCTTCCTGTCCCTGGTCATCCAAGGCCATGAGCTGTTCCCAGGAGTCAGCACAGTAGCAGGGCTGACACAAACAGGGAACGTGCTGCCTGGAGTCTGCACTCGAGTGTCGTCTGGGAGGAAGGAAGGTATGGCCTGCCCCACCCCATTCTCCTGCATTCCCTTTGCCCAGGTTGAGAACGAGGAGCTGAGGCATCTGCTGTGGTCATCAGTGGTGTTCTACCAGAGCCCGGGGCTGGAAGTGACGGCCTGTGTGCTGCTCTCCACCAAGGCTGTGTACTTCGTGCTGCATGACGGCCTCCGCCGCTACTTCTCTGAACCACTACAGGGTAGGCACTCCAGCCTGCAGGGTCTCGGAGCAGGGGCAGATTAAAAACCAGCTGGACTTAGAGGCCCTTATCTGAGGAAGGGGTGACAACAGTATTTCCCTCTTAGAACTGTCCTAAGGACCTAAGGTCAAATATGGATGTGCCATGCCAGGGAATGAATGCCTGGGAACTAGCTGTCACATGCAGGAATCTCAGTGGGAGCCTCATCCAACAATGTGGTGACTCTGCTGAGCTAAGCTAGATGAGGCTGACAGCCCACACCCAGTCTCACTGAAGTCCTTCATATATGCAGGTGGTTGTGGCTCCTTGCCAGGCAACATTCCTGCTGGACATGTTTAACCATGGCTTCTCTCCGTCACAGATTTCTGGCATCAGAAAAACGCAGACTATAACAACAGTCCTTTCCACATCTCTCAGTGCTTTGTGTTCAAGCTCAGTGACCTGCAGTCAGTCAATGTTGGCCTCTTTGACCAGTACTTCCGGCTGACGGGTAAGTGACCCAATGTGTTTGATCCCAGTTTGGGTGAAGGCCAGTGTCGCCAGTGGGCTCCCACCTCGAACATGCGGGTGGATTATCACTGGACACCTTATCTCCACTCACAAGCCAGCTACCCGAGTGGGAGGAAGCAGCTTGAGGAACTGCTGAGGCGGCAGGATTCCCGCCCCAGTGTTTATAACGGGGAGGCTGTTCAGGGAGCAGCCAACCTGAATGGCAGCAGAGTGGGCCCTGGGCCTGGGGGCAGGATGTTTCTGACTCACACTTCCTGAAGAGAGAAAGCTAAGCTCCTTCCCTAATGCCTCTATCCCCTTCCAGAAAAATGTCTCAGCCCTTCCTGCCTGAGATATGGCCACTTCCCTGGGTCCACGATGCCCTCCCACATGGACCCTCAGGGTTCTGGTTTGCAGGGGTGGGGTGAGGGTGGTGGCCTGTACCTGTGACCAGCCCCTTCTTGTGCAGGCTCCTCCCCGTCGCAGGTGGTCACATGCTTGACCCGGGACAGCTACCTGACACACTCCTTCCTCCAGCACCTCATGCTGGTGCTCTCCTCGCTGGAGCGCACACCCTCACCCGAGCCTGCTGACAAGGACTTCTACTCAGAATTTGGGGACAAGAACACAGGTACCCCCGTCCACCCCAGAGCCCTGACGGCCTCGGTTTTTCCTTCTCAGCGTAGCTGGCCAGGGCCCTCTGGGCCCCTCCATGACAGAGACTCCCCCCGGGAGTGCCGTCCAGCAGATCTCTCTCAGCCCAGGCTTTGGAGCACCCTCAGCTACCTCTCATTTAGAATCTAGGGTAGGAAGGGGCTGCTGCTTCCAACCCCACCACAGGCCAGCTCAGGCTGCAGCCCTGGTGTCCTTTCTTCCTGTAGGAAAAATGGAGAACTATGAGCTGATCCATTCCAGCCGCGTCAAGTTCACCTACCCCAGTGAGGAAGAGGTTGGGGACCTGACCTATATCGTGGCACAGAAGATGGCTGACCCTGAAAAGGCTCCCGCCCTCAGCATCTTGTTGTATGTACAGGCCTTCCAGGTGATCACACCACAGCCTGGACGGAACAGGGGCCCACTGCGCCCCAAGACACTCTTGCTCACCAGTGCTGAGATCTTCCTCCTGGATGAGGACTACATCCACTACCCATTGCCTGAATTTGCCAAAGAGCCACCACAGAGGGATAGATACCGGCTGGATGATGGCCGCCGCGTCCGCGATTTGGACCGGGTGCTCATGGGCTACCAGCCCTACCCACAGGCCCTTACTCTAGTGTTTGATGACACGCAGGGTCACGACCTCATGGGCAGTGTCACCCTGGACCACTTTGGGGAGATGCCAGGTAATCCCGGCAGGGCTGGCCAGGGCCGGGAGGTCCAGTGGCAGGTGTTTGTCCCCAGTGCCGAGAGCCGAGAAAAGCTCATCTCACTGCTGGCACGGCAGTGGGAAGCCCTTTGCGGCAGGGAGCTGCCCGTGGAGCTCACCGGCTGATGCACGCCACGGCAGCCCTGGCCGCCCGCCATGCGCAGTCTAGTGTGGTAGGAAGCCTTGTGTGCGCTTTTTAAGTGTGTCCCCCCAGACTCCTTACATCGATTGCCCGCAGCCCCACACAGCTCCCACAGAGAATGTGAACATGTGTGTCGTCCTCTCTTCCTCATGCTGGGAAGAGGTGTGCCAGCCCACAGGAGTGTCCTTGCCGTCAGCTCCCCCTGTGTTGCCTGCTTCTGAAGTGGCATGGCCAGGCACACAGCGTTGTATTGTCCGTGATTGTGATGCTGGTGTAACGCGTGGCTGGCGCTGTGAACCCGGTGACCTCCACGTCCCTCCCTGAAGTGTTGAGTCCAGTCCCTTGTTGCTCTTGCTGTCGTTGTGGGCGTTTTGCTGCTAATTACGAAGCTGGTAGCAGAATATACATTGGAAACTCCCGTTTTGTGGGCTTTTCCAAAATGGAGGCCTCCTCGGGTCCAGACACGAGGAAGTCGTATGGGGAGTTCCCAGGCCATGGGGCCAAGAGGAGCCGGTACAGGGGACCTAGAGCTGCCAGCACCAAGCGTAATTCCTGTTGCCTATTTTCTCTATTCTAATAAAGCAGAGTTTGACACAGTCTGAGTCTTCTAAGTCAGAGATAACTGGGGTCCCAAAAGGACTTAAGCCAAGGGCATGCATGGTCAGTACGGAGGAGAGTAGAAGGGAGGGGGAGAGGTGTGAGGGGAACCTCTGGATGGGGCCATGCTGGGTTAGGGTCAGATCTGGAGCCTAGGCAGGGAGTGGTCCATGCAGCTCTGCAGGTCATCACTTGCTCAGGGTCTAGCCCCACTTGAAACGTAAACCCAAGGGTGAGGCCTGGATACGGGTTGCTGATATGTGTGGGTCCGATGCCTGTGAATGGCAACAGGAATAGAAGCAGGCGGTGGACAGCGGCGAGGAGAGCCCCCTGCCTGTCTCTGCCTGAACTCATGCCAGAGGGTTGGGGGTTACCTCGGGGCCCCGCCAAGTAGGACCTACAATTTCATGGTGGTCAGCCCCTGTGTCTACTACCGTTGCTCCTCCCATTCCCTGCTTACCTCATCTGGGCCAGGTAGTAGGCTGGGCTGCGGGAGAGGTAAGGTGGACTTACAGCGGCTGCACCTGAGTTCTGCTCTGCTGCTCCCCAGTTTGCCTACTTGTGGGGTTTTTTGTTGTTGTGGTGGTGGTGGGTTTTTTTGTTTTGTTTTGGTGCCATCAGAATGGAATCCCAGCATGGTGAGCCTGCTGCCCTCAGAAAGGGTGTGGGTGAAGGAAAGAGTCCCTCGGGACAAGGGCTTCTCACCCTCAACACCCTCTAGCCAGACCTCCCGAGATCAGCCTAGCCCTCCACCAAGGAAGAACAGGAAAGCATGTAGCCCTGGATTGCAGTCCCAGGACCACACAATGTCCATTCACAAATGCAAGGGCATGATGACACACGCTGCCTTAGTTAGGGCTTTACTGCTGGGAAGAAACTCGGTGACTGCAGCAACTCTTTTTTTTTGGGGGGGGTTGAGACAGGGTTTCTCTGTATTGATTTGGAGCCTGTCCTGGAACTCACTCTGTAGACCAGACTGGCCTCGAACTCACAGAGATCCACCTGCCTCTGCCTCCCGAATGCTGGGATTAAAGGCGTGCGCCACCAACGCCCGGCTTGACCGCAGCAACTCTTATAATGGAAAACATTTAACTGGGGCTGGCTTACAGTTCAGAGGTTTAGTCCACTGTCGTAGCAGGAAGCACGGTGGCATGCAGGCAGACGTGGTCCTGGAGAGGTAGTTGAGAGTTCCTCATCAGGATCCACAGATACCAGGGAGAGAACTGTGAGACCTCGAAGCCTACCTCCAGTGACACACTTCCTTCAACAAAGCCATATCTCTTAATAGTGCCACACACTATGGTCGGTTCTATAGGGGGGTCGTTTTTACTCCAACAATCACACACACACCTATAACCCATTAGGTAATAGGTAAGCAAGAGGCTGAGGCAGGATGATGATGAGATCCCAGCCAGCCTGGAGTACACAGCAAGACACCCCCCCACCCCGTCTTTAATAAATAATAAAAAAGCTGGGCTTGGTAACTCAGGCCTATAATCCCAGCACTTGGAAGGCCAAGAGTCTAAGGCCATCCTGAACTGTACTGTAAATTCTAGATAAGCTTGTCTCAGAGGAAGGGGCTGGGGAGAAATAGAGAAACTGTAACAAGTCATAGAGAATAGCAACAAGCAGTAGGGCCTCCCACACCCAGACCAGCAGTCCTAAGGATGCCTCCAAGGAGGAGGCTGTGTCTGAAGCATAAATTCAGCTCAACTGCCGGAGGGCTCTGAGCCTGCATCCTGTAACAGTAGCGGGAATGGTAAACCAAGCATCTTCATTTTATGCCTCGCCTCTTCCACACATCTAAACCAGCCCAGATGGTAATCCTGCCCTGCACCCACCAAGATGGGACCCCTGTTCTTTCTCAGCTGACACCCCAGGGGAGACAAAAAAAGAGTAAACTATTAAATAGGACAGTGCCAGCTGATTGCCAGTGCCAACAGGGATGAAATCAGGTACTGGGCTGCCCCAAAGTAAAGCACCTGCAGCATGTACTCAGCGGCTCAGGGCTTAGCCCCCAGCAACACACACAGCCTTAAACTAATTAAACGTGGCAAAGTTTATTAGAGCAAAGAAAACCTGGGTCTTTAATCAGGCAGCCCTGAGAAGAGCGACTGGAGAGAGACCAAACCAGGCAGGACTTAGAGGAGCCAGCAAGGAACAGAAAACATTTAAGTCAGGCTTAGCTGGCAGGTGATGAGACAGCCCGTTACCATGATGAAAGCCCCGTGCTGCAATTGAGAGCCATGTGTCTGGTCTGCTGGGCCCAGCAAGAGATTTTAGTCCAGACCAGTGGCTTCCACACCAGCCTGGAAACAGCAGGCACATGGGAGCTTTAAGAGAAAAGCCCTAGTTGGCCAAGAGGCGGACTAGAAAGGGAAATTTTATGGAAATGTGGGAAGGAAAAAGTCCAGTTAGAGCCCTGTACACATAAAAGCTAAAAACTAAAGCCAAGGGTTGGTGGTGCATGCCTTTAATCCCAGCACTCAGGAGGCAAAGGCAGGTGGGATGTCTGTGAGTTTGAGGCCAGCCTGGTCTACCGAGCAAGTTCCAGGACAGCCAGCGCTACCCAGAGAAACCCTGTCTTGGAAAAAAACAACAACAAAAACCCCTAAGTCTTTTATTAAATGTGACTCTTGGATGTGCTTTGAATATTTCACACGATTTTTTTTTTCAAATAAGATCTCAGTTCTGTTTCCACACTGGCCACTCCTGACATTCTTTTCTGCTCTGAACCCATGAATCCGGGTTTTGCCCGAGTCGAGTAGCTAGCTATCCCTAAGAGATAAGGGAATCCCTCAGGCCGTGGAGCCGTGGCACTGTCCCCAGTCACCAGTGATTTCTGGGGACATCCCAGATGCCCACCCCAGGCGTAGAAAGGACTGACGTGTAGCAGGCAGCGGGAAGGACCTGGGCTACGGCTGCAGAGCAGAAGTGAGCTCAGCAGGGCCATGAGGATCAAGAATGGGGCAGGCTGGTGAGGGAAGAGCCATCTGAGGGGCTAGCATGGCGCTAACACTCCCACCTCTACCGGCGGCGTTGGAGGGAAAGACTGAGGGCAGCTGGCCCAAGGGCAGCCAGCCCGATGACATGGGGTGGGGGCTGCCCAGCTACCTCCTAGCCAGCCACCAGAACCCCAAAGCCTCTGAATGAAACACAGGCTAGATGGATGCAGGAAAGTTGTTTGTGTTTTAATTCACTTCAGAATCTTCCCCCCACCCAACACACACACACACACACACACACACACACACACACACACACACACACACACACACCCTAGGCAGGTGGTGGCTGATGGTGGGTGGCTTTGCCCTCCAGACTACGATGCCAGGGGACGGCATCCCAGGCCAGGAAGGCCTGAGCTGGGCCCAGGTTGTCCATGCGGGGGTCAGTGGCCAGCGTCTTCCCTTCCGCCTGCAGGCTGCTGATACGCAGGAGGAAATCCTGGTGGGTTCCTGTGGGGGGTGAGCTGACGATAGCTTTAAAGAGCCTGCTCACCCACCCTGTCCTGCCTGCTTCCTCATGCCTGCCTCTCGGAGCTCACTCACTGCCTGCCACTGCAACCTCTGTCTCCATACGATTTCCCTCTTGGACAGCGCAGCTGCCAGCCATGGCAGAGCCCCGGATCCTTCTTTTGCTCTGCGCCCTGGTCTTCTGCCTGGCGGGCTCCGGTTTCATCAGAGGGCAGAAGGTGAGCCTCGGGGGGACAGGGAGGGACCGTGCAAAGCTGGTGTCTGGACGGGTCAGTGAAGGATATCAAATCGGATGGTACTTGTCTGACGTTCATGAGAGCCCAGGAACCCAGGCTTCTTGTCCCACCTCCCTAGGCTGAAGCCTGTGGCTGTTCTACCTGAAGTTCAAGGCTCCAGCAGCTTGAGCTCCTCTGACTATGTCTTGGCTCGCTGGTTTGTGTACTGTGTGTGAGCAGCCATCCTGGGTTCCCCCAGCCTGTGAGAGAGCAGGGACAAAGCCAGCCCCATCCTCCTGGGCTCCCCTCCCAAACTGAGGCCGTCCTCTATGCCTATGCCGTCCTTACCTGGGGGGGTTTTTAGATACGATCACTCCCCATCCTCTGGGAACTATAAATAAATGGAGAGACTCGTTCAGAACCTGGCCATGTGTGTGCCTGTGGCCAGCACTGAGCCTGTCTTAAGTCTTGGACCTGCCCCCTAGCCAGCCCTGGGCATGGCCCTTTCAAGGGTCCTTCCGACCTCTGGCCAGCTTGTTCTGTTCTCTTACTGGGAATCCAAGGCCCACACAGGACGGCAACAAGCTGTTCCCTGCTGGAGCCACAGTCTAGACCACAGCCTGTGATTACAGCTCAGGCTCACGACTCCCCGTGATTCCCCATGCGTATGCACTGGACGATTGTAGCACAGCCCCTGAGGACAAGAGTGCCAGGCTGCCTGTCCCTGAGTCTCCCCCCCTCCCCCAGCCCATAGTAAAGGGGCTGCTGCCTGGGTTTGGGGGAGAACTCCACACCCTGAGAATGGAGACTGAGTTTTGAAACTGTGGCTGGGGAAGAGAGCTTCCCTTGGGAGACCAAGTTGGACTGCTTCTTGAGCAGCTCCAGAAGTTCCGAGGTAGGGAGGAGATCTGCCACAGGTAGCCACAACGGGGCTTTGTCTTTATATTCCCTATGGTCCCAGGGGGAGGCAGGGAGGCAGGGGGCTGATTTCAGGACCAGGTCAGGGCTGGGTGTGGCAGGTGGAACACTGGGGTGGGCTTGATGGTGGAAAAACCAGCAGCTCTTGGGTCGTGTGGAGTTGGAAATCGCCTTGCCACCTGTGTTCTGGGCTGTGAGGACAGAGGTCAGTAAGGACAGCTCCTCAGCTTGGAGGGTTTTTGGGTTTTGTTTTCGTGTCAGAGGCCTGGTGTAGATCTGAATATTTGTAAGTCTGTAATTCTGGGTATGGGGTCCAGCCAGCCTGTTTCAAAGGAGAATTTCTGAGGTCCTTGTGGGTAGCAATGCTGTCCTTGCTTCCCTCTCAGGAATGGGGAAAGGGCATCCCTGAGTCACACAGCCAACAAAGGTGGCAGCAGGACTTGGCACAGCAGTCTTGGGCAGTGGAGGCGCCAAGGGCTCTCTGAGGGTGGGTCTTAGCATGTTCCCACCTGGAAGCCTTCTGCCCAGTGACTACTTGGTGTTGAGCATATGCCTGGGATCCACAGCCAAGGCACAAAGGCCAAGCCCCCAGTTCTGTCAGATAAGGGGAGGCAGTTCCAGGGCCCTTCCTGCTTTGGGGGTTTAGCTTCCAGACGGTCAACCTAGAGACTCCCCGGGACCTTGGAGGAATTTCTTTTACCTCGCTACTGGCCTTAATAATTCATGTCTTGCCGGGCGTTGGTGGCGCACGCCTTTAATCCCAGCACTCGGGAGGCAGAGGCAGGCGGATCTCTGTGAGTTGGAGACCAGCCTGGTCTACAAGAGCGAGTTCCAGGACAGCCTCCAAAGCCACAGAGAAACCCTGTCTCAAAACAAAAACAAAAACAGCAACAACAACAACAACAAAAAATACTTCATGCCTCCTCGGCTTTCCCTGCATAGGAAGCAGACTCAACCCTGAACCTTGAGCGCTTTATCAGGTCCCAAGGTGCCCCCAGAAAGCAGACCCCTGATTCAGCTGCAGTCCAGGCTCATCCCACCAGCAGGATCACCAGCAGGAATGTGGGCTCCATCTGGCGTCAATGGTGGGCAGAAACGGTTTGCGTGCCTGTCTAGGGCGTGGTCCCTGGAGAGGCGCTGACTTGGCAGTTGGCTTATCCATCCATCGCCACTTCACACGGGCTCCCGGAGCTCCAGCTTCCTCCCGGCCCTCCCTCCCTCCCTCCCTCCCTCTCCCGCTGAGTGACAGCTTTCAACTCACCCTGAGCATTACCCAAGCCTGGCCAAACATCCTGGGGTCCCCACCGCAGTGGTGACTGTACTTTCCACCCCTGCCTGCCTCAGCAAGTTGTTTCAGGGGAGGCCACTGTAGCCAGCAGCGCAGCCCTGAACCCGAGTCTGAGTCAGATGTGCCCTGGTTCTGCAGAGACAGAGCTTTGGAATGGGGAATCTCCAAACGTAAACGTCAGGACCCAAACCGGCAGATCTGAGGTTGTGCTGAGTAACTTCCCTCTTGGTAGACCGCGGAGTGTGAGCAGAAAACACCAAATCACAGCAGCGGGGAGAGAAGCTGGGGCTTCGTGCTCCCCCACCACCCCCCGCCGCCCCCCCGGAAGTGTTTTCTCCTTTTCCCTGGTTTTGGGAAGCCACTCATCTGTAACTAATTTTAGGGGAGGGGTGTTCTTGGCGTACCCCCCCTTTGGAGTACTGCGTGGTCAGCATTTTCAAGAACCCGTGGCTTCTCTAAGCCCTTTGTCTTCCCCATCAGAGTGCACCTCTTCTCAGCCCCATTACTAACTACTAGAAGCTCAGTCCACCTTCCAGGGGGCAGCACTATGGCTTCTTTCTGACCCTAAGGTGGTCCCCAGGGGAGGACTGCTCAGGGCTGTCTCAGGCCACTGCCTGGAACTACAGGATGTAGGCGGTGGTGGGCAGGACCTCTTCAGGCCCTCCACCCCCACCAGCATGCTAATCTGTTTCCCCAGCCTCCCTCAAAGTGATGCTCTCAGCCCCCATCCTGGGACTCGCAAGTGTGGTGGCTCACACTTGTGACAGGCGGGGGTAGGAGAGGTGGCCAGAGGTTCAAAGCCAGCCCGGGGGTCGGCACGAGACATGCCGTAGAAACATATATGAAAGCTCTTTTAAAAAAAAGAAATAAAATAAATTTACTGGGCAGTGGTGGCTCACGCCTCTAATCCCTGCACTCGGAGTGACAGAGGCAGGAGGATCTCTGTGAGTTCTAGTCCAGCCTGGTCTACTGAGTGAGTTGTGGGACAGCCAGAGCTACACAGAGAAACCCTATCTCAAAATAAAAACAAACAAACAAACCAAAAGCAACAAATAAACAGATAAATAAGTACCTAAAGACAACAACAAACAATTTATTAGCTGAGTCCTGAGGCCACACACAGTTCTGCCTTACCCAAGCTTAGACTGCTGTTGCCAGCCTGGCCTCTGGCCACTCTCCCTCCTTCTTTCAGACTACCCTGAATGTCACCACACGGGGTCATTTGCTCTTTCCCAATCCCAGCCTTGATTCTGCTGCCCCCCTCAGTCAGAGCACTGACCCTGGCCAACTCTCTTACAAACCTCAGGTCCAGGTCTAGGGAGTAGTTTGCTGTCGACTTGACACAACCTAGGCTCACCTGGGAAGGGGGTCTTTTTTTTTTTTTTTTTTTTGGTTTTTCGAGACAGGGTTTCTCTGTGGCTTTGGAGGCTGTCCTGGAACTAGCTCTTGTAGACCAGGCTGGCCTCGAACTCACAAAAATCCGCCTGCCTCTGCCTCCCGAGTGCTGGGATTAAAGGCATGCGCCACCAACGCCCAGCTGGGAAGGGGGTCTTAATGAAGGAGTGTCTAGACCAGGTCGGCCTGTGTGTGTGTGTGTGTGTGTGTGTGTGTGTGTGTTTGTGGAAGGTGGCGTTGATTATCAGCCGATGTGGGAAGACCCGGCCCACTGCGGGTGGCGCCATTCCCTACACAGGGGTTTCTGAGCACTGAGAAGTACGCTTCCCTCTGCTTATAAGATTGTAGATACGGGTCCTGCTGCCTTGACTCCCCTGCAATGACAGACTATAACCTGGAATTGTGAGCTAAAATGCTCCTTAAGTATTCTACCAGGGGGGTCTGTTTGTGTTAATATTTGTTTATTTATTTTGGGGTTTTTTTTTTTTGAGACAGGGTTTCTCTGTGTAGCTTTGGTTGACCGGGAACTCACTCTGTAGACCATGCTGGCCTCAAACTCACAGATATCCGCCTGCCTCTGCCTCCTGAATGCTGGTGCTAAAGGCGTGTGCCACAACACCCCAGCTGAAATCACTGTGCTTACAAACAGCTGGGGCTTGTTGTGTGTTTATTTGGGGCCAAAAACAAAAACAAAAAAAAACAAAAAACAAAAAAACGACAAGAAGCTCCATGCAAAGAATCTGGGCTCCAGCCCTGCTTTCCACCCTATGCTAGGTCGGAGAAGAAGGGCCGCCTGGACTTCAATCTCCTGGCCTTAGATGGTGATTCTCCTGTAGGAAGACAAAGTCTTGAAGGCTTTTGGCGGTGGGCATGGGGACAGGATGTGGCATCAGCAACTGCTCACAGGGGGGGCCTCTCAGGACCTTCCGGGGCCTTGCCCCTTCCCGCTGAACAGGAGGGGAAACCGTGGCCTTGCTGCAGACAGCGCAGAGGCCGCAGGGCTGGGCCCCTCACTGTGAATTCTGCCCGTGGCCCAGGTGCGGTCTAAACGCTGCGACGTAAAGACCAAGTTTGTCACCCACTCACCCTGCACGGCATGCGCGGCCATCAAGAAGCGGTCATGTCCCTTAGGCTGGTTTCGGAGTTACCCAGAGAAGATACTCAGGGACTGTCGGTATGGGCCCGCCCGCTTCTTCCTTCCCACTTTCAGGAGGGTGGCAGGGGGACCCGGAGGAACCTCACGGACCTCCAGGTGGGAGCAAACAAAATCCCGGGGTGGAGGGTGGTGGTGGGGGTGTTTACTGGGCACCTACTGTGTGCTGGGCCCTGTGCTCGGCCCTGGGATACGCGGAAGAGAAGGAAGAGAGAGGTGGGTGGGATACACCTCCTGGAATTCGGCGTGAGGAGGGTGGGAGTGAGGGCCACAGGTGCCCACGCCTCACCACCTGCCCCCGCCCTCTCTCCTAGCTATGAGGTGCAGCTGAGGGACTCTGTGGTGTCCTTCGGTGGCTGTAGCCAGGAGTGTTGGAAGGATATGGTGCAGAAGGCTTGCTGCCCCGGCTACTGGGGTTCCCAGTGCTACGGTACGGAGGAAGAGAAAGCCGCCGGCTCTGCTCCAACCCCAATGCGCCCCAGTCCCAGCTCCCCCGTCTGAGGGACACCTAAGCGGCTCTCAACCTTGTGACTGCTCATCGAGAGCCACCAGGGCATGGGTCTCTAGCCCTGGCTACCCTGGAGGGGGGGGAGGACGGAGCCAAGGCAAGGGGAGCACTCTGGGAGGAGAGCTGAGTCCTTGGGTGTCCACAGAGTGCCCTGGAGGTGCCGAGACACCGTGTAATGGCCGCGGGACCTGCCTGGATGGCATAGCTGGAAATGGAACCTGTGTGTGTCAGGTAAGTAAGGGTCGGGGTCCGGGCGAGGCGGGCGCATGTTGGGGGGCGCTCCACCGACTGAGTGCGCTCACAGGGGAACTTCAGCGGCTCAGCCTGCCAGGAGTGCCGTGACCCCCGCAGATTTGGGCCCGACTGCCAATCAGGTAAGCTTGCCGGTTCAGTCCCCTCTACCTGTGACCCCTCCTACCTGCTCAGCCTCCTGGAATGTTGGCCCTGCTTCCTTCTGCCCTGAGGCTCAGAGGCCTCCTCCAAGAAGCCCTCCACGATGATGCCCCACCTCTTTTCATCTGGGTCTCTCTGGCCTTCCCCCTTCTGCTGCGTTCGCGCGCGCGCGCGCACGGGGCAGCTCTGGGCTCCCCCAGGTTGTTACCCCCTACATTCTAAGTGCACAGAGGACGGGAAGGCGCTGTCCTGTGGGCACCCCGGTGAGAGGCGGCGCCTGCGTGTCTCCCTCAGTGTGCAGCTGTGTGCACGGCTTGTGCAGCCATGGGCCCGAAGGGGATGGGAGCTGCCTGTGTTTTGCTGGGTACACTGGCCCCCGCTGTGACCAAGGTGAGCAGTGCTGCCTAGGACAGCAGGTTCTTTGTGGCCAGAGCAGGGGAGGGAGGACAACTGGGTGACAGATAAGCGTCTGGGTTGAATGAAGCAGGACCTCCTCGGCCTGCAGCCTGTTAGGGGACTGGGAGTGTCATTCCAGACTTCAACGTCTGGAGGCTCAGAGAGGTGAGAGGCAGCTGCTTGGAGTCACGCACAGCAGGCAGAACAAGCGGCTTCGTGCTCCTCCCCAACCTGAGGTTGGGCTGTCGCTGTGATTTTTCTCTCGCTCAGAGCTTCCAGTCTGCCAGGCCCTGAAATGCCCCCAGAATTCCCAGTGCTCTGCAGAGGACCCTGCCTGCAAGTGCCTGCCCGGATACACTCAGCAGGACAATGCTTGTCTTGGTAAGCCTGTGGCCTGGAGGCAGGGGACTCCAACTTGGAGAGCACAGTGGGGGCGGGGGGGGGGGCACTGCAGTCTGGCCACTTGCACAGAGAGGAAGCTGTTCCTAAGAGGCAGAGGGCCTATGGCCACTCTGGTGGAAACGATGACGGGGAGAGAGGGCTCCTGGCACTCCCTCACTCGGGCTCTCTCTGTCCTGGCAGCTCGTGACCCCTGTAAGCCGTCTCCTTGCTCCCCACTGGCCCGATGTTCAGCGAATCCCAAGCTGCAGGCTCAGTGCGACTGCCCAGAAAGTTACCACGGCGATGGGAAAGTGTGTCTGCCCCAAGACCCGTGCATCACCAACTTTGGGGACTGCCCCAGCAACTCCACCATCTGTCTGTACAAGGGTCCAGGCAAGGTGAGCTAGGACACCCGCTTCCCAAGCCGCTCACCCGCTCCAGCTGCGGAACGCAGAGCAAGTCACCCCAGATGGCCCACCTGCACCATGCGGGGACAGTGCCCACCCCGGTCTTTGAGGATGGGTGGCTGGGCTGCGCGAGGGAACCATATGCCAGTAGTCTTCCTGAGTTCTCACTGGTGGATGTGCCGTCCCTCCCTGGCCCTGCCGTTTGCCCAGGCTGGCTGTGCGTGCCAGCCGGGTCTGGTCAGCATCAACAACAACCCTTCTGAGGGATGCTACGCCCTTTGCAAACCACATTCCTGTGACAAATCAGCTACCTGTCAGGTGACCCCCGATGGAAAGACCAGGTGGGCACAGGGGCCAAGGGGAATGGACACGGAGCAGGGAGGGCGGGGTGGGCAGTGTACTGTGCTGTGTTCCCTCTGCTCGGGTCCCGGCAGGGAGGGCTTGGGGGGAGGGTCAGGGGGATGGCCCACCCTGGAACTCTGACCGGTTTTCTCTGGATCTCCAGCTGTGTGTGCAAGGATGGGGAGGTGGGGGATGGTCGTGCCTGCTACGGACACCTGCTCCACGAGATTCAGAGGGCCAATCAGATGGGCCTGGTGTTCCTGAAGCTAAGAGCGGCCATCTCCATGCTGGGTGTGTGCCCCCTCGACTTCCCCCTACCTCCCCCCCCCCCCGCAAGACCCACAGAGCTGGGAGGGAGGCGGGGAGGGGCTAGCCCCAGAATGGACTCTTTGTTTCTTTGTCCAAGAAACTGGGTGAGGGCCGGGACGGAGGTGGGAATTGGTTCCAACACTCGTGTCCTCTTCCCGTGCTCCACATCCAGACCCATGACATTACCTCTCTCCTCCCCCGCTAACAGAGAAGGGCTGCCAGGAGATCCTTACCACGTCGGGCCCATTTACTGTGCTGGTGCCATCTGTCTTCCCCGCCTCCTCTGTGCCCTCCAGTACCATGAATGTGAGCCCTTTCCCCCTTGAGAGCAGGCCAAGGTCTCCCCATATGTAATGTTCTTCCCTTTGAGACAGTCTCATTCAAACTCTGAAAACAGAGGCCTGCAGGATGTCTTGTCCGTTCTGTGACACAGGCGGGGGGGGGGGGGGAGGGTTGCAGAGGGGGAGGGTTGCAGAGGGGGAAGGGGAGGGTTGCAGAAGGGAGAGGGGGAGGGTTGCAGAGGGTCAGGCTGTCTGGGTTAACCCCACTCCCTCTCCCCCCCCCCCGCATCTGCAGACGACCCTTGCTCAGCAGCTGTGCAGACAGCACATCGTCGCGGGGGAGCACATCCTGGAGGATGTGGGGACCTTGAGTACGCGCAAGTGGTGGACGCTTGCTGGCCAGGAGATCACCATCACCTCCAGCCGCTTGGTATGGCAGGGACCTCCAGGGAACTGGCAAGGTGGATGGCACAGTTGGGGCAAATGTGTGCCAGCAGCGGGAAGGAGCTGCAGGACGGAGGGCTGGCATATGGGACGCAGTCCTGTGGTCTGTCCCGTCAGAGATACACCTATAAGTATGAGGACCAGCCCCAACAGACATTCACCATCCAAAAGGCCAACTACATAGCAGCCAACGGAGTGTTCCATACAATCACTGCCCTACGGAGGCAGCTTCCACCTCCACTCCCGGGGGACCCCGAGGTGAGCCAGCAAGCTCTTCTCTACCTGGGCAGTAGGGGGCAGATTCCTTGGTGTTTAAAGTCCAAGCAAGAGGTCGCTCCGGCTTGTGGAAGCTGGGCTCCCCCTCCTGGGGCGGAAGCAGCCTCATCTCCTGTCCTGTGGTCCTTACACCCGCAGAAAACTATCAGCCAGACCCTCGCTTCCACAGAGGCCTTCACGCGGTTTGAGACTATCCTGGAGGTGAGCTTGGGTTAGGCAGTTCTACCTAGCTGGGCTCCCAGACCGGCTCTCTGCCCCAGAATCTGCCCATCTGTCACAATCCCGGGACTTTATGGGGGCGTGGACCAATGCGTCGCTCCTGCCTCCCACTTAAGCAGTGGGAGCACCCTGCTGGCTGGCAGTGTCAGGAGCCAGGCAGGGCTCTGAGGCAAGGCTCTGTCTACCCTTTCAGAACTGTGGGCTGCCGTCCATCTTGGATGGGCCTGGGCCCTTTACAGTCTTTGCTCCGAGCAACGAAGCTGTGGACAGCCTCCGAGATGGCCGTCTGATTTACCTTTTTACATCAGTAAGCTCTGTGGGGAGATGGGGCTGTGGGCTGGGGTTGCCAGAGCTCCCCCAGCCCCCACCAGCCTCCAGCAATCAACTCTTCCCCTCAGGGCCTTTCCAAGCTTCAGGAGCTGGTACGACACCACATCTATAACCGTGGCCAGGTGAGAGGGACTCCTCCTTCATGGAGTTCCCTGTTCCAGGGACTACTGCAGGGTTTTGATCTTTCTGGGGATCCCAGGGCCCTCATCGTCCCTTCTCCATTTTCTGAGGACTCAAAGAGTCACTGTGTATCACCTGGACAAGGTGTGACCAGTGCCTAGCCTAAAACCACTGTGTCCTGCCCCAGCTGACAGTCGAGAAGCTCATCTCTAAGGGACGTGTCCTCACCATGGCCAACCAGGTCCTGGCTGTGAATATCTCTGAGGAGGTGAGACCTGCGGGCAGTTGGGCACCTGGGTCAGGGCAGGAGCTGCCGGCCCCTTTTCCATGCCTGCCGGTGTGCTCCAAATACCACGGGCAGGACACTGGTCAAGACCCCAGCTGGGCTAGGAAAATGGGCACAGGCCCCACAAGTGTGAGGTAAAGCCACAGCAGACAGACAGAGACAGCAGCAAGGGCCAGCTGGGGACGGCTCGTGGTGGGGTCTATGCTGCAGGGACGTATCCTGCTGGGGCCTGAGGGCGTCCCTGTGCGGAGAGTGGACGTGCCGGCTGCCAACGGTGTGATCCACATGCTGGAGGGCATCCTGCTGCCCCCCACCATCCTGCCCGTCCTACCCAAGCACTGCGATGAAGAACAGCACCAGATTGTGCCGGTGAGGCCCCTGCCCTGAACCCCGACTTCAGTTGGCACCCAGACCGCCCCCCCCCTACTACCACACCTCGCATGTGGGCAGGAGGGAAAAACACTATTGTGTTACTCTCACGGAATGTTTGAGACTGGGCCATTCAGAGGGAAAGGCTTACTTTTGGCGTGTAGTTCTGAAAGCACGGTTGCAGTGGCCATTCGGTTCTTGCTGAGGGAGGGCCTTGTGGCCCCGGGGGCAGTTGGACATGCGTGTCCTTGGCTCGTTCCATCGGAACCTGCGTGGTGATAACTAAACCCATCCCTGCTTGAAGGGGGCCCTGGCAGTCCATCTACCTCCACAGGCCCCTCTTCACAAACCTTCCCCGGCCTCGCCACAGTTGGCTCTTTCTCCCACCTCAGATCTTTGCCGAATGTCTCTGACCTTCTTCCCCCCCCCCCCCTCTCTCTCTCTCTCTGCTTTGCTCTGCTCTTCTCAGGGTTCTTGCGTGGACTGCCAAGCCTTGAATGCCAGCATGTGTCCCCCAAACAGTGTGAAAATGGTGAGCGCTCTAACCTGGCCCTCACAGGGATCCCTTTGCGCCAGTATCGCAACCGCAACCATACCCAGGTTGCAGTGGCGGGGAGTAGGGGCAGGGAGACTGGACCGTACCTAGAGGCTCAACAGCATGCCCTAGCCCACAAAGAGGGGGTGTATTGGGCCAGGGCTGCCCGACAAGGACTAGCCCAGCAACCGCTCTGCTGACTGGCCTCGTATGGCGGGCCCTAGGATATCTTCCCCAAGGAGTGTGTTTACATTCACGACCCAGCTGGACTCAACGTGCTGAAGAAGGGTTGTGCCCACTCCTGCAACCAGACCATCACAGTGAGCCCGGGGAAGTCCTGTACCCCCTGGGGATCCGACCACTTCCTCTTTGTCTGGGGTCCCCAAGTCGGGCCGAGGGGCTCCCCTTCCCAGGCATCCTTTTTGTTTTCAGTTGGTTTGGAAGGGATTTTGCTTTGTTGTTTGTTTTTGTGCCGGTGCTAGGAGTAGAACCCAAAGCCTGGAATGCTTGGCAGGCACGTTGTGGCTGAACAACACCCAGCCCTGTCCCACGTCCTAGTGGTTAAAGAGGAGCCGCTGGGGAGTCCATACCTATCTCTGTGCTCTAGAGAGGAGACCAGGAAGCTGAAGCATCTGTGTGAGAGGTCGCATGGCCTGGATGTTCACGCGTGCTGTCTCTTGCAGAAACGCGGCTGCTGCAAAGGATTTTTTGGGCCTGACTGCACACAGTGTCCTGGGGGCTTCTCCAACCCCTGCTATGGCAAAGGCAACGTGAGTCCCCACCCTGCTAGCTGTAACAAAGGTGGATATCTTCCCTGGCTGGTAGCGTCAGAACCAGGCCTGCCTGTCTCTTGTCTTAGCTTGCCCACTCTAAGTAACTGATGTTGGACCAAACTGTTTCATTAGAGATTATTGCTTCCAGGTCTAGAGAGATGGCTCAGTGGTTAAGAACTGTTCTCGAAAAGGACCTGAGTTTGGTCACCCACACCTGTGTCAGGCAGCTCACAACCACCTGTAACTCCAGCTCCAGGGGGTCCAGTGCTTCCGGCCTCCATGGGTCTCTGCATTCAGGTGCACACACACACACACACACTCACACACACACATACATGCGCGCACTCACACACATGTGTGCACACACTCACGCACACACACTCACATATACACACTCAGGTGCTCACACTCACACTCACACATGTGTGCGCACACTCCTCACACACATGCGTGCACACACTCACACACTCGCGTGCACACTCACACACACTCACGCACACACACTCACATACACACACACTCAGGTGCACACACTCACACTCACACATGTGTGCGCACACTCCTCACACACATGTGTGCACACACTCACACACTCGCGTGCACACTCACACACTCACGCACACACTCACATATACACACTCACGCACACACACTCACACATACACACACTCAGGTGTGCACACACTCACACTCACACATGCACGCGCACACTCACAAACATACACAGACATACACACACTCACACACATACACACGCACACACACGTATATGCTCGCACACACACTCATGCACACACACATGCCCACACACATACACACATGCACTCACACACACACACACAAATTATCTTCTGAGATAGTGCCTCTCTATATAGTCCTGGCAGTTCTGGAACTATCTCTGTAGACCAGGCTGGCCTGAAACACATAGAAGCTGCCTCTGCCTCCAGAGTGCTGGGATTAAAGGCATGTGTCACCATGTGTGCCAGTTCCTAGCCTTTTTTTTTAAAGAAGTAATTATTTTGATAGTTTTTACATTTATTTTCCAATAAAAGATGACCTGCCAGCATTCTTTAGTACTCTGCTTTTGATACGCTGGGATGTCAGAGCCACCTGAGTGCCTACACAGAGCTCAGGAGTTAACGTCTGGGTCACACATAAAACCTCCAGGACCATGTGCCTTTCGGGAGCTGTCTGGCAGCCTAAGTGATTTTTGGAGGTCTCGGGGGAATAGGAGGTCAGAGCCCACCGGGGAAGGGAGGCTCAGGGAGAAGGGGATGTGGTGACCATGCCCATTGTGCCTTCCAGTGCAACGATGGGGTCCAGGGCAACGGGGCCTGCCTCTGCTTTCCAGACTACAAGGGTATTGCCTGCCATATCTGCTCCAACCCAAACAAGCACGGCGAGCAGTGCCAAGAGGGTGAGTGTTCCTGGCCCAGGCCGCCTCCCAGAGAGAGAGAGAAGCTCTTACTTCTAGGTGCTGGGCGTTGGTGGCGCATGCCTTTAATCCCAGCACTCGGGAGGCAGAGGCAGGCGGGTCTCTGTGGGTTTGAGGCCAGCCTGGTCTACAGAGCGAGTTCCAGGACAGCCTCCAAAGCCACAGATAAAACAAGCAAAATAAAGGTGGCTAAACAAAAAAAGAAAAGGTGACTAGGGGCCCCCAGAAGGGACAGGGCCCTAAGAGGAATGGTGGCAACATGGAGTGGTGCCAGTTGGAGAACAGGAATGGACGTTGTCTTTTTTCACCAGAAGAAAACTGTGCTTTAACGGGAGCAGGATTTAAGCAAGACACATTGGAGACTTTCTGATAGTGGGATTAGAGAGACAGAGTAGCTGCAATGTTGTGACTGAAAATTCAAAGCTGAACACGGTGGCGCACGCCTTCAATCCCAGCACTCGGGAGGCAGAGGCAGGCGGATCTCTGTGAGTTCGAGGCCGGCCTGGTCTACAGAGCGAGTTCCAGGACAGCCAGAGATACACATAGAAACCCTGTCTTGAAAAAAACAAAACAAAACAAAAACAAAAAGACCTCCCTCATAGCTTGCTCATCTGTTCTTTCAGTTTGAACGATCTGTGACTTAGGGACCTTGATATGGAGTCAAACAACACAAAGTCAAGTCCATTGTAGCCGCTCCACTCCCAGACCCCATACTTTGCAAAACTGGTCTTGGCTCCTAGCACGCTTTTTTTTTCCCTGACCAATTTCTCTGCTCCCATTTCTTCCCCCATAGACTGTGGCTGCGTCCATGGTCTGTGCGACAACCGTCCCGGCAGTGGGGGAGTGTGCCAGAGCGGCACGTGTGCCCCCGGCTTCCAAGGCCGCTTCTGCAATGAGACCCTGGGGAACTGCAGACGCGGAGGGGTGGCCCAGCTCTGCCACCAGCACGCTCGCTGCGTTAGTCAGGAGGGTGAGGCCAGGTGAGGAGGACTCTGGTGTCCTTGGTGTCCTGTCCGTAATTACATGTCGGGTTTGCTCATTCTCCAGCCTCCTCTCCTCCCTGCCCCCAGGTGTGTCTGCCTTGATGGGTTTGAAGGCGATGGCTTCTCCTGCACACACAGAAATCCCTGCTCACACCCGGACCGTGGTGGCTGTTCAGAGAATGTTAGTTCCTCCCTCCCTCCCTCCCTCCCTCCCTCCCTCCCTCCCTCCCTCCCTCCCTCTCTCTCTCTCTCTCTCTCTCTCTCTCTCTCTCTCCTCCCCTCCCCGTATAACCTTTCTCTGATGTTCTCACCCAGATGCAGAATGGGGCTCCTTGGTCTCCACCCATGGGTGTACCCTTGAGTGACTTATTCGAGTTGATCCACACAGGCTGAATGTGTCCCCGGAGACCTGGGCGCCCACCGCTGCGTTTGCCACAAGGGCTGGAGTGGGGATGGCCGCGTCTGCGTGGCCGTTGATGAGTGCGGGCTGGACACTCGAGGTGGCTGCCACGCGGATGCTCTCTGCAGCTACGTGGGCCCTGGACAGGTGAGGAGCAGAGGGATAGCGGCGGGTGGGGGGGGCTTGCCTCCACCCACTCTAACTTCATGAGCATTCGCTCCAAGCTCAGAGTCTGGACCCACAGATGCGGATGAAGTATTGCACCCTGGTATCGGTCACTCATGTGCTCCCTGGGTCCCCATGGGTAGCCAATCACCTGTTATAGGGCAGGCTGTCTCTTAGACTGGGGGAGTGTGGTACTAAGCCAGGTAGGTGAAGACCCTGCCTCCAGAGGCCCCGGCTCTGTAGATTGGAACTTCACAGTCTAGTCTCAAACATTCATTGTGGGGTCTGAACGCATTTTGAGCCTCATGAACCCACATATTGACAAGTGTTTAAGAATAAGCCGGGCAGTGGTGGCGCACGCCTTTAACCCCAGCACTCGGGAGGCAGAGGCAGGCGGATCTCTGTGAGTTCGAGGCCAGCTTGGTATGCACAGTGAGTTCCGTAACAGTCAGAGCTACATCATAGACCCTGCTTCAAAACAATATCTAAGGCGGGACTGGAGAGATGGCTCTGTGGTTGAGAACACTTGACTGGGTAACAGGGAGGGAAGTGGGATTCCAGTGCCCTTCCTGGGGTTGGCCTTGGCCACAGACACTGACCTCAAGCCAATGGCCTTGATAGGGTTCTGAGTGCGGGGTGTGCTGGGTCTCCCACGGAAGCTTCCAGCCAGTACCGTCTCTTGGTGGGCCTGACCCTGACAGCTGGTTTCTCCTCGGGGCTTCAGAGTGCAGATCTCCAAGGGCAAGAGAGTAAGAGCTCTCGTCTGGGGTCTGGACAGACCTCCTGGGGGAGCAGAGGAAGAGACGGACCTTGGCGAGATGAAACTCTTTCCCTTGCCTCCCCAGAGTCGATGCACGTGTAAGCTGGGCTTCGCTGGAGATGGTTACCAGTGCAGCCCCATTGACCCCTGTCGGGTAGGCAATGGTGGCTGCCATGGCCTGGTAAGAGGTACAAGGTCTTCAAGCCCCTGGGGATTGCAGCTGGGCATGTCTGTCCTTCATACTCGTCTCCTCCTGAATTCCCTGTCACCACCCCTCCACCCCGCGGCAGGAGAGAGGCCACCAGCCCTCCAAGAGCCGCCCAGCCCGCCACACCCCATCCCTTGTTCCTGCCAAGCTCCTTGCTGTCCCTTGACTTTCCATAAGCCTTCCTACCCTGCAGTGTCTCTGCCTTTCCCAGACACTCCTCGGGCCTTGCCCCCTCCTGCCTTCAAAAAGCTCAGGCTCCTGCAGTCCAGGGGTTGCCTTTGTCACTCCATAGCACTGGCCCCCCAGTCGCCAGTTAGGACTGATGGAATAATTCCCATATGCTGCGCTCTGTGGTGATGGGGAGAAGGCCTGCTGAACAGGCTTTGTGAACACAGACGGGCTAGCCGGAGATAAGGACGTGGTGGCTGCACAGGCAGGGGGAAGGGGACACAGAAGGAGGGCAAGATGGGGACAGCTAGTATCCAGCTTGTCGTCCGGACGGCAAATGGAGGGCCCTCACTGTCTCTTCCTTACCCCTACCAGGCTACCTGCCAGGCAGTTGGGGGAGGTCAGCGGGTTTGCACGTGTCCCCCTCATTTCGGCGGTGACGGCTTCACTTGCTATGGAGATGTCTTGCAGGTAAGTGGTGCACAGATTTGTTCTTCCTGTGTCTGATTTGTCCTCCCATGTACCTGTGGGGAGGGGATGCTTGGGGACTTGAATTTGTCCTTAGGTCTGTGACCTTAGTTGTGTTTTTGTTTTTGTTTTCTTCTTCTTCTTCTTCTTCTTCTTCTTCTTCTTCTTCTTCTTCTTCTTCTTCTTCTTCTTCTTCTTCTTCTTCTTCTTCTTCTTCTTCTTCTTCTTCTTCTTCCTCCTCCTCCTCCTCCTCCTCCTTCCCCATCCCCTTCCCCTTCTCCTTCTCTTCTCCTCCTCCTCCCTCCCCTTCCCCTTCCCCTCCTCCTCCTCCTCCTTCTCCTTCTGCCCCTTAGGAACTAGAGGCAAATGCCCACTTCTCTGCCTTCACCCAGTGGTTCAAGGTACGGACAGGGCAGTTTGCTAGGCATTGGGCTCACGTCTACAAGGCCTTCCTGGATAGAGGAATGCTGCCTAGCACTCCCAAGAGTCACCTTCATCTCCCTGTCCCCACTCACCGCACAGAATTCAAGTGTCACTCTTCCTGCTGACAGCAGAGTCACAGCCCTGGTGCCTTCTGAATCTGCCATCCGCAGGCTGCACCTTGAGGACCAGGCCTTCTGGCTACAGCCAAAGATGCTGCCAGAACTGGTCAGGTGGGACAGCTGGGAAGGGCTTGGGTCACGGAGGGGATTCTGGCTGGGACCTTGGACCCTTCCCGGCAGGGTTGGAGTACCTGGTCCTTTGCTTACCACGTACCCACACAAGTGGGGAGAGCCCAGGCTTCAGGTTCTTTGTAGGTCACACTGGGTTCCAATGCCCCCCAACTGTTCCCCTCAGGGCCCATTTTCTCCAGGGTGCCTTCTCAGAAGAAGAGTTGGCCCGGCTAAGCGGACAGCAAGTAGCCACACTGAGCCCCACAACCCACTGGCAGATACACAACATCAGTGGGGTAAGAGCTGGACTCTGGGTGTGGTAGGAGCCGGAGCGGCCCCCACAGAGGCAGCCCCCTCCCTCAAGACCAGGGCTCCCAGGAAAAAAAAGCTTGGGGTTCCTTTGGCTCTTCCCAGGGCTGATTCAGAGGCTACACACAGGACACAAAGTTGTCTCCTTAGATGCTGTGTGTGTGTGTGTGTGTGTGTGTGTGTGTGTGTGTGTGTGTACCAGCACACGTAACTCTGCCCCTCTCCTGTGGATACTAGTGAGGGTCTATGCACCCAGCTGGCAAAGCCTGAGGCCGCGAAGCAGGTGGGGGTGTCTCACGCCATGTATCGGTGCCCAACATGAACCAGCTCTGTCTGCTCCCTTCCAGAAAGTCTGGGTGCAGAACGCCAGTGTGGATGTACCCGACCTCCTTGCTACCAATGGCATCCTACACATCATTAGCCAGGTATGGCAGGAAAAGGGAGTTCGGGGAACTTCCTAAGCCAGCAGTGCGGGACTGACAGCCTTCCTGCTCTATGCCAGGTCTTGCTGCCTCCGAGAGGTAATGTGCAGACTGCGCCGGGCTTGCTTCAGCAATTAGATAGAGTGCCCGCCTTCCGCCTCTTCCTGGAGCAGCTAAAGGTAAGGAGGTTTATTCAAGGGGAGTGAGTCTTCCGGGAGCCTGCCCAGGGACTGGCTGGCTCCCCGAATCACCACTAAGGACTGCCCACACTCATCCTTCTACCTTGCTCCCTGTCTCTATCCCTAGCACCACAAACTGGTGGCCCAAATTGAGGCTGCCAAAGCCTACACCATCTTTGTGCCCACAAATCACTCTCTGGAGACCCAGGGCAACAGCAGTATCCTGGTAAGACCTCGGGGACAGGCAGGATGAGCCTCCTTATGCCAAGACACAGGGATGTGGTGGTGGTGGTGGGGGATGGCGGCGTGATACCCAGGGCCCTCGAGAGTCCTAGAAAACCCGAAGTGATTCCTCCCTGGCAGGACATAGACACAGTGCGACATCACGTGATCCTCGGGGAGGCCCTCTCTGTGGAGGCCCTTCGGAAAGGGGGACATCGGAACTCCCTTCTGGGTGCTGCACACTGGCTGGTCTTCTACAACCACAGTGGCCAGGTGTGAAGGACAGGGCTTAGAAGACCCTTCCCGGGGACTCTGGTCTTAGGATTTGCCTCGGAAGCTTCCCCACCCCCGAGCCTCTGCTCCAGGAAGACTCCCTCCCCACCAAGTCCCGGAGTGTGTTCAGTGTGTTCTTGTCTCGCTGCCTGTAAGAGTGAGGGTGGTGGTGGTGGTAGGTGGGTAGATTCAACCTGCTCTCCTCCTTGCCAGCCTGAGGTGAACCACATGCCACTGGAGGGGCCCTTTCTGGAGGCTCCTGGCTGCTCCCTCTTTGGCCTGTCGGGGATCTTGACGGTGGGCTCCAGCCGCTGCCTGCACAGCCACGCAGAAGCTCTTCGGGTAAGACGCTGGGGCCAGTACTCCTGGAATCCAGTTGTAGGGAGGGGAGAGTGATGAGCAAAGGGAGCCCCTTAGAAACAGCTGACCTGACCCAAGTGAGAGCACACGGACCCCAGTCATAAAGCTGGGGAACCAGCATTGGACCCAACCAAGCCCTCTATGTGGGTGCCAGTTAGGAGGCCTGGGCGGTCTATGGGGCCTTTGGCAGTGGAACCAGGATTTATCCCTAGTGCATAAATGGGCTTTGGGGAGCCCATTCCCTATAGAGGGATACTCTTTGCAAGCCCAGATACACAGAGGAGGGCCTAGGCCCTCCCCCAAATGATGTGACAGACTTTGATGATCCCCCATGGAAGGACTCACCCTCCCTGGGTAGCGGATGGGGGGGTTAGTGGGGGACATGGGAGGATGGGAAGGAAAGGGAACTGGGATTGATATGTAAAGTAACATTGTTTCTAAATTAAATAAATAAATGTAGAAAAAAAAGAAGCTGGGGCCAGATCAACAGCTGTGGGTACTGGCGAGAAGGCTCAGCACTTAAGAGCACTGGCTGCTTGCTCTTCCGAGGTCCTGGGTTCAATTCCCAGCAACCACATGGTGGCTCACAACCATCCATAATGAGATCTGGTGCCCTCTTCTGGCCTGCAGAGCAGTCGTACGTGAAATGTTACTGCAACTGGGCGTGGTGACACATGCCTTTAATCCCAGAACTCTAGAGGCTGACGCAGACAAATCTCTTGTTGAGCTGGAGGCCCGTCAGGGCTGCAGAGTGAACAAAACAAAACCCAAGAGCAGAAGCCTAGGTAGCCGGAGGGAGCACTTGGCCAGTCTCGTACTGAACCAACTGATGCCTTGCCCTTCTCCTCCAGGAGAAATGCATAAACTGCACCCGGAAATTCCGCTGCACTCAAGGCTTCCAGCTGCAGGTGACGCTGGGCTCAGCACAGCTCTGTCCTTACCCCGATGTCCCCGCTAAACCCCCAGGTCCAGCCCTGCTGGGAACTAGCCTGGTATGGGCAGCTGCAACTCCCGGTTAAGGCTGAACCGCAGCCCCCGGTCTGCTCAGAGGAGTTTGCATTGTCGTCCTGGGCCTGGCCCACCGGTCTTGGCCCCTCCCTCTCCCTTTTCTACCCTCCCCATGCCTGTCAGTCTCAATCGCTCCCACACTTGCAGCACAGTTGGCCTGTCTCCTTGCCCCAAGCCACCAGATGACCCTTCCTCTGCGTCTCCAATTCTAGGACACACCTAGGAAGAGCTGTGTCTACAGATCTGGATTCTCTTTCTCCCGGGGCTGTTCCTACACATGTGCAAAGAAGATCCAGGTTTGCTCTGAGATGTCCTCTACCAAGGCTTTGCCCCCGGGGGAGGAGGAGAGCAGAGTAGGCCCCCGGGGAAGAGCTTAGTCTGAATTTCAAGGGCAGAGGTACCGAGCTTCCAGCAAAGACAGCAAAGCCAGGGCCTTAGGAATATCCCAAGTTAGAGGGCTGCTGTTGGTCCTGTGTCTAATCCCTGGGGAAGAGATACAATGTCGCATCCCAGAGCAGGCACCATCAGCCAAAACCCAGTGGCAGTACTGAGGCTTCCTTGTTTTTCTGTGCAATCCGTGCAGTCCAGGCGTAGCTCTCCCTTGCTTGAGCCTGCCCCCTCCAGGAAGGCAGCCCCCACCCCCCACCCCCTCACCCCCCCGCCCCGAGGACCTGGTCTACCCTCCCTGGGTCTATGCTTCCAAGCTGCTCTCTTTCTGTGGTCCTGGCTAGTGACATCCATCCTGGCCTACACTGGACCTCTCTCCTTCCCTTTCCCGTTCCCCTGCCCCTACAGGTGCCCGACTGCTGCCCAGGCTTCTTTGGCACACTGTGTGAGCCATGCCCAGGGGGTGTCGGTGGAGTGTGCTCGGGCCATGGGCAGTGCCAAGACAGGTTCCTGGGCAATGGTGAGTGCCGCTGCCAAGAGGGCTTCCACGGGACAGCCTGTGAGATGTGTGAGCTGGGCCGCTATGGACCTGCCTGTTCCGGAGGTGAGGTCTGCACAGAGCAGGGTGGGTAGCCCTTGGGAATCAGACTAGGTACGACACCATAGAGAGCAGGGAAGTAACTCATGTCCTTGGTGGTCCCACTCCCAGTGTGCGACTGTGACCACGGCCTGTGCCAGGAGGGGCTGCGAGGGAATGGAAGCTGTGTCTGTAACGTGGGTTGGCAGGGTCTCCGCTGTGACCAAAGTAAGTAGGTCCCAGGGGGCTGGGGGGCCAAGTGACGATAGGGGAACAATTTTGGTCTGTCTGAATGACCAGAAACTTCTATCTGCTCCCAGAAATCATCAACCCTCAGTGTCCTAAGGAGTGTGATCCCAATGCCAAGTGAGTGAACCCAACCTACGGTGGGATGACTGTGGGCAGGACCGGGCAGACCCAGGCTAAGTGGCTGCCGTCCCTCCCAGCTGCATACAGGACGCCACTGGAGTCCCTGCCTGTGTCTGCGCTGCGGGATATTCAGGCAACGGTAGTTACTGCTCAGGTGAGCCCTATGGACGCCCAGGGCCCCACTCTGGAATGCTTGGGGGTGGCCGGCCCATCCTCTCTGTAACCTTCATCTCCTACCTGCTTCTCACAACTTCTGTCCCTAGAGGTGGACCCGTGCGCTTCCGGCCGCGGTGGCTGCTCACCCTATGCCAACTGCACCAAGGTGGCCCCTGGGCAACGGACGTGTACTTGCCGGGATGGCTACACAGGAGATGGGGAGCTGTGCCAGGGTGAGGTGCCCCAAGATAGTCACGTGTGAGGGTTGGGCCACCGTAGTGTACCGAGTCAGACCAAGGAGGTGAAGGGTATGCGGTGACTTGGGAGGCGAATGGAGAGGGGGTCATGGGGCCAGTCTTCATCTCTGTCTCTTCCCCTAGAAATAAACAGCTGTCTTGTCCACAATGGGGGCTGCCATGTTCACGCCGAATGCATCCCCACAGGCCCCCAGCAGGTCAGTTGACAGGCTTGACACTGGGGCCTCCCTTCAGACCACACCTGGGGTGGTAGCCTTCCCACCCTGGGCTCCTTGCGGCCACAGTGATCGGGGGTTTGGAACAGGTCTCCTGCAGCTGCCGTGAGGGCTACAGCGGCGATGGCATCCAGTCTTGCAAGCTTCTGGACCCCTGCTCCCAGGTTAGACCCTCACACCCTGGCATACTTGTCAAATGGAAGGGACCCAGCCAAGAAACAGCTGTCGAGTCTGGCTCAACAGTAGCAAAAATAAAACCCTGAGGGTTGAGCGGGGCTTGGAGGCATCTTCCCTAGAGGTCTCCCAGAGGTGGTGGGACACCCACAGCCTTCCCCTCTCCTACTCTCAGAACAACGGAGGCTGCAGCCCTTATGCTGTGTGCAAAAGCACGGGGGACGGCCAGAGGACATGCACCTGTGACCCGAGTCATGCGGTGGGAGACGGTATCACCTGTCGTGGACGAATTGGACTGGTAATGATGATGCCCGGGTCTGACCCAGATCTGGTCGTGGCTATGCCCCCCACGCACCTGAACTGCGATCTTGGCTAAGACCCCAGATTCAAATCTGATCCTTGACCACGACCCCGTGGGACCCTAAAGCCCATCCCCTGATTTTTCCTGGGCTAAACCTCATCTGCGTACCTGGAAATAATCCTGGCCCCCGGCTCAGAGCCTCCCTGGCTTCCCTTCCCTCATCTCTGCCTTGGCCAGACCTTGGGCTGCAGGGTTAGGACAGGCACCAGCCCCTGACTTGGGGGGGGCACCCAAAATCTGAGCTGATCCTTGCACTCCGCCCCCGCCCCCAGGAGCTCCTACGGGACAAACGCGCCTCATTCTTCAGTCTCAACCTCTTGGTGAGTAGCCGGCTCTGGACCTCTGCGTTCTCATGCGGTTGAGGGGGTTGGCTGGCCTAGACTCCCAGAGTTTCAGTCCCCCCCCCCAGAAGATCCTTTAGAAGCCCCAGGCTGGTCCCAGGTCGTCCTACCCCCCCCCGCTCAAGCTGTGTCCCGCCTCCCCAGGAGTACAAGGAGCTCAAGGGTGAAGGACCCTTCACCATCTTCGTGCCTGGTGCCGATTTGATGAGCAACATGTCACAGGTGCGCAGCCCCGGGGAGACGTCCAGAGAGAGGTGAGGATTCTGGTAACGGCGCGGGCAGTGGCGGCAATCACCAGCTGCCGCTGTCTTCGTGACTTTATGCTAGGACGAGCTGGCTAGGATTCGCGCCCACCGCCAGCTAGTGTTTCGCTACCACGTGGTTGGCTGCCGGCAGTTGGGGAGCCAGGAACTGCTGGACCAGGGATACGTCACTGCGCTGTCTGGGCACACGCTGCGCTTCAGTGAGAAGGAGGCGAGTTCTCACACCGTTGGTCCTCCTCAGCCCCCGCCCAGGCCCCCTTCAAACCCATCCCTGTGCCCGGCCCCCTCTCCTCTCTAATACACAGAATGACGGTGAGAGGGGTCTGGCCCAGAGGGCACCCACACTCTGGGCCCTACCCATTAGCACTGGCCTGTACCAAGCTGGGCCTCCCAAGTCAAGCTGATAGTCAGCGCCACGCTCCCGCAATGCCAGGCCTAGTGTGGTACCTTGCGCAGGCTTCTCACAGTGGGACAGAAACCCTACCCACCCCACGTCTTGATTCTGCCCTTGAGCAACTTTATCTTCTACCTCAGCCCCAAAACTGGGACCGTCTACCAAAAAAAAAAAACCTCTCCCTACCTCAAGCCCTGCCCTGGCCCAGGCACACCCCATAGCTTCAAGCACCCTGCTGATGAACTCCATGCACCCTCAGCTTGGTCCCAACGCAACCATGCTGCTCCCTCCCTCCCACAGGGCAGCGTTTACGTCAACGACTTTGCTCGGGTGGTAAGCAGCGACCACGAGGCCGTGAACGGTGTCTTGCACTTCATTGACCTTGTTCTGCTGCCACCAGACGTGTTGCACGGGGAAGTGGATACCACCCCAAGCCCTCGGGTACGGCTGGGCAAGAGCCTGGGACTGGGCGGCAGGCTGGGGTCCTCTCCCGCTGCCTGATCACATGGCGCGCTCTTTCCCCAGAGAAACTTCACCACCGCAGCTGAAAGCTTCGGCTACAAGATCTTCAGCCGCCTAGTGAAGGTACTGCCCTCACGGATGCCGGGGCGGTCCGCCAGGGTGTGCACAGGAGGGCAACAGCGTGTCTGCTTAAGCTCTTTCTGGGAATGCGTGTGCCTAAGCGAGTTTCCTTGTGCGGTGTGAGAACTTCCCAGTGTGCGTGCCCACGAGGAAGTGGGCAGCCAAGGTGGGTGTAAACTTAACCCACGCACGTGTGCCCATAAACAGTAGCTCTCCTGCCTACAATTTCAATTTCATATTCAATGATGTTGGCAAGATGGCTCAGTGGGTGAGTGCGACCACGTCTGGCAACCCGAGTGTGGTCCCTGGACCCCGCATGGCAGGAGAGAACCGAGGCTCCTGTAGGTCTCCATGTATGCAGTTACGGGATACCTCTTCTCCTGCATCCCACATACAACACACACACACACACACACACACACACACACACACACACATAACAAAACAAACAGAAAACAAGCCAGGTTAAGTATAATAGATAGTAAATTGAAAAGCCCTAGAAATCTCTCACATTTTAAATAAGTTTTATTATGGTATGTTGTTACAATCGTTTTATTGACGCCCCCCCCATTTCCCTCTCATTCTTTTCAAGACAGGGCATCTCTGTGTATCCCTGGCTGTCCTAGAACTCACTTTGTAGACCAGGCTGACCTTGAACTCACTTAGAGGTCCGCCTGCCTCTTCCTCCCGAGTGCTGGGATTAAAGGCGAGCATTACCACCTCCTGGCTGTCCTTTATCCCTTATTACACCTAGTTTATAAGTAATACTTTATCGCAGGTATAGGAGAGCAGTCTATGTTATATATAGTTCATATGTACGGGTCCCTGTAATTTAAGGAGTCTGCTGGGGTCCTGGGCCCTATTCCCTGCCGAGGAGGGAATGACTGTCGCCCAGGATGGCTGCAGATAAGCGGGCTAGTTATCTGGGCTGGGTTTCTCTGGCTCTCCCTTCTGGAATCTGGGGTCCAGCCTCGTCTCCAACAGTCACACCCTTGCTCCAACCCCACAGATGGCTGGTCTTCTGCCCATGCTCCGCGATCCATCCCATCGTCCCTTCACCATGCTGTGGCCCACAGACTCTGCCCTGCAAGCCCTGCCTCCTGACCGGCAGAACTGGCTCTACCATGAGGACCACCGTGACAAACTGGCAGCCATTCTTCGGGGTCATATGATACGCAGCATCGAGGTGGGTACAGGCCCAATCTTTGGTCCCCTCACCCGCGTGCCCAACTCCAATCACGTCTCCAATTGTCTAGGCCTTGGCATCTGACCTGCCCAACCTGGGCCAACTCCGAACCATGCATGGGAACACCATCTCTTTCTCCTGCAGTCTTGCCCGGCCCGTGAGTTCGGGGAGAGGGCCTGCTTAAGGAAAACAGGTGTGGGGCAGTTGAGGGTCTGCAGTGCCCATGACCCCTACGTCTTCCCCTTTAGGGTGAGCTCTTGGTGGGTGAAGACAACGTGCACATTGTGCAACGGCACTTGCCCTTTGAAGGTGGCCTGGCTTATGGCATTGACCAGCTGCTGGAGCCACCCGGCCTCGGTGCCCGCTGCGATCGCTTTGAGACCCAACTGCTTCAAATGGTGAGGAAGGCCACGGGCCGCAGGTGCATGGCAGGGGCCCGGCCCGCCTGTCCTGTCCATCCACCTGACCCTGCAGTGTTGGCCTCCATCCCCTCCAGAAGACTTGCAGCGTCTGTGGGCTGGAACCACCCTGTCCTCAGGGCTCACAGGAGCTGGTAAGGGGCTGGAGGCTGAGTTGAAGGCTGGGGTAGGGGCAAGGCACCATCGAGCTCAGGCTGGCCGTGACCTGACTCTCTTTGGTCCAGGGCTTCCGCAAGGCCTGCTGGCGTGATTACTCCAAGCTCTGGACACCCCCACTGCACTCCCTGGCAGCACGCAGTGGTGCCTGGTTACAGACTAGTTTTTGGAACCACCAACGCTTGGGTAGGGGCTGCCAGCGCAGCTGTGTCACGGCTGTCTGGAAGCCTAGCTGCTGTCCTGGTCACTATGGCATTGACTGCCAAGGTAAGCATTCTGAGGGTTACAGACCAGATGACCAGCTCCAAGATGGTCAAAGACAAGAGTTCTGGCTGTTGCCCTTAAGAAAGGATTTTTTGGGGTGCTCTAGCATGAGGGGATGCTTAAGAAGCGGGGTAGGGGCTGGAGAGATGGCTCAGAGGTTAAGAGCACTGACTGCTCTTCCAGAGGTCCTGAGTTCAATTCCCAGCAACCACATGGTGGCTCACAACCATCCATAATGAGATCTGGTGCCCTCTCCTGGAATGGAGGCAGAACAGTGTATACATAATAAATAAATCTTTAAAAAAAAAGAAGCGGGGTAGGCGTACAGAAGATTCATATCCGGCGTGGAGTTCCAGAGAGTCTGGGTGTTCTCTGGGTTCAGTGGGGTCTCAGTGGTGTGAGGTCACAGCTCCTTGAAGAGCCTTGGCTGGTGCTCAGTGGGGGGGGCAGAGGGCAGAGCCTGGGATGCAGGCACATGGGCATTCTCACGAGAGCCTCCGGTCCCGTTCCCCCTCTCCACTCTCCCCTAGCTTGCCCTGGTGGCCCCAGAAGCCCCTGCAGCGACCACGGCGTGTGTCTGGACGGCATAAGTGGAAGTGGGCAGTGTAGCTGCCGCTCGGGTTTCGCTGGGACGGCCTGCGAACTCTGCGCCCCAGGCGCCTTTGGGCCGCAATGCCAAGGCAAGCGTGTCTCTGCCCTGTCCCTCTATCTTGTCCCTCTTCCTCTGGCCCGCGCGTCAACTTCTCCTTCTCCCCAGCCTGCGGCTGCACCCCACATGGACATTGTGATGAAGGCCTTGGGGGCTCTGGCGCCTGCTTCTGCGAGGAAGGCTGGACTGGGTCACGCTGTGAAGTGCAGCTGGGTGAGCCTGTGCCCCTGCAGCGTGTGTACAACACACACACACACACTCACACACACACACTGGGACATGCCCGAGCTATATACACACACACTCTCACTCACACACACTGGGACATGCCCGAGCTATATACACACACACTGGGACATGCCCGAGCTACACACACACTTGGGTGGAGGCCCTAAGGTGGACAGGAGAGGCAGTTGCTAGGGAGGGCAGCTACTGACCTGGTCCTATGGGATGGGTCCTGGGGACAGAGTTGCAGCCTGTGTGTACCCCACCCTGTGCAACCGAGGCCATGTGCCGCGTGGGCAACAGCTGTGAGTGCGGCCTGGGCTACGAAGGGGACGGCCGTGTGTGCACAGGTAAGCAGGAGGCAGGAAGCCCCGGACCGACTCTAGCATCTAATGTCTGGCTCAACCACCCCTCCCTTGCCCCCCAGTGGCAGATCTGTGCCGGAAGGGGCACGGCGGCTGCAGCGAGCATGCCAACTGCAGCCAGGTGGGGACAGCGGTCACCTGCACCTGTCTGCCTGACTACGAGGGTGATGGCTGGAGTTGCCGAGCCCGTAACCCCTGCCTGGACGGCCACCGTGGAGGCTGCAGCGAGCACGCCGACTGCCTCAACACTGGTCCGGTAAGCAGCTCCCCCCGGGGAGGGAGCTGAGCAATCTGGGTGCAGAAGCCCCACGGGCTCACTCTTGCGAGGCCATCCACTGCTGTCTGCCCACAGAACACGCGGCGCTGTGAGTGCCACGCGGGCTACGTGGGTGACGGACTGCAGTGTCTGGCGGGGCTTGAACCGCCTGTGGACCGATGCATGGGCGAGTCGTCGCCCTGCCACACGGACGCTCTGTGCACTGACCTACATTTCCAGGGTACGCTTCCCTACCCGCCCCTGACCCCGCGGCATTGTCCCCGTTACTGTCTTGCTGACCGTATACCCTCCCTTCCTCCTACAGAGAAACGGGCTGGCGTCTTCCACATCCAGGCCACCAGTGGCCCTCAAGGCTTGACCTTCTCGGAGGCCGAGAAAGCATGCGAGGACCAGGGAGCAGCCCTTGCCTCACTCCCTCAGCTCTCTGCTGCCCAGCAGGTAGACAGGGCTCGGGGGGGTAGGAGCCGAGCCTAGGGAAGCCCACTCAGTGGGCTCTGGTCTCAGCATCCCCTCCTGCCCCTACAGCTGGGCTTTCACGTCTGCTCCGTGGGCTGGTTGGCCAATGGCTCTGCTGCCCATCCTGTCGTCTTCCCGGCGGCGGACTGCGGCGATAACCGTGTAGGGGTAATCAGCCTCGGGGTCCGCAAGAACCTTTTGGAGCGCTGGGATGCCTACTGCTACCGGGTGCAAGGCATGTCCACTCCACTGACCTCGGCCCACCCGCCCCCCACCCCCCACGGTCTCCTCCCGAAGAAGCCTGTCTAAGCTGACCTGCCTTCCCTGCAGATGTGGCCTGCCAGTGCCGGGTCGGTTTTGTGGGTGACGGGATCAGCACATGCAACGGGAAGCTGCTTGACGTCCTGGCTGCCACCGCCAACTTCTCCACCTTCTACGGGGTGTGCGGGGGTCTAGCCTCGGAAGGGGGAATGTAGGCAGTTGGGAATCCCCAAGGAGGGGGGGGGAAGCTTGCCTACAGCCCCATCTCCTCACCCTCCCAGCTGTTGCTGGACTATGCCAACGCCACCCAGCGAGGTCTGGATTTCCTGGACTTCTTGGACGATGAGCGCTCCTACAAGACACTCTTCGTTCCTGTCAACGAAGGCTTCGTGGACAACATGGTACTGACAGGGGCTTGGGTGCGGTTTGCTCTCTCTGTGGGCCCAACCCAACGGACCTTACTCCGCCCGTAGACGCTGAGTGGCCCAGATCTAGAGCTCCATGCTTCCAACGCCACCTTCCTGAGTGCCAACGCCAGCCAGGGGACATTGCTTCCTGCCCATTCAGGTCTTAGCCTCTTCATAAGTGATGCAGGCCCTGACAACAGTTCTAGGACCCCTCTGGTGAGTCTGGCCCTCCTGGGTCAGCCCTCGTTTACCCACTGGAGCTGACTGCACTTTCTCCGTAGGCCCCTGGGGCAGTTGTGGTTAGCCATGTCATCGTGTGGGACATCATAGCTTTCAATGGCATTATCCACGCTCTGGCCAGACCCCTGCTCACGCCTCCTCAGCCTGTGAGTCTGGGGAAGGGGGTTGATTAGAGCCTCAAGAGGGAGGGGAATACCTCTAGCCTGGCCCTTGACACCCCCTTTCTGCTTACAGAGGCCAGTGCTGGGACCCGCGTCTCAACCCGTGGCACTGAGCATGGGGGTTGTGGTAGCTTCTGGAACACTGCTGGGGCTGGTAGCTGGGGCCCTCTACCTCCGCGCCCGAGGAAAGACCACAGGGTTTGGCTTCTCTGCTTTCCAGGTAGAGGGGTTGGAGGGTATGCAGGGACAGAGTCCTTCCGTCTTGTTGTGGCAGGGGCTTACCAGTCATAACTCCTCTTCTAGGCGGAAGACAATGCTGACGACGACTTCTCCCCGTGGCAAGAAGGGACCAGCCCAGCCCTGGTGTCTGTCCCCAACCCTGTCTTCGGCAGCAACGATGCCTTTTGTGACCCCTTTGATGTGAGTTGTGGGGAGGGAGGAGTGGCTGGGTCAGGCCCTGGGGCTTAGCTTTGCTTAGCTGGCCCCGGCCCGCCTCTGCAGGATTCGCTCCTAGAGGAGGACTTCCCCGACACCCGGAGGATCCTCGAGGTCAAATGACGGTCTGGAGTGGAAGCAGAGGCACGCGGAAGACAAGAGAGACACCACTTTTATTGCTTGTCAGGGTGGCTGGGGCTGGAGAGACGGACGGTCTTGTCTAGGACAATAAAAGCGCCCCTCAGCGGATGTGGGCCATGTCGCCAAGAAAGGGTGTCTTCATGCAGCCGGTGCAGAGCTGGTCCATCCAGAGGGGCGCCTCGTGCTGCAGGGGCGTGCGGCGTGGGTAGAAAGTGAAGTCCACGCTGTAGTTGAGCAGGCAGCTGAGGGAGGCCATGTAGAGGTCGGAGAAGCGCACGAGGCGCCTGGAGAAGTAGGTGGGGTTGTGGAAGGTACGGAAGATGCTCCCAAACTGAGCGTTGAACAGGGCCTTGGTGATGCATCTGGGGAGGGAGAGGCGCGGCGTACGTCAGTGTGTGTAGCGTGCAGAGGAAAGGTGGTGTGTGAGTGTGAAATCGTGCGTGTGTGTGTGTGTGAGTGTGAGTGTGTCTCTGCTCACCTCAGCTCTTGCCGCTCCTTCATCCAGGCAGCCAGCACCTGCCTCGACTCTGCATCCTGATAGGTCTGGGGAAACGCGATGGGGGAGAGGGAGGTGAGCATGTATGTGGGGGGGTGGGCGAGCGTGCACCCCGCCTCCAGTTTACCAGCCCCTTTCCCCCCCAGTCGTCCCTACCTGCATGCGCTCGAGCAGCCCGGTGAGCGCCTGCTGCCAGGTCAAGGAGTGCATGTACTGCTCTGTGTTGATGATGCGGATCTCCCGCTCCAGCTCAGGGATGATGGCTCCCGTGCGCCAGCCATGCCGCAGCATGAGGTCCTGGAGGGAGGAGGGAGGGGTGGGAGGCAGACCTCAGCGCCAGCTCAAAGCACCCCTTCCCTCCCCTCCCGGGGCGGGGAGAGCCCTACCCCTCACCGCCAGGTCGCTGTAGAGGTGGTCACCGAAGTAGAGCACGCGTGGCCCACGCCATTCCGTCAGGCGGAGAAAGTCAAACAGGTTTCCCTGGGGAGCGGGGGACGCCGCTGAGCCAATTGAGCTCCCCGTGGCTACGGGAGCCGGGCTCTGCCCTTCACCAGTCCCCACAACTCTCCAGGGACAGCCAAAGCCAGCCGGATGCTGGGCTGCCCTTTCCCGTGGCCTCCCTGCCCTGTGGCCCTCACTACTCCCCGCTTCCAATAGGAAAGGGGGGGAGAGTTGGTCCTGCCTGCCGCAGAGCTTCTCTTGTAGGAGTGGATTGGCCCTCGCTCGACGGCCTCTTCCAGTGACCTTTCACCCACCCAGAGGAGGCATTAATCCCTGTTTGTGAGGGAGGAGGGCCCCAGGCTCTACAGCAAAGGTTCATGAAGTTCTTGTGAACCCCCTCCCCCCAGTCTCCACCCTGTGAACCAACTACAGAGCTTACTGGTGGTCTGCCAGCTGAACTGAGGCATCTCCAGCCCCAGGACTATATCTCAGCTAAGATTGTAGCCCGGGCCACCAATGCCCCGAATCTGGTCTCCCTTCCCAGTCATCACACAGGAAACTGGGAAGGGTGTGTTGGGCTGGCTCAGCTCATAAGCCGCCTCACAGGCTTGCCTCAGGACCCCAGCCAGGCTGCGCTTGTCTGTAGCGGTGTTCAGTGCCAGCTCTTCCCAGTGACCAGGGAACGTCCTAAGGCTTTTGTACCATGACTCGCGCGGGGCATTCGAAAGGATGAGCGAGGCCCTGAGGCGATGAGGCCAGGGCTCCCGGGCTATTGGGTAGATTTGGAATCCAGACCCAAGCAGTGTGACCAAAGGCCAAGCTCGCCTCCAGTATCGCCCAGGCTTGCTTCCTAATAGTCCTACCCTGGAGCCGTCGGCTCTAGGCCAACAGTGCAAGCCTGGTCAAGACCGGGAGGCCGCTCCTGCAGGGCCCAGGCCACCCACCAGGCACCGCTCCCCCAAATGGTCCTTACCTGCCGGTAGATCTTGCCCTTTTCCAGGCGAGTGATACGGTCCCAGTGGAGGGAACCCTTCTCATCGAGCTTTCGAAAAGGCCTGGGTGAAGAGCAGAGAGCCTGCCTTGTGGTCTTTGACAGAGCCACAGACCAGGCACCTTTCTCCTCATCCCTGTAAAGGCCCACCTGCCCAAGTAGGACCAGCGAGGGGGGGGGCGGGGGATGTCTCCATCCAAGCACAGAGAATACGCAGAGTCTGGGCCAGTCAGGTCTTGTGCCTGAGTCTTCTCATGGGGGTGGGGCGCCCGCCCCCTCCCACAACCCCGCCGTCCCCGTTACCGCCATACTTGCGCCGGTCGGTGAAGAAGTTGGGCTTGTCTGCCTGGACGATGACCACATCGAAGAGCTGGCGCCAGTCGGGGCCCACCATGTGCCGCATGCCCTTATCCCTGTGCAGAGGGGCAACTGGCTAGAGGGGGCATCTGGGGGCTGTGCCTGTGGCCCCGCCCCGTGTCTCCCCGCCCCCCCCATATTCTTCACAGTGGGCCTGGACTCACACGAAGCTAAAAGGACTGTTGGTGATGAGGAACAGCTGTTTTCCATGGGCCACCAGGCGGCTCAGGACCGCAAACGTTTCGTCCCCCCTCAGGATGTACTTCTCTGAAAGGGAAGGCGGGGTTGGGGGTCTGCCAGGGCCAGCTCGGTGGCCCTCTGCCCGGGGCAGGCCACGCCGAGGGCGGCTGTCCACCCTTACCCATGTCTTGTTCAATCCACTGGTACATGAGGCCCTTCACATGAACATCCCGGATGGCATCCTGAGGGGGGCAAGCGGGGTGGGGGGTTGTCAGTAAGGACATGCCAGGAAGGAAGGAAGGAAGGAAGGCCTACCAAGTTGCGAGCAGACTTCCCGCCTCATCTGAAGGGGCGAGCCCTGCCCCCTCACCGTCACGTCCTTGTAGAGGTGCACTTGGTCAAACTCCAGGCCATGGCCCAGAAAGTAGTCCACCACACAAGAGAGCAATGCCATCTCTGGCAGTGAGAAGACGTCCATAAACTGCTTGATGGACGGACCCTGGGGAGGGAGGCCAAGTCTCAGCCACTGTGTTCCAAGTACTGGCAGAGACCAAGGGGGTCTGCCGCGGGGCGCCAGCGGACCGCGTGACCTGTTGGCCACCGCCGCACGGGACGGTGCCAGCACCCACGCCAACATGGCCGGTGTGGGCGGGCTGCTTTGTTTGAGTGGGTACCTTGCCGTAGAAGCCGCTCATCTGGTAGAGTGGGATGTGCTGGGTGCCGCCGTACAGGTCGATCACCTCGTCGTCTGGCACAGGCTGGAGACCCCTGAGTTGAGGGTAAGTGGGGGTGGGGACAGATGCCCTCAGCCCGAGCCCAGGTAACCGCACAGGACGGGGACAAGGGTAGATTTAGGGTGGACCCAACACTAACCTGTATGCCGTTCCCAGTTGTACATAATGAAAAGCATCGATCTTCATCAGGAGGCTCTGGAAGCATTGCAGGGGGCAGGGCCAGTGGTGAGGAGGTAGGTTTTTTTTTTTTTGTCACTGGCCCTGAGCCAACTTCTCCCCAGTGACCCAGCAACAAAACCTCTACAGAAGCTACTAAGGGCCAGGGGGATCTGATAAGGGGAGGGAGAGGCTGAAGAAGCTGGCCCTGGACACATCTAGTCAGGAGGGGTCACGTCTAGCCGCTCACCTTCTGAATGTCATAGTGGAGGCCACGGATGGCAAAACTGGGGTCATAGTCGTACTTCCGGATTCCCTCAGGGTACTGTTGGGACAAAACGCCAGTAGCAAGCGCCAGCCCGCGGCTCAGGGTACCACGGCCTGCGGGTCGAGCTGGGTCCCGTTGGCTTTCCGGGGCTTGGCAGCCTCACCTTGTAGTGCTCTATCAGGATGTCCCGGGCAGTGCTGAAGATCTCGGGGTGCAGCGCGTCTGCGTACTGGGCCAGCGTGTAGTCGTAGTCAAAGCCGTAGACTTCAACGTCCCCCAGGCTGATCTCATTGTTGGCGTAGATGGCAGCTGGGTTTAGGAGGCTGCAGACTTCAGGGGGCAGAAGGTCTACAGGGGAGGAGACACAAGAGGACCGTAGCACCACGACGGTCGCAGTGACGGCAAATGGCCCAAGTCCTTTGTGGTCCCCAGCCCCAGGAGCCCCACAAGACGCTGGGTTTCGCATCTTAGCCCAGTGAAGTAGACGCCAAACTGAGGCTCAGAGAGAAGGCACGTGCCTCCTTAGGTCAGTCACAGAGGTCAAGCCCCCTTCCCTATGTCAATAAACTATCACCTGCAGTGCTCCACTGACAGGCTGGCTACTAGGTCCCACCAGACACAGACGTGTGGGAACCCTGGCGGCAGCCCTCAGGACAGTCGTGCCCCCACTCAAACCTGTCCAGGTGCGCCACTGTCCCCCGGCCTCATCTGTCTTCTACTCTCTTGGGGTTACCCGCCAAGGGCAGTATGCGGGGGCTGTGGACCCCTCCCGCAAGATGCTGGCTCCATTCTGACCTGACCACCGGAGGCCAAGGCCATGAATGCTGCTCTTCCTCTTCTCCCAGAGGCGGGGCTGGGGCCCAAGAACATCAGAGGCGTGGAGAACCAAGGCTGTCAACCTGGAACACCCGCCACAGCCCTGGGGAGGAAGGCCCCCTCTAATCGGATTCCAGCCGCCTGCCAGACCACATAATGACGTTCCCTGGCTGCAAGCTGGGGAACATTGCTGATTACCGCAGGCAGGATGTAAGATGTCGCATTTTTGGGACACTCAAAGCCTCTGAAAGAGTCGCAGAGGAAGGCTAACCCTGGCTGTGTGTCAGAAGGTTCTGGGGTCCTAGGATCACCTGCCTTGTCTTCCCTACCTGGAAAGTGGGTAGGGTGAATTTGGAGGAAAAAGGGCATGATGTATGACAGGACACCGGAAGCGAGCCAGGCGAGATCAGGCCCTCCCTCTCATGTCCGTGAATTCAAGAGTATCATCTCAGCCCCTGGGGCTTGTCTCTTCCAGAGGGGGAATAAAAACCAGGGCCAACCCACTCTGCGTGGCGTGTCTGCTCTGTACCTGCACAACACACGGGATCGAATGCGCGGTGTGCCTGAGCTAGAAGCCCTGTCCTGGGTCTCGCTTGGTCAGTCCCGGGGCTTTCAGGGGAAGGGGAAGAGGCGGGACTAGGTATGCGGGGCAGAGTCCAAATCTCCAGGGAGCCTGTCAGCCGCACCAATCACTCTGGCTCCACAGCATGCCTAGTGTGGTTCCAGTGCTGGGCAGACACCTTGTCTACGTGCTGCTGAGTTCTTGCCTCAGAGGCCCCCTGGGAACACAGGGCTCCACCCCTTCAGAGTCAAGTGAAGAGTATAGGTTCTGGGAACAGGTGTGCTAATTCCTCTGGTGGCCTACAGCCAGCAGCTGTCCTGAGGATCCCCGAGTAGAGATGGAGCCTCTTTACTGGGACATGTTGGTGGCCAGCTGATGACCTCCCTAACTGCTTTTGAGACGTCTCTCACCTGGTATCCCTAGGACCCTGGGCCTCAGCTGGACACACAGCTGGTAACTCCCACAAAAGGAAAGGGAAATGTTTTGTTTTTTTGTCTTCACGGGAAAACCCACCTCCAAACAGCGAAAAGATACTGAACGTGTGATACCTAAAGAAGAGAGGGTGGCTACCCAAAGGACCATCAAACAGAGAAGAATCTGATGTTTGGTATCAATGTCTAACTCCCTTAACCTTGTACTTATAATAATGTGTATTTCTCTTTACTTCCTAATGCTCTTTTGGTCCCAATTCACTTAGACCGAAGCTGGCTTTGGAGTGGGGTTTGGCCCTCCTCCTCTAAATCCAAGCATGCCGGTAAGATAAAATTCAGAGTTTCGGTATCAGATCACCTACATTCCTGGATGTCAGCTTCGTTTATGACTTGCCTTAGCCTCCTGAAAACCCCCAGGGTGGGAAGCACAGGCGGGGCATTTGTGGACTCAAAGCTTGCGGAGTACTGTGTCCATGCCTTACCTTTGCTTTCAAGGGTCTTCTCAGGGGCTATAAACCTTCCTGGGAACAGTTGTAGGGGGTGTGTGTCTGGCAATTCACAGGGGCCAAGGCCACCCACCTCATTTCTAGACCAAGGAAATCATAGCTCTGACTGGTGATGTGCTGAGCAGGCCCAGCAGCAGTCCGACGTGCTTACGATTTTTCTGTCTAGCCCCTCCTTTCTTCAGGTGTCCTAAGACCACTTGTGAGCCTTACAGCTCATCTCGTTCCCTCCTGCGGTCTCGTGAAGCCGCCATGCTTCTATCTCCACTGTCCGGAGAACTTGGGGACGTAGAGTTACCCAAACCATCCAGCACCAGGCAACTAAGTTGAGACGCATGTTCAGGCTGCAACCCCCCCCCAAGCTGCTGTAACCTCTCTTCTTTTTCTAGCCTTCTAGTCAAAGGAGGCCAAGCAGCGAAGGCGATGACGGTCCTCCACTGCTCTTTGAAGGGCTACTAACCCAGCCTGGTGAGGGGGCCAGGGCTCAAGAGGCATGAAGCTAGCTCACGTGGGCATGTTAGTGGGAGTGACCCTGCACACAAGAGCTCAGGGGCTCTACAAGGGTCTGAAGGTAGCACCCCCCCACATACCTCCAAGACAGGCCACTCGGGGGGGGGGTCCTCTAGATGCAGAAGAAAGACCCTGCAATATTCCCAATCCCTAAGAGCAACCATTCTCCAGAGGCCTCAAGTATTCCGACTGTGGCTTGTCAAGAGGTGAGCTCTGGGCCAACCTCCAAATCCCCACACAGCCAGAGTGGAAACCCCTGCACAGTCGCAGTTGGAATCGACCCTCCCCCTTCCCGACAGCGTCACCCTGTCTTCCCAGACAAAGCAGGTCACATCACCCCTGGGGCTTCCTCCCCCTGCTCCCGTTTGGCCTTGTTCTTTCTGAGTCATCGCCACAAGCCCGGGACTGGAGAGTGAGCACTCTGAGGGGTCCTGACAGGGTGTGAGGCCGAAGGCCGCCCTGCTGGGCAGCGATAGGGCCACAGCCCTGACCACATCTATCTGCTGCAGAGACAGGGCCCCACGAGACCCACCCAGACAAATGGACAGATGTTCCGCACTCAGATCTCCTGCCTCATCAGCCCGTTCCAGAGAGAGAAAGGGACGGGGAGGGGAAGGTGCCCCGTGCAGCTCTGGTTCAGACTACGGCCACATCCCGGGGCTGCAGGGGGGCCACAGTAACTTTTCTGTTCCTCCACCGCCCTCACTGAGCTTGTTTAAGAGTGCAGTCGACCGCCAGAGGCGAGCCTGAGAGGTGCCTGCAAATGTCCGGACGGTGTCGCCTTACATCGGGCGGGCGGTGAGCACCGCTCAGTCTTTGTCCACACAACTTTAACTAAAAGCCAGCGGAGAAGAACGGGCTGAGGTTTCCACCGCCGCTGCCCAAAGACTGGACCCGGGAGCTACACCCAGCGCCGCGTGCGCTCCAGGCATTCCAAGCAGCCAGAAAACCGAAGCTCCACTCGCCCGGGGAGTCGAGGCGCTCTGCAGCGGCACCTCGTAGCAACCCGATGGAGGCTTTTCAAAAAACGCCGTCTGGCCCTCAGGTCCTGGGACCCTGGCGAGCCACACTGGGGGCTTGCAGCGAGCTGCACCCGCGACGGCTGGGGACGGTGCCCCGGCCTCGGCTCACGCCCCCCACACCCCCGCGCACTGCCCCTCCCGGCGTCACCCACCGTGCACCAGCCTCCGCATGTCCTGGTAACGAGCCCACAGGTGCGCGCTGAGGTCCGCGCTGTCTGCGGGCGCCGAGCGCGGGGCGCTGGGGCAGTGGGCTCCGGGACCCGGCGGGCCGCAGCCAGGGCAGGAGGGTGAGGACGAGGCAGCCCGCGGTCCGCCGTGGCCTCCGCACAGCAGCCAGCGCCGAGCTGCCGCCCGCAGTCCCGCACCCGCCATGCCCCCTGCTCGCTGCCCCCGGCGCCCGTCCGCCCGTCCGCTCGCCCGCACGCCCTCCGACTGCCCGCCCGCCACCGTGGCCGCGTGCTTCTCAAGACGGCCGACCAATGGGCGAGGCGCGCGGAGCCCATCCGGCCAATGGGCGCGCCGCTCCGCCCGGAGGGGGCGGGATGTCCCGGGACGGGGCGGGGCGAGACCGGGAGGGGCGGGGCCCCGGCCCCCTCCTCCTTGTCCCCAGCTCGGCGCAGGGGCTCTGCGCGCCCCCTTCGGCCGTCGCGGTGGTGATGGCGGCGCCTTCCTCCCTTGAGCGCGGGAAGTCGCAGGCCTGGCTGAAGGGCCCGGGTCTCAGGGAGGCCCTGGACGGCCCGAGGGGCCGGAGCGCGCAGCTCCTCCTTCATCCCACCGGCTTTCCGTCCCTGCCCTCAGCCCCGCGTTTCCCCTGACCCCGCGGCCAGCGCTTCCGCCCGGCCCCCTCCTCTCCAGACGAGACCTCCTGCCCCGGAGCCCTGTGCCCCTGCCCGGTCTCTGGCCGATTGCACGTCGCACCGCGCGCCCGGTTCATTCTCCTGACGCACAGAGCTGTTTCTGGCTTGCAGGGACAAGCCCCGAGCCGGGTGTGACCACCTACCCTGCAGCAGGGCGGCAGCTCAGGCAACCTTTTCCCTCGTTTTACCGCCTGGTACCCAGCGCGGGTGACGGCCCGTGGGTTGTGTGCCAAGACCCTTGCGGCCGCCGGGTTCTGGTAAACGGCTGGGCCCGACAGTGCAGCCACACACCCGCTCGACGCCGCCCCTCCACCTGCTCGTTTGTTTAGCCTGCGGGTGTTGCTCCAGCCGGGCCGCGTTGGGTGTACACGGGCTGCCCGGCGGAGACCACGGTGGGCTGCTGTTGGGTGTGAGGCGCGTGCCGCGTGCGTCCGTCTGCAGCTCTCCGGCGCCCCGCGGACGGTCTGGCGCGGGGCGCTGGGCTGGGCACTGCAGTTTATGGGTGCCAGGCGGGTGGCGGAGCCCTTGCGGGTCCCAGCGGCCAAGGCGGGTGGTGGAGACGTGGTCACATGCGAACCTCTTCCCAGGGGTGGATGAATGCTCTGCATTTTCCAGTCCTCAGAACCTAGGGGACGGGAAACGGGTGCGGGGTGGGAGGGGGCTCGGGGCTTCGCTGCGTGGCTTCTTCCCGGAGGCCTGCGCTCCGGGGCTGGCGTACGGGGACGCACGAGGCCGCTCTGAGTCCTTTTCTGGTTCCCACAGCCTGTCCTTTAGTTCTCTTACACCGTTTGTCCTCGCAGCATCACTGAGAGGCACCGCGGGGTGTGTGGCCCGACGACGAAGCCACGCTTCGTCAACACCGTGGTGCTCTTCTGTCGGGTTGTGATGCACAGGAAAAGCACCTACGAGAACCTGAGTAAACCGTAATAACCCCGCTCATCACAGACTGATGCTGTTTTTAGGATACTCTGTCGTGGGCAGTTAACACTTTTTGTTTTGATAGTGATGAAGTTCAGTTTGCAAAAAACGCACATCGAAATGTTGTTGTTTTAGAAGCCAAGCCCCACCGGTCACACCCCGGGAATGAAAAGGAAGGCAGAGGAAGGCGTGAGTCGCGTAAACCGCGTTTCAGATTGCCTTCTTCGAGGAGGGCCGCCCCCTCGCTCGCAGATTCACAGAAAAAGATGGCGATGGCAGAGGAGGGGGCGCGGCAATCTACTCCCAGCCCCGGCCCCAGAGGCAGCAGGGCGTCGGGGCGGGCCTCGCCACGTTGGAGACTCCGCCCCTCGGGGTTGCTCCGCCCTCAGAGCCTAGGCGCCTGCGCAGGCTTCCCCGGGCCCGCTGAGGCTCACGGAGCACGCGTGCCATGACGGGACTCTGATTGGAGAGTCTGAGCGTCCCGCCACGCTCTGATTGGCGGAGCCGACCACGCACGCTCCGGTCTGTCAGCTGCTGCGCCCGGACTCTCGCGGCCTGGCCGGGTCTCTCAGTCCGCGGGACACGGCCCGGAGCCTCCGGACTGCTCCTGACTCCTCCAGGAGTAACAGTCCGCCCCGGTCCCGCCCGCACCCCGCCTCGAGGCCTCGGCCATGTTCTCCAGGGCCCAGGTGAGGCGAGCTCTGCAGTGGGTGCCCGGGAAGCAGCGATTCGGCATCTACAGGTTCCTGCCCTTCTTTTTTGTCCTGGGAGGGACGATGGAGTGGATCATGATCAAAGTGCGCGTGGGCCAGGAGACCTTCTGTAAGTGGGGGTGCAGCAGCCTCCGTTTCTCCCGTGGGTGTGCGAGTGCAGGCCGCCGACTCCTCTCGGCACAAGTGCTCTCGCTCATGCTCGTGCAGCGCGCACGCTCCGGGGACCCTCGGGGCGCCTGCATTTTGCTCCCGTGGGCACCCAGGCCTCCTCCCCCGGCACTCCACCCAGGCTGTCGTCCTTTGTAACCTGTCCTTGGCCCTGCCTGTGGTGACGCTGAGCCTAAGGAACACGATTGCTCACATGCGGAAGGGACAATCCTTAGGACTCAGAAGTTCCGGCTAAGTCACCTGCCCATTGAGGTCTTTAGCGAAACTCTGGAGGACGCTAGCTTGCCTAGTCATTAGTGCTGTTTCTTTGGCCCAGAGCTGTGCAAAGAACGTCTGGGGCTTCTGTGGGCTAACCCTTGGCACTGCCAGTTCCTTCATGGTTTCTCCCAACCGCTGGGGCCCTTTGTTTTGCCTCTCAAGTAACTATAACTTGAGAATTGCCAACTCAAAAATTTTAAGTTGTTACGTCAAAGCTTTCATTGATTTCTTTCTACTTTGATAAAGGCCAATGCTGGCCTTGAATCTTCAAACTTGCAGCCATCCTCTTGCCTCAGCCAAGTGCTGGGATTGCAGCACCGGCCACCCCTCAAATATTTAAAGACCATCCAGGAGGATCTAGCGAACAAGGCAGAGGACTGCATTTCATTAGGGTAAATGGGGATAAGACTAGATGTAGCCTGGTGGTAGAGCACTTACTTGACCCCTGTCCCCCTCATTAAGCGTGTTTTGAGGAGTGTGAGCCGTTCAAGAAATCCTGCTCGGGGACCTCATTGGATCAGGTGTGGGAAGGCTTTTGGGAAAGGTAGGGCGTTTAGGACTGTCAGCCAGATAGGGAAGGACCTGTGAAACTGCCTTCATGCCCGTGAAGTGTTTGCGTATGCTGTTGCTGTTTAAGAGTTTCAGCAGGACCGAGGGAGAGGTCACATGGATAGAAGGGTACCTGGGCAGGGCCAGAAAAGAACTGGACAAGAGTACCTCTTAATGACTGAAAGGGCTTTTTTGGAGAGATCGGTACACACACAGGCAGTGCGTGTTGGCCAGATTTGAGATGATGGCCTCTTGTAAGGGACGAAAGGAATGCCAGGAAGTGGGTGAGGCTGAGGCAGCCGAGAGGTAGTGCTGAGCCTGGTAACTGAGACCGGGCGTGGAGACGTTTCCCAAGAAAGCTTCAGGTGCACAACACAGGCAGGCTGATCCTGGGTGTCACGGAAGACAGGATGAGATGGAGGAGTTTGGGCCAGATACCTGGATTTGCAGACCTTTCAGCTGAACTGTGATGGAAGCGTCAGGCACATTTAAGGTGACTTGGAGTGGTCAGAGGGAACACCAGGAAGTTTATCCTTGAAGACAGCTGATAAGGAAGTGTGAGTGTGAGGGGGAGGCCGACCATCTGCTTAGCAGAGGCTGAAGGATAGGCAAACAGAGGAGATAGTAGGGGCTGCCCATGGGCTGTGGCTTACTTGGTACTTGTTTTGGTATGCAGGAAATTTTGGATTCAATCTTCAAGGAAAGTGTGAGAAGGAGTTGGGGGGGCTGGGAGACTGCACTTTAGAAGTACTAGTGTCCAGTGGGACCAGTCTTAAAAATCAGCCCGAGTTCTTTACAGTGGCCTTTCTCTGAGAAAGAAGGTCTTAGTCATTCACGGCTGAGCTGTGTTAATGGAATCGGTTAGAGGTGCCTCAGGCGGCAAGAACTGAAACGAGGGGCAGCTGGAGCAATCTCTGGTTGGGGTCTTGGAGGGCAGTTAAGATAGTGAGTAAAGTGGGAAGGAACTTCAGCTGGGGGGGGGGGGGACAAAGGCCAGAGGGACAGCAGGAGGTGCTGGTGAGTTCAAGGACAGGAAAGCTAGGGGGAACACTGACAGGAGATATAAAGGAGGCCAAGGGGGCTGGCGCTTCACCCCCAAGAATTCAGGTGCTAAAAAGGCACCGGTGGAGAGGCGGTAATGGAGAGAGGGAGAAGATGGCAGTCAATAACAAGCCCCAAAGGAAGAGGATTGTAAAAAGGAACATGTTATTTTTAACATGAGGGTAGAGAATTGTAGTCGGGAAAAGCGGCCGCTGAGGACAAGGAACATTACTTCCCTCCTTACTCAGGTTTTAGGACCCTGGGAAGGGGGCAGCAGAAAGCCCTGGGTCAGGAGAATTTGGAGAACAGATAGATATGCCAGGACATGATTCTGTCTCTGAGAACACTGATATTTCTACTCTTTTGTTATCTCATTCGGCTCATTTTATTTTGTTAAATTGCTTATTTGCCACTGAGTTACACAATGTTGAGAGTCAGACAGTCAAGTCAGACTTGTTGCCATGGGGGCTGTTTCTAAACCCGATCTTTAGCTGCTGTGCTGGAAACTGCCCTCAGGGCTTTCCTTATGCATGGCAAACACTCTGCCATGGAGAAAGACCCCTAAGCTCTTTTTAAAAATTCCCCAGTTTCTTAAAATCTAAGCAAAATTTTTGTTTGATACAGATGACGTCTACCGTAGAAAAGCTTCAGAAAGACAGTATCAGAGAAGGCTGGAAGATACATCAGAGACCGATCTCCATAAGATAATAAAGTAAATACGAATTTTCAGTATTGATTTCAGCCATTTTGTGCTTCTATAGTCTCACTTTTGCCTAGGCTGGCCTTAAACTCAGGGAAATCCCTGCCTCCGCCTCCTTAGGCCCATTAAAAAATTGTACTCTTTCAAGGAGGCTAGTGAGAGCAGCTAAGAGAGCTGGCTGCTCTTTCAGAGGGCCTGGGCCCAATTCCCAGTACCCTCAGGGCAGCTCACAACCATTTGTAGCCCCTACACCCTCTTCTGGCCTGTTCAGACACTGAACACTTATGTTACACAGATATGCATGCATGAAAAACTTTCAATTGCCTTTACAGATGGTTTGCATAGTTCTACAGTTTCTACTTCACTATATCCCTAGTCGCTATTGTATACAATTTTCTTAAAACTCAACTTGTGTGTTTCATTCATGAAATATTTCTTTTGCTATTCAAAGATTAACCAAGATGTTTTGCAGTGCAGTCTGGATTATTTGTGAAGCCTTTTAAAGAAAAGTTTATTTTTTAATTACCTGTGTGTATGTGAGTGCAGGTATATGTGGAGTTCCCCTAGAGCTGGAGGGGGTGCGAACTACCTCATTAATGCTGGGAATCATTGAGGTCCTCTGGATGAGCAGAGTGTGCTACTAACCGCGAAGCTATCTCTCTAGGCCGCCCCCTTGTTTCTTTTTGGTGTAATTGCAATGAAACCATGGCCTTTCTTCTCCTTTACAGGATCACCTTACCTAGGGTTAACTGCACAGGTTGCATTTCTGTCCTTTGCCAACTTGTAAGCTTTTGCGAGAGTAGAGGCTGCAGATGCTCAGCGCTCGCCCCAGTGCAGGGCTGCGAGACTAAAGATGCAAAGCTGGCACACAGTTGAGTGGAGTCAGACAACCGGGCAACCTGACCCCAGTGTAAGTTAGATCACTAGTAAAAGGAATCCCACGTTTTCAAATAGGAAAGTGACCTGCAGCCTAGAGAAAAAGTAAATTTCAAAATATTATGAAGAAAGAAGCTGGTGTTTAAAGGCCATGGGGGTAACAGGTAACAAACACTTCGAGGTAGAGGCAGGAGGAACAGTAAGTAGTTCAGGGCTAAGCTGGACTACATAAAAACCTTGGCTTGAAAAAAAAAAGAACCAGAAAGTCTCAACTTTTTTCCAGAAACTTTTTCCTATTTTAAGTTTGTCTGCTAATGCTAAGACCAATTCAGTGTAAAAAGAAGTCGTATCTGTTTAGATGGTGTCAAAGTACTATGAACACAAAGTTCAACTCACTGTCAACAATACTACTACTACTACTACTACCAGGCAGAGAAATGTATGGCACATAACCTGCCCACGCGTGTCATTTAGAGTGTGAAACCCCAGAGACCCTTTGCATCGATTCAGTTGCTATGTAAGCAATTCTCAACTCTGTGGTTACACTTCCAGTTTTAGAAGGTGAAGAGCACTCAGCATGTGTTGAGTAATAGTAAATGCCAATACAACTATTAGCCAGCTTCTGTCTGCTACAGTTCCTTCTCTGCCCCTCTATCTCCTCCCCATCACCCTTATTAACGAAACAACTCGAAAATGGCAGGACAACTTGACTTTGAGATTTAATGTAAAACAGTTTCAGAGCACATTAGTTTGGAAGTAAAGGAATATCAAAATGTCCTGCCACATATGAACCACCACCAAGATATGGAATACATTAATACCCCAGACAGGCAAAAGTGATAGTCAGCCAGCCAACCCAGCATACTCTCCAATTAAAAAGGAACAAAGACACTTCGAGGTATTTGTCTGTGCAGTGCTGGGGTGGGAGAAAACACTTGTTGATTTCACCATCATTTTTTACTGAAAGTAGAACACATTTTAAGAACTTGTAAACCTGTTTAAGCTATTTAAAATGAGTTACTCTGCTGTCTGATGGAGTATACACTTCCTTCACTGTCTGCCCTCAGTAACCTGCTCTTCAGTTTTGAAACCTGTGTTTTGTTTCTGCCCATGCTGCCAATCCTGAGGACACGGTAAGAATTCTTTGACTACCAGCATGAGGGACGTGGGGCATGTCAGGCTGAAACTGGGTTCTGCACATTGCACTCAACCATGACCAGAGGAGCTTTCTTCCTTGAGCTGGTAGCCCTATCTTCCTAAGCAGGAAATCAGAGCTTGTGCGAGTTGTTTTCATTCTGCTCAGACCATTTGAACACAGGTTTAACAGAACCACCAAGTCTGGCTAATCCAAATCACTTTGCAAACTCTTGTTTTTATTTGGATTAAAAAGCTTTGTTGAACAAACATATGATACATACACGGTATAGAACCAGTTACCACTTAAACTTCAGATAATGATATAGTACAGAAAATAGAATAAACCACTTTTTAATCAGGCCTGGAAACGAACGTTCAAGCTGAAAGTTATAACATTAATTTGGGGATTTTACACAAGTGTCCCTCACTCCCACCCGAGTTCAGAAGGAGAAGGGAGATTTAGTAAAACCAAGGTCTTTTAAATCAGTTGGCTAACATTTTAAACCTATAGGTCCCCCAACTCAACAGAAACAAAACTCTTCATAGGAACTTATATTTTGAAAACAATTAGGTCATTATATTTCTTAAGCCACATTACTACAGTTCTTAAGTCATGAGAAAGTGTATTGTTTACTTGTACTGCCTTAAGTCAAGCTTTTTCTTTTTTTTGAAGATGACTGATCTCAAATCCTATATCCTAAGTAATAACTGGTATTCTCTAAAAGCATGATTCTAAAATAAATAGTGTCTTAATGGTTTTAATTAATTAATTGTTTTTTAAACTTCATCAGGGCCTGCTTTAGTGACCTGCTGGGCTGGGTCTGTGCTCTAAGGGAGCCTGGGCTGGCTGGAGGTTCCTCCAGCACTAGTGCACCGGGAAGGAGCCAGCTGGAGGAGTGCCCTGGCTTCTGGTGCCCCTGGTTGCTGACAGTGAAGGGTTTTTAGAGGCTCCTAGGGAGCTGCATCTAAACCTTTAAACAAGAGAAATAAAATGAGTGCATGAAATAAATAATTTAACCAAAATGAAGTTTCTGGTTCTTTGGTGTAATTCAAGGGTACCTAAAAAGAAAAGGATCTGATTACATTTCATAGTCCATGATGAGCCAAGGGTCCAAATGACCAGGAATCAAATATTTATTTAATTCGGTTTAGCAGTAAGGTACTAGCATAATCTGCAGTACATTTTTTTTTTTAATTTAAAATTCTTTAAAACACTTGATGAAAACTGAGATGCAGTGGCTGACTACTGGCATTAAGTCACAAGGGTTCCTGGATTCAAAGCAGATACCGGGGACTTCTTTCCATTATAGACTCTCATGATTTATTAAACATGGCAATTAAACACGAGTACTGATTCATTGTATTTTAAGGGAAAAGACTGTCTTTTGACAATCATTCTCAGCGCAGTGGCAGCATCAGCATAACATAACCATCCTATTAGAATAAAGTAGGCTTCAAAAACAGACCACCATGTAAAATGGTGCCACCTGAACATTGTACACCGCCTCAAATGTTTATTCTAGGGCTGTGTCAGAAAGACAGGGCTGCATTGGCTGAGCATTATAGCACCGCCTTTAATCCCAGCACTTGGGAGGAAGAGGATGGCAGGTGTGAGTTTGGGGCTATCCTGGTCTATACAGTGAGTTCCAGTCCAGCCAAAGTACATAGTGGGACCATGTCTCAAAAAAAGAAAGACAAGGTCACCAAGTCCAAGTGTTTGGGATCTGTAATAGTCTTTTTCTGTGAACATTTTAAAGTATAAATTCCTTTTTCCATAATCCAAAGCACAAGCTGAATTTAAAAACATTTTAGAAAGTATTATTTCTGGTTGAGAATTCTAGCCCTGAAACAAAGGAAATGCCACAACTGATAACAAAGAAATAAAGAATCCAGAGTATCTGCGTATGTAGGCAGGCTACCCTTGCACAGTTATGTTACGTGCAAGACACAGCTTGTGTCCATGGACATTCCTTCTTAGGTTAGGCATTATGCTTAAAATAAACCACCTCCATACATACTTTAGTACTTTCTTCAATGTTTTTCAAGGCAACAGATGTAAAGTTTCAAATTATATAACATGAAGGCATAAACTGAATCATAAACAGATCGTAAGTACTCAACTTACCTTCCAACACTAAATATAACTCAGATCTGGGCACATGGTCTGCAAAGTCACTGACAATACAGATGTTAAGCTCAGCACAGTAATTTTCCCTCAGTTACACTGGTTGTGGATGGACACAAGCACTGACTGTAGATTTCTATAGTGAGCTTCTGTGTTAATACAGCAAATATGTTGAGTCTGTCACACATCTATAGTCTATAAACAACCTTTCACAGCACTTTGCTTTGCCTGTAAGAAAACCTGCAGATATTTAGGCATGTGAAACATACATATACACTCCTCTAAGATGTAAACTAGGACCAAATTCACATTTCATTTAAACTAATTTGTAAACTCTGTTTTTTTTTCATTTTTCTTGTGTGTGTATATATATATAATATATATATTTATAAAAAAGAAAACCAAACCCCAAGCCAAGCCAAAACCTTTGATGATTTTAAGTCCCTTAACAAGTAAAGATAAAACTATGACTATATATATATATAACCAATTATGAAACTGGTTTTAAACAAAGGAAACATATGCAAAAAAAAATCTGTGTATTTGATAGTCAACTTAATATAACAAAACCAAGTTGAAATAGCTTATTAAAAGTGTCCTTATATAAAATGGCCTTGTGATGTACAGTAAAATGCAATAAAAATGACCAGCCTTTGTTCCTCCCCCCCACCCCCAGTAACTAAAATGGCTACCGTTCCCACAACTCTTTGCTTCTATAGAAGAAACACAGTGATGAGATTAAACGTTTTCTAAGTTGTATGCTTGTCGAATGTTAAGAGTGTCCCGAAGCATTAAATCCCGAAGGCGCCAGAGGGCATCTGCCATGGTGGTGTGTGCCCCTTTACTTTTGAGCCAGTGAGAAGGTAGGCGGCTCTCCTGTTCTTTTGACAAATGGACATCCCGTCTTCGCGCTAAAAATGTGATGTATAAACAGAGAGACATTTGAATTTTAAGATGACTAAATGACCCTCAGTTTTAAGGGTTGATGTATCATTAAACCGTGAATATGTGCTAAAGATTGTAAGTCAGCAAATTTCTTTTATTAGGCACTAATATCTGACCATTGATAATTTACTGTAGATACCCCTAATATTAGCAATTGTTTCAAAGTTACAAAAGATGATTGAAGGGAAAAGATACTAAATTTTTTTTTTCTCAAAACAAGGTTTCTCTGTGTAATAGTCTTAGCTGTCCTGATACTAGCTTTGTAGACCAGGCTGGCCTTGAACTCACAGGCATCCACCTGCCTCTGCCTCCCGAGTGCTGGGATTAAAGGCATGCGCCACCACTTAACGGCTATACCTAATATTCTTAAAGGAGGTAACATTTCCTCGCTGGGCTCAGAAATGATAAAGAGCCAGCAGTGGTGACTCACACCTTTCATTCCAGCACTGAGGGAGGCAGAAGCAGGAGATCTCTGTGGTCTACACAGTGAGTTCCAGGACAGTCTGAGTTACACAGAGAAACCCTGACTCAGAAAACCAAAACCAATCAATCAAACAAAAAAGAAACAAATAAGGAGCTCGCTCAGTGGCTAAGAGCATTTGCTGCTCTTTCAGGGGTCTGATGTCTTCTGGCCTGAGGACACCAGGCATTTATGTAGTGCATATAGAAATATATAGGCAAACACTCATAAAATAAAATCTTGAAAGAAATGAGTAAGAGTTGGGTATGGTAGCAAGCACCTGTAATCCCAGCTCTTAGGCAGAGGGGGGAGGACTGCCAATTGAAGGAAAGCCTGGGATTCATGGAAAAGCCAACCAAGCCACAACAAAAACCAAAACTCAACTAGTATCCGGTGCAGAAAGTGCTAGCTGCACAAGTCTGGCTGTAACCAGGAGTCTTCATTCCACACAGAAGGCAGACGTGCTGGGTGTAAGCTATCCTGGTAATTCTAAGGACAGATGGGAGTCAAATGAGAAATGCCCAAAGTTCAAGGGGCACTCAGCCTAGAGTCGGTAGTGCAGCACACTACACACACACACACACACACACACAGCCACACACACACACACACACAGCCACACACCATCCATACACACACACACCCATACACACACACACCACCCATACACACACACAGACACACCCATACACACACACACCACCCATACACACACACAGACACACACACAAATTCCTTTTTTAAAATGAACAGGCAAAAGCTTCCAAGTTCTTTTCCAGATACTAGGTAACACAATTCACTATATACTACAGACACACTGTCTGTTGAACAAAATGAATAGTTTGGAAGACCAAAGAAATATGCTTTCCAGTTTTTTCTTTTTTTGGTTTTTTTGAGACAGGGTTTCTCTGTATTGTTTTGGAGGCTGTCCTGGAACTTGCTCTGTAGTCCAGGCTGGTCCAGAACTCACAGAGATCCGCCTGCCTCTGCCTCCCGAGTGCTGGGATTAATTAAAGGCATGCGCCAGCAACGCCCGGCCCAGTTTTTTTCTTTTTAAAATCTGACATGCATTCTAATACTCAAATATCTGAGAAAAGAACTGAAAAAATTAATGTATTTGAGAATACGGTAGTATGATACTGAGCTTTGATTTTTTTGGGGCCCATTTTCACTGGGTTAATGTGCAAAGAACCCCATCTGTTGTATGAAACATCCAGTTCATTTTACTGGTGTAAGACAAGGGCTGAGGCAGCAGAAACGGGAGGACTGGGAGGAAACGCACAGGCCACCAAGGCTCTCCTCACCTGCCAGAGTTTGGTCCCACTTGCTGATGCTGTTGGACTCAGCGCTGAGCCCTTCAATATACTTCAGGTAGGCCTCTGAGTGGAGGAGCCTTTGGGTCTTTGGTGGGGGAGCCACAAACATGGGTGTTGTTGGCTGCTGTATGACAGGGGGGCCAGTTGGATGAGGACCAGGATATGGAGGTGGTGCCTGCTGCCCTGGAGGCCCCAAAACTCCTACCTGAAAGAACATGGGATTAAGGCAAAAGGATAATCTGCACATGTTCTGAGAAAGCAGTGGCTACAAATCTTTTGTGTCCAAGGAAAATCAAACTAAGAGACTCACCTGTTGTCCATATGGACTTCCACCTGGTGCTGGAGTCCCTACCATGGGGGCTACTCCTTGGTTCATCACACCTATAATTCAGAATGCAATGGTATAATTAGAGGCTCTGAGTTTCACTGACTGAAAAACTGACAAGAGCTGATATCATTTATAATGCCAACCTATATACCTTTGCCCTTGAGTGTGGATAGGAACCTTAGGAACCCCAAACAATTTAATTAGGAAATTTATATTCTTTTGTTTCTGGTTACTTCAAGCACAGCAATAGTACATTTTGTCATAGGTACATTTATTATTCCAGGCTTAGAATGTTTTGAATCCTGCTTAAATTCTGGGGAACCTTGGGTGAGCTATAGTCACACACTTCTGTTGTCAAGGCACTTTTCTGACCACAGTCTTCTGCAATTGGAGCCTGTGGGATCAGGCTCAGCAGTCACCACTGTGCTGGGCAGGAAACAAGGGCTGAGGAAGAGCAGTTACCTGAGCCTTGTGGAGGCTGGAGGCACTACCTTACTTTCCTCTGCAGGACCTCAGGCACTAATGTGCAGGGAGAAGGATTTCAGTGGGTCAGGTGGAAGCAGTGTAGCCCTGTTGCCATCACCTTGGATTCCAAATGACAAAGGAATAGAGAAAGACTTCATTGCCCTATTCTCTCTGATAATCATTGAGTCAATTTCCTTTGGTAGATGTTCATGAGCAAGTGTTGTCCCATAGGCACTAGCCGATAACAATGGGCTCTCCTAAATTTAGTTTTTAAGGCGCTTTTAACCTCAGGGCTATATGTTTGCTATTCCAACCACAACCAGACCATTTAAAGCCATTCCTAGCATAGCGCAAGTCCTGCTAGCATTATGTACAGGGACAGGAGGAACTAGCTTCCTGTCTTCTGTCCCTGATTAAAATGCTGTGTACGTTAGCACACACTTGTAATCCCAGCACTTGGGAAGCTGAAACAGGAAGATCACTGTGTGAGGCCAGGCTGGGTTATATGTAAACTATACATATGTCTCTCCCAAAGCTACCATTTTTGACAGGCAGAATATTGGTCGTTTGAAGGTTCAGAGTTCTTAAGTGTCAGTTCCAGGAAGTACAGGCATTTTACTTGTTACAGAGAGGGGGAGAAAAGTGAATCAAGTTTCTGTTTAAAAAGGAAGAACACACCAAGTCCTTGCAAGTGTAACCCAATCACCACAGCTGTGTCCTGGTGATTTAGGGATTGCACAAAGAAGCAATGGCTTCAGCAACGTGTTACTAAGTCATGGTCCCAGCCTTTCAAGTTGCTCTTCTACCTTACACTCTGTTACAGACTTGGAGACTCCCCAAACTGGCTGTATCACAGATCTGCAGGGCAGCACCAACAAATCAGCAACCTCCTCCACTTCCTGTTTACAAGTACCAGGCCTGGGGTAGCCACTGAGAATGTGAGCTGAGAGGACAGATAAGTCTCTTGAAGCTCAGAGCCAGGCCAGCTGTGCATGGGCACGCAGTTCTGTCTCCCTGACTACTACTGGGTGTTCTGTGCTCTCTTCCAGTGCAGTTCAGACTCTGGAGGCAAAAGAAGCGAGGGTAACAATGCCCCGCACCCACCAAAACACAGCTGCTGTCTCGGGGTGTGTACTTGCCTAAAGCAGGGCTTCTATCAAGTGCTATATACATTTACAAGGTGTCAACGCCAACAAGGTTTTACCGATTGACTCAGAGAAACCTTGTGCCAAGGTATGAGGGCACGATTTAGGACCAAGTTCATTTGCCATGTAAGAAAAATTATTTTCCGATTGACCCCTGGTGCCACAGCCTCTCACATGAGCCACCACATCCAGAGTAGAGCATGAGTGCCGCAAACATTTCTCCCCTTTGGGGCATTTTGTAAACATCTCTGGTAGAGCTTTGGCCATTCTCTAGGGATGCACAGAGTGTGGCCAAGCTGCAGGGGTGGTGTGCATGCCTGTTGTCCCTGCACTTGGGTGGGTGGTCAGGCAGTAGAATCCTGAGTTCCAGGCCAGCTTTGGCTACATAGCCAGATGCTATCTCAAAAAAAAAAAAAAAAAAAAAAAAGAAAAAGAAAAGAAAAGTGCAGTGGAGCCAGCATTTGATCCCCTACACGTCACATAGAACCTTACGGGCGTCCAAGCATGACAGGCTCCATCTACATTTCACATGGGTTTTGGCTGAGATGACATTTCAGTAATGGATCAACTGCTGTTCCAAGTCATTTAAAAGTCACATTTCCCCCAAAGTTAGTTCTTTTGCATATGATGGAAATTATTATGGAAACTTGTGATTTTGCAATCTTTCAACTTTCATTATAATGTGAAACAATGTACTGGTTTCTGAGCTCCGTTTATGTATTTCTACATAAAACAACTTGTGGGTTCTGTTGACAAGCAAGTTATGTCCATAGCTATCAGGGTGTTATTTAAAGTGTCATGCCTGTTAGGGGACTCAAGACTAAATCAATACAAACTCCCCCCTTCCTAAATTTGTTACAAAGTAAAGGGTTTCTGAAGAGCTTCACATAGGCTACTCTGTGACCACCTTAAAAGGGCTGTTCAGAGGAAGAGATGGTGCAGGTACTCTACAATGAAGACTTTGTGAGGCAAGAATTTCATCAGGTGAAGAAATGCACTTGACTCTCAACTGGCAATCCACTGATGAGGGTTGTGGCCCTCCAAGCTTTTCAAGCATGTATCTGATAAGGAGTCATGCTCCTGCTCCGTGATCTATGGGTCTGGCCTCTGCAATGCATCCTGTGCTGCTGCCAGGTAGCAGATGCACAAGGGCACAGGTAGGAGGTCGCCTGCTCAACATGTAGAATGGGCCCTACTGCTCACATCTCTGGGATTCTCAGGAAAGCCTGGCCACCATGGGCAGCAGGTGCCTCCTGGAAGAACTGGCTGAGGGAGGAAAAAGAATTAAAAAATGAGATTAATGAGTGAATGAGGATGAAGTTCTTACCGGGTGGTGGGATGCCTGGGAGGCCAGGCACACCTGGCGGAAGATGGTGAGGTGGAGGCCCCCCAGGGTGAAGTGGCTGCATGCTGCCCATGCTAACAAGGCCATCAACTGGGCCCTGCAAAGGTGGAAGGCCTGGCGGATAGCCACCCATCATGCCTTGAAGGACACAACAAATTTCAGACATGCATCATTAACATGCAACATGAGCTAAGTAATAACAACCCCCTCCATGCACTACCAATGAATAAAGCACCCTTAGTACTGCATGATACAACAGCAATTAGTGCAGTTATTTTGTTGCAGTAATGAACAAAATAAAGTTACAAATATGAAACCCAACATTTTTGGATGAATTAGTACTTAGTAAATTATTGTTTATAGTTATATTCAATAAGCTAAGCTAAACAAATTGGTTTCATTTAATAATAAAGAAGAGTTCTAGTAACAGCTTTCCCAAGGTTGAAACTATTTCAAGCTGCTCAAACACTGACCAGTTCTGCCACCTGCAATTCCAAGTGATCAGTACCTACCCCATTACTCCACTCTGCCCGCACTCACATCCCTATCGTGGGTGCACATGAAGGGAAATCAGAATGGAGGGAATGAGGTGCACAGTCCTGATCACAAGGCATGGTTCTCCAGTTTGGGAGGAAAAAAGTTTCAAGACTTCTTCATATACTCCTCCCTTCTATCTCCACCACTGCTGTTAAGAATGGATTATGTTAAGGTATGAGCTGGAGAACAACTTCTAACACCCATCACATTGAATAATATTTCATCTTTAGATTTCAAAATATGTTAAGGAGAAATCTAAATCTTCTCAAGCCAACTAAATTCCAGGTGGCTGAGAAACCTACATGCAGCAGGCCTGAAGGAGGAGCATCTGGAGCGTCAGGCTCTGCTGGCAGGGGGAGGCCAGCAGTCATCACTGTCTCCAGGGTCCCGAGTCCCTCATGTAAGCCTTCAGCTGACAGGCATTTTAACTGAGGTACAGAAGTCCTATGCACAGAGGCTTTTGTTCTTTTATTTTCCAAGCATGCCGTCATATAACATGTTACAACAAACAAGTATTTTTGAAAAAGGGGAGAAATAAAGCTATTTCAGTAAGGACTCACCTATCCAAAAAAAAAAAAAAAAAAAAAAAAAAGAAAGAAAAAGAAAAAACAAAACACGACTCTCCTGGAATTGTAGGAGTCTGAATGAATAAAAGCTTCCCCTGGAGCAGAGTCACTTTTAGGCAGTTTCTCACAGGGGAAGGGCAAAGGCAGAGCACCAAAATACTCTTGGAAGAGAATTTCAGTTTTACTTTGAAGAGGTACTAGAAACCACTTACTTGTACAAGTCTAGTCTTTTAAAGCTATGGCATACGGAAAATCCTGAAACTGACTCATCCTCCTCCTTAGCCATACCTAAACTGGCTAGAAAAAACTTACAATTACACAAAACAAATGTGAAATATTTCTATACATGAACTAGGATGCATTTCAGTTTTTAAGAGTTCAAGGTTAAAAATGACTTTGAGGAGATACCATCATCTTAAACATGATGAGATCCAATGTTGCCAAACTGCCCTTTCAACACGCCACCAGGTACAGCTTTTAAGGATAAGTAGGTGAGAAATTGAACAATGTTAGGAGGCTTTGCTTTCAATTACAAAAGCCCATCTGAACGCAGCCATCACAGGCTGTGGTTGAAGAGTAAGGTATTAAGAACTGAAAGACACGACACTTGTCTTCATTAAACTGTACTTTGGCATTTATTATCCCAGTCACATGTGTTCAAATGAGCTTCAATGCTTGTAAGCAAAGCTGGTCTCAGCCAACAAGAAGGCTAAGACTCAGGCCCTAAGCAATCCGGACTCCATGAAAAATCACCCTCTTAGCTGCAAAACTCTCCCTGAGGACCAAGGCTCTTTACTGTAGAGATTCTGCCCTTCACTCCTAGGCCCACAAGCCTGGACAGCACACCTTAAGTATCAGAGCAGTGGTCTCCTAGAGGGACTGCCTTCCTCACCCACAGAGCTATATGATGCTATTCCCCAACAGGGAGCTAAAATGCTGCAGCTGCTAATTTTTGTTTCTTTTTAGCTATTTGTATTCATTTTGTTAATATGTTCCTGGGTTTTGTAGTCAAGGACATAGTACCACAGTATTATACATCAAATAGAACAAAAGAGTATGTCAAATGAGGGAAGCCTAACTTTCAAAGTCCCCATGATCAAGACCTGATTCCTGAAAACCCCTGGCACCCCATTAACCAAAATGGGCCATGGAATAGAGCAGGCGATGGTGAGATTTGTTAGATCAACATCAGTCACACTGAAAGCACTGACAGCCATGATTCAGATGTGCTTTGGCGAGTGCAACTGCTGAGCTCAGCGACAGTGCATTTGAGAACTTGCCATCACAAAAGTTAGGAGCAACAATGGAAAAGTTATCCTATGCACTCTTCCTCTAAAAGCAAAAACAAAAAAGGCAAAAAAACGAAAACGGCAAGAACAAAAAACAGCAAAAACAAAAACAGTATCCCAACAAAGCTGCCTTGAACAACACTGTCTTGGACTCCGTGCTAAAGAGGTCAGACTGTTGTTTAAGAGGAAACACAGGTGGCTTGTACAGACCTCAGCAGACGTGGAGAAGTAACAAAGGAAGGCCTGAGAGGTGGTCTGCAGGCTTTTCATGGAGACACGTCAGACAAGATTCCAACTCAACAGTAGTCAAGTTTGCTATGGCTACCAGAATCAGAGACAACACACACAAACAAACCACATTCATCATTTTCTTTTCCTTTTCTTTCTTTTGTCTTATTCATTAGTTTATTTAAATATGTGACTGGGATACTAACAGAAAATGCAGTTTAATGTAATTAAATAGAAAAGCATTACAGAGTGGGCACAATGAATTGAATGAGGACTTCCCCCCCTACTTAGCAGTCATGCACATTGGTGACCAAGAAAGGATTTAATAATTCATTGTCAAAAATCCTTTTAAGTGGTCAGTCTTTTAAGGATGGCTGCAGCAGAATAAGGCAAACTGAACTGACATGAGACAGAAAATCAACACGGCCTAAAGACTGCTTTTATGTTTTCCTTGGAGTTCTTCAGAATAGAACTCAGGGTCTGTTTACATTGCCTGATGTAGCACTCTGTCAAGAGCAGTCTGGGGTAAGAGCATTGCCAGACCATGCCTACAGCAAGGGAAGAGCTGCTACCTACAATTGCCAGGGCTAGGCCCATGGCCCACTTTTGGGTGAGAGAAGAGGCATTGCCTGTATGGGAAAAGCAATACAGGACAACATGGATGACTTCAAACTTTGAATCTGTCATGAGAAAAGGCTACAGACTGTGGCCTACTCCTTTTGGAGAAAAAAAAAATGAAGGAATTTCTTAAAGTGGAAAAAATGGTCTTAGCTCCTGCTTTTACCTGCAACAGGTGTCAACTGCTGATTGAGCATTCCCATTGGTGTTGGTGGTGGCACCACCCCCATGAGAGCCCCCACAGGGGTGCCTGCTCGGGGAGAAGCACTCGGCTGCTGTTGCTGTGCTGCTCGCTCTCTCTCCTGCTGCTCAGCAACTTTAGCTGCCCGCTCTGTAAAGGCATTTCAGATTTTCAATTCTGTTTTTAACCCAGGAATTCAAAATACCATCCATTGCATTCAACAGGACTAGTAAAACACAGGCAACAGTTCTGTCTCATGGAAGGAACGGTAGATGACTAGTCTCAACACAGGAGTCGGGCCGATTTCACTTGATAACCTAGAGTTCAGCTTTCCTATCCCATCTTGAGAACTGGTCTGCAAAGATTTCAAGAATGTTAAGACTGCAACACACATTCAGAAAGCACAGGTTTTATCGAAACACATCACCAGCGTAGCCACCGTGGTTAATCTCACGAGGCACTCTGAAGATGAGAAGCGCTACCATTATTCTAGTATTAATAGCATTACAGATTATAATTTCAACATGAAGCAATTCCATGGCCCATTATAATTTTTGGCACAATTGTACTTACTCTAATTTCCTGATTCCTTGTATCCAATTTTACTAAAATTTGAGGACTCATCATTAATATCACAAGTTTAGCAGCTGAAGAAAATTAACTCTGTAAGGGAAAAGTAGCTTACTGCTGCTAGCTTAAGATTTTAGGAAAAGTAAACAGCCAGTTTCTACATTCTAATGAAGCAAAGAAAGAGGTCATGATTAGCAAACTCCAAGGGAGGAAAATACATGATTAGCTAGACTACAGTCATCAGAAACAGGGAACTAATACATACATGTATGTAGGAATGGACAATAATTCTCAAAGAACCAGATTCCCTGAAGCTGAGTTCACAACTGACCATAAATTATCCTAAATCAGCAAGAATTCCAGCATCTACTCTTAGTGCATCTGAAATGCAAGAGAAGCACATACTTTTGGAAACTCTGGGCTATTAGCCGACAGATCCCTCTTTCTTGAGCTAATCTGCATCTCCAGAGCCAGCACCCTCAACAGTCATGCCCATTACAGGCCAGAGCTTCTTTGAGGGATGCTCCCACCATACAGGGTTCATAATCAGCTTCACCATTCTAAGTAGGAAGTCAGTCGTTCCTACCCTTCAGATGGGCAAACAGAAGCTGGACAGGCTCTGACTTGTCCAAGAATACAGGATAAACAGCAACTTACGCCTAGTGCCACACTTCAACTTCCACAGTTAATTCTCCAACATGGAAATCAAGACTACAGCTATTTGGTGAAAACTGCTTGAGGTCATGTGGCTTTAAAGAGACTCAAGAAGCAACAACTCCACTCCTTTATGGGAAGAATGAAAAACAGCAAAAGCCACAGGTCCCCAAGGGAGGCTGTGACGGAGTTGCTTGAAGACACTCATCCTCGCTCACTGGCACTATCCTAGTCTAGTATCCTCTGTAAACTGAGTACAGTAAATGCAAGGACCAAACCCGTTCTAACACATTTTCTCAAGGTAGTAGTTAAAAAAATATAGGTGATCCAGATGCCCCAATATTTAATCCTAGTTTTCCATTATACAAATGAAACAGTAAAACTGGGAAGGAAAAAGAAAAATTTAAGTTGGGAAAACAGAAAAACTCAGACATGTGTATCAAATTATTAGCTGTTCCTGAGAGAAGCTGAACTGAATTACTAAACTATGCCAGTCAAACTCCCAACTTTGCATTTTGAATTCAGTGGGGGAGAAACACCCAAAGTTCAGAGTTTGAATTTCAGACTATTGAATTATACAACTTCCCTTTTACCAGGTTCTTCCTAATTTCAGACACCCTTCTGCATGAGAGAATTTCTCAACTATCATTTCTTCTTCCCTCAGCCATACTCCAGTCTTTCTGCCCTCAAATTATCTCTAGATCCCTTTGTCCTGTTCATACCCCAAATAACCACCCACACAATACCAGTTTTGTTTGCCTTTATATTATGTTTGCCTAATTTCCTAGACGACAGCCCTCTAACTAAGTGGTATATATGGTCTTAACTTGCAGGAAGCCCTGAAATATTGAAGTGTCCCAGGGTTATCGTTTCTCAAAGAATGTCCTACAAATTAACTTTCCAGGGTATTAATAAACACCACTTAAACACCTGGTCTAGGAAAATGACAGATAATAAGAAGAGGTTCTTAACTATAGGTCTTAGAGACTTTAATTTCGGACTATGCCCAGAGTTTGGAATGCTTCTGAAACAGGTTTTGCCATAAAATATTTCTTTGCTGAGCATTTTGTAGGATTAGGCTTCAGCAGAAGATCCTAAAGGAAGCCTGTCAAATAATTTTATAATAATAAATAGTAACAAATTAAAGGAATAACTTTAAAAAAAAAGAGTTACTTTGGATTTCATAAGCTTCAATAAAAGGAGCAGATTTCATTCTGTACACTTGTTGGAAAATACTGGATTTGGACTCAGTCAAGAAGCTTACTGATTACTACAGAGAGGAAGACTTTCTATAATTGGAAAATTATCTAACATACAATATTTAAAACAGAAAAACTGCAATTCAAAAGTTAAAGTCCTACCTAATGTAATGCTTATTCTCGTTTACTAAAGCCACATCCAATATTAACTAGAACAACTAAAGTTCCAAACTACCAAAAATCTTTTAAGAACTTAGCCTTTATGGCTGTGAACCGCCAAATCTTTGAGTATAGCTCATGACTTAAAGTGATCTAATCACAGAGTAAGGGGGAAATGAAGGCAGCTGAGCTTTGTCAAAGTCATCTAAGTGTCTTAAGATCAGGTATGAACACAGACACAGCAACAGGCACACCAAGCCTGAGCCTAGAGTTTAGCTGACAGCTTCGGCTTATTAAGAGACATAACAGAAGATCATCTATTTTAAAAGGCCACTTGCAGGTGAATTTTACTCAAATTAAAGTTAACATTATTGAACAATCACTCCCTTGCTCAATGTGTGTGCCTACATGGATAAATGAAATAAAATCATGTAATTTTAATAGTAAAATATTTTTGTTTGAGAAATCTGTGGGGAGGGACACCACCACCAGGATCTGAAGCTAAGTCAGAGGCAGCACTATGTACTGGCATCTACTGCCAGTGTACTCCTGTCTGCTGGGGCAGCCCAACACCAAATGCATGTGCGTGTGGTAAGAACAAGAGAGTAAAACTTGTCTATGCATGTGCACTAACTTGTCTATGCATGTGCACTCCTGGAAAACACCCCCGTTTACAAAGTGGGACAGTTGTGCCTGGTCTCTATTTACCTTCATATTCTGCTTTCTTGGCTGTCTCAAGGTTTCTCCATTCTGTCCCCACCAGTCTGCTGAGTTCCCCAAAAGAGTAGTCTGGGTGCTGGGCTTTAATCACAGCTCTCATTTCACTGCTGAATAGAATGTAGCCACTCATGTTGATTTTCCGTTTAGAACTTTCTTTCTTTGCACTGCCTTTGGCAGACTTTGGGGTAGACTGTAAGACAGAAAGCTTATATAGGGTATCAGAAGATTGCACTGGGTTATCTACATAGTTTCTGGAAGTGAGACACATATGGTTCAATAATAAATGTTTTATAGACATATTCAGTTTGTAGCTGACATTTTCTTAGTCAAAATATACCTCTTCCTGGCCTTCTACAAAATAAATGAAAATTTCACTGAATTCCATGACTGCAATCTACAATGGTGATCTCATAATTTAGTTTTGAGAAAATTCTGAATGAGGAAAATAAATATAACAGGGCTCACTTCAACAAAAAGAAGGGTAAATTAAAAAGATGCAGGGGAGCTGGAGAGATGGCTCAGAGGTTAAGAGCACTGACTGTTCTTCCAGAGGTCTTGAGTTCAATTCCCAGCAACCACATGGTGGCTCACAACCATCTACAATTCAATCTGGTGTATATGTAATAAATAAATAAACAAATCTTAAAAAAAAAAAAGATGCAGGTTCCCAGGCATGGCAGAGAGTATCTACCTGTAACCCCGTCATCCAGGAAGGGGACTGGGAACAGAAGGATCACACGTGTAGGCACTGAAACTATGGGCATAAGAACACAATACCAGTTTTCATGGCTTTTCTTCAGCACAAGGCAAAAAGCCCTTAATGACAGTGTTATTAAGCCATCTATGAAACTTAAAAGAGAAACTACTACTGGCTTAATTATGTGATATATACATATTTTTGTCAATTAAAAATAAAGATTCTTATACACAAGACAAAACTAGTATTCTTTTGTGCAGATTTCTAGGCAGCTCACATATGAAAAACGTGTGGTAGTGTACTCCTATACTCCCAGTGTGTGGGAAATGGAGGGAAGAAAAACAGAGTTCAAGCCCACCCTGAATACACAGCAAGTCTGAGGCCAGGCTAAGCTACTGACATCATCTCAAACAAAACTAAGGCTGACATGCATAGGCTGGATATTTCCTACTTTGCTCCGAGCCTGTTGCAGACCAGAACTGAGAACACGGCAAGTAACAGGGCATGTCAGCATACCTGCGGGGGGGTGTAGGGCATGAGGTCCAGCTCACTGGGCAGGGGGGTCTGAAGCTGAGGTAGAGATGGAGGTTCAATGACCTCACTATCCTCTTCTCCCATCTCTTCAATATCATCATCTCCACCTTCTAACTCAGCAAACTTAGCCTCTAGCAATTGTATCTTCTTTTCCAACAAAGGTGAGGGTTCTTTCTGAGGAATGATTGGTTTTCTGAAAAAAGTACCAAACTAAATAAGTAAATTAATTAAGTTGCCAACCACTTCCAGATTGTCAGAGAACAAGATCTGAACATCTACAAATGGTATTTTACAACCTTCTACAGCCACTCTAATCCTTAGAGTCTAAGGGCAACAAAGTTGCTTAAATGGGTATTTGTGATGTCACTTCTACTTAGAAATAACTCTGAGGAATATTCACGGAGCACTGCTCAGGTCTAATGGACTATATGGTAAAAATGAATTGTCAAAATCTGTGGAACTGAGCAATCCCCCCCACAGAAAGGCTATCAACCAGAACCAAGTGTTTCTGTCTTAGAATATTCTACAATTGCTGGTGTCTCAGCCAAGGTACGATTAAAAGAATTGCTAATTTTTAAAAACTATTTTCTTTCTGTCTCTGCAACAAAGTCTCACTTTATGGCCTAGGCTGACTCAAACTTATACAATCCTCCTGCCTCAGCTTCCCAAGTATGGGAAATACTACATCTCACTGAATATTTTCAATTGGAAGTATGTAATGATAGTTGAAGGCCTAATAACACAACTAAAAACATCGAGCTTCACAATTTTGATAAGTTAGTCCATGTGCCCTTTCTTCCTTACTTTTATAAGCATTACCTGAAGTAGTAAATTTCATCATCTACAACTTTAGCAGAAAGTGAAAACCTCTTCAAACCCTTGAATTTCTTCATCTGCTTGTCACTCTCATTATAACGGCTCTCACAAAGCAGAATGTCGTTTTCTGGTATTTCAGTTGGCCTGCAGGAGAGGAAGTCCTTGAATGACAACACAGCACATTTTCCTGAAAGAGTAAATTAGAGATAAATTAAAGGAGTAAACTCTCACAGCTAACAATCTGGGACTTGCCGAGTAGGCCAGGCTGGCTAGCTAGTGGGCCTGGGCCTGTTGTTTCTGCTCTCCAGGGATGGGTTACAATTGTGCACCAGTAAGCGAGGCTTTTAAGATGTGGTTTTGGAGTCTGAGCTCAGATCTTCATACTTGCAAGGCATGCTTCTTATCAGCAGAGTTCTCTCCCCAGCCCCAGACTTTGTATTTTTATGCTTTGACTCACAGTTAAAAAATGATATATATTGGCATAAAGATATATACAGATGAACAGAATAAAACTGACAGCCTAGGAAAAAACTTGTACAATTGGACAAACAGATTTCTACATGCAATAGAATGTAGATCCCCACCACATTCCACAGAATGAATTAAATGTTTACATGAAGAGCTACAAAACAAAGCTCTTAGGAAAATCTGAGGTGTGATCCCCATCATCTTTGATTAAGCAGTGGCTTCTTAGAACAGACACTAGGGGGACACAGAACCATAGAGGAGCACACAGTCTTCAGGCAGGGCTTGAGATGGCTGGTGGGTAAGAGCACTCACTGCTCCTGCAGAGGATCTGGGTCTGAGTTCAATGCCCAGCACCCACACCAGGCAGCTCAGTACTGCCTGGGACTCCCACTTTGGGTGCCAACACCTTTCTGACCTCTTTGGGGACATAAAGACATAATAGATATACATAAATAAATAGTAAAAAAAAAAGCAGATTTCATCAAAATTAAAAGCTTTTGAATCCCAAAGAACCCTATTAAAAAAGTGAGACAACCTATATAAGAAAACAATTTTCAAACTATGTATCCAGTTAAGCATCTAATAGCCAGAATGTGTTTTAAAAGCCTACAACTTAACAATTACAAGATCCTATTAAAAATGGGAGAAAAGTTATGAAGTTACATTTCCCAAAGATTTAAAATTGTATTAAGTACAAGAAAATGATGGCTGGCATCATTAATCACTAGAGAGATGCAAATCAAAATCACATTGAGGCACTACTTCACATCCATTGAGATGACTTCTACGATGCAGAGGAAACAGGAACAGTGGCAAATAACAAACGAAGAGACTAAACTTAGGCAGCAGTTAAGGAAAGCAGTCGCGCAGTTCCTCAACTTAAACATGGGGAACTGGAGGAGGATCTGCGTGAATATAATCAAGATACGTTGTATACATGCATGAAATTGTCCAAGAATAAATAAAACCATTGTTTTAAAAATTAGATAATTACTGCATAAACCAGCAATGCTGCTTTTGGGTATTTAGCCCTAAGTACAGAAGAATCAAACAACTGTATAGCAATGACCACAGCAACATTGTTAATAGTAGCTATAATGTAGAAAAACATCCACAGTTGGTCAAAAGATAAATGGATGACAAAGCAACGTGTATACCTGTTATGGAATATTACTCAGACTTACAAGGAAATAAAATTCTGATGCACTCATCTGATGGATGAATCTAAAAAACATTGTGTTATGTGAAATATACCAAGAAAAAGACAAAATATTCACTGTTCCACTTATATATAATACAGAGAATATATAAAACTCATATGATGGAGTGGGATAGATTCCTAGGCAGGAAGGAGGGAGAAGGAAATTAAGAGTTATTGTTTAATAGGTAGCTTCTACTTAGGATGACAAAAATATAAATATATAGTCCTTTTACCTACATCCTGATTTTGCTTGCTCATTACCTAGTATTTTCTTGGTCTTTTTAAAAAATCTTATACTTTATCCACACTTATAGCTATTAGCATACATACTAGGGTCCACGTATGAGGAAGAACATGCAATCCCCCCGAGTTTGGGTAATCTTACGATACTGTATTTTATAAGTCCACCCATTTCCCCACAGATGATTTTATTTTTCTTTAAGCTGAATTACACTTAATTTTGTATATATACATTTTGATCATCTAGTCATCTGTTGATGGACATCTCATTGATATCATAATTAAAACAGTAATAAACATGGATGTATAGATATCTCTATGGCAGGATATGGAGCTCCCTGAGTATATGCCCAGAAGTGGGAATTTTTAAATTTATTTGTGGGACTTTCAAACTGATTTCCATAACAGCTGTACTACTTTGCATGCTCATGCAAGAGGATATAATGCTGTTTTTCTAGTTTCAACATTTATTTGTGGTGAAGAAGTGCATTAGAATGTAATTGACAAGCTGGACATAATGGCTCTTGCCTCAAATTTTGGGAAACAGAGGCAGGCAGATCTCTGTGAATCCACGGCCAGCCTGGTCTACATATTGAGTTCCAGGCCAGCCAGGGCTTCATTATGAGACGTTATCTTTCTTTAAAAAAAAAGACTGAGCTGGGCACTGTGGCACACACTTGGGAGACAAAAGAGGGAGATAGATCTCTGAGTTTGAGGCCAGCCTGGTCTACATAGTGAGTTCCAGGACAGCCATAACTATGTGAAAGAAAAAACAAAAAAACAAAAACAAAAAAACAAAACAAAAAACAAAAAAAGGGCTGAGATGTTCTAAGATTCGTCTGGCATCACCACTCAATAATCTCCCTGGAGTAGTATATATTATTTTGTGATGAGCTACACTTCTGGAGTCTTCTAAGCTCCTATGAATGTAGTGCTAGAGGGTGCTCTTTGGGCTCTATTGAGGGGACACAGTTTTCTCCTTTGTCAAAGAATAAAAGGAAGAGAGTCATATGAAAAGTTGTACAAAAACTAAAATGAAATACCATCAACTCAGCAAATTCACTGCTGCCTTAACAACAGGAACGTCACTCACCTCCACTGTGCTCCTTTTAACCTTGCTGGTTACACTACAAAGTGACTGGGGCACCACGTTAGTCTGGACCAGAATTTAAAAAGAGACTTTCTGCTACAGAAAGGCCAGCATTTAATGACTTCACTGTGGCGATATCTTGTTTGTACAAATAAAGCCTGCCTGAAGATCGGAAACTAGAGCTTGCCACTAGCTAACCACAAAGGTCTGGACAGAGAGACAGGAAATGAGGTGGCTAGGTGGAAACAGGAAGTGAGGTGGCTGGGCAGAGAGAGGATATAAGGGGGGAAGGAGCAGGAACTGGCTCCCTTGTCTGCTGAGATGCTACGGAGGGAAAGGTGGCTTTGGCTTGCTCCTTCTTCTCTCTGATCTTCAGACAGGCTTACTTGTACAAACAAGACATCGCCACACTTCACTGAACTTAGTTCACTTTTCCCATGACAGAAAGTTGAAAATGTGCTGAGTAACTGAACAATTTTGCAACAAAACAATTACATTTCTCTTTGCTTGTGATCCACGGTGGCTTCTGAAAACTACGAACAATCAGCAATCAGGGACTGTTTGTAGCTATGCAAGTTAATGGTAGAGGGTGCACTTAATCGTGTACAAGGCCCGAGGTCCAACTTCTAACTGGGGAGAGTTGGTGGGGGATCTGCAAAACATCACCATCATTGTAAAGCTAATAACTAGCAATCTTTAGGAAGCTATCTCAAGGGATGTAGCACGGCTAGCGTATGACCTAGTGGCTCTCAGGGCTTGAAGAAATATAACAGGTGACAACATATTGTTAGTATATGATGGATGATGAGTACAACTAGATCTAAGAAACAGAATACCATTGGGAATGCTTGGTAGATGACCAAACAAAAATCAAGATATTAGTTTGGAATGATCAAGTTTAAGAGTCTAACAGAAAGTGAACTGTTAGACTATCCTATCTCCTACCTTACTCTTACAGCATGGTTCACACAGCAGCCACATGACTCTCACCTCTAACGTGTATGCCACCTCGCACCACAGCTCTGCGTAACATTACTGTGATTTCCTTTCAAGTACAATCACTGCAGTGTCCACAAGACCTACTATGTGAGTATTCAGAACACTCTAAGGGCTCATTCCTTACACCACATCCCCCCACTTGCTCTAGCTACCTAACGCCTTTAGGTCTCAAACACGAACAGATAATCTAAGAGAGCATGCTTGCTGCGCCTAGAAGAGAGCCTCAGATAATTCTCTTTTGTTTATATTTAAACCACACTAGGGTCATTAATATCGCAAAATTTTGGTCAATCACATGACCTTGACTCAACATGGTTGTCAATCTATTTTATTTTATTTTATCTTCATTTAAAACTCTAACTGCCACCTGGTGTTGTCTGTTGTCTATTTACTGACTCCTCAACCTTTGCTCCAATGTCTTTCTGAAAGCAAAGTCTTTTGATATTTTTAACTGTTACAGACCCAATGTCTAAAAGAGTGCACTGCAGAGCAGCAGGATTTAGTCAATATTTTACAGAACTGTGATGAAAAAGGACAAATACCTACCCAGAATACAACTCATGGGGCAGGTTTCCTCCAGATTACTCAGAAACACTTCTTTTTTGTAGAACATTTTTGTGGGCTCATGTTCTGTTTCTTCTGGGTGAATGAAAATGGGGCCATAAAAATATGCAGCTCCATCTCGAACCCATACTTTTTCAATTCTTGGGGAGGGGGAACAGAGAAATTAAGTTATAATAATTTCAGTCTTGAATGATTACCTAATAAAAACACCACTAACTACAATGTAACAGTATGCAGCATTGAGAGGGATTTCCTCTAAGATACTTTTCAGAGAAGATTCTCTGAAAAAGAGGGGCGGACAACTGACCACTTGGGGAGAGCAGACTTTCACATAGCATCAAGGTTTGTAAGATCATTTTATCTAACTCCCAGGTTTTCTTCCTGAGATGTTCAGGATTTGGCAAGAGTTCCTTCAAAATACAGGTTTACAGCATTTGGTAGAAGATCGAGCAATAAAATGCTTTCCGCTGGGGCTGCTATACTGTACTATTTGTCAGCTTAAAATTAGCGTTATTGTTCCATATTTTCAGGGTCCTAGACATAAAGGAGCACCTTCATTTCAGTGAATACAAAGTCCAGCCTTTCAGTTTACTACACCAACTCACAGGAGTCACCCTTGACTGCTCTACTCTTGGACTCCATAGTCCATCGATTAGGAATACTATCAGCTGTGTGCAATTAGTCACACTTGAGAGGCTATCATTCTTGCCAGAATTATCACAATAGCCTCCTAGCAGATCTCTTTGATTACATTCTTGAATTTCTTCAATCTCAAGGAGAAAGCAGAGCAATCTTATTAAATCAAGAGTCAAATGTTACTTCTCTGCTTGAAACAATACAAAGATACTTTATTTAACTCTACAAGAGTTCAAGTGCCCACAATGGTCTCTGAAAGCCTACATGATCTGTATATTACCCCCTCTGCCCTTATCGACTACCTTATACAGGGTATAAGCTGCTGGTTTAGTGTGGTGTACTTAGCTCTCAAGCCTGTATAATGTTATTATTTCTGCTTGGAATGTTTTCACCGATATTCACAATTCTTACCATTTCTTCATGTTAGCTCATGATTCTTAGTGAAATCTACACAGACCTTTCTCTCTATTCTGATTCTTTACTGCCTCCAATTTCAACAGTATGTATCAGGATCTAACATACAACTTTACTTATCCAAGATGCTTGTTGTCTGTTTTCCCATAGGAACAAACTTCTACTGAAGTGAAATTATCTTTCATTCTTTTGAGTGTTTGTTGAGACAGGTTCTAGTCTGGAAGCCTTGCTCCTCCAGTCCCTGGGGTCACACACATGTGTATACTATTCTGCTTGCCATGGACGTAGGAACAGGGAAACTGTGCTGTGAGGAAGCTGGAGTATTGTGAGGGGAGGGACTATTGTCTCGTTCTGAATGTGAACTACTAAGCCTCAACTCTCAGCCCAACCTCATCTTCCCTAATTCACCTGCCCACACGAGGGCGCACCAAGCCATGGGATTTGATGAAGACACAGTCGCCAACCTTCAGCCACATGTCATTGTAATGAAGCTGCTCAAAGTAGTGGCAGCCCGGCTCCCCATTGGCCATCTCCACAGGGACGTCTTCTTTTTCCTGTGGGAGGGAACTGGTGAAAGAATGGCAGACAACAACCAAGGAGCAGACAGAGGCTCCACATTAGCTTAACAAACAACTACAAAGCAATGTTTTTGTGAAGGTTGAGAAACCAAACATTAAGTTGTGGAACTCAAACTCTTGTTAAGTATTATATTCATTTCAAATCTATAATTTTCATAAAATGTTACATTTTTATACCTATTTCCCATGGGATTGAACTTTATTTTTTTGAGACAGATTTTCTCTGTGTAGCCCTGGCTGTCCTGGAATTCACAGAGATCCACCTGTCTCTGCCTCCCAAGTGCTGGTGTGTGCTACCACTGCCCAGAGGGGATTAAATTTTTGAGAAAAAAAAAATACTGGAAAGAATTTACTAGCATTCATTTAAAAGTAGACAAATTGACAAATCATTAGAGTATAAGGAACAAATTCTAGCTGGGTGGTAGTGGCTCACGCCTTTAATCCTAGTGCTCAGGAGGCGGAGGCAGGTGACCTCTGAGTTGGGGCTAGCCTGGTCTACATAGTGAGTTCCAGGACAATCAGGGCCACAAAGAGAGACCCTGATTCAAAAACTAACAAACAACAACAAAGCAAAAATAACTCCCTCCAAAGGAACAAATTCTACATAACCTTCTTTACTACATTTAATTTTACAGGATGTCCCCTCCCCCGTGGTAATGGGGCTGGAACCTAGGACGCTGTATGTGCTGGTCAAGCACTAAACTGATACCTCAAACCCTTTATTCACTTATTTTTTTTTCTGGTTTTTACGAGACAGGGTTTCTCTGTATTGTTTTGGAGGCTATCGGTCCAGCCTGGCCTCGAACTCACAGAGATCCGCCTGCCTCTGCCTCCCGAGTGCTGGGATTAAAGGCGTGCGCCACCACCGCCTGGCTCACTTATTTTTAAAACAGGGTCTTACTAAGTTGGCCCTGAACTCATTCTATAGTTCAGATTGGCCCATAGCTTTCCTTTCTCTTGCTTCAACCTTCCAAAACCCTGAAATTATAAGCATGTGCCACCAGGCCCAGCTTCTTTTTAATAATATCTTTTGTAAGTTAAGTTTATTTAATCTCTTCTAATGACATAGCTCATCTATTGCACACTCTGGAAAGTAATACCCCTTTCTGATCTCTGCAGGATTCAGAAATGTAACAAGTTGGCCTTTAGCTTGCCAAGAAAAGAGCTCAGTGAAAAAGCCTCTCTCCCTGGATCTGTCCATCTAACCCTCTGTCCCCAAAAGGTGTAATTACCTTCCTACTGTAGCCTCTTCTTACCTACCTAGGCAGGTAAAGCAGGGAGGAGGGCTAACCACTAGCTTGGCACTTTCCCCGGCCTCTATACTATACTGTCTTCGCTTTTTAATGTTTACAACTCAGATATTATTTTTATTGATTCCATTATGGCAAGAAATAATGCAGCTCTATAACATAAATATGATGGTTCTGAATAAACTACCTACTACCTGCAGTGACGTAAGGCAAATTACCTGATTTCTTGTGCTTAATTTCTTCATGTATAAAATGAATGATAGTGTGCCCCTCAGATAGGGTTGTTGGAAAGCATAAGTGATATAAGAATGCTGATAAAAAAAAAAAACCTAGTAATCTTAATCCCAATACTCAAGATGCAGAAGCAGGTGAATCTCTTGAGTTCAAGGCCAGTCTGGTCTACAGAGAGGGTTCCAGGACAGCCAGGACTGTTACACAGAAAAACCCTGTTGTAAAAAACAAAACAACAACAACCAAATGGCACAAATAAACAGGCAAATCAGTAAAGAAATAATCACAAAACAACAAGACCTCCTTTATTTGGAATAATCCTTTCATTCCTGAATGGAACATTTCCTTCCTTGATCATGTTGTTTTAAAAATGTTGGATTTCAGCTGGGCGTTGGTGGCGCACACCTTTAATCCCAGCACTTGGAAGGCAGAGGCAGAGGCAGGCCAATCTCTGTGAGTTTGAGACCAGCCTGGTCTACAAGAGCTAGTTCCGGACAGCCTCCAAAGCCACAGAGAAATTCTGTCTCGAAAAACAAAAACAAAAACAAAAAGGTCGAATTTCAGAGTGGACTGATGGTTCAGTGGTTAAGAGCACTGGCTGCGCTTCCAGAGGACCTGGGTTCAATACGCAGGACCCATATGGCAGTTCACAACTGTCTTTGATTCCAGTTCCAGGGGACCCAATACCCATAGGAAAAAAAAAAAAAAACAACCAAAAAAGCACATAAATAAAAACACTGGCATTTATATAAAAATTATAAAATGGCTTGATTTCACTTATAAAAATATTAGTTCCTCAATTTTTACACTGATATACCAAATTACAGTTTTCTGATAGACTTCGCAGGGTATGGAATAGTTTGCTCTGGCTTTATACAATGAACTAAGGAGGGTTTTTGTTTGTATACCATCAAGTAGCTTAAACAAGCTTGTTTGGTTTTTTTGACAGGGTTTCTCTGTAGCCCTAGCTTTTCTGGAACTTATTCTGTAGCAGGCTGGCCTTGAACTCAGAAGTCAACCCATCTCTGATGTCTAAGTGCTGGGATAAAAGACTTGTGCCACCATGGCTGGCTTAAGCAGCTTTTAATGATAACAGTCCTACAAAGAGTTAAAAGGAATCTACTATGGATGCTCAATACTCGCTGGTCTCTTTACTTTTCAGGAGCACTGTACATCTAGTGCATGCCTGGTGCCCGCACAAGCCAGATGCTCTGGAACCCTGAGTTCTTCTTTGTTTGACTAAGGTTTTTAAAGCCTCATTTTTTTTCTCTGAGTTTGAATACATTAATTTACTTTCTAGAATAGGTATTTTAAGGTTAAAATTCACTTCTAGGAGGCTACTATTCACGTACCTTTTCCAAGTTAGAGCTGTCCTCAGCTCGACTGTCGTCTGAGTTGTCTGCATTCTTCTCCTCATCTGCTTTGTCTGCATTTGCAAACACAGAGGCCACTCGAACCACAGGCAAGGGCGCGTCCCGAGGGACAAACCTAACTGAGCTGATGGGCATTGTCCACAGTTTAATTTTCTTAAAAGCTTTCGTTTTAGCAGAGTATCTTGATTCACAGACAAAAACATCCTCATCTCGAAAGTTTTCTGGGCATAATTTAAAGTATTCCTGGGATTGGAATAAACACAAGCAGGTAAATTTTCTGAAAATTAACCCCCAAAATAAAAAACAAATGTAACTCAATCAACCTGACACTGAACTATTAAAACTCTCTGACACTAAAAGGTAAATGGCTAGATAACTAGGGGTGTTTCCTTTAATTATAAATATGAATCATATTTATTTTGCTGACTGTCCTTTGAAAATATATTACTTTCCACATAGTGAAAATGCTCTTAAAGGTTTGAACAGGTCTCATGTGCATATATGATACCTAAAAACAAAACAAATTAACTGGTAATGACTACCTTTCAGAAAACATCATCCTTGGAAAATAGCCCAGCAACATAAAAATTAATATATTTGTGTTGATAAGCAGTACACAGCAAATAATCTCTCACAAAATATTCATGTTAATTACTTATATACAGACACAGGTTTTTTGAAACAGAGTTTCTAATTTTTGCCAGGTGTGGTGGTGCACACTTTTAATCCCAGCACTCAGGAGGGAAAGGCAGGAGGATTTTGAGGCCATCCAAGGCTACAAAGAGAAATCTTGTTTCAAAAAACAAACAAAAAAATTGTGTGTGTAGCTAGGTGGTGGTGTTCACCTTTAATCCCAGCACTCAGAGGCAAAGACAAGTGTTATGTCTGTGAGTTTGAAGCCAGCCTGGTCTACAAGGCATGTACCAGGACAGCCAGGGCTGTAACACAGAGGAAACCCTGTCTCAAAAAAAAAAAAAAACCCCCAAAAAAACCAAACAAACAAACAAAGAAAAACAATCAACCAACCAACCAACCAGCCAAACAAGCAACAATAACAAAAATCCAAAACCAAACCCTCTATAAAAAAAAACCCAAAACTAAAAACAGTTTCTAATTTTTTAAATACCAAGTTTTATATTTTTAAATCATATTTCCAGGGAATGATATCACTGGAATGAATGAGTTTCTTACCTTGACAAACATGACTACACATTTGCCTAGAATTTTACTAACAGGAACTTTATTGTAATAGTCACTCTTAAAAACTTCTTTTTCCAGAAATTTCCGTGTAGCCAAATGGAATGTTTCATTTGGCCGATAAAACCAACAGCCATACAACCATTTTTCACCTCAAAAACAAAGGAAAGCATTATTAATACAAATCTCACATTCTTTGCAGAATTAGAAATGTTGTACTAAGCTATTATGCTAAGGTTTAAACACTGTGGTTTTAGATGAAAATTTCTTAATAGAATTATTTTAGAGGAAATAATATTTTAAGAAAAGAAGTACTAAGAACTTAGGAAGCAGCATCAGAGAGGAGGAGGTCAGGAGGGAGCTTGGGTCAACGCACCAGACTCTGAGCTTCAGAAGCAGGGGCAGGGAAGGAGGCCATTGTAGCAAAAAGGTGGAGTCACAAGCATCTCACCTGACTTAAAGAGTGGGGTTGCCTATGTCTCAGAGGCGACTTTCTTTCTTTATTACCTAGTTTTCTGTTTGAGACAGCTCTCGCTGTAGTCCAGGCTGACCTCAACCTCCTGAGTACTGGGATAGCCGGTGTGTCACCAAACCAGCTTACAGGCATTTTCTTTTTTTCAAAGACTTAGTATGTATTCAGTGTTCTGCCTGCAGGCCACAAGAGGGCACCAGATCTCATCACAGATGGTTGTGAGCCACCACATGGCTTTTGAAGAGCAAGCAGTCAGTGCTCTTAACCTGTAGAGCCAGCTCTCCATCATTTTTAAGGGAGACTTTTTGGCAACAAATTATAAGTTTAGTTACATGTAATATTTTTTCTTTATTTGTGACAGCCACTGGAAAATAACTGCTACATTAAAAACACTAGTCTTTTGTTCTTCTGAATCTTTGCCATCCTACACACAGTTTAGCTCCAAATGTTACTGAATAAATGACTCTTCCTTACACATTAAGGAGTTGCATTTTTAACTCAATTGTGGCACTGCCCAACAGTGTTAGATCCCATGTTTATATAAAGTGGGGTGTGTAATTTATCGATACACAGTGAACAGTGTACTTATTGATATAACTATTGTTGGAATGCTTAAATAAATGAGTTGAAATTTTTCTTACAGAGGAAAAAGGAAAAGTAAATATAGCCATATTTCATCAATCTGCCTTTTAATTATTTTTATATTAAAAATGTGTATGTATGAGTTTTTGCCTTCTTATATGCATGTGTATCATATATGTGCCTGGTACCTGCAGAAGTCAGAAGAAGGTATCAGATATGCTGAATTAGAGTGAGGGATGGTTGTGAGCCATGATGTAGGTGCTGGGAACTGAACTCAGGTCTTCTGCAGGAGTGATAAGTGCTCTTAGCCACAAAGCCATCTTTCTAGTACCTGTCTTTCAATTTAAAACAAACTCACCAGCTGAATCCTCCCACAGTCTCTCAATACAGACTATGTGTGGTTGTAGATTGGCCTCTGCAGGCTCCACATAGACATAATCTCCAACATGATACATGCTGTTCTTAAAGCTGCAGTCTTGGCTGTATGTCCTATGTAAGCCTGAGAGGCCTGCAGTGCCTGAGGAGTCTTCACTTTTTTCAGCTTCTTGAATTAAAAAAAAAAAAGATACTCAATGAAAGACTGATGGTTAGACAAATATTCAAACAACACATCACACTAATACATTGGATTCTTCCTTTTCCCTCTCTCCTCCTCTCCCTTTTTTGATACAGGGTCTCTCTATGTACCTCAAACTACCCTCAAACTTGGGGCCCTCTTGCATTAGTTGCTGGGACTGCAGGGATGAGTCACCATAGCAGGCTGCACTTAATTCTTTGTGTGGCATTCAAAGAGAGGAATCAGAAAAAGTAGTACCACCACCAGCATATTCTCAATAGTCTTTACCTCAAAATGCATTTTGAGTTTTGAGATGAGGGAGGGCCTCACTAAACTGTCTAGTTCTTTAATTCACAGGCTGAAGTGCTTTAGCTCCGCCCCAGCTTTCCAAATAGCTGGAATTATTGTGTTGACCATTTTAGCTAGCTCAAAATGGCCGTACTGAGTGAAAACAAACGGACAGTAATTTAGATAACTATTCTATAGAACAAAAACAATCACCATAATAATATATACTTGTATACTTTTAAAAAAATTTTTCAAGACAGGGTTTCTCTGTGGCTTTGGAGGCTGTCCTGGAACTTACTCCGTAGATCAGGGCTGGTCTCGAACTTACAGAGATCCCACCTGCCTCTGCCTCCCGAGTGCTGGAATTAAAGGCGTGTGCCACCACTGCCTGGAATGTATACTAATTTTTAAGAGTTTAGAAAGGAATTACAGAATCACATAATCCTACAGAAAATGTGATATGCCTGTGAAATGATTTCTTCTAAGTTATTAATGGCATTTTAGAAACAAGTATGTATGGCATACAGTGGTAAACCATGTGTATATGTGTGTATAAAATACTAAAAACATTTCCTCTGAGATGAAAGACTTTTAAACAAGATTTTCATTTTGTTAGGCAACACCCTCTCCACTCTACACCATTTATGAATGCTAGACAAGCACTTTACCAATGAGCTATATTTGTCAAAAACCATCTTTTAATGGTTCCAATACAAGCTATCTACAAACACTACAGATTATTACTTGTTTAAGAGTAAAACACCTTTGGTATCACTATATGCAGAGGATATTCAAATAAAGCACTCCCTGAAACATTGAGTCCCAGTTTTCCTGTGGATCTCTCCCCCACACTCCTTTCTTTGAGACAGGGTTTCTCTGTGTAACAGCCCTGGCTGTCCTAGAACTCTATTTGTAGACCAGGCTGGCGTCGAACTCAAGATTCATCTGCCTTTGTCTCCCAAGTGCTGGGATCAAATTGTATGCCACCACCACCCAGCTTCTGTGAGTCTCTTATGGAGACTATAACATAAATATATATAATATCAAATATAATATAACATGGAGCCTGGAGCCTCTGAGAGATAGTTTCTTCCCAAGTAAGACATTCCAGTGGACTGTGTTTGAGAGTGGATTTATGTGTATAATCTGATTCCATGAGAACTGGCCAGTCTCATCTAAAGCTTTATGTTTCTTGTCTTAAACTCAGACCCTGGCTTTTTAAGCCCAGGAAGAGACTTCAGACTGGGCACAAACTATTCACTCAACCTCTATCATTTGCCGCCCCCCTCTCCCCCACAAATTAAAGAAGGCTCAACACTCCACTGTGCAAATCCTTTATAGATGTTTAGCTTATTCCAAATCTGTTAAAGCACACTTTTACTTAATTTTTGGCAGTGACAGAGCTCAAACAAGACCATGGCTATATTAGGCGAGTTCTCTACTACTGATCTGTATTTGTAACCCTGTTTTGGAGTATCTCACTTTGAGCCAAAGCTTACAGCCCTCCCTTGGTTCTCTATCATGTAGTACATGCAGTCAATAGAGCCTTGAGACAGGTACTGTTCTTTCTGAGGGGGCTGCCAGAATTCTGCTACCAGGTCATTTAGCACATAGAGCTTCCATATAAACTCTAAGGGCTGTTCCTGCATGCTCACCTCCATGACCTTTGCTTTTCTCTTACAGAGAGAACCACCCTACTGGGATTCATGGCCAATACCAGCTCCATCAGGTTCTGCTACATCAATATGGCATGGTGCCAGACATAAAGAAATAAAAGCATTTAATTCGTGGTGATGTCTCCCATGAGCATTTAGTTCAAATGCTGCCTTTTGACACTATAATCAAACTTTGAAAGTATCAATAACCTCTTTGACAAGTTTTTTTTTTTTTTTTTTTTTGGTTTTACGAGACAGGGTTTCTCTGTATTGTTTTGGAGGCTGTTGGTCCAGCCCAGCCTCGAACTCACAGAGATCCGCCTGCCTCTGCCTCCCAAGTGCTGGGATTAAAGGCGTGCGCCACCACCTCCCGGCCTCTTTGACAAGTTTTAAGATCAATACAAAGAGATAAAATGGGCACATGGCAAAGACGCTTTGATCGAAATTCCACTAAATGCATATTCTAATTTAAAATATTAACAAAAATGTAGCTGAGAAAGACACATCTCATTTAAAAACTCTAAAACACAGTTGTGTCCTACCTGTGGTCTCACCAGTAGCTTTCCCAATACTTCTCACTCTCAGGAACGTGTGCTAACAGACTCTTACCACATCTCTAACTCCCTAAGGACAGTTTCCCAAAAATTAAAATACTGCCAACAAGCATTTTAAATTTAAGTGCATATTACAAATTTAATCCCCGAAGTCTACACCATCTTAAATCCTCACTGTGGATCTAAAGGTTTTGCTAAGTTTTCGAGAATTGCAGACAGGGGCACCTAGCATTCTAGACACCCAATGGCTTCTGTCGATTTAAAATCGATGAAGTCACTTAACACTTTATTTCATCTCTCCTATTTTGAACTAGAGTAGCTGCAACTATTATCCTATGCATGTATTCACAGAGGACATTTTTGTCAACATGTCCAAAGTTATAAAGGAGTCGTTGGGATGAAGAATCACACCAGACCCTCAATCACACACCCAGATGACTCAGACAATGAAAAGGGACTTCTGAGCTGAGGATATTTAGATAAGATACTGACATCAAATTAGATAGGAGCTTGTTAAAACATATGAAAGTAATTGGGAACTAAACCACTGAAGAGCAAAAACTGGAAAAAAACTGAGAACATGACAAACCAACCAAACAAACCAAACACCCAAAACAAAATCCTAGACTACTTAACACAGAATGTTAGCATAAAAATGGACATTTGGTGTAACTTTTTCATCACTCAAATAAAACACTACAACAATTAAACAGCAACTTCCCACCCCTCATTCTTGCTCCTGATAACCTTTTTTTTAATTATTTTATTTATTTATTTATTGTGTGTACAGTCTTCTGCCTGCATGCCAACAGAGGACACCAGATCTCATTCAAGGTGGTTGGGAGCCACCATGTGGTTGCCGGGAATTGAACTCAGGACCTCTCTGGAAGACCACTTAGTAGTGCTCTTAACCTCTGAGCCATCTCTCCAGCCTGCTCCTGATAACCTTTATCCTACTTTCTCTATGATTTGTTTACTCTACACATTTCAAGCCGGTACAAGCAAACACTATTTGCTTTTTTAATGTGACATATTTCATGCAGCATGTTTTCAAAATTCATTCATGCAACATGTGTATTTCACTTTTATGATTAAATAGTATTCCACAGAATGGATATGGATATATTATAAGTTCCTCATTCACATGCTGTATGTCTGTGGTGTTTCTGCCTTTGACTTTTATAAATAATGGTCTTTGTTTCTGTGATGATGTGCACAGTCAAGTTGTCTCAGCACTTATTCTGGGTCTATTGATTTGTGATCATCTTTTGTTGTAGCCATTACTTTAAAGAGAGAAAGAATATAACTGTTGAGCTCTTTCATTTCAACTTTGTTTTCCTTCACATGTTCTAAAAATGTTTTAAATTACGTATATTTGTATATATGTGCGTGCCTGTGAGTTTAAGTGCCCTTGGAGGCCAGAAGAGTGAACTGGATCCCCTGGACCGGAAATAATCAGGTGGTTGTGGGCTGCCATGGATGCTGGGAACTAAACTACACTTCTCACGGAGGTGATGGGCTCTTAACTGCTGGGCCACCTCTCTAGCTCATAAATTCATTTCACAGGGTCACTCATCTAAACACAAATTTGTTTTTTTTTCCTGAAATTTTTCATAATACTTCACTGCTTTCTAGCCACCGCTATTTTATATTAAAAGTTAGCTATTAATTATGCTGCTGGCCGGGCGTTGGTGGCACACGCCTTTAATCCCAGCACTCCGGAGGCAGAGGCAGGCTGATCTCTGTGAGTTCGAGACCAGCCTGGACTACCAAGCGAGTTCCAGGACAGCCTCCAAAGCCACAGAGAAACCCTGTCTTGAAAAAAAAAAAATTATGCTGCTGTTTTCTTTTTGTTTTTGCTTTGGTGCATCTAAAAGGATCTCTCTCTCTCTCTCTCTCTCTCTCTCTCTCTCTCTCTCTCTCTCTCTCTCTCTCTCTCTCTCTCTCTCTCTCTCTCTCTCTCTCTCTCTCTCTCTCTCTCTCTCTCTCTCTCTCTCTCATATCTTACTTAAGGTTCTTGGGCCTATAGGTTAGTGCTTTTCATCAAGTTTTCACCCATTATGCTTTCAATCCCCCATCCCCTTCTTCCCACTAGGATTACTACCATAGATATTCCTGCAGACCTGATACTCTGAAAAGTTAGGAGTCAGCCAATGACTTGGGTAATATTTATATTCAAACACCTCTACTCCCTAAGGATCTACCCTCAGTTGACTAATCTGTGGATACACTCAATTTTCTCTTCTTTTTTCCCCCAAGAGAGGGTTTCTCTATAGCTTTGGAACTCTCCTGAAACTCACTCTGTAGACCAGGCTGGCCTTGAACTCAGAGTTCCCATCAATGCCTCTGCCTCTCGAGTGCTGGGATTAAAGGCGTGCGCCACCACTGCCATTCACAAGGTTCTTGTAGCTTCCTCATACATGCATATTTTTGGGACAGTAAGCCTTCAGCTTTACTCAATTCATTTCCACATTAACTGCTTTCACTCAGAAAAGATACAGACCCTATCACTCATACATACCATCTTCAATGAGTGTGCTCCCTCTAGCAGCAAATGATGGTTTTGTAGTTACTATGTTGGCAAAATGACATTCTCAAGAATTGGTACGCTCTCTCTCTTTCTCTTTCTCTCTCTCCTTCCCTCCCTCTCTTTCTCTCTCTCTCTCTCCTCCCTCCCTGTCAATTAATTTTGTTTTCTGCTCTTGAAGGAAAATATATAAGAAGGTCTGATGTTACAGAGTAATACAACTTTTGTAGAGTTAGAGTCTCTAGGTATCTATGTGAACTGAAATGTTACCCAAAATGATGAATTTTGCCAAGTGTGTTGATGTATGCCTATAATGCCAGCGTTGGGGGACACAGGCAAGGAGGATCACTTTAAGACTGGCACCAGGGCTGGAGAGATGACTCAGGGGTTAAGAACACTGCCTGTTCTTTCAGAGGTCCTGAGTTCAATTCCCAGCAACCACATGGTGCCCCCCAACCATCTGTATTGAGGTCTGGTGCCCTCTTCTGGCCTGCATGTATCCCTGCAGGCAGAATACTGTATACATAATAAATAAATCTTAAAAAAAAAAAAAGAAAATTTTCTAGCCGGGCGGTGGTGGCGCACGTCTTTAATCCCAGCACTTAGAAGGCAGAGGCAGGCGAATCTCTGTGAGTTCAAGGCCAGGCTGGACCGACAGCCTCCAAAACAATACAGAGAAACCCTGTCTCGTAAAAACCAAAAAAAAAAAAAAAAAAAAAAAAAAAAAGACTGGCACCAGCCTGGGTTACATAGTCGGATCCTGCCTCATCCCCCCCATCACCCCATAAAAGTCTCTCAGTTTGCAATGACAAAAACCTCCTTATCAAAATATTTGCAAATTTGGCAAATGATTCAAAGTTGCACTTTTAGGTTGACATGGTTAAAATGTTTGTTTCTCAGTGTTTAAGAGGAAAGCTACACTGTTGAGTGACACAGCATCAAGTGACAAATCTGCAGCCGAGAATGCACTGGGGCCCACATAAGCCTCTCCAGTCTGTGGCATTAGGTTCCCACACTTAGCTATCTGCTCCTGGATTATTAGCTGTGTCAGAAGTAACTTACTCAGGGTTGTGAAAACCAAACAGATGATGACAACAAGATTTCTATCTGAGCACATCTTAAAAAGTCAACAGTCTGAATCTTCAATCACACAAGCTCTCCAAAGCTAACTGTGGTACCCATTAGAACACACTTTAATATTTCTTCATATGTAATAAGTAAAAAGGAACCAACCTCTTTTTTCTTCTTCTCGTTTTAGTTTATCTTCCTCTATTTCTTTAGGTAATTTTTCCTTTTTTTCTTTTTCCACGTCGTTATGTAAATGTTTTGTGGTATAGCTGAGTGCTGGAGAAAGAAGGATCTCCCCATTTTTGCAGAGTTCATCACGAATTCTAATAAAAAACTGCTGAAGCTCTACTGCATCTTCATATATTTCGGAGTCTGTCCTATAGGGCATTAAGAGTATCCATTGACACACGAACTGCTTCTCCCATAACACCTCGGTTACATCCTAAACCCCATCACATAGTTCACTATGTTCACTGACAAAATAACAATATTTTGGCTCAGTTAGAAGGGTGTCCCTACTAACTCAGAGTATCTGAGCCTTGCATGGTGGTATACTTGGGAGGCAGAGGCAGGAGGATCAAGAGTTCAAAGTCCTTCTCATTTACATAGTGAATGAGGCCCAACTGGGTTACAAGAGACCCTATCTCAAAACAAAACAAACAAAAATAATGAATGAGGAAATAAGTACACAAATGAGTATCTGAGTTCTCACTTGGCTTCCTTTTTCTCAAGGCATACTCCTTTCTCACTCATGTCAAAGGGAGTGTCTCCTATTTTGATTGGTTATACAAAGCACAGCAGAAGCTGCTGGCAGAATCAAGAACTGTATGTACTACTGCTCCTGACCAAGTCCAATACTTAGCTTGCATCTTTTTGGGGTGCAGGGGCAGGGGGCCTCTGTGCCACCCTGACTGTCCTGGAACTTGCTCTGCAGACCAGGCTGGCCTTGAACTTAGAGAACCATCTGCCTCTGTCTCCTGAGTGCTGGGATTAAAGGTGTTTGCCACCACTATCTGCACCACAGCTGTGTCTATTTTCTTAACTGAAGACCCACATTTATAGAAGGTGACAAAAGATTTAGACTATGCCTACTTTTTTTCTTTTGGTCCTATGGCAACACTACCCAGACTGACAGTACTCACTGAAAAACTGAACCTAAACTATAAAGGCAAGAAAGTATTCTGTATAATAACAAGTACAGGCCTAAGAGTTAATTTAAATCTTAATTTCTCAAAAGTAACTGATTTAGAGGGAACTGGCAGATGCAAATACTACAAGAAGGGAAAAAGAATTATGTGTCACTGGTGTTGGTGGTGCATGCCTTTAATCCCAGCACTCAGAAGGCAGAGGCAGGTGGATCTCTGTGAGAGTTCGAGGCCGGGCTGGACCGACAGCCTCCGAAACAATACAGAGAAACCCTGTCTCGTAAAAAAAAAAAAACAAAACAAAAAACAAAACAAAAAAAACCCAAAACAACAACAACAAAAACTTACACATCTAGAATGCCTATCATTAATGTGAAGATAGTAGATAGAAGTGTGATATATAATTCACTAAACAGATGCATTTTAAGCTATTCTTTTTTTCTTCTTTATTCTAGTTTGGTGAGACACTCTCACTTTATAGCCCAGGCTGGCCTAAAACTATGAATCCTTCTACCTCAGCTTCCATGTGCTGGGATTACAAGTATAAACCACTATATCAGCCTTATCAATTTTTTAAAAAGAATTTATGATTATTTTTCCTTTTTTGTGTGTATGGTTGCTTGGTATGTACATCTGTATGTGTTTTGGGTGTGTGTGGAGGTATGCAGAGATCAGAGATCAAGGTCAGGTCTTTATTACTTTCTACTTTACTTTTTTGAGATAGGGTCTTATACTTGGAACTCACTAGCTGGCTAGGAAGCTCCAAGGATGTTTACCCTCAGCTACTGGGTAGTTACAGGCTTGCGCCAGAATGCTCAGCTTTTTTTAGGTGGAGGCTGGCAGTCTGAACTCAAGTCCTTGGACCTGGATGGCAAGAGCTTCACCCAGTGACCATCTCCCAGACCTCTTTCATCAATTCAGTTTTTTTTTGGTTGTTGTTTTTTCGAGACAGGGTTTCTTTGTGTAGTTCTGGCTGTCCTGGAACTCGCTTTGTAGACCAGGTTGGCCTTGAACTCACAGAGATCTGCCTGCCCCTGGCTCCCGAGTGCTGGGATTAAACAGCTGCACCACATGGCTGTGAGCCACCATGTGGGTGCTGGGAAGCACACCTACATCTTCCTACATCTTCTGGAAGACAGGCAGTCTTAACTGCTGCTGAGTCACATGGGCATGAGATAATTTATGCAGATTACAGTCCCATGTGTATCTGGCTGTATCTTCTAGACCTCAAAAGCAAAAGCCTATCATGTCAACAACATGATAATGAAAAGACAGTTTTCTAGAAATATAAATCACATACAAAGTTCCCCATAATCTTAGATACATGCTCTTTAGAAGACTCACTGAACTCAAGTCACGATGGGACCACAGGGAGTGTCTTTAGTTTATGGACTCCATAAACTGAGAAAAAAAATCAGATCTGAATTTCATGAAAATACTGCTACATTTTATGTACCTGGAATATGCTTTTTGGCCAACAATCATCCAACAAAAACTACTTGACTGAAAAACTCCTGTAAAATTGGACTGCAAGACGTGCCCCTTTCTTTATTTCTATCCCTAGTATCTCACAACAAGGACCATTTCCTAAACATGTTAATTAAGGGCCTAATCAGCTTAACTCTACCTCCAGCTCTGGAACACAGTGTCTTCACACTCTAATCCTTTGCCTTTCTTCATACCATTAATCGTATCTGGAGTATCAATCGTCCTCAAACTCTTTCACGATGTTTGTGCCTTTTTAGGTGAACTTTGGCCCACCAAGTTCCTTACAGCACTATCTTTTCTGAGTGCTGGGTTTTGATATGCTATTTCACAATCCCCTAAGTATAAGTCCTATCCTGCCCACAAGACTTCAAGCTCTTAGAATACAGAGCTCAACAATGTTTATCATCCATGGCTGTGTTCATTAACTAGTGACCGTTAGCAGCAGGGTTCTCAGTGGAGAACAAACATCACCTAGTAGCTGTGATAAACCTCTTTTTCCTGCACATATCCAATTCTTCTCATGAAAACTGAAAAAGATTATCAGTTGCCTAAAAAAGCATACATGAGTTAGAGATTATTTACATGAAGAGCTTTAACATGAAGCTTCATTAAAAAAAAATTCTCACCAGGAAAAGCAATCATTAGTATTTACTTTTCCTTTAAGGCCAAGAGCAAATGATGGCTTTGAAGACTTCCTACATGGAATTAAACAGCCTAAAGTTCTAGCTCTCAGCACTATAACACTTTAAATCACAGAAGGGTAAGGTTTACAATCTTTAAGTTCAATTCAGCTAAGTGCCTCCAAGAACATACAGAACTTACGTTGCAATTGCCAAACTACACTGAGTATGCTACCAGTAAGTGGCAAAGATCTACATAGGCCAAAAAGTTGAAAGATCTTTAGTAAATGTAAATTTACTCTTTTAAACCATTTACAGTCCTACACTAAGTTCCTAAACTGATAAATGCCAAGAAAGCCCACAGAATCATCTAACCTGGGCTGTATGTTACAGAGCCTGATCCAACAACCAGGGAGCCTGCATGGGACTGACATAGGCTCTCCACAGATATGTGACAGTTGTGTAGTTTGGTCTTCTTATGGGATTCCTAACAGTGGGAGCAGGGGCTGTCTCTGACTCTTTGCTGGCTTTGAGACCAGACTCCTCATACTGTGTTGCCTTGCCCAGTCTTAATACATGGGAAGGAGCTTAAGTCTTACTTCAACTTGAAATGCCTTGTTTTGTTGATATCCATGGGAGGCCTGCCCTTTCCTCAACAGAAATGGAGGAGTAGATTTGGCAGGTGGGTGGGAGAGATGGAATGGGGAGAGAGGAAGGAGGAGAAACTGTGGCCAGGATATAAAATAAGTAAATTTTAAAGATTAAAAGCAAAAGAGCTTTCTAAGCACTTGAAATAGAAATTGAGAGGGGACAGAGAGACAGCTCAAGGGTTAGGTGCACTGACTCCTCTTCCAGAGGACCCTGTTTTAAGTTCCAGCACCTGTCTGGTAACCAACAGCCATCAGTAACTCTAGTCCTAGAGGAACCAACACCTCGTCTGGCCTCTGGGAGCAATGCACAATGTGGTGCACAAACATACATCTAGGCAGGACATCTAGCTGTGCACATAAAATAAAAATAAGTAAGTTTTTAAAAAAATTGACTGGATTTAGACCACTCTGACCTCAAAGAATAGCTCAAAGCTCTTTAATTCATTTAAAACAGTCTTGAACTAACTTTCAAAGAAAAATCCTACTTTTAATTTCTATTACAAACTGTATTACTTAGCCTGTAAGAGACATGTTCTGTGAAAGGCTGTATTTTAGGTTTCTGCGTTGCACAAGAGCTTTAATTATCTCTTCCTTTCGCTGGCACTCATTTTGACAACTTAGCAGTGCTCTTTCCACTTTACAGAACACACAGCTTTTTGTAAGTTTTGTTAGAATTCAGGGGAACAGGCCACCCACTGTAACAACAACCTAAGGTGAGAAAGTTTACCAGAGCAGAATTTCTTCACCTGTTTTGCATTAAACATCATATATTTTCATCATAAAGGAATGGTTTTGAAAACATACCTATTCATCCTTCTTGCCCTTTCCAACACTTCAAACATATGCTCTTGAAACAAATCAAGTCGCCGATAGCGATTGCTTTCAACACTCTTCCTAATGATATCAAATGTAAGGGGAGGTTTGTTGGGAAAGCTGGGATCCACAGCGGGAATCTCTGCTAAGGAGTCACTGTAGCACCTTCCTTCATCATCCTGATGACTCATGACCGACACAAAAAGATTATGGATAAGTTCTTGAATCAGCAAGGTCACGTTTGGGACATGAGAATCCTCATCTCCCTCCAGGTCTCTCCGAGTTTCCAGGAGAACTTTATGTAGGACAAGAGCATCTTTGTAGATTAAAGACTCTGGTTCATTGTAGGTACAGGCATTATTAAACATCATGACAAAGTCCTCTACCATAGAATCTATATCTTGGTACTTGTTTGCCATCATGTGACTTCGAATTTTTTCCATGTCCATGGGTTTTTTAATGGTCAGATAGTAGTCAGGCAGCTCTGATCTAGAGGGGAGTCTCAGAAATATAGCACTGAGACGGCGACCCCTCTTATCAGTATAGTTCTTCACAGCTTCATACACTTCATTTAGCTTCTGCTGCATTGGAGTCATGTACTTCGACTTCTTAGGAGAAACACCACTCTTTCTACCTGAAGAGAGAGAGGTAATATAAAGTGGATAAAATGGTGTAAGTATGGTTTTTTACATAGCTGGTAGTACAACCATAAGAAAAGGGCTATCCCAAATGATTTGTAAAAACACAGTCATCAGCCTATCCTCAGTGAGACAGCCCTTACAGACAAAAATAGATTTGGACAAAAACCTTTACTCTGGTCAACAATATACTGTATGTACAATAATTTATATGTAAATAATAAAATTTTTGTATGTACATAAACTTTTTCGAGACTGAGTCTCATAATATAACACAGTTGGGCTTTGAACTCTCCACCTTCCTGCCTTAGCCCTAAGGGCTGGGATTAAAGGTGGTAGATGAGGGGCTGGAGAGATGGCTCAGAGGTTAAGAGCACTGACTGTTCTTCCAGAGGTCCTGAGTTCAATTCCCAGCAACCCCATGGTGGCTCCCAACCATCTGTAATGAGATCTGGTGCTCTCTTCTGTCACGCAGGCATACATGCAGACAGAACACTGTATACATAATAAAATTAAAAAAAAAAAAGGTGGTGGATGAATAACACATAAAACTAGTAACCTCCCCCCCCACAGGGTTTCTCTGTGTAACAGCTCTGACTGCCCCAGAACTTGCTTTATAGACGAGGCTAGCCTCAAACTCACAAAGATCCCACCTGCCTCTGCCTCTCAAGTGCTGATTATAGGTGTATGCCATCAATACCCAGATAGCACATACTTTTGCTATGAGGGTAAATACTTTATGCTGAGATGACTGTGAAAAGGTTAAATAAATGAGAACCTCTGTGACATTCTAATGCCGTCACCTCTAACATCCCAGAGAACTAAGAATCTCATTACAGGAAAAAGATAAAGATGTTGAAACAAACTGAAGTGTTAATAAAATTCTTGAAAGTTGAATATGAAAATATCAATTGAGTTTAACATTTTTTTTTTTTTTTTTGGTTTTTCGAGACAGGGTTTCTCTGTGGCTTTGGAGGCTGTCCTGGAACTCGCTTGGTAGTCCAGGCTGGTCTTGAACTCACAGAGATCCGCCTGCCTCTGCCTCCCAAGTGCTGGGATTAAAGGCGTGGGCCACCAACGCCCGGCGAGTTTAACATGTTTTATTTTTCTAAATATAAACTCACATTTTTCCTAATTCCAGTCATGGAAATTCCTAGAAATGATCACCAACTCAGTAACAGGATATCCCCAAACTAGTCTGTTTGTTTACAGACAGAGCCTCAAATAGCCAAGGCTGATCTCAAACTCACTATGTAGCTCACATTGAACTCTGATGTAGAACTTCTGATAATCTTGCTTCTAACTCCCCAAGGCTGGGAATACAGGCATGTGCCTTCTTAACTATGTGTATGCTTTTTGCTTTTTTTTTTTTTTTTTTTTTTTTTTTGGTTTTTCCGAGACAGGGTTTCTCTGTATTGTTCTGGAGGCTGTCCTGGAACTCGCTCTGAAGACCAGGTTGGCCTCAAACTCAGAGATTCGCCTGCCTCTGCCTCTCCAGTGCTGGGATTAGAGGAGTGCACCACCAACACCCGGCATGTTTACGCTTTTATAATTACATGAATAGACAAATTTCTTAATGACAAAAGACCGTCATTTAGCAAAAGTTACAAGCAACAGTGAAATTTGGGTTAACAGGCAGTTTACATGGAAGATGCTAGTTCTTTCTTCTTTGAAGTAGGTACAGCTCTAAAGATGTTTGCTTAGCATTTGTTTAAGATTATTTGAAATTGTTATTTGGCATGTTTCATTTATATATATCTTATAGATCAGAACTATCTTAATTCAATGGTATTTTTGTTGTGTTCTTTTCCTTTAAAAGTTTCAATAAAATCGTAGCCAAATAGGGGACTCAGATGGTCACTGAGTAGTACATTTCTCACCTCCCAAATTCTATCCAGTACAGTTGTAGCAGCGCAGTCCTAATGTCTCTTCCTACATACACTTGTTGGGATTCACTTTTAATTTTATGAAACATGAAACAAATATTAACAAAACCTAACATATTCTTCTTTTTGGCATCTAATAAATAATAGTCTTACCATTTAATGGTTATGCTACACACTGCATTCCAGAAAGCAAAGAAAGCCTCTGCCATTATATTCAAGCTCTCTTTTTTTAATGGTTTGGATATGAAGCAGCCTTGAAAAGTTCCTCATAGAAGACTTGGAATCCAGATGGTGGGTACAATCATTGAGAGGTACTGACTACGAGAGCTCTGCTTTTACCAACAGAGACTTACTAGATGGATCGTTATCTGATAGCAGTACTGGGAGGTGGGGCTAGGCTGGTGGAGGGCCTCCATGTCTTTTCCTCTGCTCCTTGACTGCCTGGGCTAAGCAAATCTGCAACTCTGTGTCCTTACATGATGGACTATTTTACTATAGCTCAGAACAATGGAGATTGAGCTTCTGAAGTTGTATCAAAATGAACCCTTTCTCATTTTCACTGTCAGATATTCAGTCCCATCAACAAACTAGGTTAACAGTTTTACAGTCTTGTTTACTTAAAACACAAAGACTGCATGTGAAGAAGGAAGGCATCTAACAGCAGAGTGCTAGTGAGGAAAACATTCATCGTCTAAGCAAAGAAATGTCAAGAGGCCAGCAAGCTCCCTCTGACAGTCTAAACTAAGAGCAAGCGACAAACAGACTCACTCAGTTTCAGCTTGGGAGAAGCCACGTCATCATCGTCAGGCAGAGGTCCCAGCTCCTTCCTTTTATCCTTGAGTAACTTCTCCAGGATATGTGCGTCATTGTACACCTGCATTCCAGAGACACACTTAAGATCATTTTCTAAAAACATCACAATTAAGGAGTAAAGCAGTTTTAATCTCTCTGAAGGTGGCGATATATAAATTAATTACCAGCACTCAGGAAGCTGAAAAAATCACAAGTTTGAGGCCATCATCAGCTATACAGTAAAACCCTATCTTCATTATCAAAAGCACCAACTAACAAGTAAAAAATGTGTGAATGTGTCTAAAACATGGTTTAGGACAGCTGATGCTAAATGTTTCCATTCTCTTCAGGACATTAGCATTACTACCCTATGGCTCTTTGGGTGATTCTAATGTACAGAAACGCATGGCAGTAAGCCAAGCACGGTGGCCCTTACCTTTAATCCCAGCACTCAGGAGACAGAGGCAGGTGGATCTCTGAGTTTGAGGTCAGCCTGGTCTACAGAGCAAGTTCCAGGAGAGCTAGAACTGTTACACAGAGAAACCCTGTCTCAAAAAAAAAAAAAAAGAGGTGTGTGTGGGGGGACAAGATAGACAGAAAGGAAAAAAGAGAGAAAAAGGAAATTCAAGCTATTATCTGAGATCCACTGGGGTAGATGTTTATTTCCTTTGTCTGGGTGCTTAGTCTGCATGTTTATGTAGAAGCCAGAAGAGGATACTAGATTCCTTGGCACTAGTTACAGAGGGTTCTGAGCTGCCACATGGCTGCTGCAAATTGAATCAAGAGTCACCTGGAAGACTGGTCAGTGCTCTTAACCAGTCATCTCTTTGAGTCTCAGTTTTGCAGGTTTTAACAGATGCTCCAAAACATTTTTATATGTGTCATTTCCTAAAACAACAAACATCCCTATCTCTTCCACCGGATCTCCAAGGCATCTGACACAACCCAGACTGAAAATATCCCTCCAAAGACTGACCACTGCTGGCAATACACAGCCAAGAACAAGGTTCTCACTCAATGGTCTTGTTCCACAGCTGCCTCCTCCTATCTCCCCAGCAGAGGCTGCATTCCCTTGAATGCCCACAGGAGCAGAGTGGCAGAAGGAATGTGACTTTTCCTCTCTGATTATCCCTCCTAAAGGTGTACAGTAGTCAGGGATCCTGAAGACAGTATGAATATTATAAAAAAGCCTATTTCTTCAATCTACAAGTGTCCTTAGCATGTATACTTTAATTTAAAATAACGGCATAAAAAAGGAAATAATTTGAAAATGTTTTATTTTTGAATATTTAAAATGGGTAAAAGATATGAAATAGAAAATATAGCAAAGGAAGGTCATACTTTGGCTATACTGATAAAGAATTAAAAATCACCACCTAAAGATATAGCTAAATGGCAGAGAACACATAAAAGTCCTTGGCTCGATAGGCATTGGTGGCGCAAGCCTTTAATCCCAGTACTCGGGAGGCAGAGGCAGGCGGATCTCTGTGAGTTCGAGGCCAGCCTGGTCTACAGAGTGAGTTCTGTGACAGCCTCCAAAACAATACAGAGACACCCTGCCTTGAACCCCCCCCCCCCCGCAAAAAGTCCTTGGCTCAACTGATCCCAGAAGAGCCCCCCAACCACCCCCAAACAAACAAACAAACAAACAAACAAACAAAGGGGCTAGACACAAGACTCAGCTATAAAAGTAATTAATGTTCTTGCAGAGAACCTGAGTTCAGTTCACAGCACTCATGTCATGCAGCTCAGAATTATTTGTTAACTCCAGTTCCAAGGGAGTCAACACCCTCTGATCTTAACACCAGGCACATATGTGATGCATATATATATATGCATCTGCCTCTGCCTCCTGAGTGGTGGGATCAAAGGCGTGCATCACTTAAAACATTCATCTATTTATTACCATCATCATCACTTTGGTTTTTTGAGATCAAATCTTTCTTATATAGCCTGGCTGGCCTAGAACTCACCAAGACCAAACTGATCTTAAATTCAAGAGATCCACCTGCCTCTGCTTCCCAAGTATTCTGACTACAGTACACACTGTCACACCTAGCTCTCTATTTTGTATGTTGGTATCCATAATGCAAGCCAGAGCTCATGTTGGATGTCTTCCTTGGCCGCGTTTCCACTTTGTTTTCTTTGAGATAGGGTCTTCTCAATGAACCTGGACTCAATCTGGCTAACCTGACCGACAGTCTTAGGGGTCCTGTGTCTCACCACCCAGCATGGAATTACAGGTATGTACTGCTGTGTCTGACTTTTTACACTGTGTGCTGGGATCTGAAATGAAGGCTTCACACATGCAGAGCAAATGCTTACAGACTAAACCGGCTCCCCGACGGAAAGCAGGATAAAAATGTAGGTGCCAGGTGAGTGCATAGGAAACCAAAGAGAGGTATTAGGTATCGTTCTCAACCATGCACACAGGTTGTGGCTTGCTGGCCAGTCAGCCTAACTGAAAGTCAGCGAGATAAGACAGTGACTAAGGAAGACAGCTCTTTCCCTCCCTCCCTCTCCAGAGGGAACCTAGCTCTGATCTGTCACAGAAAGACAGAGGCATTCGCTCTAGGACACCCTGCCTCACCTGAGAGCCCTCCTCGTTGTAGTGCCTGGCGTTGCGGAACATAAGCTTCATGTCCTCCATCATTCCTTCTTCACCTGCGTATTTGTCATTTCGGATGTTATGCTCAATTATTTTCAGGTCCATTGGCTCTAAGATGATTTTATAGTAATCAGGATAGTCCTTCTTGGATGGCTTAACCATAAATAGATCACAAAGTCTTCTGCCTGAACCTGGCTCTCGAGCTTCAAGAACAACATTGAATAAAATTTTCATTCGCTGTTTTCTTATGTTCTTTTTACTGTTGAGGGGAAGGTAGAAAGGGGGGAAAAAACGACAGGGTCAGTTTTCTTTATCCAAGGGTGATCACAAAATAAAATAAATTTGTGGGCAGGTACTTCGTGATGATTACAATGTATTCATTAGATGTGCCATAAACATAGTAAGCACCCTGGAAAGTTATAAGAGAATATTAAGACAATTTATAAAATGATTACAACAGTGATTCTGGCAGGAGCAAGTGACAAACCAGTTTAGAATAGCTCTGGAAATGTAATATTGAATACAAGATATTGTGTGATATCATAAGAAAATGAAACTTAATAACCAATTGAAATACTTTGGGTTTTGAGACAAACAATGCAATAAAACTAGCTTTTCAACTTCTAAAGACAGACAACACAAAAGAAACCAACTGTGTTTCATCTCTTAAAATAGCTACTCCTAACCGGGCGATGATGGCACATGCCTTTAATCCTAGCACTTGGGAGGCAGAGGCAGGTGCGTCTCTGTGAGTTCGAGACCACCTGGTCTACAAGAGCGAGTTCCAGGACAGCCAGAGCTGTCACACAGAGAAACTGTCAAAAAAGATAAAAGAAAGATAGCTACTTCTAAACAGAATATTCTGGATGACAGGAATGCCCCACCTCTCAAAATGTCTTCATAGAGGGTACGGATCTCTCTGGCATTGATCATGTCAGGGTCAGACCCCACTTATCCCTTTACCCAGAATCCCTGTCTAATCCAAGGTAGCTTGAAGTAGTCTGTGGGTCATCTAAACTCTCTCTAAAGTTTTAGCCTTCAGCATATATTCTTGCCTTTCTGCAGAGTCCATCTTCAAGATAAGATCCTGAAAAACTGGTATGAGTGGCATAGAACAAAGTACAAGGACCAAAGATTAACACCAGAATTTAAAAGAGGCCTTACTTAACTGTTGAGAAATCCAGCTCAGAGGCTAAATGAAATGTTCAAGGCAAATGGTTCAATAAACCATTAAAAGAATTCATTTTCTAGTTTGATTTCTGTCAGTTGTATTATGTCATCAGAGTACTGATAAATTCTAGCTAGTTTGCCCAGCAGTCTTCAAGTGGTCATGTATGTAAAAAAGGAGAGGACTTAAGGGTTAGTGTTTAGTTTACAAAAACCTGTTAAGATCCTATAATATAGTACACAGAGGCAAATTTTAGTTGTATTCCATCTTGTATGGGGAAGGAAGTTCATTACTAAAGAAAATTATAGGGTTTTGAGTCTCTAAGACTAATCCTCAGACTAGTCTCACTCTCCTTCTGGGTCATGAGGCACTGCCTTAATTTAAGGTATGATTTTAAAAATCAGAAATAGAAGCCAAGCATGTTAGTACATATTTGTAATTCTAGCACTTAGGAGGTGGAGGAAAGAGGTTCAAGATTCCAAGGTCATCTTTGGATTCATAGAAAGTTTAGGCAAACCTGATCTACATGATGTGGGGTTGGAGAAGAGGGGAAAGGAGGGAGGGAAGACAAAGATCACGTGTGCATTTGTGTATGTGTAGTGTGTGTGTTCAAATAACAATCAGCCATTGAAAACCCAAGCAGCAGTGGCACACGCCTTTGATCCCAGCACTTGGGAGGCAGAGGCAGGCGGATCTCTGTGAGTTCCAGGTCAGCCTGGTCAAGAGCTAGTTCCAGGACAGCCTCCAAAGCCACAGAGAAACCCTGTCTCGAAAACCCAGAGGGGTGGGGGGAAGCAATATGGGACGGACAATGATGTGAAGTTGTTCTTCATCTCCAGGTCTGTAGCTAATTAAAAGGGACAAAGCTCCAAAGCAGAGCTTCATATTGAGGCACGGCAACTTTAACTTTCAGAGACTGAGAAGAAATTTCAGAACTTGAATCAAAACTCACAGACTTAAAACCAAGTCACATCTGGCTTGTTTAGAAATGTCTAACATGTAGAGCATGACCTTAAAAGGAAGATGCAAGAACTCAGCTTTGAAACGTTAAGGCTTAAAAGAGAGCTCATTAGTTAATTCAGAAAGAATCAGTTCCTCATTCCCAAAGTTCCAAGAAGAAGAACGCTGTAGTTAAAAGCCAGCAGATTAACTTTATTGTCTTCCAGGATTCAGCAAACCATTCCCAATTATCAGGAGATTCTTCTGTATGAAGCTACAAGCATTTTCATTTGGAACTGAATCTGTGGCAGACTTTAATGAGATTTTACAAGACAAAGCTTTTAACTGGATTTTGTAAAATAAAATAGCAAATGGTCCATTCTCTCAATATCAATTAATCCTAACACTTGGTAACTGTAAGTGGGTCATATACGGAATGTGAATTTGCCTTAAAAACTGTTCTAATCTAGTAATTTCCTTTCTTTACTTATGACGAATAAATAACTGGTTTGCAGTCTCAGAGGGCAAACAGAACTATTACTAGGGTCACACATGACCTTCTTTGACGTTGTACGTTCTGGGAACCAAACTTGAGTTCCTCAAAAGAACAGCAAGTTCTTTTAACCACAGAGTCATCTCTCCAGCCCCATTTCTGTCTATTCCTAATGTCTCTTTGCTTTTCAGGATTATTCTTAGAACACTTGTAGACATTCTATCCCTTCACCTCTGTTAAGCTAATAATTACTAATATTTTCATAATCTTCATTTTTGCAAAGGTACATGAAACAGGTCCCACATCCTTTAACCAGCATGAACATTCACTGAGTATCAGTACCTTGCAGATATTAAAGTAAAATCATCTTGTTTCTTTCCTCCCTGAGACAGTCTCTCAATGTGAGCTAGCCTAGAATTCTAGAATCCTGTCCAGTACTGCTGTGACTGTAGACAACTGTTTACTACCACACCTGGCTAAAATACTATTTTCCTGACAAAATCTCATACTATGCAAACTAGGCTGGAGTCAAACTCAGAATCCTCCTGCCTCTGTTTCCCAAGGTTGGAGATTACAGTATGAGCCACAATGCCCAAATAAAATACATCTTAAGGGAACTCAAAATCAAGACTATTCATCATGTACTAAAGGAGATTCCAAGCCAAATTGTACATATTACTGCAATAAAGGTATTTTTAGAAGAGATTGACCATAAAAGGTCCTGTACTAAGAGTATCAGTATACAAGAACAAGCTTCCAACACATGAAAGTCAAAATACAGATGAGTGCCTTTTCTAATGTACAATGATTATGAGTGAGAAGGGACTATGTTCTGAATCTCCTTTAAAACAAACCAGAAAAACAAGTTCTCATATTATAACCCAGGCTAACTTCAAATGGATAGATTCCCCTTCCTGAGCCTCTTGAATGCTGAGTATGGGAATGAGAGCCACTACACCTATGAATGCCTGATCCAGTCCCAGACAAGCAGACACCCTCTTCTGGTTCCTGCAGGTTCCCTATGTACGTGGTGCACAGGTAGGTATGCATGTGGACAGAACATTCACACACATAAAATGAAAATACATCTAAAAAACAAACCACTATATAGTTACTCAACACCATAACATGGCAACTTGTAGGTTATACTGAAAATCTTAAGTAATATACAAAAGATGCCTTAAAGAAATGGATGCTTTTAAGAAATAAGATGTAGACAGGATCAGAAACTAAAAAAAATTAACAAGAAGCACTAGCCCAATACAATGCACTAGTGCCCACAGGCACTAGTGGTTGGATTGCCAATGTTGATTCTGACCTTTCCACCATCTCAGTCAGGATGGCATTCCTGAGATGTAATCAACACCCACAAGCCCACGTCACTGACTATGCCAGCCTGTACCTCTTGCTAAAGAGCATATCTCAATGATAAGTGAGAGGGATTTCTGCCCCTGGAAAAGAAAGCCAGCAACAAAATGAAGGTAGCAATGACCACAAGGAGGCTAATTTTGACACACAAGACTTCTAAACTGCATTGCTTTCTTTACTCATAAAATAAACTGGCATCCCAAACACTTGTGTAACATGCATAAAGTATTTCTTCTCATAATGTCAGTACCGACCATTTCAGAGAATTACACCTTTGAACTTATGTTTATGCATAAAAAAGGTCTGCACACCTGGATAGCCTCCTGAGACCCAACATCTCACTGTCATGAGTATTCCTGGGAAAGCAGAAACAAACAATACATGTGAAGAGAAATAAAACAAGCAACAGTGGAGGGTCATGCATAAGCCAAACATGATTGAGGACAAGAAGATTATTTGGTCCAAAAGATAAAAGATCATAACACTTGAAACATTTCAACACAGAAAGCAGATTTTCGGTAGGTAGAAAGTAGGGGAAAGGATGCATTTCCAGAATAAAGAAAATATATACCTACAAACCACTTTTTAAAAACACTTTTCAGTATTAAAAAAAAATAAAGCAAAAATAGAATCAGATGTATTATTTAGAAGTGGAGCAGTATTTGGAAAACATGGCTCTGACATCTCCGGTCAAGTTCATGTTCTCTTGACTTCTGAAGAAACCCACTTACTATCAAAACCTTTTAACTAAAAGGTTCATGATTTTGTTACTGACCAATAGTACTTAATTCTCCGTGTTTAAATATCCACACATGCTTGCAGCCTAAGCCTGGATTGATTTTTGTTTGTTTGTTTGGTTTTGGTAGATAATTTATGGTTCTTGCCACTTTTTTTCACTTTAGTATATGAACCATTTCCTAGGAAACTTATTCACAAGGAGACTTTTGTCTGAAATATGATCTATTAATTTTAAAAACATATAGCTTAGTGTTCTTTCTATAGGAAGTTGAAGGGCAATAACTTCATCTACTTGAACTGTACCACAAGCTAAAGGCCCCAGAGATAGGTAATTTTAAAGTATCTAGCCTATGTTAATGCTTCCTAACACTCAACTTATTTAAAAGCATTTCCTCAGATGCTGGTGCTAACTGCACCATTACTTTTGCCTCCATTACCTTCTTTTGCCTGAGAAGTTTCTATCTTTGATTGGTGACTGATCTTACTCAAAGATGTTCTTGATTTGATGTCTCTGATCTGGTTTCACATTTTTCCTCCGTTGTCCCTGGTATAACAAGGAATTAAGAACTTGGAAGGATGAAATTCACAGGCCAATAATGGAGGAGACCTGCATCTCAGGGTACACCAAGTGATTTAGCTAACACCACATAGCTTTGCAGTCATTTTCCAAGTTAAAAACTGTTTCTCAACTGCTGTTTAACAGGAAAAGACAAGGCAGCCTTTTTGCTCCTAAATCACATTTCAAAACCTTCTGATTTTAGTGGATCTTTTAATGCAAATACAGAGATATGTCAAAAAATGAACTGGCTTCTTCATTCAATTCTGAGTCTGTCAAGCCCTACTATTAATGATCTGCTTATTCCTTGGTCAAGGGATTCTCCCAGACTGACTGTTGCTACAAAGAACGTAAACCTTCAGGGAGATCAGGCCAGAGAAATTCCAAGAGATGGTCTTGAACAACTCCTTATAAGAGCCTAGCGTCAGAATCTCAGTGAAGTTCCTCTCCTTAAAACCAGTGAGGGAAGAAAAGAATTAGGGGAGTTGAGAGGATAGTTAGGGGGAAAAAACAAAAACAAAAAACCTCCAAAATCAGGTTAACATTTTATCGCCTGTAGCAGCTATGATTTGATCGTCTCAAACCCTAAGTAAAGAGCGGCTGACGCTGATAAGGAAAAGCGAGACTGGAACAGTGACGTACTTCACTGCAGCCGCAGAGCTGACTAACCCTTACCTTTCTTCACTACTACTCCATTGTCTGCAATTCACCACCAAACACTTGTCTAAGATTTAAGTGGCACTTTCAAACTGCCATCTTAAAAAGGAATCTGGACAGCAAAAAGAGTAACATTTCCCCAAGCTACTCGTCACTTTTCTGTCATCTAAAAGCAATACAGTAGTTGCAAAAAACCAAAAACGAAACCTACTATCCAACTTACAAATGAACTGGAAGACAAACTATCAAAACTTTTAGAAGAGTTCATACTTCATAGCTTACATGTTTTTGTACATTTATCTGAAATAAAATAAAAAAGAACTGAGCTGGTTCCAGATATGAGAAGAACATATACCTTTTTCTTTTGGCACTACCAGTATCAGAAGTGGCTGAAGAGATCATGCTGTCTCCATCCTCAATGTCATCTCTCCTGGCAAGCTCTTTCTTCTTTGCCTGAAATAGAGCAGATGCTAGAAATCAGCCTCACAATGTCAGAGGTTCTCTGAAAATATGAACATTAAAACAACTAGACATATTTCAGAGAGATACAACCTCACACAGAACATACAAAACTGAATAGTCTTTAAACATTTTTAATAACCTAATTTAACAAAAGTCTGCATGACAGAAAAGTAGGTTAAAAATGGAATCAGACCTTGGGAGGCAGAGGCAGGCGGATCTCTGTGAGTTCAAGGCTAGGGTGGACCGACAGCCTCCAAAACAATACCGAGAAACCCTGTCTCGTAAAAACCAAAAAAGAAAAAGAAATCAGACTAAAAATCAGTGCTACTTAGAGCATTTATGACAATCAATGGCATGGAATAATTAAAAGTTCTGAGGTGAGCTGTGGGGTCGGCTGACCCTGCATGCCATATGTAAGCTAACCTAGAGGGGGCCTTTGGCATCTGATTTCTTTTCTTTGGTTTGAGATAGGGTTTCTCTGTATTGCTTTGGAGGCTGTCCTGGAACTCACTCTTGTAGACCATGCTGGCCTAGAACTCAGAGATCCGCCTGCCTCAGCCCCCTGAGTGGTGTGACTAAAGGTCTGCCATCACCAGGCTGGCTAGGCATCTGATTTCTAAGCAGAAGTATGGCAAAGAAAAAAAGGGTTTAAAAGTGAGAGGTAAAAATCTAGATGTACTATCTTTCGTTACACACCTTGCAAACACAGTAAGCTTAGAGAACAGACTACAGCAGATGCCTGAAATTCATGTCACTGAGAAGCAGTGCTGACCAGAAAATAAACAGATAAGTAAATGAACAAAAAAAAAAAAAAGAAACAAAAACAAATAAAGGCTCTACATTTGATTAAAATTGCCTTTGCTCTTCTTGGTTCAAGATTATCCTTGCTTCCAGAATATTTTACCAAAAACTGTGAGACAGAGGCCAGTAAGATGGTTCAGTGGGTAAATGCATTTGGCGTCAAGTCTGAGGACTCGAGTTTGATTTTCTGAATTCACATGGTGTGTGCTAGCTACCAGGCCCACAAAGACCACCCCTACATTAACAAAATCTAGAATCAAAAGAATAAATTATAGATGGAACAACTGCCATCTGGAATTGAAGGGTAATTTCCTAAGAATCCTGAACCTGGCTCTCCCCATAGGGTCAAATCCTTGCTTCCTCCACTACAATGTTTATGGTATTTAAAATATTATTTCTTCTCTACAGGGCTGATTAGTATAAAAAACATTCAACACTACTTGTAGTAGAGACAAATTACTCAATATTCTTGGGGTGGAGACGGAGGATACAGATCTCAAAATGACACCATAAACACATGAAACTAATTCAGTGATACAACAAGTGGCAACATACCTGCATGACTTGCTGCAATTTCAGAACTCGCTTATAGATGGTTGAATTGGGAACGTTATAGCGTTTGGCATTTTCAAACATTAAATTCAGATCACACTCCAAATGATCTAAAGTTTCATATTCTTGGTTCTTTAGTTTTGTTCTGTGAAAAACAGATGATTAGAAGTTTCTGTTATGAAAATTATCAAACATTCGTCCTGAAAGTTCATCACAAAAGCTTTCATAAGCATGACACAATGTTTTATTAGCCACTTGTCACTGGCTTTTAAGTTAAAAAGTAAGGTCTAAAGCACTATTAAATTAGACAATATCACAGTTTACCTGAAAATCCAAAAGGATAAATTAAAGAATTTAGTAAAGTGGTCAACTATGAAAGTAAATACACTAGGAAAACAACCAGTGAAAAAGATCCTGAGAAATGAAAATTAGATTTTACACTAATCCAATGAATCACAGTTGTAAGGATTCAGGCATTATGCTGGCCTGCCCCTGTCACCTGGCAGAATGCACTCAGGCAGTACTCTGGTCAGCCCAGGTGCAAAGGACCCCTTTAAAAGAAAGACCTCCACCCACTTATGCTCTCCTTCCGCGGTTTCCCTGGGGCACACAGGACTTTCCCTGTCTCCCTCTTCTCCTCTTTCCGTGTCTCTTTACCTCTTTTGTCTTTCCTTCCGCTCCCTCTCCTCTTTCTAATAAAACTTCTCACTTACTGCCTGGCGTGTTTGTTCCTTGGTCTCAGTTACCCTCACCTGCCATGGAATCCCCACGCGCATTATTCCTAACAACCGTGAACTACTGATTTTGTATTACAAAATTCCAGTTTAGAACAACTCTCAACTAAGATGGCTGAGGACTTAACCTGGTTTTAAAATGAACTAGTCTAATGGCTGGAGAGATGGCTCAGCAGGTAAGAGCACTGGCTGCTTTCCTAGCACCCACATGGAAGCTCACAACTATCCCTAACTGGAGTTCCAGGGAATCTGATGTCCTTTACCAGGCACAAGATGCACACATGCAGACAAAACACCTATACAAATTTTGTGGGGGCAGACAAACTAGAGCCATGGTACAGCAGTTAAGAACAGAGGATCTGAGCTCAGTTCCCAGTACCTACACGGTGGCTCACAACAATATGTACCTCTAGTTCCTGGGGATCCAATACCCTCTTTCCAACCTCATAACATCTGTAAAACTCACTATCCTTCACAAGGCAAAGAACATAAGCAACAATTTCTAGACTATTTTCTAAATGAATGTTAGCCTAACTTCTGTATTATTTTAGTAAGGCCAAATAAACTGATTTTCAATATGCTGAGGCAGGAGGAGTTTGAAGCCAGTCACGACTACACTACAAGACTGTTTAAAAACTAATAATCATCAATGAGTGACAGTATGGGCATGACGGTTTTTCCTATGCTTTACTCAGTTATAAGACAGACACTATCTTCATCTATCTCTGGGAGGAACAGATCTGTGCAGGCCCAGCTAACAGAAAGACACATTTACGCTGAAGAACGCAGAAGCAGTCTTACCTGATTTGTTGGAGCGATATGGGCATTTTAATTTGCTGATAATAATCTGGGTATTTTTTCTTTGAAGGCAGATGGAAAAAAGGTTCGGCTATGAGCTGCCCTTGGTTGTTCCGACAGCTCCTCACGGTGTCATAGAGCTGATGGAAAGGATTGGAGACGTCCATAAAGGAAGTGATGCTCTCAGCTTCAGATTCCCCTTCTTCATAGCGTGCGGCTGGGGAGACAAAGACACATTTACCAGGAAAATAAAGACAAAACAACCTTCCTGTTCACTCACCCTACACAAGGCAAAAGGCTTTATTACTCTTCCACAGTTCCCAGTCCCTGCCTTGCCACAGGACTAAGAGAAACAGGTTTGACTGATCATGGACTAGAACTTTCAAAACTGTGAGCCAAAGCAAGATATTGTTTATTATCTTCAGGTATTTGTTAGAAAAACAGAAGACTACCAAATTTAGACTGGGTTGATAATCTCAGCAGTGATTTACCCTTAAGTTTGACTTTGTCCCACTCATCTGTAACATCAGAGTAACGACTGATTCCATACTAAGGAAATGTTCATGGAGAAGCTAAGTCATAAAAACACCAGAACAAAGCAAATATTATTTTTTATAGAAATATAAAACACATGCTGCTCATTTCTCTAAAGATTTATACCTGTATGTATGTGCATGTGCTATGTGTGTGCAACTGCCTGAAGGGGCTAGAAAGGGGCTTTCTCTTTTTAGCTGAACACCTGACCTCTTGCCTCTACCTCTAGAGTGCTGGTATTACAGGAAGGTCCCACCACAACTGCTTTTACGAGGTACTGGGGGCCAGGCGTTTGTGGCGCACGCCTTCAATCCCAATACTTGGGAGGCAGAGGCAGGCAGATCTCTGTGAGTTCAAGGCCAGCAGGGTCTACAGAGCAAGTTCCAGGACAGCCTCCAAAACAATACAGAGAAACCCTGTCTGGTGGGGGGGGGGGAGTGAACTGGGCAGTGGTGTCGCATGTCTTCAATCCCAATCTTAGGAAGGCAGAGGCAGGCGGATTGCTATGAGTTCGAGGCCAGTCTGGTCTACAGAGCGAGTTCCAGGACACCCTCCAAAGCCACAGAGAAACCCTATCTAGGAAAAAAGTGTTACTTTATTCTTTTTTTTTTAATTTTATAATTCTTTTTTTTTAAAATTTATTGTGTATACAGTGTTCTGCCTGCATGCCAGGGGAGGACACCAGATCTCATTCAAGGTGGTTGTGAGCCACCATGTGGTTGCCGGGAATTGAACAAAGGATCTCTGGAAGAACAGTCAGTGCTCTTAACCGCTAAGCCATCTCTCCAGCCCCGTGTTACTTTATTCTATGTGCGCGAGTGAGAGCTTTGCCTGCATCTCAGCACACCCATGTATGCAGTGCATGTGGGAGCCAGAAGAGGGTCAAACCCCTTGGAACTGGGATTACAAAGGAAAGTGTGCCAGACCCCTTGGAACTGGGATTACAAAGGCCATGAAGTGCCACGTAGGTGCTGGGAACAGAACCCATGCCCTCTGCAAGAGCAACTGCTCTTAATTGTCGAGCCATCTATCTAGCCCGATTTATCTTTATCTACTCTTTTATGCTCAAATTCCCTGATTGTACATTTATTCAATTATGCCCATTGACACTAAGCAATTTACCTTTGACAGTTTTACTTACCCAACCAAGACGGCATCAAGTGCAACAAAATAACATTTCCTTAAAAAAAAAAAAAAACTAACCAATTCCAAGAAAGACCAAAGCCAGTGCAATTTGGTTCATCCAGAAAGAACACAATCTAAAAATGCCTACCAGCTAAAGCTGCGTCCTCTTCACTTTCCGAGCCATACTGAAGGGCCATGGTAATTGCTGATAAGCGACCCCCTTGGACTGCTCTTTTATTACTACAAAGATAAAAGCAATTAGAAGACGGAATGGTGTTATGATTTGTTCACCTTATGAAAAAGGAGCTGTTAAAATGCACCAGTATCAAGGAAAAATATAACTCCTATTAATTGTCTTCTTAGTTCTTCATAAATAGTCTTAGAAAAGAAAAATGGAATTCTTCTTTTCAAAGAAGAGGAGCTGGGGCTGTTCAGCAGTTAAGAACACTAGCTCAGGCCAGGCGTAGGTCTCGCATGCTTTTAATCCCAGCACTCGGGAGGCAGAGACAGGTGGATCTTTGTGAGTCGAGGCCAGCCTGGTCTACAGAGCGAGTTCCAGGACAGCCTCCAAAACAGAGACAGAAATCCTGTCTCGAAAAAAAAAAAAAACAAAAAAAAAACTAGCTGAGCATCCAAAGAACCTGGGTTTGAGTCCTAGCAGCCAAAGGGCAGCTCACTGTTGTCTGTTGGTCACTCCAGCAGTGCCAGGAGACCTAACACCCTCTACTGGCCTCCACAGGAACTGAACTCACATGGTGCACCACCATACATGCAGACAAAACATACACACACTTAAAAAAAGGGAGGAAGTGGTAGCAGAAAGCTTGGAGTAGATTACTACAATTTGTTTTTTCACTTAAATGTGCTCAGTACATTACTCCATATTTTTTAGGAAAGTAAAGATTAGGTATATTCTTCTAAGACACTCATTTTACAATAACAAATTCTTAATAGTATAAACAAGTACTTAAAACCACATTTTATTTCTAACACTAAACACGTGTTATCTGAGAGGTGAGGAAAGTTCTATATAGAACCTTAATCTACATGTGGTTACTTTTGTGACAGGATCTTGCTACGGAACCCAGACTGACCTTGAACTCACAATCTTCTTGCCTCAGTTCTCCAAGTGCTGAAACTATGAGTGTCTGCCACTATGCCCAGCTCTTACCTCAATCTTCTAAAGTAAACACACCCTCCTCAAAACCTACAGCAATACTCTAAGACAGCCATCTGACTAGCATGCCTATTGTCCAGCATCAGTCAGCTCTCAGGCTATACCCCCTTACTCTCACCGGTAATACTTGCTAGTGGGATTTCTTTCTTCACCAAGGCTGCTTTTACTGTGCGAAGGACCTGTCAGTCTGGCTGCAGCCAAATTTGATGCAGTCCTATCCAAAGATAAAATAAAAAAATAAAATAAAAAACCCTCAGATAGTGAATAGCTAAAAATCAGAATGCTGGGCAAACGAAAAGGAGACAACTATTTTCTTCAAAGAGAAGTAATATAATATTTCTGAGAGTCTATTATACAGTAAGGTCTGTGTCAAGATCTGGGGACATGGACCAAGGCTGGTCTTCATGAGCTTATGGTTGCTACAGAACCAGAAGACACCATACTGAAACAAACATAAGGGTCAGAAGATTGCTTTGAAAGTAGTTACTCAATGTTTCCATTTCACTTAAGAGGAAATGGAATCCCAGAACCAAGACTTTTTCAAAGATACAGTCCTAATGAAAGAAAAGCTAGAATGAGACTTGAGTTCTTTTGACTAAACATCCTTATTGCAAAATTACACAGTATTGTTATATAATCATACACAGTATATATGCACCATATCTTTTCAAATGACTTTCTTCAGCTACAATGAAGCATCTAGAAATGCTTCTACTGTTTTCAGAATCATACATCAGCACTAAATTGATCTTATTTTCTACAATATTCATATTACACGCTAAAATTCTGCAAATAGGCACAAGGATGTTAGATGTCTTACACCTACCTTATTCGAAGACTTGATTTAGCCATTTCATGATGTTCAATTTCTGCCTTTTTCATATAAAATATTTTTTTAATCGAATTGGCATCCTAGCAAGATAAAATTAATTTGCTTAGAAAAGACTCACAAGATCGCTCAGTAGAGGCTCTTGCCACAAGGCCTGATGACCTGAGTGTAATCCCTAGCCCCTCAAGGTGGACAGAGAAACAACCCTTGAAGTAGTCCTCTTACCTCCCTGTTTAGGCCTACACATACCCAACAAAGTCATGGGAAGAAAGGCTGAAAACTATCCTGACTAATGCACTGCTGGCTCTCATGACATTCCTTTCTGGAGTGGACTTCTAGTCACTAGTCAAAAACTGCACCCTAACACCTTCCCACAGCCTTCCAAATTATCTTCACAAGTTGTCACTTGACTGAGTACAAGATTAAAAGGCTGTTGCTCATTTATAGTTTGTCAAGTACAAGGCACACTGAATCCAATGGCAAAATACAAGGAATTTTATTTCCTTGAAATGATGTAAAAATTAAAAAAAGATGTAATTCTACAATTTTAAAGACCATGTACACAAATTTCAGATAAATAAATTTACTTGCTTACATGAACAGCAACTCAACAGTGACATCCATGTTTCCTTTCTCCTAGCTTTGGTTGATTCTGTTGAGAATCACAAACCATGCTCGTGGGTCTCCTTTCCTAAGCACACACCTCTGCAATTATCCCATGCTTAAATCTATATTAAACTTTATTCCTAATAAACTCCAACTCTACCTCATAAAAATAAATAAAAATTCTTAACTATGTCAGCAAACAGTACCATAAATCACTAAAATGTCCTTTCACAAACTAAGAATTCAAGTACTTCCTAATTCATACCTGATTCTCACTCAAATTTCTTTTGTTTTTTTTTTTCTTTGAGACAGGTTCTCTCTATGTAGCCATGGCTGTTCTGGAATTTGTTATGTAGACCAGAAAAGCTTTAAACTCACAGAGATTCCTTCTGCCTCTTGAGTCCTGGGATTAAAAGTATGCACCACTACACCTGGCTTCACTCAAATTTCTTAAAAATACAAAAGAAAGTGGCCAGAGATGGGTAAACTGTGGAAATGGTTTGCTACTCCCTTGACAAATAAAGCCTTACAAAATCATAAAAATCAAGAGTTTCAAATTTTCATGTTAATTTCAGGAACACCCGTAAGGGGCTGGTGAGATGGCTTAGCAGTTAAGAGCACTGGATATGCTTCCAAAGGAAGTGGGTTTCATTCCCAGCACCCTCATGGCAGTTCATAGCTGTCTGTAACTGCAGTTAGAAAGGTTCTAACACCCTGATCTGGCCTCCCCAGGCACCAAATACACATGCTGCAAAGACATACATTGTAGGCAAAAAATCACACATGTAAAGTTTAAATTTGTTTTTAAAGGAAACAGCTCACTACAGTGTGGGGATGGGGATCACCAAACAACTAAAACTATGCACAACCCAGCAGCATGACGGGGAGCCAGCAGGCATGCCCAGGCCAAACTCTGAACTTTTGCTGAATTTTGCTGCTTGCACATGTCTCTTGAGTGTTGGGATTAGAGGCATATGCCACCACTGTCCAGCTAATCAAAGACATTCCTACAATAAATTATTATTTTTTTATTTAAATTAGAAACAAGCTTGTTTTACATGTCAATCCCAGTTCCCTCAATGAATAGTTGAGGAGAATCTCAACTATTCATTATTAGAAACAGGAAGTTTCTAAGGCGCAATTAGTTATTTTATATTATGTATTGAATTTCAAAGGATACTTTTTTATTTATTAAGTTTAAATGCAAGGATTAAATAGTTATTTAAAAAACTATATTCTTAGACGAACAGAAAATAATCAAGAATCTAGGAATAAACTCTTACTATGTATGGTGAATTGATTTCTGTAAGGATGCCTACACAATCCAATGGACAAAGAATTACTTTTAAAAAAGTGTTGGGTAACGACAGTTTATGCTGAAGAGGATGTGGAGAAAGGGGAACACTCCTCCACTGCTATTGGGAGTGCAAACAGTAACTTTGGAAATCAGTATGACGGTTCCTCAGGAAAATGGGAATGAGTCTACCTCAAGACCCAGCAATTCCACTCTTAGGCATATACCCAAAAGATGCACATTCATACAAGGACATCTGCTTCACTATGTTCATAGCAGCATTATTTGTAATAACCAGAACGTGGAAGCAATCTAGATGCCCCTCAGCTGAAGAGTGGATAGAGAAAATGTGGTACATTCACACAATGGAGTACTACTCAGCAGGGGAAAAAACAGTGGAATCTTGAAATTCGCAGGGAAATGGATGGCACTAGAAGAAACCGTCCTGAGTGAGGTAATCCAGCTACAAAAAGACAAACATGGTATGGACTCACTCATATACGGATTTTAGACATGAAGAAGGGGATTGTCAGCCTACAAACCCACCACCAGAGAGTCTGGGAAACAGGGAGGATCTTAAGAGAGATTTGCATGGTACCCCAGAGAAGGAGAATGGGACAGGATCTCCTGAGAGGATTGGGAGAGAGAGCAGGGAGAAAGAGAGGGCGAGAAGATGAGGGGAGAGGACATGGGGAAGCAGGAAGGCTGAGTTGGGGGAAGAATAGAGGAGAGCAGGATAAGAGATACCATAACAGAGGGAGTCATTATAGGTTTGAGGAGAGATCTGGCACTAGTGAGATTTCCAGAGATCTATAAGGATGATACCAATTGGCAATCTAAGCAATAGTGGAGAGGCTACCTTAAAATCCCTTCTCCAATAATGAGATTGACGACTACCTTAGATGCCATCATAGAGCCTACATCCAGTGGCTGTTGGAAGCAGAGGCAGACACCCACAGCTAAACACTGAACTGAACTCCTCGAATCTGGTTACAGAGAGGGAGGAGTGATGAGCAAAGGGGTCAAGACCAGACTGGTGAAACCCACAGAAACAGCTGACCTGAACAAGGGGAGCTCATGGACCCCAGACTGACTGCTGAAAGGCCAGTATGGAACTTAAGCAGAGCCCCTGAGTTTGGGTGTCAATGAGGAGGCCTTGGCATTCTATGGGACCTCCGGAAGTAGATCAGTATTTATCCCTGGCGTACAAATGGACTTTGTGAGCCCATTCCACATGGGGGGATGCTTTCTCAGCATAGACACATGGGGGAGGGCCACGCCCAGCCCCAGATGAAATGACAAACTCTGGAGATCCCCCATGGAGGGCCCCACCCACCCTGGGAAGCAGAGTGGGGATTGGGTGGGGGTTTGGGAGGATTGGTGGGTGACAGGGGAGGTGGGGAGGGAGAGGCAGCTGGCATTGACATGTGAAGCAAGCTTGTTTCTAATTTAAATAATTATAAAAAGGTATTAAAAAAGTGTTGGGTAACAACCCATATAAAACAATGTATTTGGATTCCTACTTAATATACACAAAAACTAGTTCAACTTAGATTCAGGATCTAAGTGTGATACCTAAAACTATAAAATTCTTAGAAGAAAATATAGGTGTAAATAGTTTTGACTTTGGACTAGGTAATGATTTCAATGTTATGATACCTAAAATATAAGCATAAAAAGAAAAAAAGCAGATAAAAAACAAAGTCTTCAAAATCAATAAAGCAATGTCAAAATAAATTACCTTGGAAGGTGAAAAGACAAGAGAATTGGGGAAATTTTAAAATCAACTGATAAGGATATGATATCCACAATATATAAATTACTATTAAAATGACAATAAGAAACCTAATTTAAAAAATGGACAAAGAATCAAAAGTTCTCCAAAGAGGACAATACACAAATGTACATGAAAAGATGTTTAACATCATTAACTATATTAGAGAAAAGTGAATCAAACTATAGCACACTATGATACTCCCAGAATTGCTGTAATAAAAACAAAACTGAAAAGCAGGTGTTTGGTGAGAATGCTGAAAAATGCAGCCTTTTTATACTAGTGGGAATGCAAAATGGTAAAGTTACTCTGGAAACACTTGGCCAGTTCCTCAGTAAGATAAACACATAGTTAATGTATGACCAAGCAATTGCATTCCTAGGTACGTACTCAAGTACAATGAAAATGTGTATGTCCACCAAAACTTATATATGTGAATGTTCCTAACAGTGTATTTTTAATAGCTTAAAATGTCTAATAACTGTTTAAGAAAAAACACATGGTGCCATCTTTAAGACAGACTATTAATAAGCAAATAAATAAACAAAAGAAAGAAAGGCTAAGTACTGGCACACACAAATCTTAAGCCAGTATGCTAGATCAAAGAATGAATCACAAATGAATCCATGTTACATGGTGTCACTGATATGAGATTTCCAGACAGAAGAGTGTATGGAGGTTGTCTAGTTTGGAACAGTGTAGGGGAATGAAAAGTGAGTGCTAAGTGACTAGCCTAATGTACATAACTCTGTGAATACTAAACCACCAAGTTCTAGATTTTAAATGGACAGAATTTATGATTACAATAAACACTGGCATTAAGTTAGTGTCTACTATCACCCACAAAAGTAGGAACAACAAAACACTAACCTTGAATACTTGAGAACCAGGCTCATTATATGTTTTGGCATTTTTTGCTAGAAGATCTATATCTTTGGCCATTGCATGAATACTTTTGTAGCTTCCATTCTATAGTAAACAACAAAATATAGCAATTTTTCTTAGTAAGAATTAGTCTATATAACCTTTAAAAAAAAAGACTGTAGGCTGTTAGTATAGTCCAAATATCACTGGGAAGTATACTAGCAAACAACACCTCATTATTTACCCTTTCATAGATTATTACTAGTACCTATTTACAAGTACATTTTGTGACATATAACAAACCAGAATCTACATTATTTTCATAAAAACAACTTACAATTAAAAAAAAATCAAGTGAGGTAAGTTTTATTTAGTTTACTATGTGCCAAACACTAAGTGCTACATGAATATTCAATCATTAAAGCAGACTTAGTAAAGTAACAATTCCTCTATTTACCAGACCACATGACTAAAGGCTAGCACACAGAAGTAAACGGTGCGCTCTAACGAGTAGAGAAATCAATCAAGTGCAGTGGAGGATGAGAAAGGGTACGACTACAGCGCAGACTGCACAGACAGGGAAAAGAAGACAAACAAGGCAGACTGACAGCCAGGGAAGGAGACGAGCTGGCAGGCCAACCAACATCTGAACATCCATCTTAGCTGGGAGGACTCTCACAGTGGTAGGTGGGCCCATGAGACTTAACACTGGCAAACGGTTGCTTTGCCAACAGCTTAGCAGCAAGGCAAAGGAAAATCCCCAGGGGTCAGTTAATTCACAATTTTTGATCTTGAATGACTAAAAGTCAAGCACAACAGGATTCATCCCTGATTTCTGTGAGGAAAAGGCCAACAGCAGACCAGAAACCAACCAGGGTCCCTGGTAACAAACAACAGTAGAAATGGCAATATTACCACAGAGAGCTTATTTACAATCTCAAATGTTTGACTACAACTCTTTGAGTTCTGCCTGCTTTTCAAAGAGCATTTCCCTTGGGAAAGAAAGGGAACACACACACAGCAGGTAAAGGGTACATGGGCAGGTACCTATTTTCATTAACCTTGTATTCAAATATCTATTGTAAGTAACTTTCATTCTAGTATGTCCTAAAGCGATCTAGAAGAGGGTAAAAATAAACAACAAAGCTTTAATTGTCAACATGCCTTTCATAATCAGAAATGCCTATAACCAGTTCCACCTGTGGTGATATTTTATTTATGATCTAACAAACAAAGCTTGCCTGAAGATCAGAGTGCAAAGCTAGCCATATTAGTCAGCCATACAGGCCAGGCAGTGGTGGCACACACCTTTAATCCCAACACTAGAGAGGAATATAAAATAGGAGGAGACAGGAGTCCGTCATGCTGAGGATAGGATTGCCCCATTTGGTATGAGCCTTGGTGGAGGTAAGAACTCTCTAATGGTTGGCTACTTTGCTTTTCTGGTCTTCAGCTTGAACCATAATATCTGTCTCTGGGTTTTTATTATTCATGCTACACCCACTTATCCAGTCAATACATTCATTCATTCATTTATTCATTTTACTCAAAAGAGATTTAACCTAGGACCTTGAACCTAAGTTATACTCTTCTCCTAAAATGCAATAAAAAACTATAATTACAAGAAAAGAAATTACTACTTCACTTTAATCTCCTAAGAAAGTACCAATCTACCTTAAACCACATGATTACAGATGTTCATCTTCATACCTGTATTCTCTGAGCAATGGTCTTGAGATCTATAGGCTCCTTAATTATTGCATAATAGTCTGGATATTGCTGGAAGACAAAAACAGGTATGTTCAATAAGCTAAAGTACTCAGAAAGTAAGGCTGTTCTTCAACCAGAAAACTGAGAAACTTTATGAAATTCATGGTTAAAGCATATTCTTATAGTAGAAACAAAAATGTGTTTTTTTCTTTTTCAGGGAAAAGGAGAGACAGGGTGTCATTATGAAACTCAGGCTAGCCTCAAACTCTTAAAATTCTTCTGCCTAGGCTTCCCATTTGGCTGGAATTTTAGGAACATACCACTGGACCCCGTTCTTTAAGCTCTGGATGGTCTCGAGCTTTTCATATTTGCAATACATCACTGGCATCTTCCAAATTCATGTTCAACAACCATGAGATCTGAATTTGAACTCTCTCCCTCCTAATATTTTAAAGAGAGTTAAGGTTTTGTGTCTGGGCACAAGTGAGATACACCTGTGGAATTAATCTGACCCATGCTCATCCCAAGAAGTAGACACACTGGGGAGTGTCCTTGCGGCTTTCATGATGCCTCATGCTCACCTCTCTGAGGCTCTTCTACAAGTTTTGTTTCTTTAAGTAAATAACTGAAGTTAAACAAAACCCAAAAGTAGTTTTGCTCTTTTTTTCTTAAGTTTTTTCTAACACTTCTGAAATTAAAATATAATCACATCATTTACCCCTTCCCTTTCTTCCCTCCAATCCTTTCCATGCACCCCTTATACCACTTTGCTCTCTCAAATTTATGGCCCCTATTTCTATTAATTGGTGTGTGTGTGTGTGTGTGTGTGTGTGTGTGTGTGTGTGTGTGTGTATGTGTGAGAGAGACAGAGAGACAGGGAGAATTCTTAAACACAGGGATTTCCCCTTTCAAGTGAGCATGCCTACTGATGTTATCCTTGTTCTGTCTTCTTTAGGCAAAGTGTTGGTGAGACTTCATGGGTGTAGCTTCCCTGACATTTCTGTAAGACACAATCTCACAGTAAACTTCTACTCCTCTTGCTCTTATAATCTTTCCACTTGCTCTTCCACTATGATCCCTAAGTAATTTTTGTTCTTATAGACACAGAATGGAAATGAATAGGTGGATCTAAATCAGGACAATAGTATGTGTTCATGTATGTGCACATGTGTGCACATGGAGGCCAGAGGTCAACATCAGCTGCATCCTTCTATCACTTTCATCTTATTTTATGACAGGGTCTCACTTCCCAAATTGGCTAGACGGGCTGAACAGCTAGCTCCAGGGGTCCTCTTGCCTCTGTTACACTGGTGCCAGGATTATAGGAGCACAAGCACATGCAGCCGTTTCTATGGGCTCCTCATACCTGTCTGTCCTGACCGAGTCGTCTTCCCAGAACCAATGGTGGTTTTGGCTCATCAGCCTTCTTTCTCCCTAGAGAAGACACCATTCTACTTTCTGTGTCTTAGACTTTAACTGTTCCAGTCTCTCACATAAGATGAATCACACACAGTATTTTTCCTGTAGGACTAGTTATTTCACTTTGCATATGTTTAGGATCCATCCATACTGTATATGGATCAGAACTCCCTTTTTGTTTTGCTTTGTTTTTTTCAAAACAGGGTTTCTCTGTGTAGCCCTGCCTGTCCTGGAACTCTCCATATAGACCAGGCTGGTCTCAAACTCAGAGTGCCTCCAGAGTGCTATGATTAAAGGGGTGCGCCACCACCGCCTAGCTCGGAACTTCCTTTTTTTTGTTTTGTTTTGTTTTGTTTTTACAGGGTTTTTCTGTAGCTCTGGAGCCTGTCCTGGAACTCACTCTGAGACCAGGCTGGCCTGGAACACACAGAGATTTGCCTGCCTCTGCCTCCTGAGTGCTGGGATTAAAGGCATGCGCCACCACCACCTGGTACTTACTTTTTAAAGTCAAGATATATTTGACTATTTTGTACATATATTTTATTCATCCACCAAAGCATTATTTGAGTTGCTTCCCAGAATAATTGTTTAATGACAAAATATGTTCAAGAGACAGGATGAAAGAAAGATAAGTAAGTTCCTCCTCTTTTTAGGTCTTTTGTTTTCTTGGTGATGGAGAAAAGAGGGACAAACTGAATACTCTTTTACCCAAAAAAGGAAGATATTTTCTAGATATGCGAGCCCTTCCTAAGGTCTCAGCTTTCCTACAGTTTCACACATAAGAGAGGGTTAATACGGGTACAGGTATGATTCCCATTTACAGCTTCACAAACTGAAGAAATGTTCATGGCTCTAGCATTCTTCTAGTTCCAACTATACTTGGAGAATAACTCAACCTCAGCACTCACTCCACAGGTATTCACTCTCCCACTCCCTACTCCCCCTCCCCCTCGTTATCAGCCAAACCATCTCTAACTCCAGTCCAGAGATCTAATGTCATCTCCTAACTTCCAGAGGCACCAGGTACAAATACAGCACACATTCCTACACACGGGCAAAAGGCTTCTGCCCATATTATGAAAAAAAAGTCATCTTTTAATCAAGTAAAATGACAGACTATGTCCTTTGTGCTCCCTGCTGAGGCCATGAAGAGTGTCACTGCTACCAATCTTATTTTACTTAGCAGTAACTAACAAAATTCTTAAAATACTTAAAATTAAATATCTTAATTTGTCATTGATTAAATCTCTTACCACTTTGGAAGGAAGTTTCTGAAAAAGCTCACTGATGAGCCGTCCTGATGGATTTGTGGCTACAACTATGGCTTCCAGAAGCTGCTCCAGGACCTCCTTTAGGTAAGTTGGAGACTAGGGAGAGAAAGAAATCCATACATAAGTGCCAAATAGTAAATAGTTCTTAAGATTAAAAAGCTAATTCCAAAGAGCAACTGCTAAGCAGTATTTATCCTAAGTTCAAGTTTCAAGAGTACCTTAGAAACGCTCTAGTGATGACACAAGATTGTAACCTAGAGGGACTCTATGAATTAGTGATGCTTCTTATACTATTTCTATAATGAATTTTAATTTTGTAATAAAGACTGTGAAATATAAGTACCATACATGTGAATGAGGAAATCAATATCCTTACACTAGGGAAAACATGCCCCATAATAGTAATACTTGACTACACTGTTCCTCATAGCTGCTCAAATTAAGTGAAAACCAAATTGACCCTTCCTGTTACCTAGCCTCTCTGGGTCTGTGGATTGTAGCATAGTTATCCTTTACAATCCAAGGGGGGATGCACCGTTCTCCCTGGGAAGGGAAACAGACGAGATCTCGTGGGTGGACTGGGGGTCAGTGGGGATGGGCACATGAGGGAGGGGGTGGGAGAAGGATGGGGAAGAGAGTACTGAAAGAGATGACTGGAGAGGGGAGGAATTTTGGGGTCAGATAGTGTCCCGGCGCAAGGGAAACTCCCAGGAATCTACAAGGACGACCACAACTAAGACTCCTAGCAACAGCGACTATGTAGCCTGAAGTGGCCGTCATATGACCAGGCAAAGACTTCCAGTGGAGGGGTTGGGACTCCAACCCAGACACATAATCTTTTACCTACAGTCTGTCCTGTCTTCGGGATGTACTGGGGTAAGGGTGGCAGAGACTGTGGGAATGGCCAACTAATGACTAGTCCAGTCTAGAGACCCATGCCACAAGACTGGCACTGCCTAGAGGCCTAAGATAGAACCAAACACTACTGGAGAAAAAACAAAAGTCAACATATGATGCCTAACAATATTCTGCTAGACTATCCCAATTGTCGTCAGAGAGCCTTCATCACAAACATTAATTAGGCTGAGCTCGAGGAATCCTAATGAAGACAGGGAGGGAGGATTGTATGAGCCACAAGGGTCAAGAAAATCTACAGAAACAACTAACCTGGTTCATAGGAGCTTAGAGTCTGAACCAACAACCAGGGAGCCTGCAAGGGACTGACCCAGGCTCTCTATAAATATGAGACAGTTGTGTAGCTTGTTCTGCTTGTGGAACTCCAGGGGCTGTCCCTAAGGCTTTTGGGAACCTACTCCTGATATTGGGTCAACTTACCCAACCTTAATACAAGGGGCGGTGCTTAGTTTTACTGTAACTTGATATGCCTGTCCCTTTCTTGCCTAACAGAAACAGAGAAGTGGATGGGGGTGGGGGTAGGCGTTGTAGAGAGGTTGAGGGAGGGAAATGGAGACAAGGGAAGGGAAACTGTACTCAGGTTGTAAAATAAATAAATAGATAAATTTAATTAAAAAAAAAAACTAAATGGAGGAGGCTGGAAAGATGGCTTAGCAGTCTTCCAGGGGACCCTGATCAGTTCCCAGAACCCACATGGCAGCTCACAATTGCCTGAACTCCATCTAGTTCCAGGGTATCTGACATCTTTACACCAATGCACATAAAATAAATTATATTAAATAAATTATATTAAAAAAGAAGAAAAAGGCCGGTCGGTGGTGGTGCACGCCTTTAATCCCAGCACTCGGGAGGCAGAGGCAGGCGGGTCTCTGTGAGTTCGAGGCCAGGCTGGACCGACAGCCTCCAAAACAATACAGAGAAACCCTGTCTCGTAAAGAAAAAGGAGAAAACAAAACAAAACAAAATGCTGGGCAGTGGTGGCGCACACCTTTAATCCAGCACTCAGGAGGCAGAGGCAGGCGGATCTTTGTGAGTTCGAGACCAGCCTGGTCTATAAGAGCAAGTTCAAGGACAACCTCCAAAGCCACAGAGAAACCCTGCCTCCACCCCCCCCAAAATCCCTAAATGGAGAATAAGTACACTCATATAGATTTCTGTTCTTCAAACCGGGCAACTTGCACTTACTTGCATCTAGTTAAGTCACTGTTCCAACATAAGAAATTATGTGTTCCAAACAGTACTTGACCAGAAGGGGCAGGTTTGAATCAAGTTTCTACAATAAGCAATGAGATTGCCTCAAGTCAAAATTTATAGTAAATAGTACTTCAAATTCAAACCACACTTCTTGCAAAAAAAAAAAATCAAGATTAATGGTCAAGTATAATTTAAATTAAATGTGCACTGGCATTTTCACATTTAATGTAGTTTCAAGGACCTTGCTTCTTTCTTCCTAACCCAGTCAACTATTCTAGAAACACTGTGCAGGTGGCATAAGAGTTAGGGTGCATGAATACATTTATATAATTTATTCCAGAGATTGAGAAAAATGCTAAGAAAATTATTCTTGATTTAAGAATTACAGTCTCAAAAATTTTTTTTTTAAATTAAAGTTTCAAGACTAGAGATACAGCTCAGGTGGTACTTTGTCTAGTACCGGGCAGGAAAAACCTCCTTTTGAGTTGTTGGTTAAAGAACTTTAAGAAACTCCCAAGACAAGCTGGGTGGTTAGGGCACACACCTTTAACCCAACACTCAGGAAGCAGAGGCAGATGGACCTCTGTGAGTTTGAGGCCAGCCCAGTCTACTGAGTAAGTTCTAGAATAGCCAGAGAAACCCTGAGAACTAGCCCTCAAAGTACTAGAAGGTACTAAACAAATTCCCAAGGGAGAAAAACAATCAATAGTCCTACCCAACTGATACCTAAGAAACACAACAATGTCTAGTATGGCAAGATATTCCCAAAGGTGCACTTACATCTTAAGAGCTAACCAACAGCTGTCTAACCACACATTAGGCCCACACAATAGTAGTGAATTCACGCCTGGTAAACTAGACAACTATCTGTGACCAATGAAACCATGGAACTTAGAATTCTGAGAACTGACTACTGTTACTTCTAACCGTATTCTAAACACTTACCCTTACTTATAGATAAGTGTAACTCTCACCTCATCCAAGAAGCTTCTTTCAGCAGCAGGGGACCATTACAGAGAGACACAACTGGTCAAAACGCACACAGCAACTGAGTGCAGGGTGCTGAGTCCCAGATGACACGTCTACAACACAATCCCTACACCATGGCTCATGGAAAATCATGGAAGAGGGGAAGGTAAACTCTAAATGCTCCAGAGGACCAGGGTACCTGCTGACATCTACATATTGCAGGGAAGCTGCACCCAGGAAATCTCAACAATATTGTAGCCTAAAAAAGACCTGAACGAAGAATGACAATACCAGTTAACATGACAACACGGATGGGAGAATCCCATGAGGCCTTACCACTAGATGAAGAGCTATAAGCAATTAATGACTATTGAGAGAAGAATAAGTCCTTCCCAGGAATGAACCTAACTGGTTATCCATTAACAAATGCCTAGCCCTAAAAATATAGACATATAAGCAACATTAAACAGACTCAAAAGTATTTATACCCATACATTTGTATGTACATATGCGTGCATGTATGTAACAATAATAAAATTAAAAATAAGAAGCTAAAGAAAAATAATGTACTCGCAATGTTTAAGGTCTTTTCTTCTTTCCTCCAAACCTAGCCCACTTCTCAAGAAACACTGTGCAGGTGGTGTAAGAGTAAGGGTGCAGGGCTACATTTACATAATCTATTCCAGAAGGTGAGAAAATGTTAAGAAAATCATTCTTGATTTAAAAATTACAGTTTCAAGACTAGAAATATAGCTCAGGTGATAGTTTTTCTGCCTCAAATGCAGGAAGACCTAAGTTTGATCCCTAGGACCTCAGAAACTAGGAGGGTATGGAGGGAGAGGAAGGGGAACAGAAAGAGGACAAGATAGGGTAATAGGGTCTGAAGATGATCAAAGTATGTAAACATATGAAAAGCAATAATGAAACCCCGTATATAACCACTGTTAATAAAAATGAGGAAACAGTTTATTTAAAATAGAAGTTATGTCCAGGCTGTGGCTGAGGGTCATGTCTGGGTCCGTGGCCCTACTGCAGCCTGGTTTGTGTTGCTGTCCAAGGGCCTGAACTGCCAATGGGACCATGTGGATGTCTGAGGGCCATGCTGCTGTTGAAGTCATGCTGATCTGAGTGGCCTAGACGACATCCAAGCCCCGGCTGCTGCTGCTGCTATGCCTGGGTCCATGGTCCGACCACAGCCAGGGTGTGGGTAAATTTCTGTGGCCAGTGGTGCCACCAAAGGCTACACATTTACCCAGGGTCTAGCTGTAACCTGAGGCCAGGCTGAAGCTTCAAGGCTACACCTCTTGCAGGGCCACACCGATCTGAGTGGTCTACACTGCTGCCTAGGACTTTGGTGTTGTCTGGGCCCTCAGCACTACCACAGCGTGTCCATGGCTCCTGTCATGCCGATGCCAGGGGTCTGGGGCCATGGTGGCGCCTGAAGCTGTGCTGCCACAGGGGCCATGCCAGTATGAGTGGCTTACATGAGTTATGGTAAGGGTCCAGGGATGATGGTGGCCTGAAGTCACAGGCCTTAAACCAGACGAATCACTCACGGCGACGAACATTTTGTGGGTGGGGCTGACTGGACAAAAGGTTACACTGTGTGACACAACGCAGCTCCTGATGCCACTAGGATGAACGAAGAGGTGATGGAAAGATGAGGATCAAGGTGATCTTTGTTTGTTTTTAATTAATTTTTGGGTAGTGCAAGCTACAAGGGGTGAGGGCTGGATATGGAGGGACTGGGAGGTGAGCAGGACTGGAGTGCATGATGTGAAGTTCCCAAAGAATTACGTTAAAACAAGCAAATGAGAATGAAATAGACGTCAAGCTAAACCTCAATATAACTTAAACCATATGATAATAAACTACATTTGAAGTATAATAAAACCAAGTAATTTATATTCTAATTAACATTTTGTAGCAATAAATGTTAAAATAAAACATAAAATAAAAATAAAACAATTTTACCTTAAATAAAAACTAGGAGCTAAAGAAAATGCCTTCCCCTTTCAAAAAAAAAATCTTGGTTATAAAAGAAGCCCAGTAGACATAAATATGAATGTGTAAGATTTCATTTCTCATCATTTATGCAAATGACATAAGTGAATAAAGATAGCTAAGTCCTTTGTTGGGAAGAGCTCCCTCAGGAAGACTGAGAAATGAGAAATGCATTATTTACATGTATGAAAATATCAGAAAAAATTTTAAAGGCCAAATCCTCAATTTTTTTTTTTAAGGATTCATTTATTTATTGCATATTCAGTGTTCTGCCTACATACCAGAAGAGGACACCAGATTGAATTGTAGATGGTTGTGAGCTACCATGTGGTTGCTGGGAATCGAACTCAGGACTCCTCAAAGAGCAGTCAGTGCTCTTAACCTCTGAGCCATCTCTCCAGCCCCCCAATTTTCTTTTCTGACTAGAACTACAGAAAGGATGGGACCTCAGCAAGCTACACTCTTCTGGTTACTTCCCCTTTATTTGTATCCTCAAATAACAGGGGGCTGGAGAGGTTGCTCAGTGGTTAAGAGCACTAGCTGCTCCTCCATTGGACCTGGGTTCAACTCCCCGCACATGGCAGTTCACAACTGTCTATAACTCCAGTTCCAGAGGATCTGACACCCCCACAGACATGCGTGCAGGCAAAATAAATAATTTTAAAGAAATTTATGTATAAGCACAGGTAAGAGCAACTGCAAAATTTCTGCATTCAGAACATAGAAGGCTTGGTCTAGAATCAAGCAGTAAATCCCTAATCTGTCAACGTATCCCTGACAGTGGCTTGCAGAGAGCTTTATCCTGGCACCACTATGACAAAGTACCTGGAGAGTGTAATTCTTTTTCAGTTTTACTTTTCTCCCCCACCCTGTTTTTCAGATACTGGCCAAAAGACTAAGCATACTTTCCCAGACGCTTTGGCCTTTCTCAGTCTTCTCTGAAGGGCCCCCTCCCCTTATACCGTGTAGCTGCTTGTCACCCCCGCCTGCAAAATGAATGGCTTTCCTTCTCCTCCTCCTCCTCCCTCCTCCAGGAGCTGCCAAGCTCTTCAGTTCGTCTGCTGTTCCCTCTCCAGTTCTAACTGTCCTCCAGCTTAAGACAAGGTTTTCCTAACTAAGGCGATTCAACTGGCTCTTCCAAATTTTAATCACAACACTGCCTATACCCACTGATTTGTTGTTGGTTTTGAAACAGGGTTTCTCTGTGTCTTTGGAGCCTATCCTGGCACTCACTATGTAGACCCAAGCTGGCCTCAAACTCACATAGACTGGCCTGTCTCTGCCTCGCAAGTGCTGGGATTAAAGGCGTGTGCCACCAGCTTTACCCACTGTTTTAATCTAGCAATAATGGACTGAACTAGCCCTTGATAATATCAGGATTTTAAAACTGAAAAGAGTATGTATTAATATAAACACAGCTCATGAAAACACCGATGAACATATGAAATTGGAGTGAAGTTCTCTAGCTTAATGCTCACTTACCTGCTCAGCTACCAATACAACAGCCCAGAAAAATTAAAGGACAGTTACCCTTACTTCCCAAGCTATTCCTGCCACCGCATGCTTGCACTTACACCTTCAGTCACTGTTCCTTGATTGTCTTGCCCATCTTCGTCATCATCCTCGTCATCTGCTTCTCCTTTTTGAACAAATTCATTTCTTGTTCGAAGGTACAAATCCCAGAGTTTACAAGCAGCTTTATATTCAGGGGAATCTGGCTATACATTAGCAAAGAGAAGAGAAAGGAACATTACTTTAAAAAAAATGTTTATTGTTATTTTACACACATTGGTGTTTTGCCATGGGATCAGGTCCCCTGAAGCTGAAGCTATAGACAGTTGTGAGCTGCCATGTGGGTACTGGGAATTGAACCCAGGGCATCTGGAAGATCAGTCAGTGCTCTTAGCCACTGAACCATCTCTCCAGCCCTGGGACATTACTTTTATCAGTAATTGCTACTTTTAAAGAATCCTGTTCAACAGAGCCTGGAATTTTGAGAAAATTTGAAAATGCAATTATCACAAAATTCTTAGGATTAGAAGATATGCGGAACTTAATCCATTTTCTAAAAAGAAAAAAAAAGAAAGTGCATTTTAAAGGCATTCTGAAATAAATTTACGGACACACTGTCGCAGAAGACAAATGATTTGCTAACTTAAAATTAATTAATAATAATATAAGAAAGTCAATACAAGACCTGTTATGAAAGAGAAATAACTGATGAAATTATTTCTATTTTACAATAGACTAACAGCAAATTTCAAAACATTAAACTACCTAAATATACAAAAGCATTAAAAGGTTTTAAAGAAATGAAGACAGGAGGAAGTAGTGATAGTTTGAAGGAAAACAGCTCCCATAGGCTCACAGGGAGTGGCATTATTGGAAGTGTGGCCTTGTTGGAGGAAGTGTGTCTCTGGGGTCAAGATCTGAGGTTTCAAATGCTCAAGCCAGGCCCAATGTTACTCTCTGTTCCTGCTGCCTGCTGATCAGGACTCTCAGCTCCCTCTCCAGCACTGTGTCTGCCTGGTCACTGCCATGCTTCCTACCATGTTGATAATGCACTAAACCTCTGAACTGCAAGCCCAATTAAATGTCTTCCTGTATAAGAGTTGCCATGATGGATGTGGGAGGGGGACACATGAGAGATGGCTCAGGAGTTAGGAGCACTGACTGCTCTTCCAGAGGTCCCAGGTTCAACTCCAAGATCTGACACCCTCACACAGATATACATGCATCCAAAACATCAATCAAATAAAACACAAATAATTATTAAAAAAAAAGTTGCCGTGGTCATGATGTCTCTTCACAGCAATCGAAACCCAAACTAGGACAATAGCCAATCCAAGATCTAGAAGAGACAATGGGGTATAGGCAATATATGAAAATATTAAGGCTGAAAAATTCCTCTGATAGAAAAAATATCAACCCAAGATTTAGGAAACAAAGCTCACAAGTAAAAGGAGAGGGAAGTCTACATGCAACAGAAAACAAAGCCAGAAAGCAGATAACCTTTAAAGAAACTGCAGCAGTAATAACAGATGATGACTTTATAGCCAACATCCCTCCTCTCCTGGGTGCTAAGCAAGGGGTCTATACATTTGGCCCCAGCTCCCATATAAGTTCTTAAAGCAACAAAGGAAAAAGTTGGGTATGGTAGCACAAGTCTGTAACCCTAATACTTGTAAAGCTGAGGCAGAAGGACTACCACAAATATGAAGCAAGCTCAGGCTACACAGTGAGTATCAGGACAGTCAGGGCTACATAGAGACCCCATCACAAAACAACAACAAAGTTGTAAATTTGTGAGCAAAAAAAATTATTCATTTATGGAATTCAAATCCTACTATAAGAGAAATAGGCAGCATGAATAAGAGGTGCTCAGAGCATGAGTATAAAGTCTCTGTACTGCTTGCAGGCAGTAGTGATATGTAATAAGTGTCCCCACCTCCCCCACTTAAAGCATAAAGCACCCAGTATTCCCAGGCAGTCTACCATCCAAGTACTAACTATGCCGGACCCTGCTTATCTTCCAAGATCACACGAGATAGGGCACATTTATGGTGGTATTGCATGTTAACTATTGACCATATCATTTCTTGAGGCTGGGGATATACCTGTGGTACAACATTTGGTCAACATATGTGAAACCCTGAGGTTCAATTCCAGCAGGGATTTTTTTTTGTTTTGCTTTTTTTTTAATGAAAAAGAATAAAATACTAAGACTTTACAAATACTAAATTTTAGACAGAATAAATCAAAATTAAAATCAACAGGAAGATTAAAAAAACTAACAAACACCAGAGTGGTAGTGGTGCACGCCTTTAATCCCAGCACTCAGGAGGCAGAGGTAGGCAAATCTCTGGGAGTTCAAGGCCAGCTTGGTCTACAAAGGGAGTTCCAGGACAGTCTGGGTTGTTATACAGAGAAACTCTGTCTCAAAAAACAAAAAACAAAAAACAAAAAAAACCCCACACAAATAAATAAATAAAAACATATTCATCAAACAGACTACAAAAATTGGAGGCTGGGGTTGTTCAAAAGTAGAGTACTTACTTTTAACTAGGATAAATTCCACAGCATTAAAAAAATGAAGTTTAAAACACATAGTATAAAAAGATATTTGAAACCTAATTTTCAAAAAGTATTCAAAATATTTTAATTTCCAGAATATAAAAATTATAAAAACGGAGGGCTGGAGAGATGGCTTAGAGGTCTTGAGTTCAGTTCCCAGCAACCACATGGTGGCTCACAACCATACATAATGAGATCTGGTGCCCTCTTCTGGCCTGCAGGAATACACGCAGACAGAATACTGTATACATAATAAATAAAAATCTCAGGAATTCATGAAAGAAATGAAGCAAAAATGGCTTTAAAAAAGAATCACATGAATGATGTCTCCTTACTAATAAAAGAAATTTAAGGCAGTAATGTGTGTAATGCAAGTTTGAGACCAGCAAGCCTTCATTATACATTGAGACCTTGTCTCAACAAAACAAAAAATTCCCCCCACTCAAAAATCAAAACAACAATAAAATAAGTAAAAAAATTACTACTTATCTAAATGATTGCTAAATATTAAAAAGCTATCTGGGGGCTGCAAAGATAGCTCAGCAGTTAAGAGAACTGACCGCTCTTACAAAGGACCAGAGTTTGGTTCAAAGCATTCCTACAACAGCTCACACATATACAATACACTTACATACATACAGGCGAAACATGCACACACATTATATTTATGTAATGTAATATATGACATGTGAGATAAAGTATAAATATATCTTTCCTAAGTATATATAAAAATATACACATGCTTTCTTTTTTAAACAATTATTAGGCACGGTGGCATACACCTATAATTTTGAGATGGAAGCAAAAAGATCAGAAGCTCAAGGTCAGCCTATACCTATACAGTTCTCCCAAAATAAATAAGTAAAATTTTAAAACTGAAAAGATTACAAAAAGAGACAATTAAAAAATTAGATCCAAATCTGATGCTTTCTTACCTTATAATAGGCCTTTGCATTGTTAAAGAGCAACTGGAAGTCTGCAGTCAGCAGATTAACATCATCATACTCTTCCATTTTAAGTTTCTGTTGGATTTTCATCAAGTCGATGGGCTGAGAAACCACTTCATAATAGTCTGGTTGATTTCTGAGTAATTTAAATATCTTTTAATGACACCAATCCAAAGCATTTAAAAAGTTTAATTTCACAACTATTTGTGTAATACCTAACACACCAAGCAACAAATCTAATTAGAAATTCACCAAGGAACTCTCCCTAATTACTAGAGCTAAAAGGAAAAAGGAAAGCCAGGTGCAGATGCATTCTCTTTTCAAAATATACATTAATCATACAAAAATCTAAGAACATCAATGACCAATTTTATATGCTAGCTATGTAAGGATAAATGTACCAGAATTAAACCTATGCCAAGGGTATCTTCTATGAAAATGACTTACATTTTCTGGTTTCCAAAATAGCTTAAAACAAAATTCAAAGTTCTTTATAAAAATTACACAATGGCCAGGCGTTGGTGGCGCACGCCTTTAATCCCAGCACTTGAGAAGCAGAGGCAGGAGGATCTCTGTGAGTTCCAGGTCAGCCTGTTCTACAAGAGCTAGTTCCAGGATAGCCTCCAAAGCCACAGAGAAACAATGTCTCAAAAAACAAAAAACAAAATTACACAATGAACCAAGTGTTTGGCACACACTTTTAATCCCAGCACTCAGGAGGCAGAGACAGGTGGGTATCTGTGAGTTTGAGGTCAGCCCGATCTACTTTAAGTGAGTCCCAAGACAGCTGGAGCTACATATAAGACCCTGTCTCAAACAAAACAAAAAAAAAATACCAAAAGAGCTTCCTTTCCCCACTTAGTGACCACAGAACGTTTTTCTTGTCATGTACTGTATTATTATGGTGCTTCATAATCAACTAATAAAGGTACAAAGGAGAAAGATGCTTATCAAATGCTACATCCAAATACAATGTTATAGGAATTATAAACACAAAGTTCAGATAGTGAGCTAGGGATGTAACTACGAGGCAGGGTGCTTGCCTAGCATGAACATGGCCCTCCCTGGTTCAATCCTCAACAATACCAAGGTGGGAGAAAAAAGATGGAAAACCTAGACTATTGATAGCAGTTATAGCCTTAAAAGGGACACACAGGCAATTATAAGAAGTTTTAAGTTAATTTCTTGGGGTTCATGGATATTAATATTTTCTGGCTTTTTTTCTAAAGTAGTTCCAAAAAGCAAGCAAACCTAAAAATGATCTGAGTGATTATTTTCTCTATTTCCCAATATGTTATTTAGTTCCCTTTTAGATATAGAACAAAAAAGTTAATACATTCAAAGAATGCCGTGGCCATTAGGGTTTAATCTCTATCTTACCCGATGGCACATGGTTTTGTCTTGTGCTATACACTGATAAGGTTCCTTTGATTATGGCAGTGTCTGCCAGGCTTCTCTACCCTTCCGTTTGTACTTTATGAGGAGACAGCTTCAGAAAGCCTATTCCTAATCATACTTTTAACTTACTCATTATTTTCATACAAATTCCTGAGTTCCTACAACAGGAAATGGGTTGAAGACTATTATGATAATAACAATTATTGCCTCAACTATTTAGCCCTGGGTCCTGCATCTCACTATGTAGGCCAGGCTGGCCTGGAACTCAGAGAGAACCACCGCCTCTCAATGTTACCACATGTGGCCTATGTTAATATCAAACTACTTTAACGTCTGGCCAGTGGGTGTTCTTTTAAGGTAGCTTCTATATTCTGTTTTCACGTTTTGAGATAAGGTCTCACTATATAGTCCAAGCTGGCCTAGAACTTCCATGTAGTTCAGGCAGGCACCCCAATCATGATCTACCTGCCTCAGTCTCCTGAATGACAGGAATATAAGTAAGAGCCATCACACTCAGCTGACAGTATTCATTTCCTATGATTGTCTAAAATGTTATCACTTTCCAGTTGTTTACTTCCTGGCACCATCCCTGTCCCGCTCTGAAAATCAGGTATTTCTTTAAGAACCCCCCCCCCAAAAGCCAGGCGGTGGTGCACACCTTTAATCCCAGCACTTGGGAGGCAGAGGCAGGCGGATCTTTGTGAGTTCGCGGCTAGGCTGGACTGACAGCCTCCAAAATAATACCTGTCTTCTAAAACCAAAAAAAAAAAAAAAAAAAAAAAAGAAATTCAGACAACTTAAAATGCTAAGTAGCATTGAAAAAAATAAGATGTAAGTGTTATATGTGCTCATTTTTACTGGGGTGTTGTTAATTTCATGCTGTCTCAATGGAAAGAGCTAGGGATTATAGATATGCTTATAAATAGCTCTGTACCTAAATATATTAGAAACCATGCATGCTTAATCCCAGTACTTAGGAGCAGAGACAAGTGGATCTCTTTGAGTTTGAGGACTACATTATATCCAGGGCTATTACATAGAGAAACCTTATCTTGAGGAAGGAAGGAAGGAAGGAAGGAAGGAAGGAAGGAAGGAAGGAAGGAAGGAAGGAAGGAAGGAGGGAATCCTAATCCAACAAAGGGATCATTCCAGTTTTTTTTTCTGTACTCACATTCCCCTTGTCAAGTATTGAGAAACCTACTCAATATAACGATATATATTGACTGCTCTCTTGCACATAATAAATTCTTACTGCTGTCCTACTTCCAACCCACAAAGATCTCACCCTGCTTGGACCTGGAACTCCGTCTGTGCAGGGCTACACACCCTGTGGACACCTTCCTTACACCTCACTCAGCTCCCACATGACTGACCAGCACTAGCACTGCTCTCCCAAACACGGTTCCTTTCATTATCCACTTAGGTTCAACGCCCTGTGTTATGAAAGCTCCAGCACAAAACCCTAGACAGTTCTGCCTCTCATCCTCCCTACGGAGGCCCCCTTTGTTCAACCTCACCTAGTGGCATCGGAACTTAACCAGTTGTTAAGGATGAGAACTAAATTTAGCTTCCAGAGACTCGTATCAAGTATTTTTGATGCTAATAAAGTATAAAATAAAATGCTGGGACTGCAGATATAGCTCAGCAGTTAAAAGTGCTTCCAGCTCTTCTAGAGGCACACTGTTTAGTAACCAGCATCCATGTCAGGTAGGTGGCTTGTATCCAAGGGTAACAACAAAGGACCATCTTGGCCTAATATTGATACAGCTGGGTGGAATTGAAGGACTTTCTCAGAATAAGCATTAAGACCATGATAATTTGATATCCAAGATGGCTCTCTTCATTTGGGCCAACAGTCTATTCTTTCTCGATAATGTTGGACCAAAATAACCTTTCATGTTTGTAGGTCAACAATATCCGTAAACAACTGAGAATCCACTAAGGACATGTACCTAAGAAGGTAAGCAAGAAAGTGCTTCACAAACAATTTTAGAATTACCACAATGAGCCGGGTGTTGGTGGCGCACGCCTTTAATCCCAGCACTTGGGAGGCTGAGGCAGGTGGATCTCTGTGAGTTTGAGGCCAGCCTGGTCTACATGACCAGGACAACCTCCAAAACGACACAGAGAAACCCTGTCTCGAAAAAACAAAAACAAAAACAAAAAGAATTACCACAATGACCAAAAAATAAAAGGATCATGAGCTACATGGGTCATGATCAAAACAGGGATCCTTTACTTTCAAAATGCATAGCCTTACATAGATTTTCATTAAAATCAAACATATACAGTAGTATAAAAGGGTGGGAATATGGCTCAGGCTTAAAAGTATTTGCCTAACATGTACAAAGCTCTAGGTTCATCCACCAGTACTGCAAAAGACAAACAAACAACAAAATAAAAGGTATGATCCAGGCCAGGCGGTGGTAGCGCACACCTTTAATCCCAGCACTTGGGAGGCAGAGGCAGGCGGATCACTGTGAGTTTGAGACCGGGCTGGACCGACAGCCTCGAAAACAAGTCTCGTAAAACCAAAAAAAAAAAAAAAAAAAAAAAAAAAAGGTATGATCCAAACTCAGTAACACAGTGTTTTTATAAACTCATCCAAACTTTTCTCCACAGGCATATGCAAACAAAATTTAACATAAATAGTTCTGTGTAGTGCATATTCTTTTGTAACAGCTTTTCTCCTCCTATAATACGTAAGGGCGCCTTGACATACTATGACCACAAAGAACAGACAATGTTTAATGTTTAAACCAGAACATTAAGAAACACTAACCTTGATGTGCAGGGTCTGCTAACTACTCCAAAGCCATTCTCTCTTCTTAGCTACAGACCATACTCCCCAGCCCTACAATTATCTTCTAGCCAACACAAAATCTAAGGTGTGCGCTGCTCAGCTCACATCCATAATGCGGCCTTCTTTTCCCTGCCATCTGAGGGTAGTTATAGGGAATCACCTTAGAACATGATGATACCCCAAAGACAGAAGAACAGGGACACACAGGACTTGGTCCCTGAAGACTTTGCAGAACAGGTCTACTAATACAAAAGAAATTTCTCTTTTGTTTCAGCCATTATTACAAGCAATCAAACCTTAATACAGTCTAAAGTCACCAAAATAAGTGTCAAAAAGAGATTCCCAGGGAGGTGTGGCAATCCCAGTATCCAGGAGGCTGAGGCATGAAACCTTGAGGAAACATGTATTTCAGAGTTCCTTAGGCACAGGGCCAACATCTTCAAAACTGCAAGCTAACAGTGCTCCAGCTTCTAAGGCTGTATCTGCACTTCTCAGTGCCAGTGGGCTGAGAGAGGGCAGCCAGCAGAGGGGCATACGTTTTCTCTAATGTTGTATTTTTAATGATGTGTACACTTATCCGTGTGGGTTTGTGCATGTGAATTCAGTGACCATGAGGCCAGAAGAGGAAGTCAGATCCCCTGGAACTGAAGTTCCAGGTGGCTCTGAGCTGCCAGACTTGGGCCCTCTGAAAAGCAGTACACTTTCTCACTCCCTGAACGACCTCTCCAGGTCCAGGCCATACCTTTTCTGCTATGATTGAATACACCAACTCAATGTTCCTTTATGTAACATAATGGTTAGGAACACAGGTGTCATAGAATAATATGAGTTTGAACTCTGATTATCTTTTAGAACTTGTGGAAGTTCCTATCTGTAAACTGTGGTATCAGTTTCTTTCTTTTTTTTTTTTTTTTTTTTTTTTTTTTGGTTTTTCGAGACAGGGTTTCCCTGTATTGTTTTGGAGGCTGTCCTGGAACTTACTCTGTAGACCAGGCTGGCCTCGAACTCACAGAGATCCTCTTGCCTCTGCCTCCCGAGTGCTGGGATTAAAGGCGTGCGCCACCAACGCCTGGCTTGTGGTATCAAGTTTCTAAAAGCATTATGTAACATGTATAGAGAATGCATGGCACTCAGGTAAGCAAAATGACTCAGTGGTAAAGGCACTTGCCACCAAGTCCAACAACCCGAGTTCAATCCTTGGGACCCACAGGGTAGAAGGCAAAATATCAATTAACACAACTTCTCCACATGTACAATACTGCAAACAAATAATAAATACATATCTTGACGAGTAAGACCGAAACTCAGATAGAAACAAAAGACTAAACTGAATCCCAGACTTAGACCATTCCTTATGAAGGAAAACTCAATTACCAAACACTTGACCTGCAGACCCTGGGTCCCACCCTGGGTCCCACCCTCCCACTGTATGTAAGCATTCCCCAACGCACCTCCGCTTTGGTGCCCTGATGAACAGCTCACAGAGGAGTCTGCCCTGCTCATCCTTATAGTCTCGGATGGTGTTATAGAGTTCATGGCACACAGCAATCTACACAAAGGAAGAAAGGAAAAAAAAATCATCAAAATCCAACGAAGACCTAAAGATTATCAACAATTCTTAAAAAAAAAACAAAACAACATCAAAAAAATCTCCATAAAAGAAAAACAGGGAAAAAGGAAAACCCTCAAAATTACACAATGGGATCCCAAGTCTGAAATATGGTTAAAGGACATAGTCTTTAAAATATTGTTTGGGAGGCAGAAGATAGCTCTACTGTAAGGCCAACCTGGTCTACACAGTGACCTACAGGCCGGCTGGGGTTGTAGAGTAAGACCCTGTCTCACAACACCAAAATAAACACATGGTACTCTCAGGTCTGAAACTTTTATTACACCTGTGTGCCTCACCTCCATTCCCTACCACTAAGACCACAGGCAGGCATCACCATGTCTGACTGTCATTTTCTTTTAAACTAAGTCAGCTCACTGATTCATACCATTCTCCTGTTTAAAAATAATCCAACTTAATAACCCAAAGCCCACAGGATCTGACACCCTCTTATGGCCTCAAGGGCACTGCATAGACACAATGCCTTTACATATACTCAGGCAAAAAATTCATACTCATAAAATAATGAAAACCATTCTTAAAAAGTCATCTAAGCTGGGCACAGGGACACACAACTTTAACTCTAGCATTCAAGAGTCTAAGGCAGGAATTTGTTTATATTCATTTGTTTATATTACACGCTGAACTCCATGTGAAAATGGAGCTTGTCCCACATAACAATGACCTGAACAGTGCTCACCACATGACAGGTACACAATTTTTGCTGAATGAATATATAATACGAAACCCTTGATATTTCCATTTCAAAATATTAAATTGCACTATAGATGCACAAATTAAGATACAAGGGACTTGTTAAATAAAGGTTACTTTTATTCAGGAAGAAGGCACTTACATAAGAAACTGATGACCCCAAGTTCAAACTCCAAGGATCCATACCTAGGCTGCTCTCTGTGACCCAACTGGAACCAAGAGACAGCGAGCTCAGGTTCGGGACCCCAGACCTAGCCTTCCCGTCACATCCGCACCTGTGACCATGCCTAAATGGGTGTGGTCAGTGCAACAGGTGCGGGCGGGGTGGATATCTCACTATATTACACTACAACTGTTAAGACTTGTGGCTAAATATACTTTTCATAAGAGAAATAAACCAGATGGAAAAGAAAGCTAGGCAGCTCAAGCACTTCAAAGAAGGAAGTGTAGGCACACCATGGGGAGCAGACAGAAACTCACAGGGTCAACGGTGGGAAGATTAGACAGTCTTCTCCTTTTCCTGCTCGGGCCTGGGGTGGGCACAGAATGGTGCCCATCGTCAAAGTCTCCACTGACACTGCTGGAAGGGGAGGTAGCTCTTCTTCTCTTGGAACCCATGGAATCCAACTTCTTCTATAAGAAACAATTAGCCAAGTGCTTATGTTTAATCTTCAACAATGTCAACAGACTCTCAGCTAGGTATATACCAAGAAACTTCTGGTTCATTTAAGACAGTTTATTCCAGAGGGATTTAACTAGTTCTACATTCTTTTGTGACTTATCAGATTGCTACATTATCAAACTCTGATAGGGCAAATTTGGCATAAGTATACACATTTATATGCTAATAATTCTAAGTTACTCAACCACTTCTTGCCCCAGATTTCCTGAATGGGGCTTGCATTTTTTAAAATTTTGTTTTTGATGTATATGGGTGTTATGTATCTGCATTACACGTGTGCCTGATGCTACAGGAGGCCAGAAGAGGGCATCAGATGTGCAACTGGTTCTGAGCTGCCAAGAAGGTGCTGGGAAGTGAACCTAGGTCCTCTGGACCAGCAGCCAGCATTCTTAGCCACTGAGCCCTCTCTCCACGCCCCAAGTGTAGTCGTTAACAGTGTGCTGGAAAACACTGATCTCTAAGACCCTGAGGCAGCCAAATAAGCAGCATGTACAAAGGCTCTATGGTCATTACAAGCAGCCTCATTGGCTCTCCTGTATGTCCTATAATTATACCCATCTCCTAAGTGGACCATAGTGTGGAAAACAAAACTAAGGAGCAGTTCCTAAGGCCATTGCAACAGGGGGTGGAGCAGCAAACTTTCCAGCACTGTACAAGCACCCTAGAAATGAATTCTCCACTCATAAAAAATACCCCTGTGAAACAATGTGATTTTCGCTATATCTGGGGAGAACTAGCAATCTGTGCTCTGTCCCGATGGACACTATATTCACAGGTTGTGAAAAATAGCTTCAAGCCTCACTAGATGATCTGGAAGAACATGTTACATACATTAGCTTGTAGGTACCTGTGTGGACATTTGGGAAGCACATAAACATTTGCTCTTGGCTTTAGGCTGTTACTGGCTTTTGGTATTTCTTGTTATTTACAGTACTAGGGACTTAATGTCGGCCTCACACATGATAGAAAAGCACTCTAACACTAAGCCATCTCTAATCCAGAGAGTGAGTGAGTGTGTGTGTGAATGCACTCACAAGTGCACCACAGGTTAATATTAGATGTCATCCTTCAACACTGTCTACTTTTCTTTGAAAAAGGGTTGTTCATTAAACCTGGAGAATGCCTAGTCAGTGAGTGCCTGAGACCTACCTGTCTCTGCCCCTCCAGTGAGGGGCTATGGACACTACCACCACACATGACTTTTAGGTGGGTGCTAGGGATCTAAATACAGGTCCTCATGTTTTCACAGCAAGTACTTAACCCACTAACATATCTCCCTACCCCTCATTAGACACTATTCTTTGCTGGGCATGGTGGTGCATGCCTTTAATCCCAGCACTTAAAAAGGTAGAAGCAGGCAGATCTCTGTGAGCTCAAGGTCAGCCTTGGATACTGAGCTCTAGGCCAGTTAGGGCTACACAGTGCCTCATATTGAAAAAAAAAGAAACTATTCTTAATATAACTTTATACAACATTCACATTTGACTATAATATAAGAAATGCAACCACTGGAATAACTTACTACAGTTAAAGAGTATAGACCCAGGAAGTCCTAAAATGGTTTTATAATTTAACAGCAGTATCAAATGGTGCATTGTAATTTCAAAGAACCTTTCTAAAGGTAAAAGTTACAGCAGAACCAGTTTCACTCAACATTTGGTTTCAGGAAATTCAGACACTGCAGCTAAACAAAAAAGAACAGTAGAGCACTGGCTGCCAGCACTACAGAGAGAAAAACTGGGATCTCCAGGAAACAAGGAACAAAACAATCCCTTAAGCAACTAAAAAACAAAAGGGTCTCCTATCTGTTGCTTTGAGCTAAAGTCCACACATTTTTAAAAACAATCTACAGTGATCATGTAGGCTTTGGTTGTCACCAAGGATATTAGTTTGAAACTGACTAGAAGTGGTTAAAAGTTTTTAACAAAGTTGGACCCCAAATACCCAGGTTCTGTTATTGTTTACTTTGTAAAAGACTGCTACCTAGTCACAATTCCACAAGTTAATGAAATTAAGGTCTAACCCTTGGAAACACTGATAAACACAGGAGAGGAAGAATTACAAACCTTCAGAAGGTTGGAAGGGAAGGGAAAGAATGACAGAAAGAGAAAAGGGTGAAGATGATCAGTAATTTACCAGCTTTACCAGAGCACAACCAGCACCTCGAAAAGCCAATCTCCTCATTATGTCTGAAGGCCAAATGAAGCCAGTGAAAGAAGGTAGGGTTTTATTAAGTGCTTATTCAGTTAGTTTATTCAGAACTGAAAGAGAAGAACAAGGCAGAGAAAAGGGAAACAAGGGTATAAATGAGTATGAACAGACAGAAAACATAACATTCGAATAGAGTTGCTAAAGAAAAAGAAACAGGCATATCAGTTCTCAGGTGCACCTGACATTTCTTCCATCTAAAAACCCAATGCTTTCACATGCTTAGAAATGTCTCACTGAGTTCCACCTTTACTCACATGAAATGACTGTCAATTCCAGGAATGAAGCATGCCTGCCCAAGTGCCCCCTAGTCAATAAGAGCAGGGTTCAATCACACAGCTGGGATGGAGAGTGAGCCCATGTGGGAGGCTCACATGTGACCCAGTGTTGGCAAGCTGGAACAGACCAAGAACGGCTCATGAGAGCAAGCTCTACAAATGCTTCCTCCCTCCCCCAAGAGTCAGGGAAAAACATGTCTTCCCAAAGGTTCTATATGCACTGGAAACACACAACATTTAAGTTTAGCAGGGCTTCAATTACTTTAGCAGTTCAAAATTACTGCTTTTTATAATGCACTGGAAAGCAAATGACAAAAATTATGTAAATTATTAGTACCAAGTATATTGTAGTTTTAGATGACATAGCCAAAATACTTTAATTGTTAATACACTTTCAAAAGACAAGAAAAAGATGCACGGGAAGGATGGTTTTCAAACTTTCTTATCCAAAGTATACCTTTCCTATCCAAAGCGTACATGCAGAGTGGAAGAAACAGTGGGTCTGCAGACCTTCCACCTCCAACTATCTGTTTGACACTACCCAAATGACTACTTCTCACACCTATTTCTTCATCTTTAATGAAAACTAGGCAAACAGCTAAGTTGGAAGAGCAGTTGCTTAGTAGGTGGGAGGCCCAATGCTCAATCCCCAGGACCACATGGAATTGGGCATGGTGGTGCACACATGTAACACAGCAAGCACTAAGGTGTGGGAGCAGAAGCGTGAGAAGTTCAAGGTCATCTCAAAACAGAACAAATCAAGAATGAAAACTGTAAAGCGCACCTACACCTTTGACAGTGAAGAAACAGCATAGATTAAATTACTCTGTGAGTTCCCTGGCACAGGAACTGACTCCTCTTTATTTTTGTAGACCCATCCTATAAAAATGCTGCAAGTAAAATAAGCGTATTGAAAATGCATGAGATGTTTAAAGCAAAAGTTGTTGTAATTTAAAGTCTCTAAGCATCACTTCGTTATTTATTTATAAGCAGAAAATAAATGATTCTAGAGTTTTAACTCTAGATGTAAGGATGGCCTAATTTACAGTCAAAAATCCACAAGTCTTACAATGCCTGTGGATGCTTCCAGTGGACAATAAATACTTGAGCCGTCTGGCGAGATAGCAAAGCCAAAGTGCCTGCCGCGTAAGCACGAGGGCCGGAGTTCAGATCACCAGCACCCACATGTGAGTTGGGCAGAGCTGTCGAGACCTGTGGCCCCAGAACTGAGGGGACGGGTCACTAGGTTTTCCTGACCGCTAGCCAAACCAGCAGGTTCCACGTCTAATGAGAGACCTTGTCTTAAAAATTAAGCCCTGGAGAGATGGCTCAGAGGTTAAGAGCATTGGCTACTCTTCTAAAGGGCTTGGATTAAGTTTCTCACACCTATATGAGAGCTATAACCATCCAGTTCAAGGGGACCCTCTTCTAGTTTCTTCAGGCGCCAGGCACACAAGTGGTGCACAGCCATACATGAAGGCATACAATGCATGTGAAATGAAAATGGGTAGACCTCAACATAAATAAAAGTGGAAAGCAACACAGGAAGACAATGCCTGGACACACATACAAAACAGGTTTAAAAAAAAAGTACTCACACAGTTGTAACTGTGCAAGTAGCTAGTATAGCCAAATATCTGACAACTTACTACCTTTTAGTATTCTGGGTTTCTTAGTAATATTTAATATTACAACACACACTTAAAACAAAAAAATCTCCGTTAAGAAGATGACTCAAAGGCCAAAAAAAGCAAGTAATTATAATCATATTTCCTACAGGAAAAAAACCACCCGTGTTTGTCATTCAAGCCTTTAATATTTATGCCTCACTTGTCTTTTGTTGGTGATTTTCTTTCTTTCTTTTTTTTTGCAACAGGGTATCATACATTCCTAATTAGTGTGGAACTCAGGAACCTTATTTCTGCGACTCCTGCCTCTGCAGGCTAAATGCTAGGATTGCAATCACATGCCACCATGCCCAATTTTTTGCCATGTTGAGGGACTGAACCTAGTGCTTCACACATAAACCAGACAAGCACTCTACCAACTGAACTCCAATCCAGCTCAACGATCTTTTCCATAAACAAAGTGATAGAAACCATGTAGTCTGCAACTGTGTTCTCACTTACAGGTTACCAAGGCGGCATTCTTCTTGATGTTTGATGCCCTAATAATGGTCTATTATACAGATACATAATTTACTTATCTTGGGGAGTTTGGTAAAGCACTATTACTTGAGCTCAGTTTTATACTCTAATGAAAAAGTCGTGGATTCTTCCATTCCCACTGGTGCCTTTGATTATACACATTTGTTACTGTTTTGATCCCAGACATTTCTTCAAAATATACTATTCCTCACTCCCCTCGCCCAGGAGACTAGACAGGAGAGCATACACTTAAAGCCAACCTGGCAACAAAGTAAAGCCAGGTCAAAGATAAAAGAGGATACTTTCTAATCTTTCATTTGGGATCTTAAAAACTACTAAAGCAAAAACTATATTACTTAATCTCTATACCAAGTCCAACAGGCTTCTGAATTATATTTGGGAAAAGGAATACTACTAAATGAGGAGAACGACACTTAAAACCACCTTTTGTTTGTTGACCGGCAAAAGGTCTCACTATGTAACCTAAGCTGGACTGAAACTTGCCTTCCTTCTGCCTCGACCTCCTAAGGGCTGGAACAACATGTGTATTCTACTGTGCCTGGCTGTAAAGTCATTCTGGAAAAGTTTGGATTAAGATAGCTTGAACCAACATACACTTCTACAGTTATTCCCAGGATTTCCATATCCACTCTATTGTGAATTTGTCATTTGTTTTCCAGGAATTTTTGTATTTTTTTAACCTCCTCTTTCAAATCAAAATTATTTTCTTTTAATAGCAAGGCATTTCTCTTTCAGAGAGTAAAAAAAACTGAGGCGGAAAAATACATTTAAAACCAGAAAATACAGTTTAAAAGAAAAAACAAACTCGATTAGTCCTTTCGTGGTAGATGAGAAGCTGAAGCGCCCCAAACCTTTAAATAAATGTCTCACCGACAAAAAATAATAATAATAATAATTCGGTTTAGGCAATCACACGGAAAGAAGGGGGGGCAGGGACCAAAAACCACAACCAAAAACTCCTGAGGGAGAGTTTTTGGCCCAACGCACAAGACACACACACACAAAAAGGAGGCCTCGAGAGGCGCAGGGGAAGAAGAGCTCGCCCGACCTGTCACCGGCTCTGCGGGCTAAAGGAAACGTTGACAGCTTTGAGGCCGCCCGGCGACGGGCGGGAAAGAGCAGCGGCGCGGCGAGCTTCCGGGCCCCGGGCCGCCTTTGTCCCGACCGGCAGGTGCGGCCGGGCTGCTGCCGGGCCTGCCCCGAGGCCTCCCCCCCGCCGCCGCCGTCGCCGCGCCCCGCCCCGCCCGCGCCCAGCCCGACCAGCGCGTCCGCACCGGCCGCGGGGCGGGGCCTCCGCCGCGGCTCCAGCCCGCCCGGGGTCGCCGACACAAAGGCCCGGCCCGCGGGCCGAGGAGGAGCGGCCCCGCCTGCCCCGGGCCCGGCCTTACCGCGCCGCTCCGCCGCTTGCAGCCCCGGCCGCGGTCCCTGACCGCCGCGCCCCGCCCCGTGGCCGCCACGGCTGCTATTGCTCCTCTGGCCGCGGCCGCTGCCGTCGCTCCGGCACCCGCCGCCCTGACCGCCCGCCCTCACCCCTCCCAGCGCTGCCGTAAATCCCACCAGGGGCCGCCAAGCGAGCCGGGGGCTCTGTGCGACGGGGCGGGGCGTACGGGCGTGCGTGCGTGCGCGCGCACGCGGGCCGGGGCGGGGCGACGACGCGCTTTACGGCCGCCGCAGGGAGCGCGTGACGTCGGCGCTCATCCGCTCGCCGCAGCCACCGCCGCAGCCGCCGCCGCTTCAGTGCGCACGTGGCGCCCGCCGAGGCCGGTTCGTCTCCGAGACCGCTGCTGCTTCTGGAGGGCCCGCTGCCGCCGCCGCCATGAAGCGGCCGAGTGAGTGGGAGCGGGAGCGGGGGCGCGAGCCGGGAGGCGGGTGGGGGGCTTCGCGGGCCGTGGCATCCGTGGAACTGAGGGTCGGGAGGCCCAGGCCCGGCCTCGGCCTGCTTCTCCAGGGCCCGCCCCGTGGAAGGGGAAGCTGTGCCCGCGAGGGAGAGGCTGGGCCGTATTTACGGGGTTCACGTGCCCGAGGCCGTTTTGTGCAAGGCCAGTAGCCTTTTGGGGCCCGGCGATGCCCTTCCGTTTGAGGATTATTCGGAATGCGGCGGTGGCGAGAGCCCGCAATCGTGCCCGCGTTAAAGATAACGCAGTGGTATCCAAAGTCTGCCAGCCTGGGCTGTGCCCTCAAGCCCTTGCTCAAAAAAGAAAATCCTGCCTCATCTTTCGTTTTGGGGTGCTTTTCCTCTAGAAGCTGGTTTCACTCCGTAGGTGCCGGGTCAGATTGACGGGGATTTGGAAGTGGAGCGTGTGCTATTGATTAGAAAATAGCCGGCGCTATTTTGCAGGGAAGATCGAGGGACGGATCTGTGTATCCCAGCCTCCTTTAAGTGCCCGGCCGGCTTGGTCTCGGCCTTCAAAGCGCTGTTTTAAAAAGGCGTGTGTCCCGTCTTCCAACCCCTCTCACCCCCATGAGTCTCGTCTAAATTGGTTGACATCACAACGTTGTGGTCAGTGTTACAGAAGTATAAGGTGGTGTCTTGAGGCCCAGGGATATGACTGAGCTTATAAAGGCCCTTGCCACCCAGCCAGACTGTCATTCTCCCAAACCCACAAGATGGAGAGAACTTCCACAAACTGATCTCATTCCAAACACAAAATAAGTATGGAGGATTAGCACTCGGGCGCTGGGTGCTCTTCCAAAAGACCAGGGTTTGAGTACCCGCAGCCACGTGTCCGCTCGCTGCTTGCTGGGCGGGGGATAAAGCCCTCGTGGCTTCCTCTGCAAGACCATGGCATGGCTGTGGTTGGTGCCAAGACACCAACCACAAAATCTGTACGCATTGTTTCTTAGAAAGCCATTAATAGTTTTTTTGTTTGTTTTTGGCAGAGTTAAAGAAGGCAAGCAAGCGTATGACCTGTCATAAGCGTTATAAAATCCAAAAGAAGGTAAGTGTTCCTGGGAGGCCTCTCCATGGGGAAGGAAGGCCCTGTTAATGATTTAGGGGTTGGACTTGGACACAATCTCTTAAACACAAAGAATGCTGCTGTTGGGAAAGTTCAGGGTGAAAGCTGGAACTCCACACTGTGATGTAATCTTTACAAAGCATTTGACTAAAATTTCTCTTTTATTCATGTGTATTCTGTGTAATTCCAACTGAAGTTCCATTTTTCTAGGGTGCTTGACATTTTTTATAAGGGCTTATTGCCTGGATTCTAAGTGGCAAAGTGTTTTGTAGGGTGAGGATTTTTTTTCCTTCCCTTTGTACTATGCCGAGGATTGAACCCTTGGCCTCATGAATGCCAGGCAAGCTCCCTTCTCCGACCTCATAGTGTTGTTGTTAATAGGTCCGAGAACATCATCGAAAATTAAGGAAGGAAGCTAAAAAGCGGGGTCACAAGAAGCCGAGGAAGGACCCTGGAGTTCCAAACAGTGCGCCCTTTAAAGAGGCTCTTCTTCGTGACGCCGAGCTAAGGAAACAGCAGGTAATTCAGTGAGCTGACACTTCCCAAAGAATGTGGTATGATTGTGTGTGGTTTCTATGCTAACTGAAACCATCAGTCTCCAGCTCATTCCTTTCTTTTTGGCTCTGCCACAGCTTGAAGAACTAAAGCAGCAGCAGAAACTTGATAAACAACAGGAAAGGAAAAGAAAACTAGAAGTTAACCCTGGCGATGAGCAATCTAACGTAGAACCCCAGCAGGTAAGGTCTCCTGAAAAATGAGTTGTGCTGTGCAGCAGAAATAGAAAGATTCATAAGGAAATGTATGTTGTATCCTATTTAAAATATCAAATATATTGTCTGTAGTTGTCTATGGAAATGTTAATATGCTGGCAATGACTGCTGTTTCTGATTATATGTATATATTTTTAATATATTTTAGGGATCTGAAGAACCCAAAAGCAAGAAAGCTAAACCAGGCAAACAGAATCCAAAGAAGTTGCATTGTCAGGAACTTAAAAAGGTATCTTAGTATAGGTCAGTGTCAGAAGTGGTACTGAGATTTGAAAACTTGAAAGCTCATTTGTAAAGTGGGAACCTTGGAACCCTTGCAGTCTAGAGGGTAGGTGGTAGATTCTGGGGACACCTTCCCAGCACTACTCACCCTGATGCTCACTTCCCAGGCTCACTCCGGTCTGTTGACGGAACCTGGCTATGCCTTCTCAGTACTCTAAGAAGTACTCTAAGAAGGCCCATTAAACCACATAGTTCGTGGGTAGACCATGTGTTCTGATGTGATCGGAGACTCGTGTTTTATCAGAGGCTGCTAGGCACATTTATTTGACTTTATTCAACAAGGAATGCTGTTCTCAGGGTTTCTTATTTGACAGGTGATTGAGGCCTCAGATGTTGTGTTAGAGGTTTTGGATGCCAGAGATCCTCTTGGCTGCAGGTGTCCTCAAGTAGAAGAAGCTATTGTCCAAAGTGGACATAAAAAGCTGATACTTGTGTTAAATAAATCAGGTGAGTGGAAACGATCCCCTTTATCTCCTGTTTGTGTACTTATGAGGTATGAGGAAAATGTCTGAACAGTCTGATTCTCACTGAAGACTGATAAGATCCAACTCTGACCTCAACAGAACCAATGCATGTGCACTCTGGTTGCCAAGGACATGGGGAGGAGGTGGTTTTTGCAGATGATCCAACTGGACTTTCCTGTTCTGCTATTCAGTACTTAGTCTCCCTTGATTTTAAGAAAGATTCTGGAACTGCTGTGTTTCATATAGGAATTGACAACTCTGCTTTAATCTGGTGTGCAAGATAAGTTACTACATGTCTGGATAGGCTTGAGCAGCAGGAAGAAGAGAACCCAGAAGAATGACATGTAGAGAAAATTTGTCTTTTCCTAATCCTTAGCAGGGTTAGCATATGCTAAATATAAATAAGGAATTGCAAGCAGTGGTTTTTAAGCCTCAACAAATGGGGAGGTATTTTGAAGAGACAAATACAGGAAAGTGATTTTAAAATACGCGTTGAGCTTAAGAAGTTGGTGCCTCTTAGGTGAGGAATACTGGACTTTGGTTTTTCAAGACAGGGTTTTTCTGTAACTTTGGAACCTGTCCTGGAACTTGCTCTGTAGACCAGGCTAGCCTTGTGGTGAGGGCATAGGTTGACCTGGTCCTTCAGTTGAGCGAGCAGTACCAGAGATACTGAGATTCAAAAGTAACTAACTTGCTGCCGCACTCAAAAAAGTGGTGTGCTGCCTAGCACCACATAAAACCAAGCATGGTGACACGCTTCTGCGATGTCGGTGAGAGGACCAAGGGAGATTCCAAAGCTCTTGGTCATCCTCAACTACTCAGTGGTTTTAAGGCCAGCTTGGAACACACAGGACTGTGGGAAGCATAAAAGTGAAGATGCAGTAACATCTCAAGACACGAGTGATGTGACAGGCAGTTTGCTTTTGCCTTTAATTCCTTTTGAAAAGTGGGAAATGTAAATGAATACAAATTAGTCATAAAACCACCAAATTGAGCCTTTGCCTTTTTCCAATTACCAGATCTAGTACCAAAGGAGAATTTGGAGAACTGGCTAAATTATTTGAGTAAAGAATTGCCAACAGTGGTGTTCAAAGCTTCGACAAACATGAAGGGTAGACAGAAGATGCTCAAGGTACTGTGTGTGCTGTTAGTGATGGGAAGTATGTTTCCTCGGCTTGTGATGATCGAAATATGATGAGTATGCAAAATGTTGATTAAGATGAAAAACAATAAGATCCAACTCTGATTTCATCAGATCATCTGGAAGGCAGGAGAGGCTAGTGACTTTTCTAAAAACTGGACTCTGGTGCCAGACTCACTGGGTTCCACCTGATGGTGTTTGATAGAATTACTAAAACTACTGTATTTTGGGATTTTTAATATCTAAAGGTAAAGAAGAAGAAAGCTGTTCCATTCCAGAGTAAACTCTGCTGTGGCAAGGAAGCTCTTTGTAAGCTGCTCAGGAGTTTTCAACAGTCATGTGGGAAAGATATACAGGTTGGAGTAATTGGTAAGTTTCATTCAGGACGCTTACCTTATTTACCGTTTAAGTCTAAAGATATTTAAGTAAGGGTATCACACTGAAATGTGAACAGGTAATTACAAAAGAAAGGATTTCCGGGGAGGGAGAGGGAGCTGGGATTGACATGTGAAACAAGATTGTTTCTAACCTTAATTTTAAGAAAAGGTTTTTTTTTCTCAGATGTTAATTCTAGCTTAACTCCCCCAAACACTTTAAAATATATACATCTACCAGTTTCAAAAGTGGGAATCTAAGAGCTCTTGGCAGCTAGAACGCTTGTCTGATATAAGTGTTTTATAATCTGTGTTTACCTTTATTTGTAGGTTTCCCAAATGTGGGGAAAAGCAGTATCATTAATAGCTTAAAACAAGAAAGGATATGTACTGTTGGCGTTCCTATGGGACTTACGAGGTAAATATAACCCAGTGGTTAGAAAGACATGAGTAAAAGACCATTGGTGCTGGGCTAGGAAAGTGCTTGGAAAGTCCCAGCTACTCCAGTTGAGTCTGAAAGGTTGAGGAAAGATGCAGTGATGGTGACGTGTGGATGTGTTGCACTGTAACATACAGTGCTTATATGAGAGGGGCTGTGTGTGTTAGGGTTTCACATACACATGAAGCAGTGATGACAAATTGGATCTGACTGCTGTGCTGAGCTTGTTCAATCCAACCCTGAGCTTCATGTTTGTTGTCTTGCCATTTGGGTAGGTTGGTATCTGTTAATTCCATCTTTTTCTAGGAGCATGCAGATTGTCCCGTTGGACAAGCAGATCACTATCATAGACAGTCCGTGCCTCATCGTCTCCCCATGCAACTCCTCTGCTGCGCTGGCTCTCCGGAGTCCAGTGAGCATTGAAGAACTAAGACCATTAGAGGCTGCCAGTGCCATTCTGTCCCAGGCTGACAGTCAACAGGTAAAGGAATTGCCCTTGAGCTCCTTACCACTGTTCCTTATCAACAGATTAATGATGGCTGCATTTTGTTTTTAAGGTGGTATTAAAATACACTGTCCCAGGGTATAAGGATTCTCTGGATTTTTTTACTAAACTCGCTCAGAAAAGAGGTCTGCACCAAAAAGGTGGAAGCCTGAATGTTGACAGTGCTGCTAAACTGCTGTGGTCGGAGTGGACAGGGTAAGGTTTCTTTATATTGGCATTGAAGACGATGTGGGATACAGGGGTTGAACTGTGTTTGACAGATCTTATTTTTAATGCCAGTGCCTCATTAGGTTACTACTGTCACCCTCCTACATCCTGGAATCTTTCTCCACATTTTAATGAAAATGTTGCAGCAAACATGAAGAAAGACTTTAATCTAGAAGAACTAGAAACAAATAATGCACACAGCATACAAGGTAAAATTGTTTTTCTGGTATATAGATGAATTTTACAGTGACAGTATGCTAGTCTTACCTGTTAACATGGGTTTTACTCCTTTCCTCCAGTCCTGAAGGGCCCTCATTTAACTAATAGAATCCTTTTCCGGTCCTCGGGCCCCACAAATGGAATAATAGAAGAAACAGACATACCTGAAGAATTGGCAAGACGGAAAAAAGGCAAAAAGGATAGTGAAGATCAAGGGAATGATGAGGAAACTGATGTGAGTTTGCTTCTAAAGCTCAAGGGAGTTTCCTAGCATTGCAGGACAGAAAAATGGGGATGGGTCAATGGTACAAATAACAGTTTATGGTTTACTGCGTGCTGCTTGGGTATTTCAAACTGAGCCAAGTCTGTACCCTATTAATTGCATATCACATTTCTGTGGTCCACAGGCAGAGAGTTCAGATGCACCCCCTATAGAAGACACCAGGGAGTCAACAGCAAGTGAGTCTGGGACAAAGGAATTATTACAACAACATAGTTTGAGCACAGTTGCTTTTATTTTTGTGTATTAAATTGTGCTTTTCTTTTTCTCTATACAGATAAACCATCGGACAGGTCATTGACTTTGGAAAAAATGAGTCAAGAGGATGACGACTATGACTTTAAAACAGATTATGTATAACTGTTATAGATGTTAAAATGTGTTGTGTATGGTCTCCCAGATGGGCATAACACAAACTGTAAATCTTGTGAATATGTATCTTGTGGATATGAATAAGTGTTAACATGCATTTGTATTTAAGATTTTATTTATGACCAGGCATGTGGTGTGTACCTTTAATTCCAGCCCACGATAGGCAGAGGCAGGTGAATCTCTGAGTTCGAGGCCAACATGGTCTGCAGAGTGAGCAAGTCCAGGACAGCTATGGCTACACGGAAACCCCGTCTCAAAAATAATGTGGATAGGAGTGGGTGGAGGCTCTAGAACGCATTGGATCTCCTGGAACTAGTATATATAGTGACTTGATGTGCTGTAAATGGAACCCTGGTGTTTACATTCTTAAAATTTGGGGGAAAACAGTTGTCTGGAAGCAAAGATTTATTGGAAAAGGTAGATTTTATTTACAAACTGGGCCACATGTTACAAAAATAAAGTGAAGCTGCAGTTCCTCCTAACTACAGCTGCTAAATGAACTAGTGATGGTTTTATCAGTTTGTCCCTTTAGGTCAACCAGCAAACATTTGGTAAGGCAGATGGAAACATTTTAGTCATCTGGGAAGCTGACTGCTATAGAAGCAATTTGTGATCTCTCCCCTTTTCTGTGGGCTGCTACAGAGAGACCTAAGCCTAACACTGTTGACTTCGCATATGATGTGTCTTCCAGGATTTCCTGAGTGCAACATTTAGCTTAATTGTAGTTCACTTTATGTTTGAGGTATCCACATGTCTTCGGATTAAAGTGAATTTGCCAGTTGGATCTGGAATATACCATTTTTCCCAAACATCAGCATATGAAGCAGCTCTTCCCCAAGGCTTGAAGTGACCATTCCAGTGAAGTAACTTGGCAGCCTTTACAAACTGGGGTGAATACCGTTTTCCAGCACTGGAACCTTAAATAGAGAAAAGCGCCTAGTGACTACTAGCAGACAAAGCAGCAGATACTGAGGGAAACACTGAGTATAAATAGCTCATCCCAAAGGAGATCTTAGATACCAATTTGTGATTAGCTTGAGTCCCTGGCTGTTTTTCTAAGTGGCTCTTCCTGACTTCAAGCTTTCAGGGCAGCAATGCTGCCTTAGCATCCCAAATGCTAGGATTACCAGCTTGAGCTCTACTTACCAAGGTGGCGAACATTCCACATAGGGTCAATGGTGGAATGCTGTTGATAAAACACGATAAGCAGAGGAGGTGTGGTGATGCTGCCAGCCAGTGTTCTACTGTACAGTCCCTCTCTAATAAAACAAAGAATGTTAGTAAAGAGGGCTGACCTAGGTTTATCAGTAAAGACCTAATATATCTAAATCAGTTACATACTTACTCTACATTGAGTTTCATCCATTTCTCCAGCTGGTTAGTTACATTCTGTCTTTTCCATTCAGTCAGGTTTGCAACAAAAACTCCAGGATTAAAGGAGCAGGTGCTGGCTTTCATGGAAAGTTTACGAATTCTTTCCTTTTTATAGTCAAGATAGCCAATATAATTGTACTAGAAACACAAGTGAGATAGTTGCTGTTTCACATAAGAATTTTTATAAAGTCAGTAGCTGAACTAAGGAGACTTCTCAAGCTATTACCAAAAAATTTCATGGAGATCTGAAATAGTTGGTTGTGAGGTCTATAAATGAATTTACAGAAAACAGGCATGCATTCTGGAGTGAAGTAACTGTCTAAGATTGAGCTCTGACTTCAAGCTTTCATGGTGAGTAAGGTTTGCAATAAGTAATCTACCTGGTTCCCTGCTCCACGGATGATGACTTTAGTAGAGGTGGAGTCACAATCTTCTGAAAATGCAGCAGCGTGTCCTGGCTTCAGTGGTGTATTGTACAAAGAAAGAATATCCCCTGCAGTGAAGTGAGCAATTTGCAGTTGTCTTGAGATTCTGTTCCTGCTACCTCCCCCCCCCCCCTCAGTTTTTGAAACAGTTTCTGTGTAGTCCTGGGGGCTCTCCTGGAATTCATTCTGTAGACCAGGCTGGCCACGAACTCACTGAGATTGCCTGCCCCTGCCTCAGTGCTGGGATTAAATGCCTGCACCGCCACCACCCTGTAATCTGTTACTCTCACTTTTTTTTTTTTTTTTTTTTTTTTTTTTTTTTTGGTTTTTTGACACAGGGTTTCTCTGTAGGTTTGGAGCCTGTCCTGGAACTCTCTTTGAAGACCAGGCTGGCCTCAGAGATCCACCTGCCTCTGCCTCCCGAGTGCTGGGATTAAAGGCGTGCGCCACCACCACTTGGCTCCTCCCACTTCTAATGGTGGCCTTTTAAAGCAGATCATCTGTAAGTCTATAACTTGACTGCTGCAGATGTTGGTAGCAGATGTCTGAATAACAGATGGCAGGTGTGGCTACCAAATACCTGGAGGATTAAGGGAAGTAAATCTGTTTACCCCTTATACATGATAATAGAAGTCTTTACCATTGTCCCCATTTTTGGTTGGGTACTTAAGATTGTTAAAGAATGAACTAAGGTTGTTCATTGTTGAGTATGAACTAAATGGCCCTCGTGGCAATATTCTTCCCTCTTATCTCTTTGCTCCCTTAGATAGCTATTGGTCCACACTCCCCGCTCCAGGTACGAACGGTGGACTAGCAGCTGGCTCTGACTGCAGCCCCGAAACCCCAGCTTCTAACAATTGTCATAGAATAACCCTTACAGCCCAGAATCCAGATGAAGAGCCCTTTAGTACCTTGTACAATTACATCATCATCCATGTATATGGCCTTCTTTGCACTGGGAACCAGAATTGGCAAGTAGAACCTTGCAAAGGTTAACTGAAAAGGAAAGAAGCATCAGCATGGGGTATACTCGCTGGGCTCTTATCTGTAGAAGCTATTAAATGTTCTTAGAGCCCTTGTAGAGACAGGCAGTGGACTCCTGGCACTGCTCAGGCTTGGTCCCTAGGGAACTACTTGCACTGTACCCTGAATTATCCAACTATTCTAATCAAATATAGACACCCCAATAAAAACAAAGACACATGGAACTCACTGGTTTCATGGACTCCCCCTGGTCAGGATCCTCCTTTACTTTCCCTTCCAAAAGTTTAGTGTCAAAATTTACAATTTTGTACCTGATGCTTTTCAGGGAAACACTGTTAAGCCAGGACCTGATGAAGAAAGAAACATTAGTCTTAAACAGTCTTGCTTCTGAAATCTGAAATATAGCCTTATCTTTCTATGCTTTTCTGACAGTGGTATAATGCAATATGAGAGAAACTCAAGGTACCAAACAGATGTTTCAAGTTCTTTATCTCTCTAATACTAGGGGTTCTTAACCTGAGATGAAGGCATTCCCACTAAAGTTCCTTCTTAACCAAGAATCTATGGGAGAATCTCTTCTAAAACTTTACTGTAGGAACTCCAGACTTGATAACACCCTGCCAAAACATGGACTTAAAAATTTTTATTTTTTTGGTTTTTCGAGACAGGGTTTCTCTGTATTGTTTTGGAGGCTGTCAGTCCAGCCCGGCCTCAAACTCACAGAGATCCGCCTGCCTCTGCCTCCCGAGTGCTGGGATTAAAGGCGTGCGCCACCACCGCCCGGCTCCCGGCACAATTCTTTTCTTGAGGCATCATCTTATTACATTGCCCAGGGTAACCTTGACTCACTATTCTCCCTGAGCCACCCAAATGCTGAGATTACAGGGTGAACCACCATGCCTAGCTAGGCCATAAAATTTCAGCCTTCCAAAAATTGACATAAATTATAATGGTAGTAAAGGCTACTTATCAATAAAACTACGTTAAACCTGTCAGCTGTAGAATGGTTACTAACTTCAATGACCTTAAGACATTCACCCACCTGACTCTGAGGCACTGTGACAGGAGCCCATGTTACCTGCAGGAGCACTACACATTTTTTTTTTCTAGTCCATTACAAACCTGCAGTATGTTTCTATGTCTCAGATGGATTTATTTTTTTTAAGAATGAACATAATTTTCATGAATGTGACCCATGGAGAAAGCCATAGGACAGAAATACTTAGAACTCTGACAATCTGTCAGACCATCTACTTTTTAGAATAAGTTTTGAGACTTTTGTTTATAATTTTTTAAGGCAGTCTCATACACCCAGCCTGTAGTCAAGGATGCCCTTGGAACATCTGATCCTACTTCTATCTACTGAATGCCAGGAGGACAGGCATAAGCCTCCACAACCAGTTTCTGTGATGCTGGGAACTGAAACCAGTGCTTTGTGAAAGCATAGTGGTAAGCTGTGAGTAGTAAGTAAATATATTGCTTCCCTTATACAGAAAGTCGGGTTGCCAAGCATTAGACACATTACTAAAAGAACTGCAATTAACAGTGTGACAACTAGTTTAGTTCCTGACATAAATTATCATTTCTCCTGCCACAGAGGCATGACACAATTAGATAGAAAAATATTTGGGTGTGTGTGTGTGAAAACTTAAAACAGAAAGATATAATGTAAAGTGGTTCCTGGCTTAGCAGTAGCCAGTGAAGAGCTTTGGGCAGAGGCAGTCATGAGGAAACCAGTGCTCACCGGAGATGGCCTTCTGTACTGTTGAGCGTAACAATGTAAAAAATCACATTGGAGCGAGTGTTACGATGGATGCTATTTATGGCTGCAATTGTCCCACCCAGCCTGTCTTCAGAGGCAGCAATGACCACAGGAATCTCCTCTTGTCTCCCATTTACTGGATGTTGAATGTCGGCAACAAAGTCTATGGGCTGAAGCCCCAGAATTCCTGAATCTGAGAAGAACACATGCAAGGAAAGCACCAGAACACAAGAATCTCATGAGATTTTGTCCTTGTTTGGGCTTCTTTTGTTCTTCCAAACAGTTTCATTATGTAGTCCTGGCTAGCCTGGAACATGCTATGTAGACCAGGTTGGCTTCAAACTCAAAGATCTCCCTTGCTCAGCAAGTCCATTACTTTTGTTTTTTTGAGACAGGTTTTCTCTATGTAGCCTTAGCTGTCCTGGAACTTACAGAGACCTACCTGCCTCTGCCTCCTGAGTACTAGAATTAAAGGTGTGTGCCACTACCATTCAGCTGGCAGCAAGTTTTTTACAATGTCCAAGATATGGAAGGAGATAATATGAGAATTACAATTTACTTATTCTTGCTCATTAACTTTGAAGCATACAATAGAAAATTGTGTTTCCATATATGTAATCACTTTTAAAGAAGTGGGAGAATTTTAAAAAATTTGGCAACACTGTTAGTATACCATTAGTAGGGAAGTTACAGAACCTTTTTAAAATGTATTCTGACAGTTTATAAGCAACCTTAAAGGGGTATATGGCCTTTGTCTTAATTCTTTCTTAAGAACAAAATCTGAAATAGAGAAGAGTCAGATTTTTAGGTTGAGGATCTAGTTCAGCTGTAGGGTGTATGTTCCGCATGAATAAGGTTCTGGGTTCAACCCACACACACCAAAACAAGCCACCCTCTGACTTATGCTTACGAAAACCTAGAAACAGATTTTCAAACCACATATCATATGGAGGCATAAAAATCAATGTGAGGGATCATGATCAGAATTTACTCTCTGTGGTGCCAGAGATGCACCCTGCCCCTAGCACATGTTACGAAGCTCTCTGCTAAGCTAAATCCCTAGGTTTATGGTCTGAGTTTACCTAGGAAAAGCTTTGGATCTATACAAAATAACTGCAGTATTCTGTAAACCATGCTTCTTGCCTTTTATGATACAGTGGGACCTCCATATTTATGATTTCCACCTCTGGATTTAGTTAATCACAGGTGGAAAATATTAGAAATGACTTAAATCTGTAGAACCTTGATTTTTATCATTAGCACCTCAACAGTACAATACAGCATATCCATATGCTATACAAGATACATGTCATCTAGAGATACTTTATAGTACAGAGTAAGATGTACACAAGTTATATGCAAGTTTTTTTGTTTTGGGTTTTTTTTTTTTTGCAATTTTATACAAAAGATACAAGTATCTGGGGGCTGGAGAGATGGCTCAGAGGTTAAGAGCACTGGCTATTCTTCCAGAGGTCCTGAGTTCAATCCCCAGCAACCACATGGTGGCTCACAACCATTCGTAATGAGATCTGGTGCCCCCTTCAGGCCTGCAGGGTTACATGCAGACAGAACACTGTATACATAATAAATAAATAAATCTTAAAAAAAAAAAGATACAAGTATCTTAAGATTTGGTTCCTATGCCCAGTCCTGTGAATATAGAAGGACAGCTATTATATTAACTCTGTCATCAATGAACATTGAGTCTTATTATATGCTAGATAATATCTAGCCCTGGAGTTACAACTATGAATAAAGCATGTAAATTTTAACCAGACAGATAACTATGTCTATGTATCTTACTATGGGATTGCCATCAAAATTTGAAAGTTATTTTTTAAAAAATGTATCTTCTTGTGGATTCAAATAAATTTGACAGCATTAAAATTACACACACAGATAAAGTAAAAAGGTCTTAATTACATATATGAAGTTCACATTATGCTTCTGATAAAAATCACATGGAAAAGCTTATGTAGGTTAGTATAATCTCAAATGTATAGAAAAATGCATATAATGAGAAAAGAACTGGAAGACATCAGGTCAAAATTTTTATAGTAGTTTCTCCTGTCAATGAAATAACTTATTCAACTAACACTGACTAAATAATTACATCTTCAACTCCAAATGCTGGACTTACAGATACGAGCTAACTCTGGCTTTACTGACTTTTTGAGAAAGAGTCTTATGTAGCTCAGGCTGACCTCAACTTGGTACATAACAAAGATGGCTTGAGCTTACCCACTAATGTTACTTATTGTGGGTATGTGTATGTATGATGTGTGGGTGTGGGTATGCCATGGTGCACACCCGAGAGAGAAAGTGTGTGTGTGTGTGTGTGTGTGTGTGTATGTGTGCATGTATATATAATTTTTTTAAAAGGAAGTCTTGCTATTGCCTATACTGGCCTCAAATTCACTATCTTTCACCTTGTCTCAGCTTCCCAATTGCTAGGACTTGTGACGTGTGTCATCATATCTACCCTCAAAACTTATTTTTGAAAACAAGAACATTGTAGCTCATTGTAAAGAGAAGCTGTTGACCTTGCTTGTTTCTTACTGGCTAGCTCTGACTTAAATATTTATCCCATAACTGCCAATCTAAGTATTTCTCTTACCAGACGGACATCTTACTTCTCTGGCGGGCTACATAATGACTCCCTGTGTTTATCCTACCCAGAATCCTCCTCGACTCCTAGTCCCACCTATCTTGCTTCCCTATTGGCCAACAGTGCTTTATTGACATATACACAGGTCTTCCCCAACATAATTAATATAGCCTCCTGTGTCTTTATTTGGGACTGATGCAGCACTGGAACCCAGCTGGCAAGAAGGCTTCTCTTTACAGCTCACAGCTGTAATCCCATCACTATGGAGGCTAAGGCAGGAGGATCAGGGATTCAAGAGCAGCCTAAACTACATAGTGAGTTTGAAGCCAGGCTGAGCCATAAGATTCAGTCTCAAAACAACAGAAAACAACAAAAAGGTATCTACACACCCTGAAGCCTCAAACATCCCTCATTACCACGGCAGAATGGGATAAACAACTAGATGGTTACAATCTAAATCTACAATACAATGATTTTTTTAATCATCTGAAAGGACTTTATGATTTCTGTTTATGACAAAAGACATATTGATGTGATTGCTAAGTTACCAGATAAAAGAAAGTCTCCGTATTGACACTGTAGTGACAAAGGCAAACATCAAATGCCAGGGCCTTGCCTGCCTATACCCATCTTCTAAAGCTCTGACTGATAAAATGCAAGCAGGTGGCAGTCCACAGACACCCCTTAGGCCTCTGACTTGACAGAAAGGTTTCACTACAGAGAGAAGAGGGGGAAGCACCATGTGAAATGACGAGGACCCGCTATGCCTATGTTGGGGTACACTGCAGCCCCTGACTCCCTCCCTCTTCTCTGGCACTGCCTACTCCGTCACCCACTATCCACCTTACCCAGATAGCCTGAGCAAGGCAATTTCTAAAGATAAAACAGCCCTGTTTGGACAAACTACTCAGGAAGTAGAGCTTGCACACAGACCCTGAATCTGAAATAAACTTCCCATCCCCAAACCCTCCTATATAAACTCCCATTATTCCCTTCCTCCTTTTTCAGACATCCCTTCCCCACTGTGTCTGTCCTTGGGAGTGTCGTCTGCTGAGGTCACTGGTCTCTTTTGGCCTGTGGACTCTTTACACTGCCTCAAAGGCTTTGTAAGTCCAAGAAGCAAGTTTCCTTTTCTTTAGCACAGAGCTCTAAATGTGGGACATGGGGACTCTCGGGCCCTTAACAGGAGACAGCATTATGGAGTTAGTAGAGTTCCAATACCTGAAACTTCATTCCTTAGCAGACTACTCAAGCTCAGGAAGTTATGATGCAAAACCAGTAAGAGGAGAACAACGGCCAGGACCCAGATGATGATGTTTACTGAAACAGAGGAATCTGCATTACATCTTTTGGCTTTGGTCAAGGTATAAAAACAATGGAATTTGGAGAGAGGCAGAACATACCTTTACGGAATGACATCCTTTTCTTTTTTTTGTCTTACACAAACATTAGAAACTAATCCTGTAACATAAAAGTCCCCAAAGTCAATAAGTACATAAGAATGGTCATCAAAATACTTAAACTCTCTTATTCAGACACTGTTTTTTTTTTACTACAAGGCCCGGCCAGAGACTTATTTTTAAATTGATAACTTCCAAGCACCCAATCTGGAGCCTGAAAAAAACTTTTTTTTTTGTTTTTTGAGACACGGTTTCTCTATATTGTTTTGGAGGCTGTCCTGGAACTTGCTCGGTAGACCAGGCTTGGTCTCAAACTCAGAGATCTGCATGACTCTGCCTCCCGAGTGCTGGGATTAAAGGTGTGCGCCACCAACGCCCGGCAGAAAAAAACTTTTTAAAGATCTATTTAGCTGGGCGGCTCACGCCTTTAATCCCAGCACTTGGGAGGCAGAGGCAGGCGGATCTCTGTGAGTTCGAGGCCAGGCTGGACTGACAGCCTCCAAAACAATACAGAGAAACCCTGTCTCGTAAAACCAAAAAAAGGGATATTTATTTTACAAAACACTTTCAGCCACACCACAATGCTAAGAAAGTTAATCTAAACTGTGTGTGCATTGGACATTTAATTTCCCAAGGTCTTTATAAAAGCAGGGTTATCTGTTTTAAATCAGACCATGGGCCATATTACAAATTTGAGGCAATATAACTCAGCCTTATAAAGAACAATCTAAAACACATGAACATACTTCTTTTGAGAACAGTGTATACAAAATATTACACGAATGAACTTCCTCTGTAAAAAATATGCACACTATAGACTGGAAGGGTGGCTCACTGAGTGCAGGACAAGCCTGATGACCACAGTTCTACCCCAGAGACCATTGAGAGAACTGTTACACACACACACACTGAAAATTCTGAAAGTTAAAGAACACACATTGTGGGCTGGAAAGAGAGCTCAGCCTATTAAGTGCTTCCCGTGCAAGCCAGGACCCAAGTCAAACCTGCAGAACATACATAACAGCGGGGTTTGGTAGCAGACGGGTATCCCACCGCTGAGATGAAGGGGGGGTCCCTGGTGGATGGCCATCTTGAGGAACATCCCCTGAGGCTGACTTTTGGCCTCCACATTTGTGTTCTTACACACACACAGGAATGTGCACACACAGAAAAGAATTCACATTACACCTGGTTACTTGTCTGTCACATCAAGGTGGAGCCTCACCCACTGAAGCTGGCAGACGGGAGCTACTTAATAAAGCCTTAACACCTGCCTGCTTTGATCCAGTACCAAGCCTGGATCAAAGTGTCACTCCAGCAAATCCCAGCTAGTTGCTGGCACTAAAGGCAATGTTTTAGCTCTTCAACCTCCAGGGACGTCAGCTACAGGTAGCACTACACATGGATGTGAGTCACATGCATCTGAGCTCCAGTTAGCAGAACGTCGGGAACGCACCTCAGTCAAGTGCTGACTGTACCAAGTAGACACACATGATGGAAAGCACTTATGAAGGGCCCAGTTACCACATGAAAGACACCAGCTGTCAGGGTAAATCTGACCAGTGCTGTTTCCTGGTAAGGAAGGTTCCTTGGTCTGTCTAGGAGGAGCTCTCAAAACTTACATAATAGTAGCAACATTTTTGTCAGAGCACAATTGTGTACAATTTTCTTCACTATGAAAACTCATGATTATTTGCTCAAAAATTATAAAACTTTTATATACCAAACCATTTGTATAAAGAAAAAACTCCTCATAAATACACACACACACACACACACACAGGAAGCCCAAGACAGACATTACCTATTAATATGAAAGAAATCTTAAGGAAAAAAATTCTTTTGTTTATTGTTTTCAGACAGGGTCTCAACTATACAAGCTCAGGCTTTTGACCCTGCTGCCCAGTGCTGAGACTATAGGACTGCACCGTGTGTGTGTGTGTGTGTGTGTGTGTGTGTGTGTGTGTGTGTGTGTAGGGAGCAGGCAGACTGACATCAGGTGATCAGGTTCCACCTTACAAGTTCTCTCAACTGAATTCCAACTTGCCAGTCTATTCTGTCAGCTTGATCTCAGGATTTCATCTCTTCACCCATCATCTCCCTAGCCAACCTCCACCTTTAAAACAAACAAATATGCTAGTTACCTGTATTTATATGCAGTCTCAACTACTTTTTATTTTCCCTCCTATTACTATGGACATATTCACAAGAAGCTACCCCACGGGTGCTCTGTACCGTCCTACAACTGTTTTCATCAGCAACATGACCTTCCTCCCCCTTTTGCTGGATCACACCCAGAAGCATGCTAGCATGCTCTGGTGTCTTTTAGTTAGTTACAGAGGGGGGGCGGGGCGGGGCGGGGAGTAGAGGATGGACAGGGTAGCACTCTGCATCCTTCACGCTAAAAGACTGGAAAGATTAGAAACACTCTTCTCCCTGCCTTCCCTTCTCTGTTCTCAGACGTCTGTGCCTATTTTCAGTCGGCTCTCACTTTCCTGCCCTCTCCTCACACCAAGAACCTCACCCTCCCCTCCCAGGTAGGAAGCTATCACACCTAAGTACTTGCATCCCATGAATGTAAGCTCTATGGAAACAGGAAGCTAAATGCCGTATCCCGGGCACTGAGACCATCCCCACCAAAGAGCAACAGGCATGTGGGATCTGCTGACCCGTTTTGCTAATCCGGGGGCATCCGGTTCTCCAACCAAGGAGAGAAGGCAATCTTAACAACCAAGGGCAACCAATCCCAGCATAAGGAAAGGCACGCGTTCTCGCATCATTTTACAGTTCAACCACTTTATCACCCGTCCAGCGACTGCCGTCCTGTGAGGTGCACAGGGTCTGAATAACTATACTTGTATCAGAGTGAGTCTATTTATACATACTAACAAATCACAGGGAAGGAGCAAGGTGGGGAAGGCCTTTCCATGTACTGGCTCTATGGCCGCAAGTGTCAAAAGGGTCCGTGTTTTTCTGAAGGGTGGCAGAGCACAAAGACCCAGGCATTCTCTTCACCCCTTTGCTGACTAGGTCCCACTGGACGTTCATGGTCAGGAAACGTCCCCAAGACCCACACTGCACCTCCCTGCGTTCCATCTCCTGGATGCCTCCCGTCCACAACTAATCCAAGAGCCATGTATTTCTGGAGTGATGTGGCCATCTCCCTTGACACGTTCCCAAGATCTAAGTCATAGCTGTGCCCGGGTCTCTAGCTGGCAAAAAAAAAAGATTGCGGCTCGTTCCAGGACAGCCTTCCAAAGCCAATAGGCACAGAAACAACACACACACACACACATATCAATCAATTAAATAAATTGACCGGACATTGTTGGCACATGCCTTTAATGCCAGCACTCGGGAGTCAGATCTCTGTGAGTTCGAGGCCAGCCTGGTCTACAGAGCGAGTTCCAGGACAGCCTCCAAAACAATAGAGAAATCCTGCCTCGAAAAAAAACAAAAACAAAAATAAAAACTGGTGACTCCTGCATCTCACCGTGCGTGCACAGAGTCCAGAGAGGCAGACGGCCCCAGGGGGCGGGATCCCCGGGACGGGTACCCCATCCGGCTCACTAGGCACGGGAAGGGAAGCTCGCGCTTCTGAGATATACACCACCCTTAGAGAGGGTGAGAGCTCAGGGGGGGAGCGTGAGAGCCATGGGGCCCGGCAACCCGAGGAGTCGAGCTGAAGGTGGGGCGTGGGGCCGCCAGGGCCTCGCTCTCTCGGGGTCACCGACGGCCTCCTGACTCTCGCGGGGGAGAAGGGGAGGGAAGCGGGCGCTCCAGGGAAGCAGCCACGAAATGACACGCCAGGTCAGGGCCGGAAGCTCTGCGCGGCCGCCTTTACCTGCGCCGGGAGGAGGGGCCGCCGCCCGCGCCGCGCCCCGGCCCGCCCCGCCAGCTCAGCGCTCGCCCGCCCGCCCGCCCGCCCTGCAGGCCCCGGGCCCCCTGCCGGCGCCGCCCGCGTCCGCCGCTCCCCGCTGGCCCGCGAGCCCCGCGACACGCACGCCGGGCCGGGCCCTCGGGCCGCGTCCCGAGAGCCACGCGCAGCAGGCGCCCACGGGGCAGCCCGACCGCCCGGGTCCTCCCGAGGCGAGGCCGTCGCTATGGAGACGCGGCGCGCGCCGGCGGCCGTTAGGGGCAGGCGCGCGGCCCCGCGGGCGCCCTCCGCCGCGGTCGCCGCTCCCCGGCGGCCCGTTGGCACCGACCGGCGCACGATGCTCGGGGCGGGTGGCGGCCCCGGCCCTCGAGAGCAGCGCGCCGGACCCTCGGGACCCTAGGGGACGTACCTCCGCTGGCGATGGCGCGGGGCGGGGCCGGGGGGTTGTCCCTGCCCGACGGAGACATCCGCTTCCGGGGCCACGGCCGTGGGACTGAGGGGCTCGGCGGGGCGGCCGGGCAACGTTCGGTGTCGCAGTCCGAGAGCCCTGCTCCTGGAAAACCGGCTTTCCCTGCTTTGTTGTCGCGCTTCTCCGCCCATCATGCTGGAGCATCTGAGCTCGCTGCCCACCCAGATGGTGAGGACGCGCGTCCCGGGCCCCCGCACGCCCCTTGGCAGCCGCGCGGCCTCTGAACCCCCGCCGGAGCGCGTCCCCGAAGACTGCCCTCTATCCCCAGAGAGGATTCCCTGGCTCCGTTAGGATGCCCAGATTTTCCCCGGAAAATCAGGAAAATTTGCTTCCTTATTCGGGCCCTTCTGGGTGGGACACCTGGACACCCCTGCCCCGTGCCAACCCTGAGTTCCCCACAAGAATTGCGGTCCGGTGGTGGTGGACTAAATCTGCCCCTTTCGTCCCTAGGATTACAAGGGGCAGAAGCTGGCTGAACAGATGTTTCAGGGAATCATTCTTTTTTCTGCAGTGAGTATTGCTTTTTTACCTTTCGTCTCGTAATCCTGTCGCCCCCGGTTTGACTGTGTTTAATATACTCGGTTTCTTTTCAGATAGTTGGGTTTATCTACGGGTACGTGGCTGAACAGTTTGGGTGGACCGTCTACATAGTTATGGCCGGATTTGCTTTCTCGTGTTTGGTAAGAAGTTTGTGGCTGTTTGAGTATTAGCAGCTACACAAGTTTTCTGAGTTGGGAAACTTGGTTGGACCTGGTTGGGAGAGCCAGAATCAGCTCTTTCCTCATCTTTCCCATTTATGCTTCTGCTTTCTATTATTGGAAAAGTAGAATGTTAAGTAGTGTCAGGTGGTGTGAGCTGCTCAGAAGAGCAGGGGCTTTTTAATTTCCTTTTGCGGTTTACTCCAGGCAGCAAGAGAAAACATGGCAGGGGTATCCCGTGCTCACTCTGCCTCCATCTTTCTATAAGTTCTTAAAACTGAATGTGTAAACACGTAAAGTTTGCTCTAACTGTAAGTCTTGCCTGGTCAGTTTGTTAATCTTTAGCAGGGTGGTTATTTGGGGACCAGACATTGTGTGCAGTATGATTTTCGTAAACTTTGAGTGGAGATAAACGCTGCCTTCTCTCCATTCTGATCTAGCTGACACTTCCTCCATGGCCTATCTACCGCCGACATCCCTTGAAGTGGCTACCTGTTCAAGACTTAGGCACGGAAGACAAGAAATCAGGGGACAGAAAAATTAAGAGACATGCTAAAAATAATTGATGGGACCTTTCACGGTTCAGCACCTGCTTCTGTTTTCCTGTGTGATGAGCTGAATTGCTTTCGTAACCAAAAACATGAGCTTAAACCACTGCAGAGGTCTGTTGTCCTTGTTTCGTTTCTGATCCAGCTGTGTTTTAACCATTTAATGCCGTCCTTCATAAGCATGTGGTGCATAATAAATGCCTCGTAACTGGTAGTCCTCTCTTGGCTTCCTAATACAGGTTCTCACTATGTACATCAGAGTCCTCCTGCTTCAGCCTCCCAAACTGCTGAGATTACAGGCATATGCCACTACTCCTGGCTTGATAATCCAATATGTAATTATCAAAGATTCACAATCTGAGTCATTGAACTGTTTTAGTGGTGGGTTTTACTGGTGGTGGTGTTTTTGTTTAGTTTGGGTTTTTTGAGATAAGGTCTTTCTACATAGCCCTGGAACTCTCTATGTAGACCAGGCTGTCCTTGAACTTACAGAGTTCCACCTGCCTCCACTTCCCAAGTACTGGGGTTAAAGGTGTGCCCCACCCACACTTAGCCCAAATGGTTTCAATTAAAACTCATGGTGCAATTCTGTGTCTGACAGATCACTTTTGTTGTATATTGCAACTAAGAAGCCAAAATTAGGTGGGTTTTTTTTTTTTTGTTTTTGTTTTTTTTGTTTTTACGAGACAGGGTCTCTCTGTATTGTTTTGGAGGCTATCAGTCCAGCCTGGCCTCAAACTCACAGAGATCCGCCTGCCTCTGCCTCCTGAGTGCTGGGATTAAAGGCATGCGCCACCACCGCCCGGCCAAAATTAGGTGATTTATGTTTAGAAAATAAAAGCACCATCTTGTTCTGTTGCTGCAAGTTCCTACATTTTTTAAAATTCTCACTTTAAAAAAACTTTATTTGGTTTTTCAAGACAGGGTTTCTCTGTATAATAGCTCTCACTGTCCTAGAACTCGCTCTGTAGACATGACTAGCCTTGAACTCACAGAGATCCATCTGCCTCTGCTTCCCAAGTACTAGGATTGAAGACATGTGCCACCACCACCCGGCTAAAAAGTTTTTATTTCATGTGTATGTGCATGTTGAGGTAGAAGACAGTTTGCAGCGTTGGTTATCTTACACCATCCATCTGGCTCCTGGAGATGGAACTCAGGTTGTCGGATGCTTTTACAAGCTGATGTGTAGCAACAGCCCCCTTGTCTCTCTATTCCACTGTTTGTGTTTGTTGAGAACATTTATGTGTTTGTATGTATTGTGTGTGGGCCCACATGTAGACATCAGAGGACAGTTATAGGAGTCAGTTCTTTCCTTATGTGTAGGTTCCAGGGATTGAATTTAGGTTGTTAGGCTTGACAGCAAAAACTTTTGCCTGGAGAGCCATTTCACGAACCCTCTGCCACCCACCCCAGGTTCTTTTTAAGTAATTCTAATTGATTGGAGAGGAAAAGGTCTTAGGCTCAGAGATCCCAGGAGGCCATCAAACTCCAACCAAATACTTGTTAGGTGGCTGTCAGGATGGGGAGCCTAGTCTACTCAACATCTCTCTGGTGCCTCCATCCCATTTAGTCTAAGCCAGAACCATGGTGGCCAGCCTGACCACCAGTCCAGGGAGGAAGCAAGCCTGAGGTGAGGGGAAATAAGAAAAACAAGGGCCTGGGAGTAAAGGAGAAGAGAGACCTGGAGATGTGAAGGGGGCAGTCAGTTCTTAATAGCAAACACCTCTGAGAAAGGTACCATGTGAATCTGGTAAAATAGCACTTTGGCACCTGACACAGGAGCATTTAAGTAGAAATGTGTGTGTACTTGAGAGAGACCAAAGTCATAACTACAAAGCTGGGCATTCCTTTTAATATTTCCAAAGCACTGAAAAGAAAAGTTTGCCTGAGGCTGGAGTGGATGTGGAAGAATTATTAAAAGCAATGTTGAGTTTAACATCAGCAAAGACCCTAATTCAACAAAATCATTAAAGATTCTTTTAAAGAAGAGTTAAGACAGAAGATGAGGCATATTGTTAAGTATAGTAAGTGACTGAAAAGTTAGAAATTTCCAGGTGGTGTTAAAAATCAAGGAATCCTGGAGAGATGCTCAGTGGTCCAGAGGACCCTGGGTTCAATTCCCAGCACCCATGTGGCGGCTCACAACTGTCAGAACTCCAAAACGGGATCCAGTACCCTCACACAGACATATGTGCAGGCAAAACACCAGTACATAGGGAAAACAAATCAAGTTAGTTTATGAAATAAAAAGGGTGAAAACGGGAACAAAGATATACTAGGCAGAGGCAGAAAGGAGGGTAAATGGTGAAAAAGATGAGAATTGTCAGGGGTTGGAGACATGGCTTCACAGTAAGAGCACCCAGTTTCCATCCCTAGCACCCACGTGGGGCTCACAACCGCCTCTCATTCCTGGTGCAGTCTTGATACATATTAATTTTAAGTTTTTTCCTTTTAGCTATGTGTGCATACGAGTGCAGGTGCCTAAGGAGGCCAAAGCTGAGAATCCAATTTGGGTCCTCTGCAAGAGCAGTACAGTCCCTTAACTACTGAGACATGTCTCTCCAGATTCACATTCATTTGTGTGTGCTGTGTGGGCAGGTGCACCACGCATGAATGTGGAGGCTACAGGATGGCTCTCAACCATGCGGGTCCCGGGTCAAACTCAGGTCGTCAGACGTGTAGATAGAAACTGAATGAATGAACAACATGGAGGAAATTGTAAAAAACAATATGGAAATGTGAAAACATGGATTTTTTTTTTTTTGAGTCAGTCTCACAGTAGCTCTGGCTGGCCTGGAGCTCACTACATGACCAACCAGACTGGCCTAGAGCTCAGAGTTCCTGCATCTACTTTCCAAGCACTAAGATTAAAGGCGTGCACCACCATACCTGGCCTAGTGGTTTGTGTCTGGAGAATTTTTCTGAAGCCAGAATGATAACTGGTAATACATTCATGCCAGTAAGTTAGAAACTAAAGGAGAAATAGGACTGTCCAGAAAGACGCAGGTTCCAGAACGTGCAAGAAATGGAGCACTCCGGAAAGCGGGTTGTTTGCTGAAGACTTACACCCAGCTGACGGTGGGTCTACAATTTGTTCTCATAAATCGGTTCTTCAGAGTAAAATTAAGAGGCCTCAGAGGCTAGGCTATGATCAGAAGACTATAAGGACATGACATTTTATTTTATTCAGTACTTTTAACTCTTGGCACAATAAAAACAAGGAACTAAAGGAGATCATTTCATTAAAATATTGATGTATAATTCTCAAAGAAAATGATTTTTCCTCCTACAAACAAAACATTTGGAGATGGGTGTAGTGGTACATGTCTTTAATCCCAGCACTCAAACATGCAGATCTCTTGAGAGTTTGAGGCCAACCTGGTCTTCATAGTGAGTTCCAGGACAGCCAGAGCCACATAGTGAGACTCTGTCTGAGACAACCACCAAAAATATTTGGAATAACTTTCAGTCCTTCAAATATAAAGGTTATAGGACTGGAGAGATGGCTCAGCAGTCGGGGCGATTCCCAGTGCCCACGGCAGGTGGCTCACAGCCACCTTAAGGCCATGGTGTGGGATGCCCTGCATGCTGTGAATATGTGTTGCTTTTATTGTTGGATGATTAAAGCTGCTTTGGCCAATGGACAGGCAAAATATAGGTAGGCAGGAATTCCAAACAAAAATACAGAGAGGAGGAAGGTAGAATCATACAGAGACTATGTAGCTGCCGGGGAAGGAAGATGCCAGGGCATCACCGGTAAGCCACAGCCACACGGTGATATAGATGAGTAGTAATGGGTTAATTATGAGAGGGGGGGGGGAGAGAGAGAGAGAGAGAGAGAGGAGAGAGAGAGAGAGCTCGCCAAAAATAAGCCTAAGCCATTAGTCAGACAATTAAAAATATATATTAAGTCTCTGAGTGGTTAACTTATAGTGGCTGCAGGTCAAGTGGGACCAGGATACATGGAAAAAGTCTCCTCTACAAAGCCAAGTCCAGGAATCCAACACCCTCTTCTGGCCTCCTCAGACACCTACACACACACACACACACACACACACACACACATACACACACACACACACACACACACACACACATCTTAAAACATGAAAATTTACTAAAGACTTGTATTTTATTTATAAAAATACCTCTAGAGGGATATTACTTACTATAACTAACACGGCATGTGATATACAATGACTTTTTCTCTTTGAGATAAGGGTCTCTAGTATGAGCTGGCCTTGAATTTGCTTTGTCATCCGAGCTAGCACTGAACTCAGGACCCAGCTGTCTATGGTTCTCAGACGCGAGGGTTCAAGTGTGCCTCACTGCATCCAGCCCTACAGTTACACATTTAAAATATACATAAAATGCACATGAAAACCAACATTGCAGCATCCAGGACTAAGGACAGGGACTTTCCCTAGACACTGCTTAGTTGAAAGAGGAATTCGCGTTTAAGAGATAGTTTTGCTGGTGCAAAGAAGAAATCAAGCATGTTAAATCATGAGTCACAAAGCTACAGTTTAGACTGAACAAAAGTTCTAAGACTGAACTCACTAAGGTCAGATTAAATGAAAATCTTAAACATCCATTTAAGTGTAAAAAGAAAAGGTTGTTCAAATGCAACACAGAACTTCCCGTTGTTTACATCCATTCCCAGAATAGTGAGTTGGCGTTGGAGAGTAAGCATCACTGCTCTCCGAGAAACAGATGTCCTCGTTTCTCCTGCTGCTTTTGTCAATGTAGGAAAAGAAACTGGATATAAAGTTGGTTTAAGGCTCAGTAAACAGTAACAAATATAACATTTTGCTCATAAAAATAAAATGATATTCAAAGGTTTTCTTTTGTGAACTTGTTTCACAGTAGGCAACTCTGTCCAATGTTTTACAGTAGGAAGACCCCCAAAGAGATAGTGAAGGACAGGAGTGGCCTCTGAATAACCAAAACAGCTTTTTTGTTGTGTTTTAGTCGAGAAACCTCTGAAAATAGTCTCTAGTTCTGGCAGCAAGTTAGAACAAATCTCAAAAATTCACATTTTCTTCAAAAAACTTCAGCTGGCGAGCTTTCACACTGTAAGCTGCATACTTGTCCCCCATGTGCTCCCGTAACTGTGCCTATTTGAGAAACAGACAAGAAAATCAGCACATAACAAAAGCAATTCCTGTAATCTTTAAAACAAAGGCCTTCCTAAATATCACACTGTAATAAACAGGTCCATTTCAGCAGGAGGTGCCTTGGGGGTCACTATTTCAGATGAGCAGAAGGCCCTGAGCCCCAGGCCGGCAGCTGACACCTGCTTGTCTGAGCTGGAAGAGGCAGGGAGCTGTGGGCAGCTGGCCATGAAGCAGTCCACCATCAGAGAAGGGGGTCTCAGGCCCCAGGCTATCATTAGGTAAGCTAAACCAACAAGGTGGCAGACTCCTAGGATTGGAGCTTTAGAAACCACTGTGTCAAATCAGCATGCCAGCCACACGTGCCTTTTCTCTATGCTGCATCCTTTTCTGCTGAGTCATACATTAAAAACTGCTTCAGTTTCACTGCTCTAACAATACCAGGGAGAACACCTATGGGGAAATATTACCAGTTTTGTTTACATAAAATTACTGTGTATGAGTTCAAACATGCCACAGTGCATGTGTGGAGGCCAGAGGGAAGGGCAGTTCTGTGGACTTGGCCCACTGCTGACTTCTACGTAGAATTTCAAAACTGCAAACCCAGTCCTGAGTCACACTGACTCAAGCTCAAGGGCTGCCTGAGTGAGTCTGAAGCCAAGCTAAGTAACTTAGTGAGACCCAATTTCAAAACAGAAAAGGGTGAGGCTTACAAGGCCTGACTGACACCCCGAAAGTCATGTATCAGTATAGATGTGTGGAAATGGATGCTTAAACTTAGAACACACCTAGTATGCTGGATGGGTATGGTGCATAATGTGATGCAATTCACTGAAGACACAGTGCCACTTTGATGGTATTCTGGAAAAGCACGCAATCCAAAGGCAGAAGCAAGAGAATTAAGCATTCAAAGCCAGCCTACATAGTGAATTTGAGACCAGACAAGGCTACATGAGACTCTGCCATTAAAGAAAGAAAAAAAGAGAGAAAGAAGAAAGAAAGAAAGAAAGAAAGAAAGAAAGAAAGAAAGAAAGAAAGAAAGAAAGAAAGAAAGGAAGGGTAACCTAGATAAGAATGCTAGCACTTGTCTGACACACCAGCATCAGGAGGCAGGGGCAGGAGGACTCCGATCTAAGGCCAGTTTATATTACAAAGAGAGGACCTCATTAAAAAACACAATGTGAAACTACTCATGAGAAAACAGAGAAGCACGTGGCTGGAATGTGACTTAGTTTTTCCCTAGTATACAGGGGGCACTGGGCTTGGTCTCCAGCATAGCATAAACCGGGTTTGGCAGCATATGCCTATAATTCCAGCACTTGGGGGTGGAAGTAGGAGCATCAGAAGTTCAAAGTCAGCTTCAGCTACACAGCAAATCTGAGATCAGCCTAGGCTACACGAGACCCTGTCTAAAGCAGAAAAGAAAGGAAACAGAGGAAAATAGAAAAATGCAAAATCAAGTACTATTTTATCCTTATTTTTTGAGACAGGGTTTCTCTGTGTGGACCTGGCTGATCTGGAACTCACTCTGTAGACCAGGCTGGCCTCTGCCACCCGAGTGCTGAGATTAAAGGCGTGTGCTGTCACCACCTGGCCCCAAGTGCTATTTCATTGAACACAAGGTTAGATTCTTCAAAAGTATCAATATGAGGGGCTGGAGAGTAGGCATGGAATGTATTGTGGATATCCATTCAAGGGCTAGTGAGATGGTTCAGTGGGCAAAGACACTTGCCACTGAGGCCTGAGGCCTCTGCATTACATTGGATCCCAGAAACTACGGTGGAAGGACAGAGCCAACTCTGCAATTGTCCTTTACTCTCCACAAGTACGCCATGGCATGTGCATCTGTGTGTGTGCATGCATGCATATGCACTCTCACACGCACACACATGTTAGTGCTGGGGCGATGACTCAGCAGTTAAGAGCACTCGTTCCTGCAGAGGACCTGTGTTCACTTGTCAGCACCCAGTGGTGGCATGCACATGGTGCCAGACAAACACGCAAACAGGACGCTCATACACATGAAGTCTTAAAAATTTTTTTTTTGTTTTTCAGGACAGGGTTTCTCTGTGTAGCCTTGGCTGTCCTGGAACTTGGTCTATACACCAGGCTGGTCTTGAACTCACAGAGGTCTGCCTGCCTCTGCTTCCTGAATGCTGGGATTAAAATTTTTTGCCATCAGTGCTTGGCTCTACAATTTCTTAAAAAAAAGATAACCAAAAATATTTAAAAGATTTAATATTTTATTTATTTATTGTGTATACAGTCTTCTGCCTGCATGCCAGCAGAGGGCACCAGATCTCATTCAAGGTGGTTGTTAGCCACCATGTGGTTGCCGGGAATTGAACTCTGGAAGAATAGTCAGTGCTCTTAACCTATGAGCCATCTCTCCAGGCCCTTAAAAGATTTTTTGAAAACGAAAAATATTTATCCAGCAACATTTACTAAGAGCTGTAAAGATGGTGCAGTAGTTAAGAGCTGCTTTTCCAGAGAGCCTGTGTTCAACTCCCAGCCAGCACACAGCCATTTGTAATTCCAGTTCCAGGGGATCCAATGCTGTCTTCCAGCCTCTAAGGCCATCAGGACGACATACATGCAGGTAAAACATCCATACATGTAAAACAAAATAAAAAGTCAAAGCTAAATAAAAATACCTTTAAAAAGAACAGCTAATAAAATTTGGAAAGAAAACTGTGTATTAGTACGGGAATCCCAGTAAACTGCCATCAAACCTCACACAGGCCTCCTTGCTCCCAAGCGAAAGGATGTCTCTCTGGGAGAAGGGGGCATCAACACGTCTATCATCTACTGCAAACTGAACTAACATTCAGGAGAGCTCAGCCAAGAAGCAAGGGCTCTTCTTCTGCCCAGCATAGCCTATAGGATGGAGAGTAGCTGTGGGTGCAGCTACACTAAGAACAATGGGGCTTCAGTCACCTTTGTCCCAGACCACACAGCACAGCATCCCAAGAAAGCCAGACTACTACCCCAGTCCTCTTCTCCTTCCCCAGTCAAATGCCCCGACCACCACCCCTGCCACTACACCCTGTCTCTTTTCCAGACAGATCTTGATATTGCCCCGCTGGTCTGAAACATTTGGAATCAAGTGATCTCCTGCCACAGCCTTCTGTGTACCTGGGACTACAAGCAAATGCTACTAAAACTTAACAAAATTTTAAACAGATTAAGCAAGAGGGAAGATTCTGAATATGAAAATTAGAAATTAAAGTGGAGATATTACTTTCAATTCTACACAAATAAAAATATTGAAACAACTATAAATGATTGTACGTCATATAACCTACTTGAAACTTGAGAAATTCCTAGAAATAAACAACTTACCAAGACTGACTCACAAAGAAACAGAAAATCTATATAGGTATAGGCTCACAGTGTAAGGACTGAGTCAAACATTGCTATACATTAGGAGAACCATTTGCAAATCTTATATCTGATGAGGGACTTGTATCCAAAATAAATATAAAACTTGACAATTTAAAGGTTAGTAGCCCAGCCGGGTGGTGGTGGCGCACGCCTTTAATCCCAGCACTCGGGAGGCAGAGGCAGGCGGATCTCTGTGAGTTCAAGGCCAGGCTGGACCGACAGCCTCCAAAACAATACAGAGAAACCCTGTCTCGTAAAAACCAAAAAAAAAAAAAAAAAAAAAAAAAAAAAACAAGGTTAATAGCCCAAATTTAAATAAACATTTCTCCAAGGAAAATATGCAAATTGTTAAGAGTATATGAAAGTATACACAACATCATTCATCATCAGGGAAATATAAACCAAACTTACAATGAATACCATTTTATACCCACTAGAATGGCTATAAGGGGATCAAGAGGTTACAAATTGGAAAGGAAGAAGTCAAACTTTTGCTATTTGCTGATGATATAATTTACATAAGTGAATTATATTCTATCAGGGAACTCCTACAAACTGATAAACACCTTCAGTAATATAGCAGGATACAAGATTAACTTAAAAAATCAGTAGCTCTCCTATATACAAAAGATAAACGGGATGAAAAAGAAATCAGAGAGATATCACCCTTTACAGTAGTCACAAACAACATAAAATATGTTGGGTTAACTCTAACCAAACAAGTTAAAGATCTATATGACAAGAACTATAAGTCTTTGAAGAAAGAAATTGAAGACATCAGAAAATGGAAAGATCTCCCATGCTCTTGGATAGGTAGGATTAACGTAGTTAAAAAAAAATAGCAACCAAAAGCAATCTACAGATTCAATGCAATCCCCATCAAAACCCCAGCACAATTCTTCACAAACCTCAAAAGGACGAATTTCATATGGAAAAACAAAAAAAACCCAGGGTAGCCAAAACAATCCTGTATAAGAAAGGAACTTGTGGAGGCATCGCAATACCTGACTTCAAACTCTACTATAGAGCTATAGTAATGAAAACAGTTTGGTATTGGCATAAAAACAGACAGGTGGACCAGTGAAATCAAATCAAAGACCCTGATATCAAGTCACCTATGAACACCTAATTTTTGACAAAAAAGCCAAAATTAAAAAATGACAAAAAGAAAGTATCTTCAACAAATGGTGCTGGCATTAACTGGGTGTCAACAAGTAGAAGAATGCAAATAGGTCCATATCTATCGTCATGCACAAAACTCAAGTCCAAATGGATCAAAGACCTCAACATAAAACCAACCACACTGAACCTCACAGAAGAGAAAGTAGGAAGTACCCTTGAACGAACTGGTACAGGAGACTGCTCCCTGAACATAACACCAGTAGCACAGACACTGAGATCGACAATTAATAAAGCGTCTCCTGAAACTGAGACGCTTCTGTAAAGCCAAGGACACAGTCAGCAAGACAAAATGGCAGCCTACAGAATGGGAAAAGATCTTCACCAACCCCACATCTGACAGAGGTCTAGAACTCAAGAAACTAGACATCAAAAGACCAAATAACCCAATTAAAAAAGGGGGTACAGATTTAAATGGAGAACTTGCAACAGATGAATCTCAAATGACCAAAAGACACTTAAGGAAATGCTCAACATCCTTAGTCATCAGGGAAATGCAAATCAAAACAACTCTAATATATCATCTTACTCCTGTCAGAATAGCCAAGATCAAAAACACTGATGAAGCTTATGCTGGAGAGGATGCAGAATAAGGGCAACACTTCCCTATTGCTGGTGGGAATGCAAACTTGCACAGTCGTTTTGGAAATCAGTATGGCAGTTTCTCAGAAAATGGGGAATCAAATCTATCACAAGGCCCAGCAATACCACTTTTGGGAATATATCCAAAGGATACACACTCATACCACAAGGTCATTTGCTCAGCTATGTTCATAGAAACATTATTTATAATAGCCAGAACCTAGATGCCTAGATGCCAGTCAACTGAAGAATGGATAAAGAAAATGTGGTACATGTACACAATGGAGTACTACTCAGTGGTAAAAAACAAAGACATCTTGAAAATGGACAGAATTAGAGAGCACGATTCTGAGTGAGGTAACTCAGACCCAGGAAGACAAACATGGTATGTACTCACTCATAGGTGGATTTTAGACATAGAACAAAGGATAACCAGCCTACAGTCCACAAACCCAGAGAACCTAGGTAACAAAGAGGAGCTTAAGAGAGACACACATGGAAACTTGGGGCAGGAGGGAGGGTGGGATGGAAGGGAGTGGGGGCAAATGTACAGCTCAATTAAAAAGAAAGTCTGTAACACAGCTTAAGATACTTAGATACTTACCTCTCTCTCTGACTCATCTTCCTCCGCCTCCAAAAGATCATACACCTGCTCTAGAAGCTGAACCCCCAGGCCCTGGATTACATCAGCTCTCAGAACTTCAACTATCCTCCTGATCTTCTCAGAACCTGGTATGACAGCTAAAAGTGCAGCAACAAAAACAGGGAATGAATACCACACTACAGCAAAAACTATACAATCTTTAAAATTCCTGTTGCAATTATTTACACTTCAGTAAGAATCTGGCTTAATGACTTCATTTACACACCTTCTTCTGAGCTGGCCATGATGGCACACACCTTTAATCTCAGCATTCGGGAGGCAAAGGCAGGCAGATCTCCGTGAGTTCAAGGCCAGCCTGGTCTACAGAGCGAGTTCCAGGACTGCCTCTAAAACAATACAGAGAAACCCTGTCTGAAAAAAAACAAAAAAAAAAAAAAATGTAACGTATAATACAAATTATAGTCACCTAAAATAGTTCAAAATTTATGTTAGGTTTTCTAGATATACAGAGATATATTTCAAAACCTTTCAAAGACCTATAGAATATGGCATTTAAAACAGTTTATTAGGGTTTGTCTTTACAATGAGACACAACTGCTTCTGGCAGCACCAATTACATTGGAGAGGGAGATGGGCATCGAAGAAACTTGTTATGGAGTTTGCCTTCAACATGGCAGGGATAGCCATTTGGACAAGAAACTGCTCTTGCCTGAACTCCTTGACAGCATGCTGCCCAAACTGGACAAGCAGGATGCAAAGAAAAATGACTGCTGAACTTGCCAAGGGACAGGAGGGTCCTTCAAGGTTCCTGCTTCATCAGAAAGTCTGACAGACACTATGGCCTATGGGTTGATGATGCCCCAAGGTTACAGGGAAACTCTGGGTGACTGTCCAGGCAGTGAGAGGTCTCTGTCAATTCTAGAGTTTATGTTATATCCTTCTGGGGTCTCTGATGAAGTTGAAGACAGACAGTTATGGTTATGGTCTTCCTTAGTTATGATAAAAGATAAGTTACATATAAAACTAAGGGGGGGGCAGTGGGGAGTATGGGAGGATGGGAGAGAGCGGGAACTGGGATTGATACGTAAAATAAGATTGTTTCTAAATGAAATAAAATGTATTAGAAAAAAGAAAAAAAAAGAATCAACATTCAGAGGGGGATGGATGACTTAGGGAAAATACTAAGGGGCCAGCAAGGTTTTACACAAGCAAAACCTGAGTTGAAGAAAAGAACTGATTCCCACAAGTTATCCTCTACCCTACAGACACACACACAAACACATAAACAAACATACACATGCCAAATAAATGAATGAATGGAAGTTTATGTAATAAATAAATTTTACATAATAAATAAATGGTTCATACTAAGATAAATTAAAAAAAAATTTAGACTCGCCGGGCGGTGGTGGCACACGCCTTTAATCCCAACACTCGGGAGGCAGAGGCAGGCGGATCTCTGTGAGTTCGAGGCCAGGCTGGACCGACAGCCTCCAAAACAATACAGAGAAACCCTGTCTCATAAATACCAAAAAAAAAAAAATTTAGACTCACAAAGATAGGACAGATGATAGACTATTTCCTTTAAATTTTGCCAAATGTAAAGATACTAAATGTTTTTAACTATAATTCATACTTGGTAACTGTTTTGTTATATATAATTTTACTATGTTGAAGTTAAACCTTTTTTATTTAGACAGATAAGGGGAGATGATGGGGGATGTCCTTCTGTATGCTGTGAATATAGGTTTCTCTTATTGGCTGATGAATAAAGCTGTTCTGGCCAACTGACAGGCAGGATTTAGCCAGACAGGAAATCCAAACAGGGATGGAGAAAGGTTGTAGGCAGGGTCAGAGAGATGCCATGTAGCTGCAGAGAAAGCAAGAGGTCTGGGCATCACCGGTAAGCCAAGACCAAGTGGAGATACACAGATTATAGAAATGGGTTAATAATTAAGAGACAGCTAGCCAATGAGAAGCCTGAGCCATCAGCCAAACAGTTGATAATTAATATAAGCCTCTGTGCATTTACTTGGGACTAAATGGCTGCAGGACCAGGTAGGAAAGAAACTTCCGCCTACATTTATTTTATGTGTGTGGGTGTTTGCCTGTGTGTATGTGTCTCTGCACCACATCTGCAGTGCCTACAGAGACCAGAAGAGGACCTTGGAACTGGAGTTACAGACAGTTGTGAGCTGCCATATAGGTGCTGGTAATTGAACCCAGGTCCTCTGGAGCAGCAGCCAGATTAACCTGCTGAGCTGTCACTTCAGCCCCTATACTTTGGCTTTTAAAAATTTCATTTTTGGTGTGCTAGGGATGAATGGAACCCAGGGCTTTGCACATGTTAGGTAAGTGCCTATCATTAAATTTCACCTCTAGTATTTTAATAAACTAGTCGTTAACCTTCATGCTATCATCTCCAAAATCTAAACTAACTTGAAAATCAACAATTAACAATTGTCTAACTTGAAGAAAATTCACACTAAAAAGGTCAAATATTTTATGCAATGTTATAAGGCTTATTTATTTATTTACATTTATTTTAAAATCAGTTCAAGGGCTGGAGAGGCAGCTTCAGTGGTGAGGAGCGCCTGTTGCTCTCTTAGAGGACTTTTCCTGGGAATCCAGTCCCTCTAATCTTCCACGGACACTGCACTCACACACACATCCACAAACTCCAGCACCTGAGAGGCTGAGCCACAAGATCAGGGGTTCAAAGTTCTCCTCAGCTACAAAGCAAGCTTGAGGTCAACCTGAGCTACATAAGACACAGCCTCATGAAACCAAAATACAAAGACATATACATTTTCATGAAACTCTGGAATGTATCTACTGACTATATAAAATACACATCTTTTGGCTTGGCTTGGTTTGGTTTGTTTTTTGCCTTTTCAAGACAGGATTTCTTTGAGTAACAGCCCTGGCTATCCTGGAACTCACTCTGTAGACAAGGCTGGCCTCAAACTCACCAAGATCCGTCTGTTTCTGTCTTCCGAGTGCTGGGATTCAAGGCACGTGCCACCAACACCCAGCCTAAGATACACCTTTTATGTAGCTATCCAAACAAAAAGTGAAAAACGAAAACAACTTGCTCCCCGCTACCTGCACTTGCCATGCTCTGGGGAAGAGGGAACCAGTCACCTGGAGGCAGCGCTTGGCCGTGGAGCTCCACCTCTTCTGCAGCCTTGCCATGAAGCACCAGCGTGTCGCGATACTTCCGATGCAGTCTGAATTCTGACACTGGATTTAGTACTCGGAGGTCTTCACAGCTCTCTCTAGAGTCCAGCTTAAGAGTCTGAGTCATCAGCTGTACCAAGTCACTCATTTCATTTGTCTGACTCTTCCTGAGGGGGAAGAATTCCTCAGCATTTACCCGACTTCATGGCAAAAGTTAGATGTGAAATGACCCTTATGGAGCGCTGCTTACAAACGCCCATGTGCTTGCTGCCTACAGACTGACCCTTCCACAGTAGCTACAGTCTTTTTTTTTTTTTTTTTTGTTTTTTGTTTTTGTTTTTCGAGACAGGGTTTCTCTGTAGCTTTGGAGGCTGTCCTGGAACTCACTTTGTAGACCAGGTTGGCCTCGAACTCACAGAGATCCGCCTGCCTCTGCTTCCCGAGTGCTGGGATTAAAGGTAGCTACAGTCTTGTAAATACAAAAATCAACTGCAAGAAGGCAGGCAAGAATGAACAAAATGAAAGGAGCCTGGTGTCAGACCACAGGTGTCTCACAATACAGAAGAGCTTCAGGCTTTCTGACCTGCAGCAGCCAGGGTCAGGGCTCACAGCCACCACCAGTAGATGGTGAAAGGAATCGGAGAAAGGAGTGGACCAGAGAGAATTTTGCATACAAATTCTACATAGCCATTTCCAAGTGACTTAATTCTACACGATATAAAAGTCAGGAATGGTCACAGAAACACAGAAATGCCAGCCTCAGTGAGCTAAAATGCACAGGGCCCACTCTTCTCAAAACTCAAAAGAAACAGGAAAGATCACCCTTGTGAAGGGGAAAGATGAAACTTACAGAAACAGACCCAGAAGTGACACAAGTGATAGAATGAGTAGGTGAGGACACTAAAGTAGTTATTGTAAATATATTTCATATGGCTACATAGAGAAAAACATGGACTTGCCAAGGGAACAATATGGAACGCATACAACAGGCCTATATTAAACTTTCAGAGAAGAAAACACAATGTGTTAAGTGGGGCTAATGACTACGCACAGAACAGGTAAGCGAGCTCAGATCTTTCCTAGCACAGAATCTATGAAAAACAGAACAAAGAAAAACTGCAGGAGAATAATCAGAGCATGACAGATATTATGTGCATCCATAAGCAGTCTAATACACATTTATTTAGACTCCCAGAGTCTCAAAAAAAACAAAGGATCTTAGAGAAGGCAAGGCTGTGTGTGTGTGTGTGTGTGTGCGCGCATGTGTCACAAAAGCTGTAAGGAAGCTGGGCATTGGTGGCGCACACCTTTAATCCCAGCACTCGGGAGGCAGAGGCAGGCGGATCTCTGTGAGTTCGAGGCCAGCCTGGTCTACAGAGCAAGTTCCAGGACAGCCTCCAAAACAATACAGAGAAACCCTGTCTCAAAAAACAAAAACAAACACAAAACAAAAAAAAATGCTGTAAGAAAAATAACAGCTAACACTGATAACAGCGACAAAATTGGAGGTCCAAGAATATATTCTATAAGAATTCTGAAACAAAATTGCATTTTTTCATAGAAAATATATACATCTTACTTTTTGTTTGTTTGTTTTTTGCTTTGTTTTGTTTTTCGAGACAGTTTCTCTGTAGCTTTGGAACCTCTGTAGACCAAGCTGGCCTCAAACTCACAGAGATCCGTGCCTCTGCCTCCCGAGAGCTAGATCAAAGGCGTGCGCCACCACGCCCAGCCACTTTAAAATTAAAATGACTTTACAAGTGTAGGTGTTCTGCTTGCATGTGTGCCCACCACGTGCATGCAGTGCTCATGGCGGCAAGAGACAGCGCGGCTCCCCAGGAACTGGAGTTGCAGTTGGTTGTGAGGGACCATGTGGTGCTGGGAACTGAATCCAGGTCCACTGGAAGAAAAGCCAGCCTTCGTAACCACTGAGCCAACACTCCAGCCCCTCCCAGAAGATACTTTTAAGCTCTAGCATGTACCACTAACCATTTGTAATGTTATGACTACCACAGGTAGGAATAGTTTTTTGACGCAGTTCAAACAGAACTGAGACAGAAAACCAAGAACTTACCCCTCCCTGGAATCTCCATCTGACTTCTCAGTTGAGCTTGTAGAAGAACTTAACTCATCATCCTCAGACAGACCATGTGACTGTCTCTTTTCCTATAGTGTTGAGAAAGAACAATAAAACCAGAACATAATACTCCAAATGTTTTAAGTGCAATAACTAGACACAATGTATCTTGCACACAATTAAAAAGGAGAAACTAATAGAAAACTTGAAGTTGATTTATTCAAATGAGCACCAGGCTGTGGTGTTGTACACCTTTGATCCCAGCACTCAGGAGGCAGCCGTAGGTGGATCTCTTGAGTTCAAGCCAGCCTGATCTACAGAGTGAGTTCCAGGATAGCCAGGGCTACACAGAGAAACCCTGTCTCAGGGCTGGAGAGATGACTTCTGGCTGTTCTTCCAGACGTCCTGAGTTCAATTCCCAGCAACCACATGGTGGCTCACAACCATCTGTAAAGAGATCTAATGCTCTCTTCAGGCCTGCAGACAGAATATTATATATAATTTTAACTTTTTTTATTTTAAAAAAAGAGAAACCCAGCCGGGCGTTGGTGGCACACACCTTTAATCCCAGCACTCAGGAGGCAGAGACAGGTGGATCTCTGTGAGTTCGAGGCCAGCCTGGTCTACAAAGCGAGTTCCAGGACAGCCTCCAAGACAATACAGAGAAACCCTGTCTCGAAAAACCAAAAAAAAAAAAAAAAAAGAGAGAGAGAGAGAAACCCTGTCTCATAAAACAAAACAAATTTATTCAAATGATGTCACAGTTCACTCATGAAGTTCACAGTTTCAGACTGAGGACCTCCAGGGTGAAGGTTTTCAAGGCCAATGTCTCAGCTAAGAAGATATTTCCTTTGCAGAGCAGCCTAAGTGGCTGCTTTGGAGATTCAGCTCTCAGGCAGAGTGGCTGACCCCACAAGGAATACCAGCATTTTAAACGAGACACAATGACACATCAATCCAGGCAATTTCCACTTGCTCCTATGTGAGATTATTAAAGTTTATTTACAGGGTTACCTAATATAATTCACATAAACCTCGAAGTTTTAGAAAGTTCAGACATCAATTAGTGAAGTAACTAAATGATACCTGTAAGCAACACAGTTGTTTAGATATGTGGTGGCTGATATCTAATCCCAGCACTCAGGAAACTAAGGCAGAAGAAGTGCAGTAAGTCCTAGGCTGACCTAGGCTCTATACAGTAAATGTGAGAAGGCCCTCTCTCAAAAACCTTAAGCAACTTGACACAAACAGGAAACTACAGATTAATGATTAGTAAATGAGTTAAAAATCTGACCATATGCCAGGTAGTGGTGGTGCATGCTTTTAATCCTAGCAGAGGCAGGCGGATTTCTGTGAGTTTGAGACCAGCCTGGTCTACAGAGTGAGTTCCAGGACAGCCTCCAAAACAATACAGAGAAACCCTGTCTTGAAAAACAAAACAAAACAACAACAACAACAAAATCTAGCTATACAGACGGGATATTGAGTGTTACAGAAAAACAGACAGTGTTGCCCAATGGAAGCTCGTAGTCTGGCCTGCTGGGAAAGGCTTGTAATCTCAGGTACTTCAGAGGCTGAGGCAGGAGGATTGTAAGCTCAAATCTATCCTGGGCTACACAGTGAATATAAGGTCAGTCAGTGAGACTGTAAGACCATGTCTTGAAATAAAAATAGAAAAATGATCTAGAGGATATATACCTTAGCGATAGTACACTTGCCTACCATATGTGAGGCCATAGGGTCAATCACCAATATCAAAAACCAAAACAAACAAGGGATTCTGACTAAACTTCCAAGTGTTAACAAGAATGACTAGAAAATATATAGTCTTGGGACTGGAGAGGTTGCATAGCATGAAGAGCAGTAGATTGCATCCCCAGCACCCAGATGACAGCTCACCACCATCCGAGACACCAGCACTCAGATGACGGCTCACCACCATCCATGACTCCAGCACCCAGATGACGGCTCACCACCATCCTCGACTCCAGCACTCAGATGACGGCTCACCACCATCCGAGACTCCAGCACCCAGATGACGGCTCACCACCATCCTCGACTCCAGCACCCAGATGACGGCTCACCACCATCCGAGACTCCAGTTCTGGCCTCCACAGGCACCAAGTATGCATGTAGCAAAAAGACACACATATAGGCAAAACACTCATACATATTTTAAAAAATGTATACCTTAAATGAGTTAAGCATAATCTTTTAAATTACTATTTGATTTCCTTTGTTTGGTTGTTTTTGTTTTTTTTTTCTTGATGCTTTTAGTTTTGGTTTTGGTTTTTTGTTTTTCCAAGACAGGGTTTCTCTGTGTAACCTTGGGTATCCTGTAACTTAACTCTGTAAACCAGTCTGGCCTCAAACTCATAGAGATCCACCTGCCTCTGCCTCCGAGTTAAAGGCATGCACCATCACTGCCCAGTACCGAGTTCTTTTCTTAATTAAAAGTGAAAAAGAAGACTAGGCATGGTGGCACATGACTTTCTTTAATCCTAGAAATTGCGACACTAGTGGTTAGAATAAGAATGCCCCCCATAGACTCACAGATTTGAATGCTTGGTCACCAGGGAGTAGCACTACTAGGTGTGGCCTTGCTGAAGGAAGTGTGTCATTGGGTGTGGGCTTTGGGATTAAAATGCTCTAGCCAGGCCCAGTGTCTTATCTCTTCCTGCTGCCTGTGGATCCAGATGTGGACTCTCAGTTCCTCAGCGCCATCACTGCCTGCTTGCCACCATGCTCCCCACCATGACACCAATGGTAAAACTCTGAAACTGTAAGCCAGCCCCAATTAAAGCTTTCCTTTATAAGAGATGCCATAGCCATGGTGTCTCTTCATAGTAATAGAACACTAAGACAGATACTGAGACAAGAGAATCAAGAGTTCAAGGTCATCCTGGGCTACACAGCAAGATTCTACATTAAAATGAACGGAGTATGGTCGTGTATGCCTATATTCTCAACACCTAGAACATGGAGGCAAGCCGGGCGTTGGTGGCGCACGCCTTTAATCCCAGCACTCGGGAGGCAGAGGCAGGCGAATCTCTGTGAGTTCGAGACCAGCCTGGACTACCAAGCGAGTTCCAGGACAGCCTCCAAAGCCACAGAGAAACCCTGTCTCGAAAAACCAAAAAAAAAAAAAAAAAAAAAAAAAAAAAGAACATGGAAGCAAGAGGATCTGGAGGTCACCCTCAGCTACACAGTAAATTCCAGGTTGGCCTGGGCTACCGAGACTCTGTCTCCAAAAAGGTGTAGCATGGTCAGCAATGCCCCTAAAAAATGATGCTGACATCCGTGACGATTACTGTGTTAGGTTTCCCAGGAGACACATGCACATTTTCCCTCAGGAGTGTGTGGTCACCTGAGGGACGCTGCAGTCAGAAGAGAACCGTCGGGCAGGGGTAGGCTGGCCTTCTTCCCGAGGTTTCACTGGCTCCACTGCACTTGAAGTTCTCCGAACTGAAGGGCCTGAAAATATGAACACCCACAGCTGTTTGCGGTGTGCTGGACTCAACTAAGGAGGACTTTGTACTGCATACAGAAGACACCATAGGAAGAGTCAGCCAGAATGACCCAAACAGCATAGTCATCATCATTCTGGTGTCTGCCACTTTAGTGACAATTTAGTCCTGGGTTTAACAGATTTAACTCTATGGAACCACAGGGTAATACTACCTACCTTTTGGCATGACTATAAATAGGTAACAAGGTTCTACCTTTCACACATTTACCATAATGCTGGAGACACAGTCACCTTTAATAAAGGAAAACCGGGAACACAACTTTTAAATGATGGTACTCAGAAGGATCCACAGAGGGGCTGGAGAGATGGAGAGATGGCTTGGCAGTTAAGAGTACCTCATGCTCTTACTAGAGACTCGAGTTGTTGCCAGCACACACGTGGTACATAACACAGTTTCAGGTTAGTCAATGACTTCTAACCTCTACGGGCACTAGGCATGCAAATGGCTTGCATACATACATACTTGCAAGTAAAACACTCATGCACATAAAATAAAATTAAAAACAATTTTAAAAATAGAATTATCCATAGACACACACCTTTAAACACACACCTTTAAAGGCAATACTTAGGAGGCAGTGGTAGATGGATCTCTATGTGTTCAAGACTAGTCTAGTCTACATAACAGTTCCAAGCCACGCTAGGCTTCCACAGTAAGATCCTGTCTCAGAAAACAAAGAAACCAAAAACCCTACATTCCTCAGCTTAGTGTAGCCCCTTAACCAACACAGTCTGGATGGGAAACCAAGTTAAACATACACCTGATTTCCGACCTAAGATGTCAAAGTCCCAAACCCTCTGGCTCTTTCTCTCTCTCACTTAAATTTCTTTCTTTATTTGTTTAAGACTTTTAGATTTCAAAATCTTATTTTATGTGTATGAGTATTCTGCCTGCATGTGTGCCTGGTGTACATGGAAGTCAGAAGAGGGTGCCGATCCCCTGGAAATCGAGTTAAAGATGATTGCAAGCTACCATGTAGGTTCTAGGATCTGAACCTGAGTCTTCCGCAAGAGCAACAAGTACTCTTAACGGCTGAGCATCTCTCCACTCCCTGGCTCTCATTTCAATTCTCTGACACATAGTTGAGAGTCAGTACCCTACAACATTTTATAAGGCTTATTTAAGAAATTTCAAGAACGCTTCCAAATCTTTTCCCCAGATGGATTATTACTGCTTCCAAATTTGTACACCTAGCAACCAGAGCCAAGTCTTCTGACCAGCCATCTAGTAAAGATATCCACTTCACCTGAGGGGAGCATCTCTTCCTGTGACTGCTTTAGTCGCCGCCTCTCTCTGGCTGACAATGGCCGATCCTTTGAAAGAAAGTCATCGAGTCATTTCTGTTTCTGCTCACTTTTCCTGTAGCGATGTGTGACATATCACCCAACAGTGCTAAAGGCCTCCCACTGGTCTCTCAAGGAGCAGAAACCACTCTGCATGTGGAGTTTGGTCCACACAGGGGTAGCAGCTATGAAAGAATGAGCACAGTCTGGCTTCTAGAAGACACTCATTTGTGATGAGCAAGAAAATACTTTTGTACTTCTCATATTCAGAATCTACTTAGTCCCCTCGAATGACGGCAGGTGGCTCTCTTTGGAAGTGCAGACCATGTCCATTACAGTCAAAGCTTATGCTTTGAAAGCACAAATCTGTCACTTCTAAAATGGTGAGGTGGGCTAGCATGTTTTAAGATGAACCTCTACAATACCCACAGACTTTACAACCTGAAGCTTTAAAAGGAGTATTTTGAGACTCAGCACACACTCATACAAACCTTGGATGATGACACTGAGTTGATCCTTGAACTGTTTACAGACCCAGCCACAGGTCTACTTTGGTTTTCATCATTTTGTTGTGTTGATATGATATCCACTTTTCCATCATCAGGGTGAGAAGGCAAAAGCCGAGGGGGTGATTCTTGGAACTTAAGTAATGTAAAGGGGGGATATTATCAGTTGCATACACGGCCATCTCTAACACTTCCCATTGGCAAGTGCCCCATGCATGCACTCATCACTGATTTATCCTCAAATTGACTACATGCAGTTAAGGATGAGCATGAATTTCTCATCATATTTATACATCCTACATTTTGGGGTCACAGATTTGTGCCACCATGTGTGGTTTATTTGGTGCTAGGGAACTGAACCCAGGGCTACAGGCATGCCAGACAAGCAGTCTGTTCGCTGGTAAACATTACCTCTACCAATGCTTAAACCAAAGGAGTGAACCTGTCCTCAGACTGCCATTAGCTCCTGTCTCCTCCTGCCTTATATTCCTCTCTCTGCCCAGCCACACCCTTCCTGTCTCCACCTCCTTAGTGCTGGGATCACCTTTGTGTGGGCTTTGTTTCTCTTTTAGACTGGATCAATTTCATGTAGCCCTGGGTGGCCTTGAACTAGCAGAGATCCGATCCATCTGCCTCTGCTCCTGAGTGCTGGGATTAAAGGTGTGTGCCCCCACTGCCTGGCCTCTCTGGCTAACTAGTATGACTAGCTATGCCCTCTGATCTTTAGGCAAGCTTTATTTGTTAGATCATAAATAAAATATCACTACAGCTCTCTACCAATTGAGATATATCAACACTTTAAAAAACTAGGCCTATTTGTGCAGGCACAAACCTAGTCACCTAAAAAACCAAGGCAAGAAGATCAGTTTCAAGACCTGCCTGTGCTAAAGAGACCGACAAAAGGGAATGATTACCTAAGAAGCTTGGGGAAAAGATACATGAATGCATATATTCATATACATGTAGTCATATGCATCCATATATACCCATATGTGGATGTATATGTGCACATACATACACATATATATTTTAGACATAGCTTTTTTTAAAAGATTTATTTTATGTATATGGTGTTCTATCTGCATGGACACCTGCATGCCCGAAGAGGGTATCAGATCCCACTACAGATGGTTGTGAGCCACCATGTGGCTGCTGAGAATTGAACTTAGGACCTCTGGGAGGAACTGGGCCAATGTTCTTCTTAACTGAGCCATCTTTCCAGCTCCCAATGAAAGCTATTTTAATAAAGGCAGCATTGAGGGCTAGGAATTCAGCTCAGAGGCAGAGTGCTTATTTAGTATACACAAGACCCTGGGTTCATTTTCCAGCACCGCATAGAAAAAAATATGTGGTCAAGACAATTTGTAAAAAGAAAACACATGCTCAGCAACATAACACAAGGAACCAAACAGCCTTTTCCTTAACTTCCAAAGTGACCCACTCAGTTTTGCTATATTCCCAACTCACTGACATTTGAAAACTAGTATTAAGCATCTTGTCCTTGCCCGGCTTCTCCTTCCATCCTTTGCATTCCTTCTGAACCTTTTGGCAACTGTCAATCATTCTGAACAAAAGTCAAGCTTACCGGAGCCTGCCTCCCAAGCAGCACAAGGACTCACTGCAAAGAGATTGCTTACCTGACTCTTTGCCTGACCACGGTCAGTCTGTTCCCTCCTTTTCTGCCTTCGCTGTCGAGACACGGAAGGTTCAGACACACAGCTATGTGGCTGGAATCTTGGGATGCTGTCCTGTTTTTCTATCCTATATCCACTAGTAACTTGATCCTTAAAAGAAAAAAAAAAGAGGAAAGAAACATATACAAACATATACTGCACAGAGTAACAGAACAGTTAAACTTTAAATGGCAAACTCTCCATACCTACTTTTGAAATTGCAAAATGAAGGGCTAGAGAGATAGTTAAGCAGTTAAGAGCACTGGCTGTTCTTCCAGAGGACCTGGGTCTAATTCCCAGCACTCACAGGGCAGTTTACAACTGTCTGTAACTCCAGTTCTAGGGGGATCTAACACCTTCTGGCTTCCATGGGCACTGGGCACATACCTGGTGCACAGACATCCATGAAGGCAAAACAACTACATATTACATAAATTTTTTAAAAAATGTTAACTGACAGTGGTGGTGGTGCATACCTTTAATCCCAGCTCTTGGGAGGCAGAGGCAGGTGGATCTCTGTGAGTTTTAGGCCAGCTTGATCTACAGAGTTAGTTCCAGGACAACCAGGACTGGTACACAGAGAAACCCTGTCTCGGAAAAAAAAAAGAAGTTTGTGTGTTTTCACAATAAAAGGATCAGACACCAATGAAGACAAGTAGCCCAGGTGATCCAATCTCTAAGAATGCCACTGTTGCAATTGTTTCAAAATCCCTTATCCAGAACAAGTTCAAAGCTGTTACCTGAGAGGGTTCAACCTCACAGAATACTACAGCCAGGACTTCAGATAAGAGCTACACATTCCCATCACACAGAGACTAAACAAAATATAATACATGTAGTGCTCCCAGGACTTGACCATTTTCCCACTTTTCTCAGGGTCTCTAAAGATGCTGTCACCCCCAGACAACAGGAAGCAATCTAGAGAACATGAGGCCCACATTCCCAAGAGGTAGAATGCCTGATTTTTGGTCATTCAGTGAGTTATGAATGTTTGTCATCATTTAAGGGGCTGGTTGCAAGTTGCTACTGGTCATGATCAGAGAAAAAAATTAAGTAAGGGATATTGCATTCAAGGATCTTTTTCTGAAAAGAAAATGGGGGGATACAGGGATGATAGAATAAAAGGGTAGATGACTGAATCTACTTCTGAACTAAAAAGCAGAGGCGGGCAGGTCTCTGTGAGTTAAGGTCAGCCTGGTCTGCAGAGTGAGTTCTAGGACAGGCTCCAAAGCTACACAAAGAAGCCCTGTCTCGATACCACTCCCCCTCCAAAAGCAAAAACAAAACAAACAAACAAAAAAACCAGTAAAGTTCTAGCCCTTGAAAGCTATTATCAAAAACTCAGAGATCTACAGAATATGGCATTCAAGATGTTTTAATAACATAAGGCTTTTCATGACAGCGAGATACGTCTAGTCCTGGCACCAATCTACTTCAGAGAAGACGATGGGCATCAAAGAACCCCAAATGGAGTTTGCTTTCTATGTGGCAAACTAACCATCGGGCAAGAAACTGCCCGTGTCTCGACTGCTTACAGCATGCTGTCAAAATGGACAAGCAGGACACAAAGGAAGGTGACTACAGAACTTTGCCAAGACGCGGTAGGACGGTCCTTCAAAATTCCTGCTTCACAGAAAAGTCTGTCAGATAGTCTAGGACTGTAGGCCAAAGATGGACGCCCCAGAATTGCTGAGGAAACTTGGATGACTGCCCAGGCAGCCAGATGTCTCAGTCATTTCTACAGTTTGGGAAGTTGTTTGCTCCATATTTCCTGCTTACTTAGGTTGAAGGCTAGGTAGTTATACCATTTTCTTTGTTACCAAATTCAGAAAAGAAACTTACAAAAGAGATGTAAAGTTTATAAGTTGAGACATAAAAGCTTCAGTTGTTTATCTAAGAAAATGTTTTAGGGTCTACAAAGATATTTTTAGAATGGTAATACAAGTTATGATAGAAAATGCTTTAGGTATGAAACTTTGGACTCATCAAGATAGAATAGATAATAGAGTAATTCTCTGAATTTGACAAATACAAATGGACTGGACACTGTGAATGTAATCCTTACTTGATAACTGTTCCTATTGTACATAGTTTTACTGTGTTAGACTTAAAACCTTTCCTTTTCATTTAGACAAAAGAGCGAAATGTTGCAGAATAATTGATCACACCATGAACCTCGAGTTTGCATTTGTGTTAATAAAATCAACCTTGGGTCAGGAGGCAAAGTTACCAACTAATTGACAGAAAGTAATCATAGAGTCAGAGGGAACCGTAGACAATAGAGAGATGTGCAGAAAACAGTAGGGAGGGACTTTGGCATGGGATTTTTTTGTTTGTTTTTGTTTTGGCAGACTGGAAAGATGCTCTCTTTTGAAGATACTGGCAAAGAGAGAAGGTCAGATAGTTTCTGCTCAATCTTTCTGAGCTAGCAGGTTTTCACCTCAGTCTTTGACTTCCGATTCTTATTGGTAAATAGGATGATAGAGAGTTAGTTAAAAGCTGTATTTGGCAGTAGCGACATAGTTGCTGCCTGTGGGAACAGAACTCACAGGATGTCTCAGCCTGAGCACCCATGCTGCTGCAAGACAAGCAGGCCAGTAAGTGTGGAGCCACAATTGCTGGCATAACCAGCGGCAGATTAAAGGACAGCATGTGTGCTGACAGAAAAATACACTGGACAAGGCTGTGGATGTAGAACAGCAGTAGAGGACTTGCTTAGCGTGTATGAAGCATGGTGTTTGGTCACAACATTAAAAAAAAAAAAGCCGGGCGGTGGTGGCCTTTAATCTTTAATCTCAGCACTCGGGAGGCAGAGGCAGGCAGATCTTTGTGAGTTCGAGGCTGGGTTGGACCAACAGCCTCCAAAACAATACAGAGAAACCCTGTCTTGTAAAAACCAAAAAAAAAAAAAAAAAAAAAAAAATCCTGGCAAAAACTCTGGAGAATGTAGGACCCTCATAAATCACTGATCTGACTTTAATCCCTTGAACCCACATAAAAGTCAGAATCTCATATGCTTGCCAGGCAGTGGTGGTGCACACCTTTAATCCCAGCACTCGGGAGGCAGAGAGGCAGGTGGATCTCTGTGAGTTCGAGGCCGGCCTGGTCTACAGAGCAAGTGCCAAGACAGGCTCCAAAGCTACAGAGAAATTCTGTCTCAGAAAGCAAAAACAGAGTCAGAATCAACTCTATAAAGTTGTCCTCTGGTATTTACACCCAGGCTGTGGTGTCTGTGATACACACACACACACACACACACACACACACACACACACCATATATATTTTTTTTCAGTGACATAAAATTAAACCCATGGCTCAACAATTCCATCCCTATTTACTCAACAGAACCAGCTCCACACAGTTGTTTTCTGCATGCCATGATATGTTCTACTCCCTTCCCCGCTACATGAACACACATTAATAAATAATTTTTTAGAAATGTAAGTATAGTTACATAAAATTAAACATCAGACCCAGTAATTGGATTCCTATTTACCTAACAAATAAAGATATATGTACATATCCATAAACACACACACACACACACACATACACACACACACACACACACACACACACACACACACACACAGAGTTGATGAGATGGCTCATTGGGTAAAGGTGCTTGCCACCAAACCTGACAACCTGAGTTCAGTCCCCCAGAACCTACAGGTGGAAGAGCTTCAACTCTCAAAGTTGTCCTCTCTCCACCATGCCATAGCACACACATGCTCCACACACACACATGCACGCACGCACGCACGCACACAAATGATTTTTAACACACAAGAGCTGGGGAGATGACTCAGAGGTGAAGAGCACTGTCTGCTCTTCCAGATGACCTGGGTTTGATACCCAGCACCCACATGGTCACTCACAATTGTCTGTAACTCCAATCCTACAGGGTCCAACACCCTTTTCTTGCCTCTTCAGGCACTGCACACACATGCAGGCAAAACACCATACACATAAAAATAAACAAAATATAAAGAAGTACAAACACAAATATCCATAGCAGGGCTAGAGGTTTAACTTAGTATTAGACAACTTGCCTACCTAACATGTGCAAAGCCCTGAGTTCAGTCCCCAATACCACACATGCACACACACACACACACACACACACACACACACACACACACACACACAAATCAAAGCATTAGCCGGGCATTGGTGCCGCACGCCTTTAATCCCAGCACTCGGGAGGCAGAGGCAGGCGAATCTCTGTGAGTTCGAGGCCAGCCTGGTCTACAAGAGCTAGTTCCCAGACAGCCTCCAAAGCCACAGAGAAACCCTGTCTTGAAAAACCAAAAAATAAAAATAAAAAATCAAAGCATTATATGCAGATACATACAGAGCAACATAATTAACAATAAAAAAAATACTGGCATGCATCGCCATGGATAAACTTTGAAAATATAAAACATTATGTAAAGTAAAAGAAACCAGGCACAAAGTCATGATTCTATTTACATGAGATCCTCAGAGTTAGCGAATCCACTGGCAAATGTTGCCATGGTTGCAAATAAGGAAGAAAGGAGAGTGGCTGGTCCTGTGCATGGCTTGGTTGGTTCATTTTTGCTGTTGGGTTTGTTTGTCTGGTTTTGTTTTTCAGGACAGGGTTTCTCTGTATAGTTCTAGCTGTCCTGGAACTCGCTCTGTTGACCAGGCTGGCCTTGAACTCATAGAGATCCGCCTACCTCTGCCTCGTGAGTGCTGCGATTAACAGTGTCACCACCAACACCCTGCCTGGCTTTGTAGTTCTTTTTAATAGGTGATGAAAACATTCCTCTAGTTTAAACCTGCACAACAAACAACTGGCATATCTGTATATTTGGGTTTTATTAGTAATTAAAAAGTTAAGATTTATTCATTTATTAATTCATTTCATAGGTATGAGTATTTTGTCTACATGTTTGTATGTATACTACATGCATGCTGGTGCCTGTGGAGAATCTCCCGGAACTGGAGTTGTGGGTGGTTGTGAGCCACCATGAGGTTGCTGGGAGCCAAGACCAGGCCCATTGCAAGTCCATACCTACACCTTTTTTTTAAAAAAATATTTATTTATTATGCCTACATGCCAGAAGAGGGCACCAGATCTCATTATAGATGGTTATGAGCCACCATGTGGTTGCTGGGAATTGAACTCATGACCTCTGGAAGAACAGTCAGTGCCCTTAACCTCCGAGCCATCTCTCCAGCCCCCATACCTACACCTTTATAACCACACTTCCTATTTTCTCCAGCTCATACCTACACCTTTATAACCACATTTTCTATTTTCTCCAGCCCATACCTACACCTTTATAATTACACTTCCTGTTTCCCTCTGAAAACCACACTTCCTGTTTCCCTTCTGTGTGTCACTCACCTGTCCTGGCTTTTGGTCCTTATTTGGGGGCTGCAATGGCTTCACTGGCTCATTCCCTTCCCCATCACCATAATCAGAGGACCATTTGGGAAGCAGATTTTCAGGCTGCTCATTGGACTTGTTATTACCCTGTAGCCTCTCCTTGTCTTGAGAAATACGGTATTGACTGTCTACTTCATTAGAGGCATCCGAGTGTCTTGGCTGATTCTCCCGAACTATGCCATTATTTGCTGAGTCCCTCCTTTCTACAGGTAAGATATCGATATTTATCCTACTGATTGTGGCAAATGACCCTGCAGTATTGTTCATGTCTGGTTTGCCAGTGTGGCCTTTGAGGTTGGCAGGTGATTTCCAGGGACCAACGGCCACTGGTTTCTCTTGGGACAAACACTTATCTTCACCCTGGATGAAAAGATGTTCTGAAGTTATTACAGTACCTCATACCACATACAAAAATTAATTCAAAATGGAACAGCAGGTTCCTAAAAAAGTTAAACACAGAATTACCTTTAACTCAGCAATTCTACTTTTTGGTATGCACTTTTTTTATTATTTTTGTAATTTATGATCATTGGTGTTTTGCCTGCATGTATGAAATCCAGATCCAGGGAGTCAGAAGCCCCGGAACTGGAGTTACAGACAGTTGTGAGGTGCCATGTGGGTGCTGGAGAACAGCCAGTGCTCTTAACCACTGAGAAATCTCCCCAGCACCCCGGCATGCACTTTAAAATAATAAAAAAGGAACTCAAGCAGGCAGGTGGGCCAAGGATCCCAGCATCACTATTAAAAAGGGTGTGCGTGGTGGCACACATCTGTGACCCAGCACCTGAGGTGGCAGACAACAGTAGGAGGACTATCATGACTTGAGGCCAGCCTGAGGGCACAGTGAGCTCCAAGCCACCCAGGGCTATACAGAAGACTATTTAAAATAAAGAAGGCTGGGTGTGGGAGTACATGCCAGCACTCGGGAGACAGAGGCAGGCAGATCACTACGGGTTCCACATACTGAACTCCAGGACAGTCAGGGCTAAATAACAGAGACCCTTCCTCAAAAGAAAAAAAAAAAGAAAGAAAGAAAGAAGAAAGAGGTAGAAACAACCAAATGTTCATTAGCAAATCAATGGATAAAATGAAATATATACATAATACAGTTTACACATGGCATATAGTCTCATACAAAGTTTTTTTTAAAGGGAAGACATTCTAACATATGCTATAAAACAAATGACCCTCAAAAGAAGCTAAGTGAAAAAAGCCAGAAAAAAAATACTAAATATAGCTGGACAATGGTGGTGCAACCCTTTTATCCTAGCACTTGGGAAGCAGAGGCAAGCAGATCTCTGAATTCAAGACCAGCCTGGTCTACAGAGTAAGTTTCGGGACAGCCAGAGCTACACAGAGAAACCCAAATATATTTGTATATGTATATATATATATACATACACACACACGTGTGTGTGTGTGTGTGTGTGTATGTATGTGTGTGTGTGTGTGTGTGTGTAGTATGATTCTTGTGGTGATATATTACTTATGATTTATTAAATCTTGCCTGAGATTCAGAAAACAAAGCTTCAAGCTATTCAGATCAGGCAGTGGTGATGCACCCCTTTAATCCCAGCAGCCAGAAGCTAGGAGGTGGTGGCACACACCTTTAATCCTAGGACTCAGGATCAAGAGGCAGATGGATCTCTGTAAGTCCAAGGCCATCCAGATCTACACGAGATTGGTCCAGTCCTAAAGAGAAACAGCTCATACACAGATGATCTCAGCACCTGGGATCACACACCTTTAATCCCAGCACTAGAGGGATATAAACGATAGGATCAGGTCTTCAGTACTCAGTATCAGGTTTCATTCTCCAGCCACACTGAGGATATGAAGATATTTAGACTCAGGATTCTCCAGCCACGCTGAGGAGAGGCAGCAGGATCAGCACATTCAGCCTGAGGTAGCTCAAGAGTGGCCCACTACTTAGCTTCTCTCATCTTCAGCTTGAAGTTTAAACCCTATTATCTGTCACTGGATCTGTTACAGATTCTATTAATATAAATTGTCTAAATCAGGAAAATTAATTAATATAGAAAACAGATAGAGGTTTATAGGCTCTGGAGATGGGGGAATAAGGAGTTACAGCTTAAAGAGTAAGGAGCTTCAGTTCTATATGATGGAAGAATTTTTGAGGAGAGTGATGATGGCTGTATCACGACACTGAATATAATCAAGGACACTGAACGACATGCTTAAGAGTTGTTAAAATATGGAGTTTCAAGATGGTTCATCAGTGGGGAACCAGCATAGGACTGAATCAGGTCCCCTGAACGTGGGTGTCAGTTAGGAGGCCAGAGTAGTCTATGGGGGTCTCTTGCGGTGGAACCAGTATTTATCTCTAGTGCACGAATGGATTTCAGGAGCTCATTTCCCATGGAGGGATACTGATGGAAGAATTTTTGAGGAGAGTGATGATGGCTGTATCACGACACTGAATATAATCAAGGACACTGAACAACATGCTTAAGAGTTGTTAAAATATGGAGTTTCAAGATGGTTCATCAGTGGGGAACCAGCATAGGACTGAATCAGGTCCCCTGAACGTGGGTGTCAGTTAGGAGGCCAGAGTAGTCTATGGGGGTCTCTTGCGGTGGAACCAGTATTTATCTCTAGTGCACGAATGGATTTCAGGAGCCCATTTCCCATGGAGGGATACTCTCTCAGCCTAGACACATGGGGGAGGGTCTGGCCCTGCCCCAAATGATGTGACAGACTTTGATGATCCCCCAAGGAAGGACTCACTCTCCTTGGGGAGTGGATGGAAGTGGGATGAGGGGGATCTGTGGGAGGCATGGGAAGATGGGAGGGAGAAGGAACTGGGATTGATATGTAAAATAAGATTGTTTCTAATTTAAACAAAAAAAAGATGGTTCATCCGACAAGCATTTGCTGCTAAGTCTGATGACCTGAGGATGACCCTCTAGAACCCACCAGGTGGAAAGACAGCATACCCCTGCAAGTGCCCCCCCCACACACCAAAATAAATGAATGACTAAACAAACAAATAAATAAATGTAAAGAAGTGTTTTCCAGCATGTGGTCATACAGTTCAGAGACAGAGCCCCTGTTGACCATGTACAAGGTTGTGGGTGAAAACCCTAGCACTGGAGGGGAGGTGTTTAAAAATGAAGAAAAAAGCACACGATCATTTCAATAGATGTAGGAAAATCCTCTGACAAAATTCAATTCTCATGCATGATGTGGAAAAACAAACCAGTATGAGAACAAACTATTTTAAGATAGTAAGGCTGTGTGTGGAAAATCTAACCTGCACATTATACTTGGTGACAAAATTCTAAAAGCCTTCCCTTCAAGATCAGAAACGGTGAAACCACCCACTGTCTGTACTTTCACTCAACTTAACACTGTATGTTGTAGCCAGAACAGCCAGGCAAGAACAGAGAAATGAGGCATCTGCACTAAAGGAAGATATAAAATTATCTGTACGCAATATGATTTTGTATGTAAAAGCCCTAAAAATTACACACACACACCTACTTAGTGGAACTAATAAATAAATTTAACAAAATTTTGTGTGTTTTTGCTTTGTTTTTTCTGAGTCAGGGTTTCTCTGTGTAGTCCTAGCTGTGCTGGAACTCACTCTATAAGACCAGGCTGGCCTCCAACTCACAGAAATCTGCCTGCCTATGCTTCCCAAGTGCTAGGATTAAAGGTGTGTACCACCATTCCTGGCTGACATTATTGTATTAATATTTACTAATAAAAATGGAACCAATAAGACAGGAAGTAATATTTGTTGGTGAGAACATGAAGAAATTGGGAATGGAGAGTAACATAGTTGCTGTGGACAACTGTGTGGTTCCTCAAGAGGTTAAACAGATTTATCACTTGATTAGCTTTTACACACGGGCAGACAGTTCAAAAAAAAATGTAAACAGGTGGTCAAGCACTGGACCTAAACGTTCACAGCAAGACTCAACAGGTGAAAAGAACCCAAATGTTTACCAATGGATGCGTAGACAAACCTTAAAAACATAACTCAGACATAAAAGGCCACCTGCTATATGATTTCCTTTATATGAAATATTCAGGAAAGGGAAATCCAGAGACAGAAAACACACTGGGGTTTGGCAAAGTAAGGAGGCTATAAAGAGTGACGGCTAAATGTGTGAAGAGCTTCCTTCTGAAGACGAAAACACTATGGAACTAGGAAAGAAGGGATGGCTGCATTTGTGAATGTGCGAAATGCCACGATAGCCCACATGATGTGGCTTCTGTGGCACTGCAGACACGGCTCTGCAGTTAATGCTTGCTGTGCAATCATGAGGACCACAGCTTGCATCCCAGCACCCATATACCAAGTCTGAAACTTCAGCTCTACAGGGTTCAGTGCCCTCTCTGCCTCCACAAACACAGATGTCACATCCTCACACTCTGTCTCTGTCTCTGTCTCTCTCTCTCACACACACACACAAAGGAATAAAATATTTTAAAATAGTTTTATGTAAATTTCATTTAAAAAAATAAAAAATATGTAGTGATGATGGGGGAAGTCCTGTGTATATGTCAATAAAGCACTGTTGGCCAATAGGGAAGCAAGATAGGTGGGACTAGGAGTCGAGGAGGACTCTGGGTAGGAGAAACACAGGAAGTCGAGATGTAACCGCCATGGGGTAGGAAGCCCGGAAATTTCTCCAGTAAGAGAAATACTTAGATTACCAATTATGGGGTAAATACTTAAGTCAGAGCTAGCCAGTAAGAAACAAGCAAGGCCAGCAGTTTCATAATTAATATAGCCTCCTGTGTGTTTATTTGGGACTCATGCGGCTCTGGAACCAGGCCGGCAGGAAGGCTTCTCTTTACATACTGACTTTAACAGTTTGACAGTCTATGGTAGATAAGGTGAGGAAAAAAGACTGACCTTCACCAGTATGCTTTCTTTAAAATCAGAAGTAAGTGTATACGAATCTCTAGAAGAGCACAATCACTGACACATAAACTGTTCCCTTGAATGACCTGTTGTTCCTATGGTCCCTAAAGCATCGCCGCAGGGAACATACCGTGTCACGTGCAGTGGATCCCTCAGAAGGACATGGCTGGTCGTGTATCACTTCATGACTTGATGCTTCCTCTCTGGAAACTACAGCAGCAACAGGTTTGGCTCTGGAGTCACCATTTTTAACATTATTTTTGCAAGTTTTTCTTTATAGGGAAGAAAATAAAGTAATATTATTAACACAGTGATGATTGACAGTTTGAAAGAGTATGTGAAATGTGTATCTACAATACAATTACATTGTTTTACAGAGATTAGTCTTGTCACAACATAGAGCCAATTGTTTCTAAAACAATTGTCTTCAAGATAATTGAGATTATAAGAAACAAGAAAGCAATCAGAGACCCCCGAGGAGGTTAAGGAGGCTGAAGAGACTTGAGAACTAAATGGGATATTGTATCTTGGATTGAATCCTGGCACACAAAGTAGAAATATTAACAGAAAAATAGCAAAAGCCAATGAAAGTCTGAGGTTAGTCAACAGTAATGTACCAGCTGACTTAGATTTCTGTTTTGTTTTGAAACAGAGTCTCCCTGTGTAGCTCCAGATGTCCTGGAACTTGTAGACCAGGCTGACTTGGAGCTCACAAAATTCCGCCTGCCTCTGCTTCCTGAATTCTGAGATTAAGGGTGAGTACCACCACAGCCAGAACTGGATTCTTAATTTTAAACAATCTTTTAAATCATATTGTTTATTTATTGTATGCATGTGGGGGTGTGTATACGTGAGTACTGTTAAAATGTCTAGGTTTACCCAGTAACGAGACACAAACCGTGAGTCAACGGTCCCACGTGGAGTTTTATTGGTGGACAGGGAGGGAAAGGGGGGTGAGAGGTAACCAACCCATGCAGAGCTGAGAGAGAGAGAGAGAGAGAGAGAGAGAGAGAGAGAGAGAGAGAGAGAGAGAGGGAGAGGGAGAGAGTGAATAAAAGAGAGGATGAAATGATGAGAGTAAGAGAGAGAGTAAAAGAGAGCTTAAGCAGGCGGGCGTCAGTCCTTTAAAGGGGTCCTTTGTATCTGCGTTGTTCTCACAGAACTCTGGGCTGGCCAGAGTGTTGCCTGAGTGCATCCTGCCAGGTAACAGGGCAAGCCAGCGTAATGACTGAACCTTTCAGTGAGGACACATGCAAATGAACACATGTAGTCAGAGGACATCTTGTGAGTTGGTGCTGTCCCTGAGCTCAGTACAGCAGGCTTATTGGAAAACACCTTTACGTGTTAAATCAGATCAACAGTCCTAATTTCTTCATCTTGACAAATACCCCATGATAATAATCTAAGATGCAGCCGGCATTGGTGGCGCACGCCTTTAATCCCAGTACTCAGGAGGCAGAGGAAGGCGGATCTCTGTGAGTTCGAGACCAGCCTGGTCTATAAGAGCTAGTTCCAGGACAGCCTCCAAAGCCATAGAGAAACCCTGTCTCGGAAAAACAAACAAACAAACAAAATCTAAGATGCTAATGACAGAAAGAACTAGGTGAGGAGTATAGGGGAACTTTGTACTATCTTTATAACATCCTATAAATACAAAATTCCAAAATTTCTATGAGAAAGTCGCTCACACAGAAGTATCAGGATTTTCCTCTTTTAGGTTTCACATGTTTACAATAATATAATATCACTATTATTTTGCAAACTTTCAGAGTAAAATAATTGGTTTATATTCTCTAACTTGCAGAGTAAATGTGTACAGAAATAACATCTTATCTGCTTAACATGCCGTTTCTAAGACTGGGCTGAATCTCAGGAAAGCATGTGGACCTGGTAACGGAAGGCCAATTAAAAGTGATGAGTGGAGCACATCTTTAATCCCAGCACCCGGGAGGCAGAGGCAGGTGGATCTCTGTGAGATCAAGACCAATCTGGTCTACAGAGTGAGTTGCAGGACAGCCACCAAAGCCACAGAGAAACCCTGTAGAGAGATGGCTCAGCAGTTAAGAGCACTAACTGTTTTTCCAGAGGTCCTGAGTTCAATTCCCAGCAACCACATGATGGCTCACAATCACCTTGAATGAGATCTGGTGCCCTCTGCTGGCATGCAGGCAGAAGACTGTATACACAATAAATAAAATATTTAAAAAAAAGAAAGAAAAGAAACCCCGTCTTGAAACAAAAAGTAGAAAAAAAGGCAGCATTGAGCTGGAGCTATGGCACAGAAGCATCAGCGACCCCAGCGCTTGGGACACTGAGGCAGGCGACCCCAGCACTCAGGACACTGAGGCAGGCGACCACAGCGCTCGGGACACTGAGGCAGGCGACCCCAGCACTCAGGACACTGAGGCAGGCGACCACAGCGCTCGGGACACTGAGGCAGGCGACCCCAGCACTCAGGACACTGAGGCAGGCGACCACAGCGCTCGGGACACTGAGGCAGGCGACCCCAGCACTCAGGACACTGAGGCAGGCGACCCCAGCACTCAGGACACTGAGGCAGGCGACCCCAGCACTCAGGACACTGAGGCAGGCGACCACAGCGCTCAGGACACTGAGGCAGGCGACCCCAGCGCTCAGGACACTGAGGCAGGCGACCCCAGCGCTCGGGACACTGAGGCAGGCGACCCCAGCACTCAGGACACTGAGGCAGGCGACCACAGCGCTCAGGACACTGAGGCAGGCGACCCCAGCGCTCAGGACACTGAGGCAGGCGACCCCAGCGCTCAGGACACTGAGGCAGGCGACCCCAGCGCTCAGGACACTGAGGCAGGCGACCCCAGCGCTCAGGACACTGAGGCAGGCGACCCCAGCACTCAGGACACTGAGGCAGGCGACCACAGCGCTCGGGACACTGAAGCAGGCGATACCAAGAGTCTAAGTTCAGGGTTACACAGCAAGACCCTGTCTCCAAAGAGAAAAATGTCCATTGGGATCCTCATCATCTCTAACTCACCTTGCCATAGGCAGAAGTAAGCTGTCAAGATAGTGACAGTCTTGTCCAATCCTAAGTCTTAGATACTGAATATCAGTTTGTTGAAAGTAAGACCTGTGGTCAAAGAAAGGAATCCCTTTTCTCTTGAAAAGTTAAATGAATGAAGAGAAAGCCTTTGAACACTCAGAAATTTGAGCACCATTTTTCATATATGACCTTTCCTTACATGGTAAATAATTAACAGTAGCTCCCTAAATGGTTAAAAAGATCACATATATTCATGTCTTTGCATGCATACATGTGGAGACCAGCTTGTAGGAGCTGGCTCTCTTTCCACTATGTGGATCTGGGGACCAAACTGAGGTTCTCAGGACCGGTGGCAAATATCTTTATCTGCTAAGCTGCCTCATCAACACCTCGAAATGGCTCTCTAAGTTATTGATTTCAACACTTACACAGATTTTAATATTTGCTGTGGTTTATTTCTATGATACTGGGATTTAAATTCAGGGCCTTACACACACAAGGCAAGCACTCCACTGAGCTAAATGCCCAGGACATTTTTAATTTTGGGACATGTTGTGGAATATTCCTTTACACTGTGTGAAGATGATGGGTTTAATAAAGAGCTGAATGGTCATTAGTGAGGCAGGAAGAGGTTAGGAGGGACTTCCAGGGACACAGAGCTCTGGGAAGAAGGAGGAGTCACAAGCCGGAAGCAGAAGGGTAAGACAGGAGGAGGAAAGGTAAAAGCCACGAGTTACATGGCAACACGGAGATGGATAGAAGCAGGTTAATTTAAGTTATAAGAGATAGTGGGACAAGCCTAAGCTATAGGCCTAGCTTTCATAATTAATAATATGTCTCCATTTCATTTTTTCCAGCTGGTTGACCAAATAAAAATTTGTCAACACATGGCACCCAATATGAGGCACATATTTCTACATAGGACCTGAGAAAGTTTAAAAATAAAAGTTCTAAGCCGGGCGTTGGTGGCGCACGCCTTTAATCCCAGCACTCGGGAGGCAGAGGCAGGCGGATTTCTGTGAGTTCGAGGCCAGCCTGGTCTACAAAGTGAGTTCCAGGACAGCCTCCAAATCTACAGAGAAACCCTGTCTCGAAAAACCAAAAAAATAAAAAAAAATAAAAGTTCTTAAAAAACAAACATGGAGTCAGATGTGGCTTCTAGGTCCCCAGTCTCTCAGGAAGACCACATTGTACAGAGATGAGTCTCCTGGCCGATGCCTATAGGCTTAAGCTACCAGCAAGCCATGCACTAAACTTCGTGGTAGGTTTAAGGTTTGACTTATGAGGTCAGAGAACACTACAGGCACCAAGTAGAGCAAAGTCCAGACAAGAAAAGAAAAAAAGTGTAGACAGTTAAAAAAAATAGTTTAAAAATAAGATAAAGTCTTTAAAGAGAAAATAAAATAATATAAAAAGGATTAGCCATGTAAAGATGGAAAATACATAGAAAGCCTGAATCTTATACGGTGCCTTGTTGATTTTAAACGTTTTACTTTGATTGCTCATGACTGATCAATAACTGCTGAGAGACATTGGATTATGTAAACTACTAAATTAAACCAACCTATATATTTTTAAAATGTCTTAACTTCAGCCAGGCGTTGGTGGCACACATCTTTAATCCCAGCACTTGTGAGGCGGAGGCAGACGGATCTCTGTAAGTTCGAGACCAGCCTGGTCTACAAGAGCTAGTTCCAGGACAGCCTCCAAAGCCATAGAGAAACCCTGTCTCGAAAAACAAAACAAATCAAAATGTATAAAATATCTTTACTTCAAAATGATAGACAAAAATATGTTGCATTGGGGAGGAAGTTACGCTTTTGTTTCCACAAAAAAAAACAAGACTATGGATTCACTTAAGGTTGATAGAGATCAGATTTGATCAGGGAAACCCACCTGAAAATCCTAGCTACAGACATAAAAAAATAAACCTAGAAAAACTACAAGAGAGGCAACATATATTTTACCTGCTTAAACATTGAGCAAAAAATCATCCTTGGCCAGCTTGTGTACAATGCACATTCCACGCTTGTGTTAATGTAGATATTTATGATACCTTTGAAAGTTTGTATTTTCAGAGCAATGGACCAGACACCAATAAAAACAGGTGGCCCAGGTCATGCAGCCTCTCATAGTGCCTCCGCTACAGTTTCCTCAGAGTTCTATATCCAGAATAGCTTCAAGGCTACTGACTGAGACATCCCAGCCTCACAGATTATTCTAACCAGGACTAAAAATAAATTGTGGGCTTTCCCATTATGGCTAGTTTTCCTAGGACTTGACTTCTCAGGTTTCATAAATATGTCATCACCCCCAGACAACAGGAAGCAGCCTAGAGAAAGCCACACCCTCATTCCCAAGAAGTGGGGTGGATGACTTTTGATCATTCAGTGGGTTATAGATGTTTGTCATCCTTTGGGGGGGGGGTTGGTTACAAGTTGTTACCAGTCATAGTCAGGAAAAAAGCTGAAATAAGGAAATTAGATCCAGAGATCTCTTTCTGATGGGAAAAAAGGGGGGGGGGATACAATACAGAAATGATAGGATAAAAGAACAGATTATTGAATCTACTTTAAAATTAAGAAGTAGCCGGCATTGTTGGAGCACGCCTTTAATCCCAGCACTCAAAAGGCAGAGGCAGGTGGATCTCTGTGAGTTTGAGGCCAGCCTGGTCTACAGAGCAAGTTCCAGGACAGCCTCCAAAACAATACAGAGAAACACTGTCTTGAAAAACCAAAAAAAAAAAAAAAAAAAAAAAGCAAAAGAAACTCACAATAAATTAAAAAGCAACTACTAGTCTTAAATACTTTACATTGGTATGAATTTTCCTATATATTGATCCAAATTTAAGGGTTTTTTTTTCTGTATGTATGTTTCTGTTTTTTTTTTTTTTTTGGTTTTTCGAGACAGGGTTTCTCTGTGGGTTTCTGTTCTTGTTTAAGGTATTTTTGTATACTGAGACAAATTTAAGGTTATTTTTGCTGTACTGGATATGTGTTTATTTTTTAAAAATTAATTTATTTAACTTTATGTGCACTGGTGTCAGATCCCCAGGAACTGGAGTTACAGATGGTTGTGAGCTGCCATGCGGGTGCTGGGAATTGAACCCAAGTCCTCTGGAAGAGCAGCCAAGCGCTCGGGCACTGAGCCATCCCTCCAGCCCCTGGATATATGTTTCTATTCTTGTTTAAGATATTATACCTATGCAGCTAATTTAAAAATATACAGATTTAGTCCTTGAAAGATATTTAGAATAATAAAAACATACAGGTTAATAATTAGTCAACTATAACAATCAAACTTACAGTCAAGTTAGTATGTTTTTAAGGTCATACAAAGATTTTTAAATAGATAGGTAATCTTCAAAAACTTCAAAGACTTACAAAATTATGGCATTCAAAATGTTTTGCTAATAAGGCTTCTTGTGACAGTGAGACATGTCTGCTCCTGGCAGCACCAATTTACTTCTAAAACGGATGAACCTCTATGTGGCATGTGCTTCCTTTGTGGCAAAAGCTGGCTAGGCACTGGGCAAAGAAACTGTCCTTGCCTCAATTGCTGACAGGATGTTGTTCAAACTGGACAAGCAGGACACAAAAGACAGCTACTACTGAACTTTGACAAGGCAGGACAGTCCTTCAAAATTCCTGCTTTACAGGAAAATCTATCGGATAGTCTAGACATGTAGGTCAAAGATGAATGCCCCAACGGTACAGAGGAACCTTGGGGTGACTGTCTAGGTTGAGAAACATAAAAGCTTATTTATCTAAAAAGATGTTTTAAGGTCTAAAAAGATATTTTTACGATGGTAATACAAGTTATGACAAAAATAGTTTAGGTGTAAAACTTTGGACCAAGATAGGATAGATAATGGGATATTTTCTCTAACTTTGCTTAATGCAAAGGGTTTTTCTGTGTAACAATCTAGGTGTCCTGGAACTCACTCTGTAGGTCAGGGTGGCCTGAAACTCACAGAGAACTGCCTGCCTCTGCCTCCCAAATGCTGGGATTAAAGGCGTGTGCCACCACCATCTGCTTAAGAAACATAAAACTTTCATTAAATAAATTTTGTTACTTTCTTATGCAAGTTAATTTCTGAAGCCCAGGCCAAAAACCATGAAGAGGATAGAATTTTGTTCTCTTACATATTGCAATCATACAGTTTTACTTTTTGTTTAAAAACAAAAAAAAAACTTCACCATAAATTTCTACACATGAAAATTTAGAAGCTACCCCATCAGTGTATCAAACTTTTCTGTAAGGGATTATTTTAGGTTTTTTAATCTGTAAGGGATTATTTTAGGCTTTTCTCTGTAAGGGATTATTTTAGGCTTTTCTCTATGGGCTTTTCTCTGTAAGGGATTATCTTACACTTTTCTCTGTAAGGGATTATTTTACGCTTTTCTCTGTAAGGGATTATTTTACGCTTTTCTCTGTAAGGGATTGTTTTACGCTTTTCTCTGTAAGGGATTATTTTACGCTTTTCTCTGTAAGGGATTATTTTACGCTTTTCTCTGTAAGGGATTATTTCAGGCTTTTCTCTGTAAGGGATTATCTTACACTTTTCTCTGTAAGGGATTATTTTAGGCTTTTCTCTGTAAGGGATTATTTTACACTTTTCTCTGAAAGGGATTATTTTACACTTTTCTCTGAAAGGGATTATTTTACACTTTTCTCTGTAAGGGATTATTTTACACTTTTCTCTGAAAGGGATTATTTTACACTTTTCTCTGTAAGGGATTATTTCAGGCTTTTCTCTGTAAGGGATTATTTTACGCTTTTCTCTGTAAGGGATTGTTTTACGCTTTTCTCTGTAAGGGATTATTTTACGCTTTTCTCTGTAAGGGATTATTTTACGCTTTTCTCTGTAAGGGATTATTTTACGCTTTTCTCTGTAAGGGATTATTTCAGGCTTTTCTCTGTAAGGGATTATTTTACACTTTTCTCTGTAAGGGATTATCTTAGGCTTTTCTCTGTAAGGGATTATTTTACGCTTTTCTTTGTAAGGGATGTATCTTACGCTTTTGTCTGTAAGGGATGTATCTTACGCTTTTGTGGCCTCCAAGAATAAGGAGATCTGGTGTTTTATATATGGCTGCCTTAGGATGCTCCGCACAGATGGTCTTTCCTCAGGCCTCCTGCTCAGCATTGTTCGTATCAGCTCTGCCAGCTCTGGGCTATAAACTTTTGGCATTGGTGGCAACTACAAAGAACAACAATACTGTAATTATGATGAATGACATTATAAAACAAAGTAAAAACTGGCAGGGATTTTCCAATACTTAAAATTCATTGTACTACATAAAATATTAATTCTTATTAATTTATTTAAAGTTATATATCCACAAAAGCAGAAAACAGCTAGCATATTAGTCCGTAAGAAGTGCCTTTTCTGGTTATAATAATGAGTTATAAGAATACAATAGTATTCCCTTCAGTTTAGCAGTTCCATCTGAGGACTGTCCTTCAGACTGGAACACACATTTCTTTTTCTAAATTTTGTTTACTATTAGCATGTAAGCATGTGCATCAATGAGCATGCATACATTCAAGACAGAGAACACTTTTGAGAGTTGGTTCTTTCCTCCCACCATGGGTTATGGATCACACTCAGCTCATGAGGCTTGTGCTGCAAGCATCTTTACCCATTCAACTATTTCATTGGCCCAAGGGCACAAAGAAGATTTATATACCAGAATATTCAGTGCAGTGTTGGTCTTGTAGTGGTCAGTGACTAGAAATAAAGTGTTCAAGGACAGAGGACCTAGGAGCAAATCATGCTACTATGGTAGTTTGGATGTACTTGGCTCCTATAACCCTGAATGGCACTATTAGGAAGTGTGGCTTTGTTAGAGTGGGTATGGCCTTGTTGGAAGAAACGTGTCACTGTGGGATCAGGCTTTGAGGGTTCCTATGTTCAGGATACCACTCAGGGTCTCCATAGAATTCCTGTTGCCTTCAAGCCAAAATATGGCCAGCAACACATCTGTCTGCACGCTGCCATGCATCCCGCCATGATGATGATGGACTGAGCCTCTGTACCATAGCGAGCCACCACAGTCAGATGTTTTCTTTGTAAGAGCTATCGTGGTCATGGTGTCTCTTCACAGCACTATTCTTCCCAAAAAACACTGGGCAGCTGCTTAAAAGTAAAAGACAAGTACTGACAGCTAAGCCAAAAATGTAGGCTGGGTCCCATCACTGTGTACAGTGAGACCCCATCTGTTTCTGGTTTAGAGTACTTGTGTTTAAGTACATACACATCCAGAGCCATATCTGTTTCAAAGAAAGAAAAAACAGGCCTTGGAGTAAATTACTAATAGTAGTTATCAAGAAGATGAAAACAGAGAAATCTTTATTCCCTTTTCAAACTGAATTCTTTACATAGTATAACTGGAAACAAATTTTAAAGTTTCTATTTTTATTTTACGTGTATGGGTGTGTGCCAGCAGAGGTTAAAGCGGGTACCGCTGCCCTAGGGTCTGCAGTTACAGACAGCTCAGAGTGGCTTTGTGGGTGAGAAGCAGCATTCTTAAGCAATGAGCCATCTCTCCCGCTCCTACAATTGGAAGATTTTTTTAAAGATTTATTTATTATGTATACAGGGTTCTGGAATGTTTATACTAAATCTCATTGTAGATGGTTGTAAGCCACCATGTGGTTACTGGGAATTGAACTCAGAACCTCAGGAAATGCAGGCAGTGCTCTTAACCGCTGAGCCATCTCTCCAGGCCCCAACTGGAAGATTTTACTTGTGTACTTTAAAAATATTTTTCAATGAATCTTTCGATAATCTTTAAGCAATAGGAAAGGCTGCCACCGACTCAGGGAAATAACATGAAGTTAGTTATCTACATCATGTTTGATACCTTTCCCAGTTCTCAATCAGTTACTTGCAATTTTGACAAGTGCTGAAGAGCACATTCTAACAGCATGGATTCCTTGTACAGGGCTCACTCAACTATGGGCTACCGGGAGACAGCACCTGTTCTCTCTCAGAGACCTGTACACCCTGAAGTCAGTCACAGAGACAAGTTTTCAAACCGCCAGCTCTTTGGAGTCAACCAGCTACTTTTATATATTAATATTAAGACTTCCACTTTTCCACAGCAGAGATCCTATTTTCCTAAGTACTCAGCTGGTAGCAATGAATATTGGTCACTAGTCAGAACCATTAGTGAGGGCTCAGTGACAGAGTGCTTGCTCCACATTTGCCCTGGGTTGGACCCCAGCACTGAAAAAAAAAATCAATGATTTTGACAATAAATATTTACAAAGCTGTATTATATAAACCTTGTCCAATTAGCTAGCTCTAAGTTATTTTTTTACCTTTCCTTCAATAATCCGGTAAACTAAAGAATTCATGTCTTTTGCATTAAAAGCGTGCTTCAGGGTGGCCATTTCATAGACACAGCATCCCAAAGCCCAAACGTCAGACTACAAGAGAAAAACAGTAAATGGTTAAATGCTAAATATCGTTTTTTTTTAATTTATTTATTTTTAAATTTAAATTTAAATTAGAAACAAGGTTGCTTCACAAGTCAGTTTCAGGTCCCTCTGCGTTTCCCTCCCCTCCTCCCGTGACCTCCCCTCATTTCCCCAGGGAGGGTGAGGCCCTCCAGGGGGGTTCCATAGTCTGTCATTTCATCCAGGGCAGGGCCTAGACCCTCCCCCAAGAGTTCAGGGTGAGAGTGCATCTCACGTTGTTGGATGGGAGTCCAAAGTCCACTTGTATACCCAGGATAAATACTGATCTACTACCCAATGCTGAATATCTTATTTACATTTTCTTCTCAGAACAAAGTATGCATTTTCTTCCAACTGATTCATAGTTAATTTGATTTACCGACTCATATGGGCTCTGAAATTCTGATACTCTCCCAGGGACAAGGTCAGGCAGTACACACCTAGACAGTTGTACGCATCCTACCTTGTAGTTGTAGGGTTGGTTTGAGAACAACTCAGGGCTCATGTAATAGGGAGTGCCAATGAGGGTGCTCGCCATGTCACTCTGGTGCTCCAACACTCGGGCAATCCCCAGATCGCCCACCTTGATGATGTTTGTTCTCGTTAAGAAGACATTCTGAGTTTTCAGATCCCGATGAAGGATGTGTTTCTCGTGTAAATACTGAGAAGAGAGAGAATGTTTTCATTATATGTAAGCATACTAATTTATTTACTTATTTCTAGATCTTTCTATGTACCACCAGTAGTCACTTGAGTTAAAGAGCATTAGTTATCAGCTAACCAAAACATTACTATTGTATAAGCTCTAAAAGAACTACTTTACAACATTCAAAGTAAGAAAATGCAATCCAGAGGCTGGGAAGATGGCTGAGTTGGCAAAGTGCTTGTCATACAGCATGAGAACCTGAGTTTAGATGGCCAGCACTCTATAAATACCAGGCATGCTGACACAACCCTAGTCCTGGGGAGTGAAGACCAGAGGATCTCAGGAGCTCCTGCCACGTGGGTGCATTTTATAGTCAATGAGAGACCCTGTCTAACACTTCCACATCTGGCTTCCACACATACACACACATATATGCATATGTAGGTGTGTGCCAACACATAAAATTAAGTTCCACATATTAGTTGGTCTGGTACCTTCTGCAATTATTTCCTGATGCCTTGACAATTGTGTAATTTTTATAATATCTGGATCCTTTAAAATATCTGCTTATAAGCCCAGGCATGGTGGCTTAGGCCTTTTAAGACCAACTGTTGGAAGGATCACACAGGAGAACTGCTGTGATTGTGAGATTACTTTGAGCTACATAGTGAGTTTAAGAACAGCCAGGGATGTCACACTGAGAGAAACCTTGTCTTCAAAAACTAAAAATAAGCAAACAAAAAAGACCCAGCACCTAAAAATATTACTGTACAGACAACTTCTCTCTTCACTCTTGCCTGCTATGGCTGTATCTTAGTAAATTTAGTAAATTCTAAATCATTCACAGGCCCTGGGTTACCAGCCTATCTATCCCATCACCCTGGCCTATATAGGAGAAAACACCGTAGACCTCCCCGGAGCCCACAGGAGTCTACACCATCATCTACCTCCCTGGAGCCCACAGGAGTCTGAGTATGAATGCACCTGCAAAGCCATGGCGATCTGGACAAACCACTCCACCACCCGACTCTCGGGCAGGAGCTGCCCCTTCTGCTCCTTGAGCTTCCGGTACAGGTCGCCTCCCTCGCAGAAGCCCATGACGATGTAGAGCAGCCCGTCTCCTCCCTCCCAGGACTCTTTGTAGGTGACGATGTTGGGGTGCTTCAACTGAGACAGGAGCTGAGCTTCCTGCTCGGCTGCTCGGCGCTCGCGGCTGGAGGCATTTCGGAGGTTCAGTTTTTTGATAACGTACTAACAAAGAAAATGTATACTTTCACAAGGTGCAAGAAAACAGAGTTCTCTAGGTTCAGAAGCAGCTAAGAGTTCTCACCCAGGCCCAGCCCTCAAAAACAACCTTCTGGAGCCCATCAGATAACCTACTGGCTTGCTTTCAAGAGGCACAATGTCGCCAGTGGTGTACTTTGAAGAGGAGGTGGTAGCAGGATCAAGAAGCATAAAACTGGCTTAGTGGTGGTGGCTCAGCCTTTAATCCCAGCACTGAGGAGGCAGAGGCAGGAGGATCTCTGGTCTACAGAGTGAGTTCCAGGACAGACAGGGCTACACAGAGAAACCCTGTCTTGAAACAAAACAAAACTGGGGGAAAATATTGGCCATTAACAATTATGGTATTTGTTTCCAGTGTTAGGCTCAAACCCCAGGCCTTGTGCACATGCTAGGCAAGTGCTCTACTAATGATTATGCCAGGTCACAAACAAACCACCTTTTCCCTCTGCATTTTACAATTTCTTTAAATCTGCAATCCCAGATACTTTGAAGGCTAATGCAGAAGGGTTACTTATGCCCAGAAATTTGAAAGCCAACCTGGACAACACAGTGATACCCTATCTCAAAAAAAAAAAAAAAAAAAAAAAAAAGAGAGAGAGAAAGGAAAAAGAAAAACACAAAAGTGAATCCAAGATAACATACTATTAGACAGAAAAGACCCCTTAGCCTCTAAATTCTCCCTATAAAAGGCATTAAGGTACAGCTTAAATAAATGTATGAGACACATTAGATACTCGTGGGCCCGATAAATTGAGAGTATCATTGGTCCTCCATAAAGGGCATCATTCCCATTTAAAAATAAAATCCCTTACGATCTAGTATACTGCCCTCAATCACCTCAGAGATCATATACTCACTCCTTCAATAAACACATACATAAACGTGTCTCCTGAAGTACAAAGTACTGCTCAATTCCCGGGGGGGGGGGGTGACAACTGAATTAATCTCTTATGAGAAGGCTGGTGTTCTAGGCAGAGAATCGAACCCGCGGGGAGAGTGGGTCCTATACTGGTTTGGCAGTGTTTTTGAGACGCCACTTTTCGGTTTCACAACTGTCCCCATCTGCGCAAAACATCCTATGGACGCCTGGCAGCAAATCAGACTTTAGAGCTGGTTCGTTATCACCCAAATCTTCGGGTCGTGGGATAAAACGCTCCACACAAGGAAGGAGTAATATCAGATCTGAGTCCTAGAAAGATCACCGCAGCCAAAGGGAGGGGCTAGAGGAAAGAAAGCAGGCGGCAAGGGGACTCCTCTGGAAGGAGCGGGCATTCAGTTTAAAAGAGAGTGGCGTGTGGTGCCGGGACAGGACGAACGGAGACGAACGAAGATGCCGGCCCCGGTCCAGCGACAGGAATCACGGACAGCGCCGGGGGCATCTATAAAGACGAGCGCAGCGGGGCCCAGCTTTCAGGCAGCTGCTGCACCGAGGCTGACGGAGCCACTCCCCGAAAACAGGGACCCTGAGAAGGGCTGGTGAGAAGGGACGAGGCGAGCTTTGCTGCGCACCGGAGGCACGGAGCTCCCCACGCCCCCCCTCCCGTGGCACCGAGTCAGGCCCGGGGCGCGCACGGGCCCCGGGAGGTTCGCAAAGGACGCGCTCTACGGGGAGGCCGACCTCCCCGTCTGAGGAGAGTCCCCCGCCCACCGCTAGGGCCCCACTACGTCGAGGTCGCCCTCGGCGCACGCACCGCCCCCCGGCCGGGCCCCGGGATGCCCGACCTGCCTGCCGTCCCGCCGGTGCCTCACGAGCGTCACCTCCCCGTAACTGCCCCTGCCCACGACCCGCACGTAGCAGTAGGACGCCTGGGGCATGCTCCCGGAGGCGGACCGCAGCCGGGGAGCTGCGGCAGCGCGGCGAAAGACCCCGGGACACCCCGGCTCATGCCCGAGCCGAGGCGAAGGCCTCCATCGACGCGGCCCTCTGCCGGGGCGCCCGCCCCGGAGCCTCGAGGCCCCGCCCACCCGGACGCCGCTGCCATAGCGACCCAGGCGGTGTAGTTCCGCGCATGCTCGGGGTCGGAAGACCGCACCAGAGAGCCGGCCTTCGCGGCCGCTAGAGCTGCTCCGGAAAGCAAGCCTCGGGAGGACCTACCATCGAGCCGTCGTCACTGCAGCGGCCAGAGCGGTACGTGAGCTCGGAGGACCCTCCATAGAGCTCCGCCATTGGGAGGCCAGAGCGGCTCCCGGGGGGGAGGGGGAAGGGGGAGCTCAGTTCCGGCGCCGTGCGGGTCGGTGTTTGCTCTAGGCGCCTGCACGGGCTCTAAGAGCGGGAAAGAGTACGACGCGTTCCTTCTCCGACTGCGAGCCGCCCGTGAGCCTGACTCGCACGCCGTGGGAAGACTGGGCGACTCTAGATTTCACCGAGGACGCTCGCCCTATTTGCTTCCTTGTATTGACAAGTGTGCCGCCTGCCCTTTGGATGCATCGAGAGACACCTAAGATGCATCGAGAGACACGACTGCCCGCCATCCCTCGGAGTCTCAAGAGACCTGCAAGGATCCCTCGCAGAACGACCGCAAAAATCACAGTCCTCAGAGACGCGACTAGCGCTTGGCGTGGCTTCCCCCCTCCCGTCTAACCGCTGTCCGCAGCGAAAAGAATCTGTTGGCCGACACCTACCTGTTCTGCCCAAAGAACTTACTTTTAAAATGGCGTAGAAATTACTGGTTCCTCCTGCGTCCCGTTGAGATCAGACAAATGCATGTGTCTTCAACTAACCAGCAATGTTTTTTTTTTCCTCCGAGAGAGAAAGTCCTGCCCATGAAATGCAATCATCAGAACGTTCAGGCATCTGTGTTTCCCAGTTTCTGTGGGAAGACAGAATCCCATCTTCTATAACTGACAACTACCAAAATACAGCTGGCTTAATTACTTTTACATCGACCTACTATTATTATTATTATGTTGTTGTTGTTGTTGAGATGTAACTCGACTTGCAATCCTACTCTTCAGTGTTGGGTTCCCAGGCGTGTAACAGGGTCATGCTCCCAAACCTTTGGAATTTTTCAGTTTTCTAAGAAGCCCCTTGGCTCACTTCTCTTTTTACCCCTCATTATCCATTTTGTTGATGTTGTTGTTGTTGATGGTGGTGGTGGTGTACGGACGAGTGTGTGTTTTAGACAAGGTCTCACTAGGTAACTCAGGTTAGCCTGGAACTCGGCGAAATGGGCCTGGCTCTGCCTCCTGAGTGTGGAATTAAAGCGTGCCACCACCACGCCCAGCCTTCCTTCTCCTTTTGAAAGGCCCAGTCAACTCTGCACAATAGTAACAAGCTCAGCTTTCCCTGCGACCGTCAGTAGTTACTAAATAAACATCTGTGTCCTCTGCTGTAACTAATGCTTGGCATTGTTCATCTTTAGCAATATCATTAAGTAGAATTTAATATTATCTATTTATGGTTCCTTTTGTTTGGTTTTTCTTACAGGACAGAAGGGGGCACCAGATCTCATTACAGATGGTTGTGAGCCACCATGTAGTTGCTGGGAATTGAACTCAGGACCTCGGGAAGAGCAGTCAGCCCTCATAACTTCTGAGCCGCCTCTCCAGCCCCCAGTGTTTAATTTTTTTTTGCCAAGCTTCACTTGGCAAAATATTTAAATGTCTGGAGATGGACAGTGGTTGCAAGCATGTAAGTGTGCTTACATAGCTGGAAGAATGAGTTAAGTCACTTGACACCCAGGCTGATGACCTGAGAATGGTCCACATGGTGAAAGGGGAGGACTGACTCCTGAAAGTTGTCCTCTGACTTCCACTGGCACACCACACCATGAATATGTGCACACCCACCCCCCGACACAGAACAAACAAAAAAGTGAACGGTAAAGAAATACTGGCCAATGGCATAGTTCAGCTGGTTAAGGCTGATACTCACCCTAGTGGTGGGTTCCACCTTCAAGACTCTGTACGGTAGAAGGAGAGAATTAACTCACACAGATTGTCCTCTGACCTACACACACACACACACACACACACACACACACACACACACACACACACACCACACACCACAGTGGCACAAGCACACAATAAATAAAGTTAGCTGGGTATAGTGGCACACTGTGCAATCTCAGAATGCAGGAAGCAGACAAAAAAGAATTTCCAGTTCAAATTCAGCTTGAACTATCTTGAGAGACTGAAAAAAAAAAGAATAAAGGTAAACCTTATATTTGCCTATTTTACCACAATAAAAAAACTAGTTAAAGTGATTTTACTTACTTATTTTTGTTGGTTTCTTTTACATTTGCTATTGAGATAGGGTCTCAGTAGCTCCTGGATGGCCTGGGCCTCACAATGTAGACCAGACTGGTCTTGAGCTCACAGAGATCTGACTGTCTCTGTATCATCAGTGATGAAGTTGTACACCGTCACACCTGGCAAGGATTTTTAGTAAGATATTAAGTAAGATTCAGAGCAACATATCCAACCTTTCTTTTACTGTCATGTTAAGGAGGCTTTTAAGACAGCTTTTATTATTGCTGTCATCGTGTGTGTGTGTGTGTGTGTGTGTGTGTGTGTGTGTGTGTGTGTGTGTGTACGCATTTGGAAGCTAGGACTCAAACTCGTTTTTTGTTGTTTGTTTGGTTTGGTTTCTTTCTTTTTTCTTTTTTTGTTTGGTTTTTCGAGACAGGGTTTCTCTGTGGCTTTGGAGGCTGTCCTGGAACTGGCTCTTGTAGACCAGGCTGGTCTCGAACTCGCAGAGATCCACCTGCTTCTGCCTCCCAAGTGCTGGGATTAAAGGTGTGCGCCACCAACGCCTGGCTAACTCATTTTTTTTTAAACGAGATTTCTTACAGAGCTCAGAGCTCACCCATTGGCTAGATGGGTGGCCTGTGAGCTCTGGGGATCTGCCTGTCTCCACACTCCCAGCACTAGGGTTGTGCTGTGGAGTAATCATGTCATTATGAGCGGCTTAGTAAACAAGCTGACTGGCCGGTAGCTGATAAAGTTAGGTGGGAAAGCCAGGCTGAGAATGATGAGGAAGGGTGGAGTCAGAGGTAAAAGCCACGAGCCTCAGGGCAGCACACAGATGAAATAGAAATGCGTTAAGCTGAAAGAGCTAGTTAGTAACAAGCCTGAGCTATTGGCCCAGCATTTGCAATTAACATTAAACCCCTGAGTGATTATTTGAGAGAGCTTGTAGGACAGGAAAACTCTGCCTGTAGGGTTGCATACATGTGTTACCATGAAAGGTTTTCATGTTGGTTCTGGGGGTCAAATTCATAGCAGGTACTTTACCAACTGAGCCATGTCTCTAGGCTCTAGAAAGCCTTTTCTTACCAATTTTTCCAGTGAATGTTTAGTATCACAGATATACTGTATATCTGTTTATGTATTATGATTTTTGGGTATGCTACAAACCACTGTGGTAATCTAGGGCTTGGAGGGATGATGGTTTGTTTTGTTTCTCTCCAAGACTCAATATTTGCTATATCCAAGACAGCATTTATTTTACTTTTCCCTAAAAAAGGTATCTTTTTTTCTTTTTCTTTTTGGTTTTTTGAGATAGTGTTTCTCCATGTAGCCCTGCCTGACCTGGAACTCACTTTATAGACCAGGCTGGCCTCAAACTCAGGGATCCATCTGCGTATGCCTCCAGAGTTCTGGAATTAAAGGCATGCCCCACCATGCACAGTTCCTAAGTGGACATCTTTGCCCTTCTGGGGAATCTTTTCCTTTCTTGATTTCTAGAACATTGCTGATTCTCCTACAATCTCTGTCCACACTGTTTCCTCTTTTGACTTCTCCTGCTTCTCCCAAGGTTCTGTTTTGGGTGTATCTCTGCTTTAAAACAGAAAGACAGGCAGGCAGGCAGACAGGCAGATACCTATATGCTATGTGGATCGGGAATAGGTGTAATGGAGTAAGTCTCTCTTATTTAGGGTTTCTGTTGCTGTGAAGAGACACCATGACCACGGCAGCTCTTATAAAGGAAAGCATTTTAACTGAGGTGGCAACCTACAGTTTCAGAGGTTTAGTCTCTTACAGACAGGGCGCTGGAGAAGGAGCTGCTACATGTTGATACGCAGGTAACAGGAAGTAGACTGAGACCCTGGGAGGTATCTTGATCATATATGAGTCATCAAAGCCGGCCTCCACAGTGACACACTTCCTCCATCAAGACCACGCCTATTCCAACAAAGCCACACCTCCTAGTAGTGCCATTCCCTTTGGGGGCTGTTTTCTTTCCAACAGCCACAAGGTCTTACACTGCCAGCCCCATAGGGACCATGGATTAGGTGAGAGAGAACTGAGCAGGGACCAGACAGCTCTCACAGCACCTAGGATGGAAAGGCTTAGAGCACAGTGCCTTTTTTTTTTTAATCGTGCCTTTCACATCTTTGATTTGCTTTTGTTTTTTTTTGTTTTTTGTTTTTTTGTTTGTCTTTGGTTTTACAAGACAGGGTTTCTCTGTATTGTTTTGGAGGCTGTCAGTCCAGCCCGGCCTCGAACTCATAGAGATCCACCTGCCTCTGCCTCCCAAAACCAAAACCAAAACCAAACAAAACAAAAAGATGCCGAAAAGTGTTGCCAGGCAGGGACTTGCCATTGTTATCTCCTACCCTCCTCTGCCGCCTGCCGCTACGGTGGCCTTCTACAAGCCAGATCTGGCATTAACCATCTCTCAGCAGCCATCTCCGCACCCCACCTGCTTTATTCCTTGTTTTCCCAGGCTTCCCCTGGAACTCTCAATTCAACCGATCCTCCTGCCTCAGTAACCGGTACTTCAGGTACGTACGGACAGTACCTAGCTCTCAGTATTCCAGCCTTAGCCACTTCGGTGTTTGCCATGCCAAAAGCTAAGGGTCTCCACATATGTACACCGCCCTAGCCAGCGAGAACTGTCAGTGTGACCCAGCCTGGAGTCACCAGAGAGAGCGGGGAGTCTCAGTTGAGGGACTCAGGGTGGGCTGTGGGCTGCATGTCTGTAGGGGGTTGTCTGGATTGTTAATC